TTGATGGTAAATGTTACCATATATAGCATACATGGATCCTATGGGATATGGGATACCCTCTGGTAACAACTAACAGTTTGCGACATAGATAATCACCATTAATCACCATTTATACAGCAATCGGTAAATCAAACATCTTTGAACCATTCTCCCTCCGGTCATCCAAGAGAATTGAAACCAACTCACCATTTATCGATGATTTCTCCATTCAAAATTTCCATCTCGGGGATTTCCCAGCTAGCCACATTTGCCGGAGAAACTGACACATATAATGGTCATATTTTCAACTGAGCAGTGATCTGAGATGTTGTGATGCTTGATTTCCCATCATCCACTCCATTGAAGCGACCTTGGTCGTCGCTGCCGACTGCGACCAGCCACTACGATGTTTCCATCCGGGTTTGTCCTTTTCCCATTGACAGAGGCCTCATCCCGATTTTAAATGACTTTTTACCAGGCAAATGAGAAGTTTTCATGCTTCATCATGGTTAAACTTATGTCCCTTAAGTTTCAATAAGTTTCACCATGTTTCACCATGTCCCTTTTGGCCTTTTTGGGGTCATCTTCACCAGGAGGCCGTTGTTTAGGGCAGGGGTCGCCCCACCGCTTCGCTCCATCGAACTCACCGCAGAATTCGGGAAGTTCCGCGGCGTGTCTCAGGACCAGTCTGGGACCGCCAGCCCGGACCACGGCAACTCTTGGGGATGGGTCAATGTCAACAGCGAACTGAACCATGAAAACCAACTACCCTCTGGTAAACATACAAAAAACTATGGAAAATCACCATTTTTCATGGGAAAACTCACTATAAATGGTGATTTTCAATAGCTATGTTAGTCATAACCAGAGGGTAATATAGTGGAATGTTTACATTCTGGTCATTCTGGTGGTCTGGGTCGGAGAAAAAAAGTTTGGCTGGATGAATCCTGAATTCAAACGCACCTGGCTGGTGCCCCATAGTTATAAGTTGGTTTATAAGCCCCAGTAACTATAGTTATAAGTACCATAAACCATAGTTATTGGAGTTGTAAACCAACTTAGCTAACTATGGGGCACCACCTTGTGGCTGGTGACTAATGTGGTGAAGCCAATGTCATAAACCATCCGCATGTCATCACCATGGCTTTATTTTAGATCCCCACCATCCCCAGTCATGGTGGTCATGGCATTTTTTGGGGGGTTTCCCCCATTGTAAAACGGAGGGCTATTTATTTTAGAGTTGTTTAGATGAGGTTTAGTTTTTTTTTGGCAAAACTCTGCTTTTCTGCTTCTCCGTTTTTCTGTTTTGAAACGCTTTTTTGCGTTTCCTGCTTCTCTGCTTTTCTGATTTCTTTGCTTTCCCTGCTTTTCCATTTTTTTTGCGTTTCCTGCTTCTCTGCTTCTCCGCTTTTTTGCTTTCCCTGCTTTTCCGTTTTTTTTTTCCTTTTCCTGCTTCTGCTTTTCTGCTTCTCTGCTTTTCCGCTTTGTACTTTTCCTGCTTCTTTGCTTCCTTTCTTTACTGTCTCTTTGCTTTTCTTTTCTTCTGCTTTGTTCTCTCCTGTTTGTATCCCAAATGAAATCCTAGAGAAACCCTAAGAGAGAAGCCCTAAAGAAACTTTAAATGAACCACTAAGAAAACCTAAGAAGAAACACTAACCCTAAATGAAACCCAAAAGATACCTCAAATGACACCCTCAAGAAACTCCAAATGAAACCCTAAAGAAACCCCACAAATTCCAAAATGAAACCCTCAAGAAACCCTGAAGAAACCCTAAAGATACTCAAAAGAAACCCTAAGGACACCCTAAATGAAACCCTAAAGAAACTCTAAATGAATCCCTAAAGAAACCTTAAAGGAAACGCTAAAGGAAACCCTAAATGAAACCCTAAAGAAACCTCAAATGAAACCCTAAATGAAACCCCTAAATGAAACCCCTAAATGAAACCCTAAAGAAACCCCAACAATTCCAAAATGAAACCCTAAAGAAACTCTAAATGAAACCCCAAAGAAACCCTAAATGAAACTCAAAGGAAAGCCTAAAGAAACCCTAAATGAAAGACAACCTGATTAAGCCCACATGAATGTTTGAAGTACCAACATATACCATTGAAAATGAGAGGTTGCAGTGCCAAAAATATAGCAAATACCGTGCAAAATGGAAGTTGAACATGCCAAAATGTAGCCGATACATTGCAAAATGGAAGGTGAACATGCCAAAATGTAGCAAGTACCATACAAAATGACACGTTCTAGTTCCAAACTGTTGCAAATACAAGGCAAGTGATTTTCCAAGAAATCACCAAAAAACACACCTTATTCCCAAAAAAGATTCGAAAACTCTGGGGTTTCCTGGCAGAGATGGGTCATTTCAGGAATCAGGCTAGAAGATCAACGGCGAGGGCGGTTCTGCTCTCCGTTAACGGCACGGCCAGAAAAGCTGCGCGGAACGGCCGCTGCCGGGGGAAGCTGCAAGCTGACTTCTGTTGAATCCGGTGATGTTTCCGTCAATGGGGATACCCAAAATGGATGGTTTACAAGGGAAAATCTTATTAAAATAGATGATTTGGAGGTACCCCCATTTCATCTAGATCATCATTCTACAGTTATGGCCCTGTACCAGGTGTAAGTACTAACAGGGAAAATAGTGTGTACAGTGTATTTTTTGTACATTTCAATATACATACACGCAAATGTCTATATATATATATACATGCCATACACTGGGGAGAAAGTGAGAAAGATAAAAGGACAGATCGAGAGATCAATAAAACCAAATAAGGTCACATGAGGCACCGTTTTGAAATATGTTGACATTGGAATGAAGCATTATTCCTATCTTGCTGTTATGATTCCATGTTATTCTCATGTCATTCCTATGTTACCCTCGTGGGTTTCCTCTTGCTACGTGAGTTGTATTTGGCAAGTCCTGCGAGAGTCGGGACTTACTTCCCATCGCCTTTGGGCAGGTGCAACAATAGGGGATCATCTTAAGATAGATAGATAGATAGATAGCTAGATAGATAGATAGATAGATACTGTAGATAGATGCAGGGTGTATCAGATTCTTAAGGTATAGATGTGTTAGCTAGCCGTGCAGGTCGCCCGGATGTCCGCTGTGGAGGGGCGGGCCTTGTGACAAATGAATGCTGGGCGCAGCCATTCTCTTACACTTTCAGCTTTTATTTTTGAGGAATGAATTGGAATTCATAAACCTATAATTTATAATAATCTACCCTCTGGCTATTTAACATGGCCATGGAACATCACCATTTTTAAGTTTGGTAAACCATCTATTTCAATGGGCCATCTTTACCATGGCTAACTGTTAGTCATAGCCAGATGGTATACTAGAAGTTCAACTAAAATAGCAGGGGAGCTGGAAACCAACGACAGCATTTGACTGGCTCTGAAAAAGGGTGAATCTAGGTGAAGTTGAACTGGGTAACTGGTGATTTTTGCCATAGCAAAGTGGAAAATCACGTCATGCTCAATAGGTATCAATGGGTATAGGTATCAATAGGTATCAATAGGTAAATCATTTACACATGAACCATTTTCCATAGCTATGTTAAATTACCAGAGGGTAAACTCTCTCTCTCTCTCTCTCTACACACACATATATATATATATATACACATACGATTTATCCAGGATTTACACTGTCCTGTGGGGGAAAGAAAGCTCAGTGGCTTCATGGTTACCACCTTTCTGTACGGCCTGGTGGTCAAGACAAGCACGAGAACGGAGGACCATGAATCCAGATGGTCAATTGATATTCCAAGTGAACAGCCAACAATGCGGATATTCCAAGCAAGAAAACCATACCCAAATAGCACATACTTTGGAATGGGATGGATTCAGAAACCGCCTCCGCAGCCTTTGTGATCTATTAGGATGGCTGAACACCGCTCGCAAGACGGCGTTAAAAAGATTTAAAAAGATGGAGGTTGTTGCCTTACGTGTTTTGGCATTTCCTTCCCACAATTTCCCACAATCCTATCCCCCTAATAAAAAAAACACCTCATAGATGGTCCCAAATATGTGTAAATCCCTACACCCCCCAAAAAAAACATAGTTTCTTGCCCGGTGTTTAATATGAACGGGGGAGATGACAAGAAACACTTGGATACACTTGGTGTGTTGTTGGTTGATGATTATGTTTTTTTGGGGGATATGGAGGACCGTTGGAGGGAACATCTGAACAGGGGAAACGGGGAAACCATGGTTTTTAGCCACTTTTTTGAATATTTGAATCACGTTTTCAAATTGATCAAGGTGTCCGGCTTCGACTTTCCTTTCAAATCCTTCATCCCCAGCTGGTTGAGCCCGTGCCAGCTGCCGTGCCAGCTGCCGTAAGCGGCTCGTGGCTCGTGATTTCGTATTCCCAGTGATGTACCCTCTGGTAATTTAACATAGCTATTGAAAATGGTGATTTCCATAGTTATGTTTGTTGCCCAGTGATGTATGATGAAATTGACTATTTTTTCTACCATCTACTCCAGTTTTTTTGAATGTTTAAGTGGTAAATACCTGACATGAAGAGAAAGATTTCAGATGGAACATCCTAGGTTTTGGGTCACCATTACCCCGGCCTGGTAAGCCAACATAGCGACATAGAAAATGGCACATAGAAATAGTGGACTTACCCATTAAGAAAGGTGATTTCCATAGTTTTTTGTGAACGTTTACCAGAGGGTATCTGCCTGGTGGATATCTGCCTTCAATTCACAGAAAAATTATCCATTCTTGATATGCATGTTCCTTCGGAACATTAGTTGAGTAATCTCCATTCTTCAATCATTGGATTGGTTTCGCCAGGAAGCCCACAGGAAACCCACAGGAAACCCACATATTTCATCGGAAAAACTATGGTTTCCGGTGGATTTGTTCTTTGATTTGGAATGATTCATTAATTCCCCATTCAATTCCTACTAGATCCTACTAGATCTGATTAAATCTATTAAATCATATTTTTCTTCAACGAGACCATCAGATCATCACCAACGTTTCCAACGTTTCCAACGTTTCTCTTTGCGCGATGGTGCTTGAGATCGCCACAGCCGGGGAGGAGGTGAGGATTTTGAGATGAGATGGGTTGAAACGCACCACCTTTTTTTTGGGGGGTAGCATGAAATCATATGAAATCCCACGAGAAAATAGTGATCAATCATTTTTTCTAGAGTGTTGAGTTTGGTCCACTTCCGGCTTCAAATTTGCTGCCACCATTTGCCACATTTGAATGATCAGTGACCGACCTCATTGTTTATTATACCCATAGGCATTCAAACATGTTTGCCGGGGAAATCCTGTATAAATGGAGCTCTGTAGATGGTGGAGTTTTTTAAATGCCATGTTGGCCATGTTTGATTCGCGGAGGATAGTAACGAGTACGTTACTGCTATGAAAATTGGAGATTCTTGCGGCCCATGGCAAGCATTGACCAACCAGTAGGCCCAAAGGTACGTACACACGTACCCTACAGTAGGTTTGTTTTCGGAGGGATGTACCCTCTGGTAAACTAACATAGCTATTGAAAATTACCATTTATAGTGGATTTTCCCATTAAGAATTGTGATTTTCCATAGTTATGTTAAATTACCAGAGGGTATCGGGTAAACATCTTCCTCTAACCGAAGTTTTCATGCGACTTCCATGAGCCATGGGTTCGAAAATCAGGAGACCATGGTGGTGAGTGGTGTTTCGTTGAGTTCCTACTGTTACCCGGCCTGGTAAACATACAAAAAGCGACATAGAAAATGGATGAAAATGGCCCAGTCGAAATAGTTGATTTACCCAGCTATAAAATGGGTGGATCTTTCCAGTTCGCAAACTGTTAGTCATTGCCAGAGGGTACAAAGTGGGGCCCCCGTTCGATAGCTAAGTTGGGGTTCACATAACTCCATTTTCACTATGGTTTATTTATGGTACTTATAACATCTTATACCTATAGTTACTGGGGTGAATCTAAACCAATAAACATCACGTTTGTGGGCCCCACATTGTAGATTCGTGGGGGATTGTGGGTGCATGGCCTGGGGAGGTGTCTTTGGGGTCGATTTTTCAGGACCACCGATGTGAATTCCCCATGGTTTCCGCTGGAATTTTGACCTCCTTGGATCCAGGTGCCCAGTCTCCAAGTTCATGGATGATTTTCCCATTAAAAAAGTACTAACATCTCCAATTTCGATGATATTAATCCATGATTTACGATGATTTACGATGATGTTCCCATTAAAACTATCATTAAAATTTCAATTTCTATTGGTATTTTCATGTATTTTCATACTAAAACCATCTAAAACCTACAATTTCGATGGTGTTTTCCAGCATTTTCCTGCCATGTTTGGTTCCCTTAACGGGGCATCGTTAAATGTTCGCAGGTGTCCAGATCCTTGCTGGACGGATGGCGACAGCTGGTGGAAGAACAGCACGAGACCCTGCGGCGGGTCATGGAGGAAGCAGCGGAAGCGGGAGTTGGGCCCAGCAATCAATGGTGTTACCCTCTGGTAAACGTTCACAAAAAACTATGGAACATCAATGAAAACCATGGGATTTACAATGATTTAATGGAATTTTATAGTGATTCAATGGGATATTTTCATGGGATTTACCTTCTGGTAAGCAGCCACATAACTATGGAAAATCACAATTTTTGATGGGTAAATCAACTATTTCGACTGGGCCATTTTCGATAGCTATGTTCAAAGAACTTGGGTGAAGCCAGTCCCCCAGTCACCTATGACCAAAACAGCACACGAATCAAATTTTCATCTACAAGGTGGTGGTCCCGTTCGAGAACGCTACGTTGGGGTTCACATAACTCCAATTTCACTCTGGTTTATATGATGGGCTTATACAGTTAATACTGGGCTTGTAGTTGGTATAAGTTGATATATCTCTAGCTAATGAATAACTCTGGTTATTTAACAGCTCGCCATGGAAAGATCCACCATTTTGAAGTTCGGTAAACCATCTATTTCTATGAGCCATGTTCAAAAGCGATTTGTTAAATAACCAGAGGCTATACCCTCCGGTAAACTAACATAACTATGGAAAATCACAATTTTCAATGGCTACATCCACTATAAATGGTCACTTTCAATAGCTATGGAACGAGTTTTCATGGGCCCACTTTATAACTGGGGCATCTTGTAGGAACCAGTGATTCTTGGCTTCGCCAACTCTGAGGTCATGGCCAACTGCTGGGATTTGATGATGTTAGGATAAGAAAGAAAGATATATAGGATGAATGAACATTAATAGTGTATTAATCTATAATATATAATCAATTATAATCATATGTCCTGTGAAAAGATCATAAAATATCTATCTATCATATATGCACTATTATCTATTATATTAATTATCTATTATACTATTATATAATCATATGTCCTATTCATATGATACTAATTCCATATGTTAACATGTTTATGGATAGGATGAACATTTGATGATCTAACATACGATGTTTGGAAAAGATAGGATGAATGGGAAATCCGTGGATCATAACAGCACTGCCAAAACGCGTGGATTTCCAAAGATGATGATGTTGGAAAATTCCGGGCAATCCACGAATCTTGGGAAATCTATAGATGAATATCGTCTTTTGGAGCAAAGGGAAAGGTAGAATGAATGGGACATGTTTTGAGGTTGCACATCCAAGAATGGATCATTGGACTGGCATGACTTAAGCAAGTAAAAGGGCTTAGTAGATCTTAGGAATTGATTCATGGGATATAATATTAATTTTTTTTTACTATACTGAGTTATACTGTTAAACAGTTAAACATGGACGAACATGGATGAGACTCCCCCCAAATAGTGAATTTTCACCACTAAAAGGTTTGGCAGTGTCCTCCAGTTTGACGCTTCGAAAAATGCAAAAAACTTCTAGATGATTTAGCTATAGGTGATTTTCCAAAAAGCTATGTTGAATTTCCAGAGGGAAATGTGATACAATGGGCTGAAAAAGATCAAGTTCTGGCACTTAGTAACTCTCAGAACTTTGAAACTCGTTACGCGATGATTTTTCCTTCAGCCCCCAAAGCTATGCAGTATATACATATGTATATATATATACATATATATATACATATATATATACATATATATATATACATATATATATATATATGTGAGTTAAATATGGGTTACATCACCGGGCATAGATGGATAAAAGTTGGTTCTTACTCGAATCTGGAGCAGCCAGAGCAGTTGGGCATGGCTCGGAGGGTTTTTTTTGCCTCCGGCAAAATCACACATGGTGTGTAGCGGAAAATCAATGGGAGATCTCCAGGATCCTAAAATGGAGGTACGTAAACGTACCATATGTTTGGCCATATTTTGTGGGGATATTCCCTGAAACATAGGCCTAAAAAATAGGCCTTACATATGGAATCGGTACCTCCAATAAATCGGATCCTGAAATGGCCATTGAGAAAATCCAGAAAATTTTGCTGTTCGATGAACTCCTGTTTTCAGTTGCCACGATTTGCCACGGCAATGATTACCGAAGAATTGGACTAATGACCAATTTCTAATTTAGACCCAGTTGTATTTTAATGTATAGATACTAGATACTAGTCAGTTTGAGTATTCAATCATTCAGAAAGTGCGCACAAACACACACACATATATTTATTATTATTTTAGCGAATGGAGTATATGAATGGTTGGTTTATCCATGTTTATCCAAACAACACCAACAAAAAACAAGGTACACACCAATCGTAGATGCAACATGATGCAGCACAATCTGCCACAATCTTCCAACATCCTCCAGCAATCTAGCCAGCAATTGAAAAGCCTGAAGGGTAACATCATGTAACATCCATTTCTAGAGATTTTGCTATGGCACCGATCGGATCGCTTCGAATTGTACTGACATTTCCTAGGCAAATTTTCCCCTGTAAAACCTATCTAGGACCGGATTTTCTTCTGCCATGTGGATATCCACTCACGAATCATCATTCTGCGATTTGATGGCCATTAAGTGCGTGGTGTACCCATTTCCAGACACATCCAAATATCACATGGCGTTACGTGTTGTATCTCCAGTATACCCACATTATATACCCATGATCTCCTCAATTTACCCTATTGCCCGTACTCAAATCACCTTAAATCACCGATTTTTCCGCCGTTTTGCTTCATTGAACTAGCTTCACTAGGGTTTACCCCTCGTTTTCCCCTACGTAAGTTATCCCAGAATTTCCCTTGTGAAATCCTCATGTTTTCTTAAACCACAATTTTTTTCATGGTTTTTTCCACAATTTTCCCATGGTAAAGTCACCATTTTCCCATGGTAAAGCCACCTTCCAAAGGAGCACAGAGCGCAATGGGACGCCTCTTTGAGGCGCCCGATGGTGTATTTGCGATGGTTTCTGGGAGATGTTTCATATTGGGATGGGGAAATCATATAGGATTTAATGGGACTTAAGTGGATTTAATGGGATTTAATGGGCTTTAATGGGCTTTAATGGGCTTTAATGGGATTTAATGGGCTTTAATGGGACTTAAGTGGATTTAATGGGCTTTAATGGGCTTTAATGAGCTTTAATGGAATTGAATGGGATTTAATGGGATTTAATGGGCTTTGATTGGATTTAATGATGTTTAATGGGGTTTAATGGGATTTAATGGGATTTAATTGTATTTAATGGTATTTAATGGTATTTAATGGGCTTTAATGGGCTTCAATGGGATTTAATGGGATTTAATTGGATTTAATGGGATTTGATGGTATTTAATGGTGTTTAATGGTATTTAATGGGATTTAATGGGATTTAATGGGATTTAATGGGATTTAATGGGATTTAATGGGCTTTAATGTGCTTCAATGGGATTTAATGGGATTTAATGGGATTTAATGGGCTTTAATGTGCTTCAATGGGATTTAATGGGATTTAATGGGATTTAATGGGATTTAATGGTATTTAATGGGATTTAATGGGATTTAATGGGGTTTAATGGGATTTAATGGGATTTAATTGGCTTTAATGAGCTTTAATGGGATTTAATGGGATTTAATGGGATTTAATGGGGTTTAATTGGCTTTAATGAGCTTTAATGGGATTTAATGGGATTTAATGGGATTTAATGGGGTTTAATAGGCTTTAATGGGCTTTAATGGGATTTAATGGGATTTAATGGGATTTAATGGGATTTAATGGGCTTTAATGGGCTTCAATGGGATTTAATGGGATTTAATGGGATTTAATGGTATTTAATGGTATTTAATGGTATTTAATGGGATTTAATGGGATTTAATGGGATTTAATGGGGTTTAATGGGATTTAATGGGATTTAATGGGCTTTAATGTGCTTCAATGGGATTTAATGGGATTTAATGGGATTTAATGGGATTTAATGGGATTTAATGGGATTTAATGGGATTTAATGGGATTTAATGGGATTTAATGGGATTTAATGGGATTTAATGGGCAATAATGGGCTTTAATGGGCTTTAATGGGCTTTAATGGGATTTAATGGAATTTAATGGGATTTAATGGGCTTTAATGGGCTTCAATGGGATTTAATGGGATTTAATGGGATTTAATGGGATTTAATGGTATTTAATGGTATTTAATGGGATTTAATGGGATTTAATGGGATTTAATGGGATTTAAGGAGCTTTAATGAGCTTTAATGGAATTGAATGGGATTTAATGGGATTTAATGGGCTTTGATTGGATTTAATGATGTTTAATGGGGTTTAATGGGCTTTAATTGGCTTTTATTGCTTTTACCCTCTGGTAATTTAACAAAGCTACTGAACATAGCCATTTATAGGCGATTTACCTAGCAAAAAATATTGATTTTCAATAGCTATGCCCGTTCACCAGAGGGTACAAATATGCAACAATACTTTATGCAATTGTACTTTATGCAATTATGCACATTACATACATTACATACATTACATACATTAGATACATTACATACATTACATACAGACATGCATGCATGCACGCATGCATACATTACATTACATTACATTACACTACATTACACTACATACATTACATTACATTACAGTACATTGCATGACATTACATCACATTACATCACATTACATCACATTACATCACATTACATCACATTACATTGCATTACATTACATTACATACATTACATTACATTACATTACCTTTCATTACATTGCATTACCTTTCATTACATTACATTTCATTTCATCACATTTCATTTCATTACATTACATTTCATTACATTACATTTCATTACATTTCATTACATTATATTTCATACCATACATACCATACCATACCATACTATACCACACCACACCACCCCACCCCACACCACACCACTCCACACCACACCACACCACTCCACACCACACCACACCATACCATAGCTTACCATACCATACCATACCATACCATACAATACCATACCATACATACATACATACATACATACATACATACATACATACATACATACATACATACATACATACATACATACATACATACATACATACATACATACATACATACATACATACATACATACATACATACATACATACACATTATGTACACATATAATGTAGCTTATACATTTATAAAGATGTACGTTTATTCGGTTATTTGCGATCCCCAAATGTTGGGTCAAAATCATCCAGCAGCTTACACGGTGCAAGGGGGCCCCTTTGGCTCAGGTGTGTAGCTTGGATTGGAGGGGAAATCTGCACGACACAAACACATATTCCATGGATTTCCATGGTAAAAACCATGGTTTCCCTATAGATTTTCCCTGAAAAAATCCATTGATGAACGATCCCTTCACCTGGATTCCTTTCCTTCATGTTTTCAGCGGACCCTGACTCGTGAAGATAATTGAATGGTTGGTACTGCGGACAGTCTTCACGAAGCACTCCGAACCACAAAAACTCATCTGAAAAATAATTTGGTTTACCCTCTGGTGAACAGCCACATAGCAATGGAAAGATCCACCATTTTATAGCTGGGTAAATCCACTATTTCAATGGCCATTTTCCATAGCTTTTTGTATGTTCACCAGAGGGTATTTGTTTCAAATAAACGGCGAACAGAAAGCTGTAACTTTTTGAGCTGACAAACTTGGAGACCTGCAGTTCCCAGGTCGGGTCTCCATCGAAATACCGAAGGCTGGCGATGCAAAAAAATCCCCTCCGGTAAGATGACTGGGCGGCGGGGATCCCTGTAACATACTGCAACGGATTTTCGCATTTCAATGGGAAAATTCCATCTATAGACGGGGGATTTTGCCATGATTTGATTTATTTGATTAGTAAGGGGTATTTTTGCCCAGCTGACTGGCTGAGTTGGTTGCGGTGTTTGATTTTTTGAGGCTATTTATTTTGAAGCAATCCTGTGGCAAAACTATGCAACACTTGAAGTCTGCCTGGAAAATGTAAGAGTCGATCTACTCAAGAATCTGGTTCTGGCCGCTACTTTCCACAATTCCTGGGTGATTTGGAACATGGTTTTTATGACTTTCCATTCAGTTGGGAAGGTCAGCATCCCAACTGACGAACTCCATCATTTTTCAGAGGGGTAGGTCAACCACCAACCATCCGTTGGTGGAATCAATCGTTACGTCGTTACGCGGCGTACGCTGAACATGTGGGTCTTGTTGCAGCCTTGATTTTTGCTTCCCCATTTTGCTTGATCAATTCCTAGAAAACACATTGCTTTTAGATTAAATCCCAACTTTTAGTGATCAAATCGCTTAATCATGTGAATTCGGATCAGTTCATATAACTTCATGTATATATATATATATTATCTAAAGTCATCTGAATTCCACATATTTTCGCCCGTTCGTTGCGAAAAAACTCCCGACTTAGGGCCGCGTGCGCCAGGTGACCCCGACCGTGGCGGCCGTGGCGTACGTTTTTCAAAACTCACGTCGTCCACGTCGTCGACGCAACCGCAGCAGCCGGAAGTCGACTGCGATCCGGTCCCCGTTGCGGTTGCGCCGTGGGAGGCGCGGGACATGGCGGGGTTTCGGGGTTTCACCACTGGGCGCCATGGGCGCCAAACTCAGCAATTGTTTGCTGGGGAAATCCACCATGACTGGGGAATCTATAACTAGAAAAACCCTCTGGTTATTTAACATAGCTATGGAAAATGACCCATAGATATGGTTGATAACTATAACTATATAACCTGGTTGGTGGCTTGGAACATTTTTTATTTTCCATTTCATATATGGGATGTCATCCTTCCCATTGACGAACTCATATTTTTCAGAGGGGTAGGTCAACCACCAACCAGCATATGTGTTCATGAACATTGCCACAGATGATTTTTCTATGAACACTGAACACTGATGATAAAAAAGGGAAGATGGGGAGATATATGGAGACAGATTTTGAGCAGTTCGCTATGGAACATCACCATTGTTTATGGTTGGTACGCAATCCATACATGATCATTTTCCATAGCAAACTGTTGAGTTTCCGGAGGGTAACCAGAAAAAGTTGAAAGTGGCCAATGATGGGCCAAGGGTATAGAGCAAGTGGTTTTTGTCACCAGGTGCTTGGAAAATTTCAATACGAAGAGGGGAACCCCCCCAGCCTACTTGGGCGGTGAAGTTGAGCGGTTTGACCGCGCCAGGACTTTTTACCTTTGGATCTGAAGAGCCATCATATTGAGGCCGGGGAGGCAGATTGCCCAGGAATCTTTGGGAAGAAAGCTCCGATTTCAAAACATTTGACCCAGATGCACAACCCTTGGAGATTGCGGTGGTGACCAACGATTTTTTCGAATCTAGAATCTAGTTTGAGTATATACTACTGATGCGAGGGTTTTAATTGTTGCATTTGCCATGGCTTTGAACAAATGAGTTTTTCACGAATCTGGATGCATCGATATTTGGATGTGCCAACGTTGGTTGATTTAAATCATTTAAGCAACAACAAATGTGGATGAAACGAGCAACAACAATGGTACTCGTATCACGAAATAAAGTGGGGATACCCTCTGGTAAACAAACAGTTTGCTATTGAAAATGACCATTTACTTCGTTGATTTACCCATTAAAAATGGTGATTTTCCATAGTTATGTGAACGTTTACCAGAGGGTAATCATGGGGATATATGATGGGGATAAATCATTAACAACGTCACGGTGACCTCACTGGAAGGATGGTTAAAATTGGGATGACGCTCCCGAAATGGCAAAACTTTTTTTTTTCAATCAGTGAATGATGACATTTTATCCAGTGTAATGTGGGTAAAACAATGCCATTTGCACCATCCCCCAGTCATCATCATTTTTTGTTTGGTGGTATGTGTACCATTCACAAATGGGTGGTTTATTATTGTTTTACCCACATTATTGGTATCGTCATTCTGTATGTTTGTCTTTTCTAGAGGGTCAATGAACTATTTCCAATTTTTCCCGTAGCTAGATCATACTCCCAATCTATCCCTCATTATTAGCATCATAATTATCAAATACTGCTTGACTACTCAGCGAGGCACTTCAAAAAGTGAACACGACTATTTAAAAGGCAGCATTCATGTTGATAAATGTGATAATGGATCTATTCTCATCCTTGGTGGAGATAATCTTTCAGTATATTACAGTTCCGAGTCTCTAAGTTTTTTTTTTGGGTGAGACTCTTCAATTTCAGTGGCCATTTCAGGTACCTAAATTCGAGGCACCCTCTGGTAATTCAACAGTTTGCTATGGAAAGATCCACCATTTTGTAGCTGGGAAAATCCACGAACTTTCTATGGGCCATTTTCTATGGAAATCTATTATAAATGGAGGTTTTAATGGACAAATCCACTATTTCGACTGGGCCATTTTCTGTGTCGCTTTTTGTATGTTTACCAGTTTGCTATGGAAAATCACAATTTTTAATGGGAAAATCCACTATAAATGACAATTTTCCATAGCTTTTTGTATGTATACCAGAGGGTACCACGTATCAGTCCGAAATTTCAGGGATCCCCACCTGGCATGGACTTCCTCGAGGTGGCCATGCCCACGCCGCCTAAAGATTTCCTGACGGTGACCGAGGTCGGACCTGGACCTGTCAGGTTGATGATTTTGGGGCTCCCTGGGTTTTGTTTAAGGTGGTTTTTTATTTTCCCAATAAGAAATCCACCATGACTGGGGAATCTATAACTATATAACCTGGTTGGTGGTTTCAAACATTTTTTTCCATTTAATATATGGGATGTCATCCTTTCCATTGACGAAATAATATTTTTCAAGATGGTTAAAACCACCAACCAGACTATATAACTATTGTAATATATTATAACTCTGGTTATACCCTCTGGTTATTTAACATAGCCATGGAAAATGAACCATTTATAGATGATGTACCTATTAAAAGTGATGATTTTCCATGGCTATGTTAAATAACCAAAGGGTAACTATTGTAATATATTATAACTATTTGCTTGGTGGTTTGGAACAGATTTTTTCTGACTGTCCATATATTGGGAATGTCATCATCCCAACTGACTAATATTTTTCAATATGGTTAAAACTACCAACCAGTTATATAATTAATTAGTGATATATATATATATATATAATGTATTTTAATGCAATGTGATTATCATTTGCTGTCGGGGGAGTGTTCGAAGCCATACCGAGAAACAGGTGTTTTGCATTCTGACCAGTGTTTGGGGTTATAACTTATTATAACCGATAAGCCACTTGAATTGGAAGTTCCTTTTCCTAGCCCTCGCGGAGTTCTTGTGCCACTTGGACGGTTATCCCACTAAGTCTAAGTGGGATACATAGAATGGTCTGCAGTTATGGCACTTAACAGTTGCAAATGGGATACTCCTGTAACTAAGTTTGTAGACTATTATAAGCGAGTTGAACCATAAGTATGTAACTGGTGAGAAAGTCCCTTGATTGGGCGTATCCCGTGTAAAATCGCCAGCAGAATTAAATTCTGGCTATTGAACCGTTATCCATTTTAAAGAGATAAGCACAATTTTTGCAAAATGTGTTTGAAAGAAACATGTTTCCCAATGTTTCCATTGTTTTTGCATGCAATTTGGCCATACCCGTACTGTCTCCCAATTTACCCATAATTTTCTAAACCACAAAGAAGAACTTGTTTAAAGCTACGACCAAAAACTTGTTGGTCTTTGATGCTGTGGGTATATTATTCCACCTTGGTTTTCATTTGAGCTCTGGTACCTTGTTTGACACCGATCCGTTGTTTTGCACCAACTTATCTATATGTCTTCGGGGAATGCTGAAAATGAATAGGAACTGAAGATTTAAGAACTTTCAATCCTAGCCTTGTTGAACATGGACCAAGGAGATAATGCTTCCATATTGGTTTATATTATGTTACTTTCTATCATATGTTTAGATATATATATATATTGTAAGATCTTATTTTATACTACACTTTATTTCTTTCAAAACAATGTGGTATACCATATTTCATTTCACATGATGCATCCACAATTTTTCCCCCAGGTTTTTTTGTTCAGATGGCGTGCTTAACCAAAGCCACCGTTTGGATGGTTCCCAGCGTTTTGCCTCCGTTGAGTTGGTGGTTTCGATTCGTTTCCACTGTCATTGGCCTGGGAATCAAATGGTCAAACATCATCTATATCAACTAAAAATGATCAGTATTATTAACTATTTCAACTATATATATGAGGATTTATAGTGATAACTATGATAACTATAGTGATACAATCAACTATATTATAGTTATCACTATAAATCCTCATGTTGGATGGTTAGATGCTTGTATCCCATCAACGCCCCATAAATATCCCCAGTTTCATCAAAAATTCAGCCCTAGATGTTGCTCGCATTCAGCCCGACGCTGAAGCTCCGGAGAGAGAGATAGTCATCCCTATATTTTGATTGGTGACTGGTGACTGGTAACCCCCAACATCAGATAGAAAAGCTTCAACATATAGATATTAAGTATAGATGGCTCACATCCACTTGCCCCCCGAAGATATTTTCAAAGGATTGGTTTAAACATTGAAACCGGAACCCAGATTTTTCATAGGAAACATATGGAAAACCAATCGAGTTGATATCCTTGGGGTCTTTGGTTCATATCCCGATGTCCCAAAATGGATCCCATTGATCAATGGCCATCCTGGGATGATCCAAGAAATTGGAAGCCGGAAACCAAAGAGGTTTTCGGGGAAAGCCATGGGGAAAGCCATTGGAAAGCCATGGTATAGATGGCCCATAGAAATAGATGATTTTCCCAGCGAACTAAACCTCCATTTATGGTTGGGATTTTCCATGGCTATGTTAGTCATAACCAGATGGTAGATGTTCCCTTTCTTCCAGACTCCAGGTGTCCCCGAACAGCAATACCTTGAGCGACGGAACCTTCGTGGTGTCCAGCAGTGCAGACGGCCGGGGCGGACTGGACTGGACCGGACTGGACCGGACTGGATACCAACGAGATTATAGGGGTATATGGTGTCGTTGCAAGGATTTTATACTATTTTGCCGGGTCTTTATAGAGTTTTTATAGGGCCTTTACAAGGGTTTTGTAGGGGTTTCACCGGGATTTTATAGGGTCTCTGCAGGGATTTTATAGGACTTTGTACGATTTTGAGACTAAAAAGATACGATAATCATGTATAATTCTTTAATGACGATTGGTTGTTATTATTATTTTCGAGTAAGATATCAGCGCTATATATGTTTCATTATTTTTCCCTTTATCCCGTTAGATTTTTTTTTTCGTTGGTTATATCCTCATGACGTGCTACTGTCCTAGATTTGCTGAAGATGATTTTGCGTTATTTTCCCAATGTCACTGGATTGGTTTAAGGGAAAATTTACAGGAAACCATAGTTTTTACCATCAAATATAGGGTTTTCCTGTAAATTTTCTCATCATCCAATTCTATGACAATGGGACATCCACCATTTGAGGAATTTGTCATGGAGATGTCTTGTGTTTTTCGACTTGAGCAAATCCAAATTATTCCAAGGGAGTATTTGCCAAGCCATTGATGTATTTTGCATATATGGCATTTATACATTTATACTGATACTTTATACACTTTGTAAGTGTCCACAGTGTCCACTAAGATTTGTGTGGATCTGCGATTTACGGCAATGAATTTGCCACACAAAGCAATTTTCAAATGCCAGATGTTAGGGGATTCACATGATTAAGCCTATAATTAAGCCTATAATTAAGGCTATACTATAACCCATATGCTCCATGTATGGTATATTTACCTACATTTGCCCTAAAAATCACCCAAATGTAGGTAAATATACCATACATGGAGCATATGGGTAATTAAGCCTATACTCATCCCATGGATCGATGCTGAGTGCTTTCATTCGACCCTGGGTCTCCGGTTCTCGCTTCTCGCAGGGACTGTTTCACGCAGCGCGCGACACAGTACCGTGTCCAAAAGTGTGCCTTGGTCTCGATATGTCTCGATGGATAAAATCCACCAGGTGAGACCCAACACAGCTTTGGAGAATGAACATAACTCCAGCCATGGATTATTGATGTTTGTAGAATATTGTAGATATATCAAGATATATCTGCAGTTTTTTGCGGGTTTATTTATGTTTGTAAAGTATGAAGAACTCAGCAAAAGCGGCGATTTTATTTAATTACCAACAATGGTTGGAATAAGCGGCAAACTGTCATGAACCCAAGTAAAATTTACACCCCAGGGAAAGCAACTGGGGGGTCATAACGTGCATCATCTCAGTTATAGCTGAAATCCTCGACGCGAAAAAGATTGAATACTATTAACTGGTTGGTGGTTTGGAACATTTGGATTATTTTTCCATTTCATATATGGGGAATAATCATCCCAACTGACTTTCATATTTTTCAGAGGGGTTGAAACCACCAACCAGATTAAATACTCCAAGTAAGGGCTTCCAAAATGATTAGATTCGATCCCACGACGCAGGGATGAATAACGCCCCAGACATTCACATGATTCACCTAGACCCCCTACCAGAAATAACAGTGGCAGATATTATATAAATATATAATATAATGATTATATATTATATATATAGTTGTCAGAGGAAAGCCCAGCCTCCAAAGTGTTTCTTTGGGTGGCATGTTTCCCCTACCATCCCACGGCTGGTCTGTTTGATGGTTTTAGAGCCCTGGTCCCAATGGAGTTTTTTTACAAGCCCCCAATAGGGGTTGATGGTGAACCCACAATTTCGATCTACTTGACCGGGTTCAAGGAACCAGAAAACAAGAAGTTTAGCAAAGCCAACAATAAGTATCTCATCCGAAAAAAAATAAGATACCTGTTTAACAGCTCCCCATATTAGGGCACCAGAATGATTTTTTCTGCAATACCAGGGTCCAGGGTTTTATTTGGGGTATCTAAGTTTTTGATTGTCTATCCCATATGCTCAATGGTGCTGGTATATTTACCTACAAAACTGGGTGATTTTTAGGGCAAATGTAGGTATAGCATGGTATAGCTATAAATATACCAGCACCATGGAGCACATGGGTATGGTTGCCAGTTGGTGGTTTCAACCCATCCGAACATGCACAAAACATGCACTAATCAATCCATCGCTGCAACGCCCAGCCACCATAGCCTGGCGTAGCAGCTTCCGCAACGCAGAGTTCCACGATGAACGACGATTCGTAGCGGAGTTTGTCCACGAAGTTCGTAGCCACGATTCGAACACCTGGTACCCTCTGGTAAACTAACATAGCTATGGAAAATCACCATTTTTCATGGGAAAATCCACTATAAATGGCCATTTTCAATAGCTACGTTAAATTACCAGAGGGTAACATCCCTGTGGGACATCCTTGTGGGACCTGAGACATGGCTCTCGCGCAGCCACCGGGGCTCACTAAGGAAGCCACTTTGGCCACCGCAAGGTTTTTTGGAGGATTTGGGGTACCCCCAGCCACTAGGAAACCTCCATTACTGTTGAGCATCCGCCGTTACGTTAAAGGGTTATAGTAACCGGTTAGATTCATGGTTTATAATTCACAACCACCTCGATGTTGTCCAGTCCAGATATAAATAGAACCCCCATTATAGTCTCATTACATCCCACCAAATCACTGCTTTGGCTGATTAAGTCCCAATATTCCTATCCAGATTCATGTGCTGTTGTTTTTTTTTGACTTCGTTTACAAAGTTTAACAATTTCGAAATACCATAACTATCCATAACTCCTAGCAGCATACAAAAAAATCAACTAATTTCACCAGAAATCAGATATACAGACTATAAATCCATCATATCCACCAGAAATTGTGCTAAAAAAATGACCCAGCCGCGGCACCATTTCTAGGGTCAGCTCCAAGTTTTCAGGTCAAGCCCGTGGACTTTCAACTCACTGAGCCGCTTGGTTGGCCCGCGGTTTAGCCATAAATATAACTATAGTAGCTTCATAATAATATACAATAATAAACATAATAGTAATAAACAAAATAATATATAGTTATATATATATAGTTAGATATTTATATAATGATTTTACAGTAATTAATTTTTATTTGTTATATTCTATTGTTCATTTTATATTATATTGTTTTTTATTTTATATAAGATCATTTAAATTAGATAATATTGTATTGATTGTTTATTATAGTTTTCTTATTTATATTCAAATATTATTTTATTTATTATTTTTTGATATTAAGTTATATTCTATCTATATCTATTCTACATATATATACATGTATATCATCATCATCTTAAATTAAACTAAATTATCTTATATCATATTTTATTGTATTATATGATGTTATATTGAATTATTTATATCTATATTATACATATATGTGTATGCTACTTTTGGAATTTCTTTGATTTTCCATACTTATTATTGTTTACTGGAGGCAGCTTGCCCTATTTTCAGGACCAAAACCATGTCTCAAAACCGGGTAATTCATCGAGGACAGACTATGGAATCGATCCATGGGAATCATTTACCCCCTGAGTGATGTGATTCGGGCAATAAATTGCAGGGGTTGGTAAATGTCCCATTTTGGGAATATTGGACATCACCTGAAAAAGTAGCCATGCCATTGACCATATACCATTCATGGTTGGGTGATGTTCAATGGGGACATTTAATGACCCATGATTTGTTGGTATTGCTCCAGTTCGAATAGCGCATTCTTAGCACTTGATGCATGTCTCGTTTTGAGGTTAAGATATGTTAAGATCATTGAAGTCCTGTCCGCACCGGGCATTTTGTCATGGAAAGAGAATGCCCCATTTTTCAGGGAAGTCAGGTTTGACATGGTTTGACATGGTTTGACCCATAACCAAGTCCCAAATCAAGACAATGAAGAAAAAAAAGTGATGTGGCAGTGCGGTTTCAAACAACTCCCTGTGGATGTGGATGCCCTCCGGAAATCAGACAAAACGATGTATCATCCCATGAATTTCATCCCATTTATAGGATGATTTTCCCAATATAACTTCCTTTCTGAAAGGGAATCAACCATGATTTCGCCATGTTTTTGACAGATAGTTGGTGCGGGTGTCCGAAAGATGCCCAGGAGATCTTTGAATGGTTGGTCGTTAGTGAAGATCAAATTCAGGCCACGGCATGCCGGTAGGTGACCGGTAGAAGTAGGGGGGATTGGCCTTTGGTAGTGCCATCGTTTGAAGCTTCTGACCTATCAAAAAAAATTGGCAAGGCCTTATGGAAGGCCAATCATAAGTCAAAAATTTGGAAAATCACAATTTTGACTCTTAACTGGGTAAATCATTGAACTCAATGGGCCATCTTTCATAGCAGTCACAAATTTCCAGAGGGTATCAGCCACAGTTCCCATGACAGAAACCATGAAACCACAAAGGTTCTCCTGTCATCCTTTTTTCCCCCCCAAAATGAGCAATTACTTGGACCATGGCCCATGACTTTGCAGTTCGAAGAGGTTTTGAGTGACCGTTTCCGGATGGTTTTTTCTATTCGGATGGCCCAGGATTTATGGGGGTTTATGGGGATTTCATGGATTTATCCCCAAATGAATGGCTGATGTTCAAGCTGGCGGGATTGAGGGCTACTCAATTTCGATACAAACCCATCTTCTCTTTTTCGAAAGCCGTGGGTATTTTTTAACGGGGGGTCCACACGTTCATTGATTGACTTTTGATTGGATTGTTCAACGTCCATTGATTCCATGGGATATTCATATATATATATATACAGTATATATATTCATTGGATCTGTGTGTTGGTGGCGTTTGGTTGCATTTTTCGTATATATTCAAGGTGGGGCAATTCCATGGGATATTCATTGGATCTGTGTGTTGCTTGCCATGCTGGGGCCTCACCGAATTTTTGCTGGGGGAATCAGCGAGCAGTTTCCCATTTCCTCATTGACTATCCCTGTTGGATCCTCAAAATGGTCCATATTTTCAGCAGGTTGACTCTGTAGGGTTTATCGATGTTTATCGGTTTACCCTTCACTTTCCCGCCCCTTTCTCAAAAAAAAAATCTCCATTTTCTAGAGATGTCCATAGCTTCAGCCATTCTTTTCCATAGATGTCCATAGCTTCAGCCACCAGGATTCCCCGAAGCCCACTAAATTTTTCCGCCTCCACAGGAAGACTTTGGACTTTGTGGCCACTGCTCTGGTGATTTTGCTTCTCGACAGGGATTTGCGAGGTTGGAAGTTCACGTGTCACTACGAATGGAAGGAATTGGATTTTAAATGGATGTGCCATGATTTAACTATAAGAACTTCGTAAATTAACTAAGCACTTGGTAAAAAGATGTAAAAAAGCATGGCCAGGTAAATGTATCATAGATATTACTAAGCAGGAAAATGGGCGGTTTACAGGTGATCCGGTAGGTTTTTTTCATAGAAGTTTCCCGGCCGCCAAGAGTCCCCAACGAGATTTTTTTCCAGAATTAGCCTCCACGAAATTCACATCAGTCACATCAAACATCAATCTATAATACCCTCTGGTAAACATACAAAAAACTATGGAACATCACAATTTTAATGGGAAAACTCACTATAAATGGACCATTTTCAATAGCTATGTTAAATTACCAGAGTGTATCAAATGGTGTGGAACATTGCATTTATTTTTCCATAGTATATGGGATGTCATCCTTCCCATTGACTTTCATATTTTTCAAGATGGTTAAAACCACCAACCAGATAATATCAACTGAGAATCATCATGTTTTATCCAGGTATATGGTAATTTAATAATTACACTTAAGAATCATTCAGATACCCTGCGCAAACTTAGCAGTCCGGACCCTTAAAATCACCAATTTCTTGTGGAACTTTATCTTCCGCGGATCTATGTTAACTGGGTGGATGGTCACCAGCAATTTAACCAATATTTTTTTTAGTGGCAAAAACTGGAATTTATAGTTGATGGTTAGCATGGTTATTACCCACTGACTTATCTGGATGCACATCCAAGTAGGGTTTCCTGGACTTTTCCTGGTTTCCTAGTGATTTTCCATCGCATGGGCCTTTTCTGAGGTGGTTTTCGCTTGTTTTTTGGGGGCATTTCTTGGAAAACTTAGCACCTGAGAATCAAAAAAATGGCACTGGAAAATCCAAGACACGCATGATTTTCATCCATTTAAGATGGACAACATCGAGTTCGATGCCTCATTTTTGTTTTAGTGGTCCATATATAGCCTGCTTTGATTACCAGAGGCTATTGCCAGGTGTTTGTAATAAATTGCCGTGTTCAGCCCGATTGTGCGGGCGAGTCCGTTTTTTTTTGGATCTGTCCACTCATGAAAAATATGCCCCAAAACAGCAATTTTTTTGCGAACGTTCATACCATTTCAAAGGTTTTGGGAAAATATTGAGTAACATTTTTTTGGCACCCTCCAGCAAATTAAGGAGTACCCCTAACTTGCAACCTATGGTTGAATCATGATGAACACATGGGACGAAGAATATTTAGCCAGCCTAATAATAGGTTTTGGGATACTGCCACTGCATCATTTTTTGCAAACAAATCCACATGTTACATGTATATATATATATATAATGTATGCTGCCTAATAGTAACCCCCCCTAAATAAAATATTTTTTTAAAAAAATCAGGGGGGGTCAGCATTCCAATAGTAAATTAAATTAGGCTAATTAACTTTTAATATTGGATACTATACCATGCCCTCTGGACAAGGTCAGAACATGACTCTTTTGGCAATACTAAAAGTAAATGGAGCTAATTGACTTTTAGCATTGGAGAAAAAATTGGATTTGGGAAAAAAGTTTCCACTATTGCCATGTTGGGTCCACTATTGGCCATGCCCTCTGGACAAGGTCTGAACATGACTCTTTTGGCAATACTAAAAGTAAATGGAGCTAATTGACTTTTAGTCACTATTGGCTAGACAACATTATACTACATGTATCCCGTATCCTCTTGAAATCAAACTCTTTAGAAACTTTCACAGAGGATTTTCCAGCCAGCCATGTTTGATGGCACCAGAGGGTATCACAATTGTTGTTGATTGATCCTTCATTTATATCCTTTTTCACCCCCGCAAAATACCCATTAACTCATCCCCAGTTCATTCAGATGGTTAAACCATATGTGGATTAAAAAACATCCTGATGATTCATATGTGATTATAGGATTGTAAGACAATAGATTATTTACTGGGAATTTCAGGACCCTAAAGCGGAACTGTAAGGCCATATTTTGGAGGCATATCCTCCTACATAGCCCTTGCATAGGCCTTTTACATGGTAGGTACCTCCAATTTAGGTACCTGAAATGGCCATTGAATTTATGGTTAATGATTGATAATGTGGCTATTAATGGCTTCGTTGACAATGGTTAGTAGACGTTAATGATAGCTATTGATAGCCTCTGATAATTTAACATAGCTATTGATAGCTTTCCCATTAAAAATGGTGGATCTTTCCATCGTTTTTTGTATGTTTACCAGAGGGTAATTATAGATTGATGTGTTTGATGTGACTGATGTGACTGATGTGAAATATCCCCACAGTACCTCCATTTTAGGATCCTGAAATTACCTTGGATTTTTTATGCTTGGGTTGGTGGTTTCACCGGTGATTTTACCAATTCTTTTCGTCTGGTTACCATAGCATTTCCCTATAAAAGAAATCCCTTTCTGGAACAGTTCAACACTTATTTGATCTTATCAATTATTTATAGATATAATAGATATAACCACCAGCTATTAGAACACTTTTATTTTGTTATGTATAGATATTTATAGATATAACATAATAAAACCACCAGTTATTAGTTTCTAATTATATTATACATTATAAATATCGGATATAACATGATATAACCACCAGTTGTTAACTATTCGTTATATTATACATTATACATATCGTACACTAATTACTGTTATTGCAATTATAAACCAACTTAGCACACTAATCATGCCCCCAACAGTTCAAGACGCCAGGAATTGCATCTTGCTGATGGTGGAGTTGGAGCTAGAGGGTCGTGCTGTGGGATCTAAGTTGGGGTTCCTTGGCGTCGTGATTCCTTGATTTTTTCCGCGGAGCCCAGTGATTCTGCCCATGATGTTTGTTGGATGTTTTTTTTTGCTTTAGAATTCCATGTTACTATTGTTACCCTCTGGTAAACTAACATACCTATTGAAAATCACCATTTTTAATGGGAAAACTCACTATAAATGGCCATTTTCAATAGCTATGTTAGTTTACCAGAGGGTATATTTCCTATAAACCCTAGTTATTGGAGTTGTAAACCAACTTAATGATCTAATTAAGAGAGGGCCTCCTTATCTTGGTCGATTGCAGCTACCCACTTGGATTCTTAGTGACTTAGTGTTTTCGGGATCGGAATGTCCACATAACCGTTCAGAATTCAAGTCCAACACGCCCCAGAAACCATGGTTTAGTAGGGGATTTCCACATAGGGACCATTTGGGGTGTGTTTCATATCCCATGACGGATCCATGTATGCTATATATGGTAACATGGATCCCATCAATATACCCCATTCATGTTAGCATATATACCAGCACCATGGATCCCATGGGTATGGATATCAATGGGAATTCCAGGATCCTAAAATGGAGGTACTGTACCATATAAGACCATATAAGACCATATTTGGGGGTTAAACCTCCTTTATTTGTCAAAAAGATGGCCGTTTTTCAGTGTTTCGGAAGTTACATATTGATGATTAAATCGACTTGTTTCCACCGAGTTTCCCACGAATGACTTGGCATCTATGACTTGGGGAACAGCTGTGCATATATTGGATCCCTGGTATGTACCCGACATGGCAAATAGCCACAAAAACTATGGAAAGATCCACCTTTTTTAATGGGTAAATCAACTATATTTCTATGGCTATTATGGGTAAATCAACTATTTCGACTGGGCAATTTTTAATAGTTATGTTAGTTTACCAGAGGGTATATGGTGAACATCTCCTCTCCTGACAAAGAATAGGCTTCATGGTCAACAAGCCTTTGATGGGGCCTGGTATGTACATCCAAGTTTCAGACTGTAACTGGATTGGTTGGTTGGGATTCAATGGGTCATGATCCAGTTACCCTCTGGTAAACTAACATACCTATTGAAAATCACCATTTTTAATGGGAAAATCCACTATAAATGGCCATTTTCAATAGCTATGTTAGTTTACCAGAGGGTAATCAAGCTATGTTAAACTCCCGCTCTCCATTTCTCAACTTCAGGCATCAAGTAGGGAATCGTAGCATCATACTTGTGGGCCTTGTGGGGATACTTTTTTAAGACATTTCGGGTGAAAAATGAGTTACCCTCTGGTAAACGTTTACAAACAACTATGGAAAATCACCACTTTTAATAGGCAAATCAATTATCACTGGGCTGTTTTCCATAGCTATGCAGCTATGTAACAAATTGCCAGAGGGTATCTTTCCAAATTTTCAGACCTGCCTCACCAGATTTTTATCAAAATCCAATATCAATGATCAGGGGGATTGATTGAGCCACCCCGCAAGGCTGACGCTGATGCCCCTGAAAAAATAAGGGTTGAGAGCCGCTTCTCAATCACCACCCGGGAAAGAATTTCAATTTCACGTACCCGGCCTGGTAAATTAACAGTTGGACCCTGAAAATGACCAATTTTTGAGTGGAAACAAAAAAATCCAACCCCGATGACTGCCAGGGTCTATGTTAATTTGCCGGAGGGTAATTACAAAGGATATCAAAAAATACCCAATCACCATCCTCTGCAAAAGGATCATATGTTTTTTTTTGGGGTTTCAAAAACAAAAACACCTTTTTCGAAATCCAGTCCGGCTAAAAACAATTTTGTGCTTTTGTAGAGGCACCTTGTCCGGACTGGGACATAAAAACCTTAGGTGCTTTGGTAGAGGCACCTTGTCCGGACTGGGACATTCTTTTGTAGTGTTTTTTTTAACAAAAACTGACCTTACTTCTGTAGAGAAGTGGGCTAGAGTCAGAATTGTAACTACAAAACACGGGGCACAAGATACACCGGGAAATGGCAACCCGATGTATAATATCTATACTTAAATATAAATGTGTACAATTGTGTACAAATATATATATATATATATGTATGTATAATTTATATATATATATAATAGATGATTTTCATATTAAAACCTTCATTTATAGGGATGATTTTCCCAGCCATGTTGGATGCAGTTGCATTGAAAAGGTAGGAACGACCACCCGCCACAGGTTGAGTGATGGAGTAGATCTCACGGCGTTGATGCCCTGGTTTCAGGCCTGGCGGGCATGTGTGGCCCGCCGTTTTTTTTCACCAAACATTATGGGATTAGGGGCATGTAAATAGTGGAAATATAATGTGGATATAATGGAGTTTGACAATGGACAATAATATATATATATGGACATAATAAAAAAAGGGGAAATAATATGATAATATGGATTTGACCACAGGGATTAGGGGCGGAATATCATGGAGATCTATATCCCATAGGATCCATGGTGCTGCTATATATGGTAACATGGATCCCATCAATATACCCCAGTCATGTTAGCATTACCAGCACCATGGATCCTATGTGGATATCATGGGATAAGATTGGGGGAATCATCCGTAACAGGACTCCCCGCGCCCCCGACAGTTTTTCATACCACCCAAACAAAACCCCTTGGGAAATGTTTTGGACCTCCTTGGGCCCCGAAAGCTTGATAAAACTTGGGGGGTATTTAAATATATTGGCTAATTTATGTTAAATGATGTTAAATCGCACTTTTGGTTCTTGAATCTGCATGTTTGATTGTTTTTTTTTCATATTTTAATCTCCAAATTTTATTGAAAACTTAAAACCAGGTTATATTGGGAGCGTCTATCCTGAAGCTTGGAGGGCATTGACCATACCTTCATCTTGATCTTCTTGTTGGAGCTGGTGTCGCTCGGCCGGTGGATCTGGAACTGGAAAATGGTGGACAATTAAAGATGTAAAACATGGGATTATAATGTGTTCAACTATTGGTGTTATAATATTTATAATAGGATATAGGATTATCAAAAAAACATGGGAAACACATGGGAGCCATTGGGGTCGGCTGAAATTGGTGGACACGAGAAACATGACTGGAAAATGGTTAACATACCATATGCATGTTTTTTTGGAAGCACATGGGGACCTTTTTTGCTGGAAACTATGGCATTATGGGCATGAATAAGCCTGAAATTTAGAGGTGTCCATTTTTGATGTTGCCTAAAGCCACTTCTTGGAACCGGCAGAATCAGAATCTTGGGATTGCAACCAGAAAATGATTTTGGAGTACAGGGGGTCACCACCAAATGACCTTATTTCAGCTTGGCGAATGATCATAATTTATCCATACCAGCATCTCTAAGCCACAAGGATGTAGTAGGAGGTAAATGTACATAGACTACACAGTGGGACCACATGACATGTGAAAAAAAACTGCTTTTTGGAGTTCATTTTGGGCACTTTTTGGCCGATGTTTGCTGTTTTTTTGGTCCGTGCCAAGAGCGAAAACACTTTAATTTACGGTGGTTTTGTGCCTTTGGCATGGAAGAAGTACTTCTTGCAACATGCTGAAAACCGCGTAAATACCACTGTTTTTTGCCAAGCCCTAGCCAAAAAACACATTGTAGACAGATACCGTGAAATTGCTACCAGAAGCAAAAAAGATCGTATAAATGTTTTGGGCTTCCGGAAAACATCGGTATTTAAGGTGTTTTTTCCCCGAGAGTTTCCAAAAAAACGCGAAAACACCACCCATTTGACGATTTTGGGCTACTTCGAGACTGAGAAAAAAGCTGCAGGGGCAGGGGTAGCAACAACAACAAGAAGAACAAGAACAAGAACAAGCACAAAATTTGCGACAAAAAGATGTGCGGTAAGATGGTTACAAGCTGCGGTATGAAAAGAACATCACACTGTGCTCTGCACCTGCGCGCGCGCAGAGCACATGAACAACACCAACGCTCACACTGCTATACATAATTTATGGCATCGCCGGTGTGCGACATTTGCCGGGCAGCAAGGATCTGGGCCTTATACGCACTGCGCACAGAGGTGGACAGCCTCAAGGGGCAGGTCCGCACCCTCAAAGCTGCGGGAGAAAATAAAAGGAGACTTCAGCGACGCTATGGTCACGGCGATGGAGGCGATGGAGGAGCAAGCATCCAAAGCGGCACCGGCGCCTGCGACGCCGGCGGGAGGCGCAAAGCAGTAGCAGCATCGATGGATAACCACGATAAACACCATCAATTCCAATGGTGTCGGCACTTAGCTTGTCCGAGGCCCCGCGGGGGCCGAGACCGCAAGAGGCTCCTTGCGGGGCTTCGACAAAGACTCTGACAAAGACATTTTGCCTTCAAGTTTCCTTAGGGGGCGGGCCCCGCCCCTTAGTAGGCGGAGCCGGCGCGCCCTTCGGGGCACGCCCTTTGTGGCCGAATTTTAATCCCCCAGAGCTCTGGGCCGAGACGGGGCCGTTTTTGGGTAGGATAGGGGCCGGGTGGCCTAAAGGGGCATACGCCCCAGGGTTACAGTGTGTTGCTAACATAGAATGGTGCGACGGGTTCGGTCACTGTATGGGGCTACCAACAACAAAAGGAAATGATTACGAAGTAAGATTCCTCTGAAAAGGGTACAGGAGTTCAGTGACTTCGGGTCCTTTGTGTTTCAATCAGTTGACGTTTGGATCCCCTTTTGAATTTGTTGGCCTTGCAACCGTTCTGGTATCCTCCGAAAATAATGGATCCACTGTAATGTTACCCTTTGTATTACTTCCAGCTTCCGGGGTTTGGTCCAATCCAGCGGGTTCACGGCATGTCACCACATGAAGCACACCGCAGCTTTTGGCTATATAATTTGTTTTGCCTCCTTCTTTGGTCTCTTTTTTCGGCATGGAGAACGTGGCGGTTGTCATTTTCAACATCAACCTTCTTCAGTACCTCGACCCGCGGGCCCTTTGGTTTTTGCAGGCCAGGGTGAACTTTAAAGGGGTCGAAAAGTGTTTTTTTTTAAAGTTGTTGTTTGCAGGCAGCGAATTTGGTATCTTAGTTCCTGCTTCACTTTACAGTCTGTTGTCTTCTATATAGGAAACAAATCAACCTGCGAAGCTCTGACGCGCTGCACAGCTTTTCCAACCATTTTCTAGTGCAACCAACCAACCAACCACAACCAACCACAACCAACCACAACCAACCACAACCAACCACAACCAACCACAACCAACCACAACCAACCACAACCAACCACAAACAACCACAACCAACCACAACCAACCACAACCAACCACAACCAACCACAACCAACCACAACCAACCACAACCAACCACAACCAACCACAACCAACCACAACCAACCACAACCAACCACAAACAACCACAACCAACCACAACCAACCACAACCAACCACAACCAACCACAACCAACCACAACCAACCACAACCAACCACAACCAACCACAACCAACCACAACCAACCACAACCAACCACAACCAACCACAACCAACCACAACCAACCACAACCAACCACAACCAACCACAACCAACCACAACCAACCAACCAACAACAACAACACAACCAACCACAACCAACCACCAACCACAACCAACCACAACCAACCACAACCAACCACAACCAACCACAACCAACCCAACCAACAACCAACCACAACCAACCACAACCAACCACAACCAACAACAACAACACAACCAACACAACCAACCACAACCACAACCAACCACAACCAACCACAACCAACCACAACCAACCACAACCAACCACAACCAACCACAACCAACCAACACAACCAACCACAACCAACCACAACCAACCACAACCAACCACAACCAACCACAACCAACCACAACCAACCACAACCAACCACAACCAACCACAACCAACCACAACCAACCACAACCAACCACAACCAACAACCAACCAACAACCAACCCAAACAACCAACCAACAACCAAACCACCAACCACAACCAACCACAACCAACCACAACCAACCACAACCAACCACAACCAACCACAACCAACCACAACCAACCACAACCAACCACAACCAACACAACCAACCACAACCAACCACAACCAACCACAACCAACCACAACCAACCACAACCAACCACAACCAACCACAACCAACCACAACCAACCACAACCAACCACAACCAACCAGAGGCAACCGACAAATTGAACAACTTTTCAACCTGGCAGGCAGATGCGTTGGCGGGGCTGGCCTTACTTCCCATCGTGGAAGTGGTCGGTGCTGTCGCCATGAGTGCCGACGGGGCCACCGTTGCTTATGCAGCGGTGGCCCCCAACAAGAGGGGGCAAGGGGTGGGCCGCAGCATTGAGGGGGCAGCTGCGGCCTTCGCCCAGGCCCACAGGGCACAGACCTTCGAACTGGCGCCTTGGGTCTGCCTAAGTAGGGATTTGCCTAAGCCTAAGTAGGGGCATCCCCAAAAGGTGGTTTTGCGGAGACGTGGCAGCTGCACTATTTGGTGATCTTGGATGGGGTTTTGAAAGGTCCACTGGCTTGGCGAAACAGTCGATATTTTTGATTTGGTACATGCTGATGATTTTGCTTGGCAGGTGCAATAAATATTTCGGAGGCCTCAAACTCGTTTTTCGTGGCGAGCGCAGTTCCTTGTAGATTTCAGTGAAAAAGTAAGCAAATGTAGAAAGAGACCGCAGCAAAACATTGGTTTTCAGATTTTCAATGCTCATTTCCCGTGGTGCGCGACGTGTTTGTGAAAATCCAACATGCACAACCTGTGGGATCGCTCTCGTTATGGTGCGGTGCGAATTTTGATATCGGTCGCGCAACTTTTTTTGTGACTTGTGCCTGTCGGGTCCCTCTCATTGTAGCGCATGCGAACTTTGAAGTCGGTGGCGCATTGTCGTTATTACTTTGTGTGTGTGTGTGTCAGATCGCTCTCATTGTGGTGCACTGCTAACTGAGCTGATTCTCAGAGATCCTGGCTAAGAGGTCCTTCGGGTTCTCTGGAAGGTCCTTCTATGACGATCTTATGCGAATCTCATGGTGTTGAGAAGATCTTGGGAAGATCGTGGTGAAATCCCCTATAGACAAGGTTATTGCATGATCTTGTACAGATCTGTGTGAGAAGGTCTTGTTGACATCCTGGCGGCCAAACCCTTTCTAAGACTCGCATGATCTTGTACAGGCCCTTGAGAAGATCTTGTGGAGGTCCTGGTTAAATCCTTGCACGAGGTTTTTGCATGAAGATCTTGTGGAGGCCATGTCTTAGCGCGGTGCTGATATAAAAGCTCATGTGGGGTGCTCTTATAGGAATTCCTCGTGTAAAGGTCTTGCAAGATCCTCTTTATAGCAAGTCCTTCTTTTGACAATCTTGCGGAACTCTGGCTGATGTCTTGGCATGAAGCCCTTGGGCAAGATCTTTCAGAAGTCCTTGTGAGCAGATCTTGTGGAGCTCCTGGTGAAATCCATGAAGAGGGGCCCTGTGTCGATCATGCCCCGAGCGCGAGACGACGCGCCTCCAAGAACTCTATGTCCCTTGCCAGCTGTTTCTCTGCATTGCGTTTCCTTAGCTCATGGGATGAACGTAAATTCAATAGCTTGGATGGGAATTTAGGCCAGATAAAAGGGTCCGCTTCTTGAAGCGCAAAGCTTTCCTAAAGCAAAATATGAGGGACTCACTCCGCCGCCAGCCAGCGCTCAGATCTAGCGGCAAAGACAGCCAAGGAGAGCAGTGTGCAGTGTGCAGCCTGAGACAAATGTCGAAAAACAGCGCTGAGCGCTGCGCCAACCACAGATACGGTCATGCAATTCCCTGTGGCCGCCATCGGTCCATCGGTCTTGTTCATGCAGCCAAAAAAATTACATTGGAAACCTTGAAGCCCAAAGCGTTCCATGGGGTGTAGGGCCCGCGAGAAGGTGCTCTGTGGAGGGGTCGAACTTGCCGTTACCAGGTAGTGGTAGGGATCGCAGATCTTTTTTTCCAGGTTTTTGGCAGATCAAGCATCCCTGCCCACTTTTGTCTCATTCTGCCATGGCTTGGCGTTGGGATTGGCAACAGCAGCCTTCGGCCTGGCATCAGTCGACGGATTGGCAACATACTGATTGGCATGCTAGGGACTGTCAGCAGGGTTCCTGGTGGGGTGGTTCGTCCTGGCAGCAAGACGCGTCTTGGGAGTGGCCAGATGACAAGGCCAACAAGGACCAGCCCAAGTCGGGCCAAAGCTTTGAAGTTAGTTTCAGAAACGTTTTGGGGGTTTTGGTTGTACCACGAACCCTGTTTCAGGTTGCCTTTGGGCATCGTGCACTTCCTGGGCCCTTTCGTTTTTTAGCCCGCCTCGGGTTTTTCGACGTGCCGCATTTCGCTGTGCCTTGGCGTTTTTGATGATGCTTTGTTGTTTGGTTTTGTTTTGGTTGGGGTCTTCTGTTTCTTCGTTCCAAGGGTATATGTATGAAATGCATCCCTGTATCCAGTTGGAAGCATTTCGATTCCAAGACGTTACTATGCATAATCACTGGTGATGAAAATGTTTCCATAAGATTGGTACTTCTTTTGGGGGGGGTTATTTTGGACTATTGATTTTTTAAAGCATAGCGATTCTGAGGTCAAGATTTGCACCTTTTACGGTGCAATGTGGTTGCAGCAGAGAGCGGCATGGGTCGAGTTTCGCCCAGAGACGAGATTGGCGTGTTTTCTTTCGGCGGAAGAGTCTGTGCGCCGGTTCCTGCGCGAGGGGCGCAGGTTCCAGGTGCAGTTGTTTCCGCGTGGTGCCGCCCTCCGGCAGTTGCAACTGCTGCGTGGGCGGCTGCAACTGCCGGAAGGAGACTTCTGGTTTGAGATCAGCTATGAGCGTGATGGCAGCTATGAGCGTGAGGGCTTGCTCCGCACATAGCTGAGCTCAAACCAAGTTGCATGCCATCCCCCATAAGAGGGGATTATTAAGATTGGTGGGGGACCGATGGAACAACCCCCCCCATAAGTGGGGCAGCGGTGCAGTGGCAAAAAAAAGGTGTGCTTTATGGTTGGGTTTGCCGGGACCCTGTTGGTCGAAAATGTATCCTACGAATCCAGTGCTGTGGATATGGGGCTTCGTTTTTGAGCCGAAGGGGTGCACGGAGTAGCCATCGGCCAGCTGGAAAGTGATGATGGTATAGGATGGTATAGGATGGCAAATTTGACAAATCACCCAAATAAGAATAATAATTAAAATTATTACAGCTATTATAGGACGGTATGCCCAGGTAAATTTAACTTTCCTCCATTTTCAGACCCATTGCCGGCCGTGACGCCGAGGTTGAGACTGGTCTTGGATGGCCGCAACTTCTGCAAGGCGCACAAAGCGAGGGATCGGGATTCTCTTGAGTCATGTTCTAGGTCGACCCAAAACTTGAGATTCAGTAAGTTTTATATGAAAATATCTCACATACAGGATCTTAGATAAGTTAGATGCTATCACTGATGATTATGTTGATATTCAGATGGAAAATCCACCTGTTGGGGCGGTAGATGGGGTCTTATGTGATGGAACAGCCCTTGAATACATAAGATGGTTTGAACAAAAACTAATTGGAACCTCATTTACAACTCTATGAACATATAATACTTATAATATTTTATAACTATATATAATAACTGACCACAACCTGACTTATAGATGGGTTTAGCCAGCTGTACCCTTCCTGGGAAGTACCTTTTTGCGGGGGTAGCCCATCATAGCCCATGTGTCCAGGGCACTTGGATCATGTGGCACCCTTGGCGCGGTCAGAAACACCCTCCGGTAATCAACCGTGGCAATGGATAATCCCTATATACAGATAATAGAGGCTGTTTAATGGTAAAATCCATGAACATCATCTATAACTGGGAGTAAACAGGAGGATTTTCCAGACAACCATGTTAGAAATAGCGGAGGGCTATGTCTAAATTGGTTCCCTCGGTCATTCCTGGTTTGATGATCGCCTGAGTCAACTGGTAGCCCCACTGGTAGCCCCATCATATCATTATCTTCGCTCAGCGCCTAATGCTGAATTTCTGGTGAAGATTCGCCTCGCCCTTCTGGTTGTTGTTTAATAATCCCATCAGCCTAATATTATACACCCCAATTGCATGGTCCCAAGTATGTGGAAATTCCCTACTTTTTACCATGGTTTCGTTTTCGGGGTGTTTAGTTTAACAGGCCCATGAATTTGCAGGGGTCACCTGGCTGGGGACATCGGTTAAATCCACAGATTGCCGGGTGAAAGGATCCATGAACATCACGTGCCACATGGGGCATTTGAATATTATAGCCATAGCATAACCCAAGAAGATTCTTCAAACACAAAACCGTCACTGTTCCTACATCTTATCACTATTTTTGTACAAGGTGAGGCTCCCCAGTTAGAAGTTGAGTTTTTAGTGATTTTCACCATAGACCCATCCACCTTCATCAAATTATATGTGCGTCAACTGATGTGTCTTGACTCTTGACTGACACAGGCTGAGTGATTTCAGCATGAGGAAATTTCACTGAACCTTACATCTATCAACTTTTGCAGGGAAAAAGGATCTGATTTTTTCCTGATTTTATGATGAAAAGGCAAAATCCTTGCTGCACAGTGACCCCGGGGTTATGATATATCCAACATTTATACAAGTCATAACCTAATAAGTCATAAAATCCATCTACAAGTTATTTTTGCAATATATATTTAAAAAAAAAACAAAACCGCGAGCCTCCAGGACATTGCGAACCTTTTTGACACCATCCTGGTGATCACTGGCTGTGTGCCTTGGCATGCCTTGGCAAAATATCCCTGAGGTTCATGGTTAAGATATGTACATGAAGAACACATGGACAATAATGGGAATATCATCATAAATAAGTAAATAAGTTCATAAATAAATAGATAAATAATATATTATATATTCATTTTAATGGCGATATAGTCTGATGTAGTTGTAATCTATGGTCTATGGTATTCATTGATGATTACCAACAGGTACTCAAACATGGCGATTGCTGGGCAATTCCCGAACTCAATGGAGGTTTATGGCTGGGAAAATCGTCGAACTAAATGATTGGGATTGCTGTGTTCGATTTCATGAATGAAAAGTACCTTAAACCAATGGTCTTCCCTACACAACTAGGCAAGAACATTCTAATTCAATGGCTTCGACTTTTTGGGAGGCCTTCTTTCTGGTTCGTTCTTTCCGCCTCACTTAGCTATGCTGCCATGTCAAGCTAAAATTGCACAAAGCGTTGGACTGCTGATTTCTTCATGATTGCCCAATTGTTTGGTCGGGTAGAAGGCCTTGTCTTCAGGGTCCAAAAATTCTTGATGTTCATTTTTTTCATGATATTTTTGCAGGTACACAAGCTAAGCTGCAACTCAGCCAACACTGGCACTAAGTCCTGGTAAACTAACCTAGCTATTAAAAATGGCCATAGAAATAGTTGATTTACCCATTAAAAATAGTGATTTTCCATAGCTATGTTAGTTTACCAGAGGGTAGATGCTGGCACCAATCTACCTGCGCGAGGTGGATATTTTGGTGTTGGCGCCCATCATGGGTAACGAGAACGCGGCCATGATGCGGGTGGTTCGTACACTGAAGTCTCTGCGCGCTTTGAGGTTGCTTAGAACTTTCAGTGCCTCGTTGAACAGTTCATGGGATGCCCTTTTTATCATAGTTTTACACCCTGGTAAACTCACATAATTATGGAAAGTCACCATGTTTAATATGTAAATCAACTATAAATGGCAATTTTCAGGTCAGTACCTCGCTTAGGCCTACGTTTTTTCTTGCTTAGGACTACGTCGGTGATATATGGCTACAGTCTCAATAGAAAGATATATCGATGGATTTGAACATGATTTCAAGAGGCTTGTACATGTGTGTTAGAGATGATCATCAGGACATTGTCATTGAATCATATGCTGACACATGCATTTCATGCTGAATCACAGGTGATAAGTGGAGATTCGTCAGTGTCTCTGCGCATCTTACTTGAAAATTATGTTACATCGTATCAGGAACGTCTTGAAAGTGACTTGCAGAAAATGTTACAACATATCAGGACCCACCATGCTGGTCCCACCATGCTGGTCCCCTAAACCCACCCCATGTCCCAGCCCCGTGTCCCCAAGTGTTACCCTAAAGGTCTGTATATCACGTTCTCTAAGGTAACCCACCATGCTGGTCCCCTAAACCCCATGTCCCAGCCCCATGTCCCAGCCCCGTGTCCCCAAGTGTTACCCTAAAGGTCTGTATATCATGTTCTCTAATGTAATCCAGCATGCTGGTCCCCTAAACCCACCCCATGTCCCAGCCCCGTGTCCCCAAGTGTTACCCTAAAGGTCTGTATCCAATGGAGTTAACCCTGAAGGTTGAAGTCCACATTTCAAAATGTCGTCCTAAGTGAGTGAAAAAGTCGTCCTAAGTGAGCCTTTGACCGCCATTTTCAATAGCAACTGTTCGTTTACCAGATGCTATCGGAAAGTGATCAGATTCTCACGCAAGCGGGCCTCTCCATAGTTGGAATTACCAGAGGGTATGGAACATTCACATGAATTCACCATGAAAGTAGATGATTTTTGGAAGGGAAACCAACCATGGAGTTTTAATTGTTTTGATGTGTATATATATATATGTATATTGCGTGCGTATATGAGTTAATTTACCGGATGGTAAGGGAAGAAAGGTGACGCGGAACGAGAAGCCTTGCCAAAGAAGCCGCTTGCAGGACATGAACTCCTCCGTTCTTCAGGAAACTGCGAAGAATGCATGCCCAAACGTAAATAGCATCACTTGTTGCTTCTTGAATGATGGTTTAATCTATATAATCCAGTTAATCCCCCAAATGGTCTTGTTTACATGGGAAATATCTTGGATTTGCTTTACTTTTAAGCTGCTGTGCCAATTTTTACGGGTAAGCGGCTTGCGCCAACCCAAATGTTTGGGATGAGCCTGAGGATTTGTCCGTGGTTTGCGGCTCCTGGTGAAAGCTTGTGCCTTGGCAGGATGTTTCGACCAAGAGCAACCGTTATGAAAATCTTACCAGCAAACTCTGAGGGTTGTTGGTTATTTGTTTTTGTCATTGCATTTTTGTGTCATTCCTGTTTTGTGCATTTTTTTTGTCATTTGTTAAGTCATTTTTATGTCATTTGTTAAGTCATTTTTTTTTGTCATGTTCTTGTCATTTTTTTGTCGTTTTCTTGTCGTTTTCTACTTTCTAGCATTGTTCATTTTCTTGTCGTTTTCTCATAAGAATCAGGCAAGCGGTGAAGGTGGCAAACCCGGTCTAGGAAATGCAAAAAAATGCAAAAAATGACTGCCGGTTTGGGAAATGCAAAAAATATGTCAAAAACATGACTCTCAGTCTGGGAAATGCAAAAACAAATGCAAAAAAAATGACTCCTAGTTTGGGAAATGCAAAAAACATGCAAAAAAATGCAAAAAAAATGACTCGCGTGCTGGTAAAGTTGCGTTTTTGGAGTTTCCAGGTCGGCCCTGCTTCTCGGGCCTGAGCCGCCCCCCCCGGGCCGGGAGACAACTCCTCGTCCAGGCAGGCCCAAAAACGAATTCCCCAGGGCAAGCTCCCTTGCCCTATCCTTCTTCACCGCCGGCTGGCTTTCCAAGAGTTTCTGCACTTGTTCCTTGTATTTGGTGCTGCCACGAGATAACAAAAGGTCTGTCATGGTAGTCATTTTTTAACATTTTTTTTTCTCCATTTTCCCGTTCCCAAAATGACAATAAAATGACAAAGAAATGGCAAAGAAATGACAAAAAAATGACAACACAAACCCAAATGCAAAAAAAAATGCAACAAAAAATCAAAAAAATGACAAAATAATTATTTTGGAATTTCCAATGTTTGCAGGCCCAAGATTTTCCTAAAGCAACCGTGTCTTTTTTGACCTGCTGTCAATGGTTTGGTTTAAGCGAAAAAAATAATTGGAACATAGACGGTTTTCCCTTAAACCAATCCATTGATGCTGAGGTTTTTCTGACCCAAATATCTGAAAATACCGTCTGACTTGACAGTTGGTATGCGACCTATATGTATCTCTGACTGTGCATGCAATCCGTTCTATCTGATATCTCTTTAACGCGTGAAACAGGTTTGGCACACGGAGTGTTCTACCTGACCAGTTGTCAGGTGTCAATCCTTGAGTACTCAAAGTAGCAGCTTCAAAGAGCCTGATTGCTTGATGGCGGGATATACTGTGATATACTATCCTTTTCCATGATTACACTACTGAAATATATACTACTGAGTTGACTGCAGGGATGATCAGATTTCCGGAAATATCCATGGCTCTCCATGACACCCAACCATTCCGGATGATGTTCTTATCTCGTTTTTAAGTTCCACTCCTCATATTCCCCAATTGTTAAGATATTGCAAAACCCCAATTTGTTATTGTTAAACCATGTTAAACCCAATCAAAATCCCATGGTTTGATTCCCACTTTCAAGCGGAGTTGGTCCAACTGATTCCCAGTAAATCCAAAGTTCATAAAGTTACGGCCATATGAGATCCCTATTTTATCATATCTCTATCCAACCCCCAGTTTTTTCCAAGAAAATGTTCCCATTGATGGCGAATCCGCCATTATCCTACGTTCCGAGAATGCCGGAGCTGAGCTCAAGGCCAATGCTTCTTGCCTTCCTTGTGTTGGGCCATGGTTCCTTGGCGATTGGGAGAACCACCAGCTATGACTATTCGGGTACCTTCCAGGTACCAGGGTTTTGACCCATAGCTATTTTATTTGTAAAATACTATAACCTCACGTCGCGATTGAACCCTGGACTGATGGTGTTTCGGGAAGGTATTGTAACATTTACCCAGATCATCATCATCATCATTAAACATTGTAACATTACCTAGATTGGCTGCGGCGCCAAAAACGCCAAAATCAACTTACCCTCTGGTTATTTAACATAGCCATGGTATAGATGGCCCATTTATAGATTGTTTACCGAACTTAAAAATGGTGGATCGTTCCATGGCAAACTGTTAGTCATAACCAGATGGTATAAACTTATAAACTTATAAACCAATTTAGTCAACCCCTGAAACCAAAAATGCATCAATCAACTTATAAATCAGTCAACGATGGTATATCCCATTAATATCCCATTGAATCACTATTAATCCCATTAAATTAGCCATTCAGTCAACGATGGGAAAAACCACCTCTTTTTTTCTACCTCCCTTGGATCGTTCTCACGGAGCTGGAGATGTTCCATGATGAATTCCTGGGAAATCCAGAGATCCATTTCATCGATCTGTGGGGAAAAAACACGTTTTTTTTTAAATAAAAATGTTTGGGGGCTTCCGGTTAGCAAATCCAAGTGTCAAGATAACCTAAGATCATATCACTAGCCAATAGCCATGAAAATCGTCATTTTTGATTATCATCGTCATCATCACTATGTTTGATAATTCGGTGTATCTAGTATGAACAAGCGGGATTTGACCAAGCAGAAGGAGGATATAATGGGGATGTAGCCAACAGTGCCCAATTGGATGTGTCTGAAAATGAGCTATACCCGCAAACGTTGCCACATGTTATCACATGTTGCCATTTTACTTGGAAAAAGGACCGTAAACCAGCCAATCTGGGGGCGGCGAACCCAATTGCGCGTGGTGTGTCTGAAAAGGTGGTATAGCGGGCAAATGGACATACGGAAAATTATGATTGATCACTAACAAGAACGCCGACAATGCAGTAAACAGTGATTTAATGGAATGATGATGGAAACAATGGTGATCTTTGTCATCTTCATCTGCATCTTCGATGATATGATAACAATATAGAACAATCATATACCCTTCTTGGCGGATTAAAACAATGACAATACTGATTGGCACCATATTAGCATGATAGTTGGAATAGTAATAGTAACCACAAAATAATTGGAATTGAATAGTGGGACACCTGGAAGATGTGAGAAATACAATAACGAAATCATCGTGGACATATTAATTGGACAAGACTCTTGATACCGATTAGGCAGCACTAAGTAGCACCAGTTGTAACATGTAGCGCTATAGTTGGATTCTCATATGATACGATATCACCAGTTAGTGCTAAGAATGTGAAATGACATCATTATGACAACAGTTCGTATCATGACCATTGCACAAGTGATTTCCAGCATCAAAGTTTTTGAGGCACGCGGTTGCTTGGCAGAACTGATCATGAACAAGCAACAGTTAAGGGCCGAGCTGGCTGCAAGTCGGAAGGTTAGTGCTCACATTTACAGCCGCTGTGGCTTCCTGTGGCCTGCCGTGCCTCCCACCGTTCTTCCTGCGGCCCTGGCCACCCGCCGCAGCCGAGCCGAGGCTCTTTTGGACAATTGGCACTGGTAATGGAAATCATCAGATGATAGCCATAGTAATGCTAATAACAAACGATAATATATGATAATGACAGCCATCCTTGTCATCCTTATCCTCCTCCTCCTCGTCATCATCATCATCATCGTCATCATCACCACCACCATCACCTCATCATCGTCATCATCGTCATCATCGTCATCATCGTCATCATCGTCATCATCGTCATCATCGTCATCATGATCGTCATCGTCGTCATCATCATCGTCATCATCATCATCATCATCATCATCATCATCATCATCCTCATCGTCATCGTCATCGTCATCATCATCATCATCACCATCATCATCACCACCATCATCATCGCCATCATCATCACCATCATCATCATCGTCATCATTATCATCACCATCACCATCATCATCATCATCACCATCATCATCATCATCGCCATCACCATCACCATCACCATCACCATGAATAATAAATCATCATCATCATCATCATCATGACCATGACCATGACCATGACCAGCACCAGCACCAGCACCACCACCACCACCACCACCATCATCATCATCATCATCATCACCATCATCATCATCATCATCACCATCACCATCACCATTGCCATGACCAGCACCAGCACCAGCACCAGCACCATCATTATCATCATCATTATCATCATCATCATCATCATCATGATCATGATCACCACCACCACCATCACCACCACCACCATCACCACCACCACCACCACCACCAACACCACCACCACCAATGAATAGGTCATTTTCACATCTAACCCCCTATGAATGAAAAGGTTTCAACAGAGCCACCATGATTCCAGTCATGTATGACCATCACCATCTTTTTGAACCATATGACCTTTAGTCCAATTTTTCCGTGAAGATGATTTTCTCTTCATGCAACGAACACCACCAGCAGATAAATTCCAAGAGGATGTCCAATATTGTTGTGAAATTGCTGGCTAAAACCACGGGTTTCCTGTGGATTTTTCCCTTGAACCAATCCATTGAGAATTGATTCCCCACCAACAATCCCCATTATGCTCCTACTATGCTCCCATTTCATTACGGTTTTGGTTGTCTAAACTTTCAAGCTCCATTTTTGATCCACAACCTGAAGTGTTGAAGGTCATTATATTTTCACAAACTTGCGACCGTAAACCCACCACCAGCCACCCAAAATGACAAACTTCACTTTGTTTTCAACTAATTTTGTTGGTTATATAAATTGTATCTGAAGGATTTCAATTTTGGGATGATAACCATACACCATCTTTCGGCCATGGCACATACAATAGGAAAATCGGAAAGCTGCATTCCAATCATCTTCCGGTGAAATCACGATTTTTGTTGGTCAAATCCAAGTTTTTTGGATGTTCCACAAATCATTGATATATTATGACTTTCCGCAATTGACTTTCCTCAATTGAAATTTCCGGGTACCTGGAATCTCTGAGGAAGTCGCTTTGTTGTTTGGAGATTTCTGACAATTTGTTGGATATTTCCGGGTACCTGTTCCATTTGTTGGCCAATGATATTGCAATAGCTCAATAATATTTCAATAATATTTCGTTTTTTTGGATGGCTCATTTGGTCGGCTCATTTGGTCTAGGTTTTACTGGCCGTCTTCATGTCCATCGGCGCCTTAGTGCTGGGCAATCTCCTGCTGGATTTCAGTGCCAGCGAGGTGGAAAACTATGAGGCGCCTGCTGATCGGGGCAGCGGCGCCTGGTGATGGGGGCATCGGTGGAAGTTTGCTATGGTCAAATAGATTGGAACATGGCTTGGAATATGGTTGGTGGTTTGGAACATGGCTTTTTTGACTTTCCATTCAGTTGGGAATGGAATAATCATCCCAACTGGCGAAGTCATATTTTTCAGAGGGGTAGGTCAACCACCAACTAGGAAGATTGGGTTTATACCACCCATTTGAGAATGGTAAATATACCACCTACTCATGGTGATTTGCGGGATGGTGTATGGCATTGCTTTACCCACATTATGACCTTATTTTCCAATGGGAAAGCCACTAATGTGGGTAAAACAATGCCGTTTGCACCATCCCTCAGTCATCACGACTTTTATAGGTGGGATTCAAACCATTCCCAGTCATGGTTATTATTGTTTTATATACCCACATTACCTACTATACAATGATATTTTACACTATTTTTTGCTGTAGAGGCAATATAAACATATATTAACTGCAACTGGTGAATTTTGTCGTGTAGCCAATATGTCCCAGGCATCAAGCTATGAAAACGTGGCCGTGGTGGAAGATGATTATTCAACCTTGCGGGGAAAGGTTGGAAACCGCAAAGATACACTCCTATAAATAGTTGTTAACAACTAAAGATGGAGACAAATCGGGTTTGGAAGATGGTTTTCTTGTTAGGTTCCATGTTAGATTTATCCATGGAATTTTTAAGGCTCCTGATGATGGGACCCCATTCCCATAAGTTTCCCATTGGAATTTCTTGGTCTTTTGGGACTAGTCCCATGCCACGAGGACCGTCAGTGGGTCTGGTTGCACTATGGGACCTCGTACCGGGCCTTGTACACGTTGCTTGGAAACGGTTGCCCATATGTTTTCGACAGGTGAATGGTTAGCCGGCAAACTATTGGGGGAAATACCTTCTGGTGACATAACTACGGAAAGCAGTTTGGTTGTAGATGATTTACACCTATCAAACATGGTGGTTTTCCATAGCCATGTTAGGTTAGCACAGAGTAATCCATAGGTCAACAGATTGATTTGAAGGAAAATCTGGAGGAAACACGGTTTTCATCCTCATAAGGGTTTCAATGGGTTTCATTTAGGTTTGCTCTGTTTGCCTTTAACCCAATTCTACAAATATGCACAGGTTTGAGAGTTTTGCAGCCGAAGCAGCCAGAACGGCGATACTGTTGCAGCAAATCAATGATGCTTCAACCAGCTGGTGAATGGATCTGTTTATCTTGTTTGATGTTGTTACTGTATCTCCAAGTGAGAAAAAGGCACTGGCACCATGACTATACTATATCCTAACCCACAGAGGTTTCCCATGTTTTTTTTGGTTTAGGTTGATACTTAAGTGCATTGAACCTGCTGTTTTGGTAGTTCCTCCTCGTCTCAAAAAAAGCCTCATGTGGTTTTGGTGTGGCCCCAGTAGAGTGATGGAATCGTCAGAGCCTCCTGTTGACAAATGTGCTTGGCTTCTGGTCAGGTGTGGAGGGGCTAATGATGTTCTTCCGCCTTGCGTGCTTTTTAACACTTCTGTTTGAAAACACGTCCTTGCTTACGCTCTTGACTGTCTCAAGTAACTTGCAAGGCGCTCTTGATGCTACGTTGTCACATCCTTCTCAAGTAACTTCGATGAGATGCAAGCTGGACCAATTAGCGGCACAACAGTTGCTGGTGTCCGCTGACCCGAGACATGTGTTGGAAGCCTTGTTTGTGCTGCGTCAGCATCGATGCAGTCAGTTGGGATGTGATCTAAGGCCTGAGGCCTGAGGCCTTTTTAGATATCCAGAAGGATCATGCATTGCTTTGGGTATTGAGCTACTTCGAATGGCAGGCGTGGGAAAAAGCGATGTCAGAGCCTAACTCCATTGCAAACAAAGCTTGTGGTGGCGCGCGCCTACAAAGGACTGGCGCGTTGTTCTACTACCCAATATGTCAGATTCTGGATATCGCATGGGCCGGAAGGTGGCTTCTTCACCACCGCGCTGGAACCTGACTCCTGGAAAGCGCTTGCGCCCTGAGCGGGTCTTCCTGCAATGGTTCCTTCTGCTAACTTGTTGCAACATTGAACTCTTGGATTGTAGTCCATGGGACTTTCCAGAGTTGCCGCTTTGCTCTCATGTTCCGAGGGCACGCACCATTTTCGTCTATGTTGACAAACCGGCAGACTTGCATTCGTCATTTGGCTAGACGAAGTGGAGGGCATATGCTTCTGGCATCATGATTGTGCGCAAAATTCCTTGCTAAGCACTTTCAGCTCTGGGCATTACGCATTGTCTTCGATATTTGGCGACCCTTCACCAACCGTTTGTGCTTCAACACGCCTTTGTGAACACGGCAGCCTGGGAGATTGCATGAAATTGCGCATGCTCACAGTGAAATAGTCAGCCGGAATTTTGAGAATTACCCTTGTGGCTCCTGGGTGCAATGTTTTCCTCTTTCCAAGAAAGAGATTCAGCACCGAGCCCTTCAACATTGTTCCGACTTTTCAGCTCCATGACGGGGCCTTCATTTTAACAGCATCTTTCAATTTTGCTACACTTTGTAGGTTGTCGCCCTCTAGCTCTAGGGCAAACCGTTTGAAGCCCCGGTAAAAAAAACAATACATTGGGGATTATCATGATCCATGAGCTGGGAATCCCATTCTTAACCAACCAGTGTTTCATGGATGGTGCTGTGTATGTCCACAGTATATGCCCATGTCCCTTCATGTTTGATCATGAGGGTTTTGAACATTGCTGGGCTCATTGTTTCATACCTGAGGCTCTATGAGGTCACCTTCGCAGGTGGGATGATGTCGATGATGACCGACTGGTAGTTTTGAGAATGGTTCATGTCCCTAAAGATTGGACTTTGACAAGCATAGTATTACATAATGTTATAATTCTTTGAGTTTTACAGGATTAGGATTTAGTTGCCAACGGCAGTGAACCAATTTCTATACTTTACCTCCTCATAAGGTTTGAGGAATATATTTGTCGACTTAGGTATTGCCCCGCCTACTAACGTTTTCCGACCATTTGCTACAAACCAAAATCAAGTGGTTTCAAATTTCAGATACCATTTAATGGTTTGGGTTTCCTGGATTCTTGGATGACCACGGACGTCGGGCAACTTTAGAAGGGCGGTTTAACATGTTCTTTGTCTTTGTTTGTGGGCTCAAAAGTGGAGAAACGTGTCATTTCGAGCAAAATTTGAATCATTTGGAGGCTACTTTTAGCCATGGTGGCTTTTGATCGGTTTCTATAGGTGTGCTATATGAGATGACCTTTTCCTTGCTTTCCTCCTGTTTTTTGCATGCAAAACTCATCTCTCCATCTCTCCACATATGGAAATCCCATGAAATCCCTATGGCATCGCCATCATCCCATGAAATCACCATTTTGCACCAAATTTCCCATCACTATTTGGCCGGTAAAACTCCTTGGGTTTCTCGGGTCATTTCGTTTTTTTTTCAACCCATCGCCAGGCAATTGGCCCACCAACGTTCGGCCGATCCTGAACAAGGTGCCACGGGGTCAGATGGTACAATCCTGAGGAAAAGCATTGGGCATGCAATGGAACGGGTCGGCAGGATATAATTTCTGTATTTGGTGTTGTACATGCGGCTCGAATGTTTCAGCTGACGTCTTTACTTTGCTTTTTCATTTGAACCTGAATGGTTCTAGTCCAACCAAATCCGGTTTCATCATTTTTTGATCTATGTAGACGTTTTTCCCCACCTGCCAGATGAGTGTTGTTAGATTTTATCACAGTTGTTCTCCTCCTCCGCCTCCTCCTCATCCTCCACCTCGTTCTCCTCCTCCTCCCTCTCCTCCAGCTTCTCCTCCACCACCTTTGCATCCACTTCCATGTCCACTTCCGCCTTGCCAACTCTTCGCCAACTTCCGCATGCAGTGGGCACTGCTGGACCTCAACTGCCGTCCGCCTTGCCAACCCTTCGCCAACTTCCGCATGCAGTGGGCACTGCTGGACCTCAACTGCCGGCATGCGATAGGAGTGGGCACCGCTGGACCTCAACCTGGGACCTTCCGAGCTCAGTGAGCACCGCTGGACCTCAGCCTGGGACCTTCCGAGCTCAGTGAGCACCACTGGACCTCAACCTGGGACCACCTGATCTCGTTGAGCACCGCTGGACCTCAACGGCCAGATAGAATGCCAGAAGATATGCCAGATAGAACGCCAGATAGCATGTCAGATAGAATGCCAGAAGATATGCCAGATAAAATGCCAGAAGATATGCCAGATAGAATGCCAGAAGATATGCCAGATAGAATGCCAGAAGGTATGCCAGATAAAGTGCCAGAATGTTTGCCAGATAGAATGCCAGAAGATTTGCCAGATAGAATGCCAGGTAGGATGTCAGAAGATATGCAAGAATATATGCCAGATGGAATGCCAGATAGAATGCCAGATAGAATGCCAGAAGATATGCCAGATAAAATGCCAGAAGATATACCAGATAGAATGCCAAAAGATATGCCAAAAGATATGCCAGATAGAATGCCAGAAGATATGCCAGAAGGTATGCCAGATACTTAAGTGCCAGAAGGTATGCCAGATAAAGTGCCAGAATGTTTGCCAGATAGAATGCCAGAAGATATGCCAGATAGAATGCCAGGTAGGATGTCAGAAGATATGCAAGAATATATGCCAGATGGAATGCCAGATAGAATGCCAGAAGATATGCCAGATCGAATGCCAGAAGATATGTCAGATAGAATGCCAGAAGATATGCCAGAAGATATGCCAGATGGAATGTCAGAAGATATGCCAGATAGAATGCCAGATAGGATGTCAGAAGATATGCCAGAAGATATGCCAGATGGAATGCCAGATAGAATGTCAGATAGAATGCCAGAAGATATGCCAGATAAAATGCCAGATAGAATGCGAAAAGATATGCCAGATAGAATGCCAGAAGATATGGCAGATAGAATGCCAGATAAAGTGCCAGAAGGTATGCCAGATAAAGTGCCAGAATGTTTACCAGATAGAATGCCAGAAGATTTGCCAGATAGAATGCCAGATAGGATGTCAGAAGATATGCCAGATAGAATGCCAGATAGAATGCCAAATAGAATGCCAGAAGATATGCCAGATAGAATGTCAGAAGATTTGCCAGTAACGAAACGTATAAATATCATGGTGGGGATCACACGAAGTAAAGTAAAGTATTTTTTCCCCACCTGCCAGGTGAGGGTTGTTAGATTTTATGTCAATTGCCTGCTCCTCTCCTCCTCTCCTCTCCTCCTCCTCCTGCTCAACCGCGACCCTCGACGCACAGTGTTCTCTGTCGGACCTCAACCACGACCATCCACGCCCAGTGTTCCCTGCCGGACCTCAACCACGACGGATCCCCGCCCAGTGTTCCCTGCCGGACCTCAACCACGACCATCCACGCCCAGTGTTCCCTGCCGGACCTCAACCGCGAGTATCCACGCCAAGTGTTCCCTGCCGGACCTCATGTAGGAAGATATGGGACAAAGAATGTGCAGAAGAAACACCAGACCTTCCCGGTCAACCACGACCATCCACGCCCACTGACATGTTTATATCCTGTTTGACAGACTGACATGCACAATGACCTGCCAGGTGAAACAAATGATTGGGATAGTTAGTTGGGCAAAAGTCCCGTGACAAAAGCTTCAGACAAAAGTGGTGTCAACAAGCTGTTTTGAAATGTCATGGTGGGGATCACTCGAAGCAAAGTAATTTTGATTTTTTAGATTCGAGACTCTAGACATTTTGTCCCGGACCCTTTGTAGTTGGACTCGGTATGAATTGGTTGGAACTATATCTTTGTGGGTGATAAACACCCCAACAGTATCAACTATTTTGAGGTGAACGGCAGGGCACCAAGGTCTTGACCCATACCCACGCTAAATCATTTTGCAAAAATAACCCAGCTATGTAGGAATTTTGTAGAATATGCATGAAAATAGTCATCTATGGGTTACATACATGGGTTCTTAACCATTTACAAACAGGGAGTCCAGAATTGGATAGAATTGGATGATAGGAAAATTGAGACCGGAACCGCCTTTTTTGGAGGTCTCAAAGCGATGGGTACAACAATGGTTTCCTGTGTTTCCAACGAAGGTTTACCCAACAAGACCCATTCATCCGAGGTGAGCCACTTCTACGTCCTCTTCTTCGTGTTTTACGTCACGGTGATTACCTTCGCTGTAATTCGTGTGATTTCAGCCGCAGCCCGGCGAAGATGGGCTCATGTGGATGGATTGGGCCCCATAAATGGGAAATCTTGCGGGGTTTGATGGGGTGGAACCAACAAGACTAGGGATATTACCCTGCGATGAGTCGATGAGTCAAAAAACTTGGAGATATGAGTGACGATCAATACCCCCGCAGAAGAGTTTTACACAAACAGATCATTGGATTATTTTGTTGCCATTTTGTGGTGCATCTCGCCTGGGAGGTGCAAGAAAACGGAAGGGCGGGCGCAAGATATACTGGTTGGTGGTTTGGAACATTTTTTATTTTTCCATATGTTGGGAATATTTGGGAACAATAATCCCAACTGACTTTCATATTTTTCAGAGGGGTTGGAACCACCAGTATATTAGTATATGTGTTTTTCTTCAAGTAGGATGTGTGGTATTGAACGGGTTTAGCAGAGCATCGATTCAATTTCTTGGAAACCAGGTCCTGGACAAGCATCGATTAAATTTGCCAGCGGCGCTGGTCTGAACCACGCGTTATACATAAAGACGTTAAACCACATGGATGAATTGGTTCCCGTATGGTGTCCTTCAGCAGAACTGGGGCCCCGCGGGAATCAAATTTCAAGAGCTATGGTAGAACGAGAGTGTAGTTCACATAGAAGGTTTGATTGCCAAACGGTCCCCCCTAAGCCAAAAAATGCCAGAAAGGAACCCCACGGGGAATCATATTATGATTAGCAACAACAATTGGTGGTGTAAACCCAAGGGAAAGGTCTGGTTGGGTTCAACGGGGCCTGGAAATGGGATGAGAAAATGGGTGAGAACAAAAATGATGCCACGGGTGAACCAAGTGCCAACTCAGAATCATACTTCCCCGGAAAAGAGAAACCCAAAGTTCCTGGTAATGGTTCCTCCTGTGCTGATTTTCCAGGATTTTCAGGATTTGAACCCATTGATCTTGGTGGAACTGGGGGGTGCGGATGGCTGGCACATTGGCTTTCTGCCCTTTCAACCTTGGAATCGGTTTGGCGCGCTTCGCAATTTGATACCCTCTTGAACTCTTCTCGACATGACACTCAGGAAACTCTTGGCAGTCCTCTTGTCATCTCGACATCAGTTCGACTCAAGATTGGGTTCTTTTATCACCATGGCAATGGCGTCTCATGCAACTCAACGAAGAGATCTCTCTCCATGGTTGGCAGACACACAATAAGAAGACCACAGCGATGATTTAAAAGAACGTGGGGAAATGACTAGCAACAACAATTGGTGTAACTTGGCGGAAAATTTAGCTCAACTTCCAATCTTTTGCCTTTAATTGAGGATGTGAATATCACTGGGTGAACGATGGTGAAAGCATGGAGTGCATCCAAAATTCTGACCATGTCTGGGGAATTCCGAGTTCTCTACGATTACTAAGAAAAAACGGCCAAAGGAACAAAGAACATACAAAGAACTAAACGCATGAATAGACGAAGTGATAAGTGATAACGGGATAAGTAAATAAACATGCAATATATTATATATATAATGTTTACATAAGCTTGCACATAATTACGAAAAATGTACGTAAGTATGGAAGTACATATGTATAATATAAACAACAATGTTTTGAGAAAACGCGCAGTACCAACTGAACATGTTTCATTCATCACGTTCAGCAGCCGGCGCACAGCAACTAGCAACCTGGAGGGTCAATCACCCATTTTGGTGTTTGTTAACCATGGGTAGTCCCATTAGTGTTGGTGAACCCACTTAACCCCTTTTGTCAAATTGTGTAGTCAAAATTTCAGAACCCATGATAACCACCTATACCATATGAACTGCGGTACCATGGCTGCACGGATGCGCCCCCTAACAGCTGCAACGGCTGAAATGGGCAAAATTGATTCTAGTTCTATAGTTGTAACATGTCGTAAGCCGAATTATGTTGGGATGAACATGGGTAAACACTTGTATGGGCCCAGGATTGTCAAACTATCAAGAATAGATCAAGAATAGATAAAAAAAATCTCATTCTCTCCTTAGAGTTGCATGCCTGGGCTGCATATTTTTGTTGGTTAAACTATTTCCTGTTTGGTGGTTTGGAGCTTTTTTTATTTTTCCATATACTGGGAATAAACATCCCAACTGTCTAATATTTTTCAGAGGGGTAGCTCAACCACCAACCAGAAATGTATTTTTTTTGCTGACGACATCACCTTTTTTTGGGCCCTTTTGTGGATTCCATCAGTCTCCCCAGGTGTTTTTGAAGGATACCCTGGATGCGGCTCAGAACGATGCTGAGAATCTGGTGGTGGAAAGGCTGCGGAAGAAGGACACGGGATATGATGGAACTGGGGAGAGCTATGGAACCATTTTTTAAATCATTAGTCGTTGAAGTAATTAATGATCATTGCTGTATATTGTTGGTTGTCAGCTGTTATTAACGCATGATACCGAATTCAGTTTATTAACCATTATCCACTAGTTACTGGTATTAGCCATTAGTTGAGTCTTGCGAAAATTGTTCACAATCAAGTGGTTTTTAGTACAATATAACTGTAGCATACTGTAGTACATTCGAACTTTGCAAGAAGTAATGTTTACGGAGAATGCAATCATAATCAATAATCATGTTTTCATAAATCTTGACGTCACAACAACACATTTTCATGCTGCATGATATTTCGACTACAGATATTGCAAAAAATGTGACAACCATGACAATGATGTCGAAATCCTTCAGCATTCTTTTGAACCGTATTACTTCAAATATGGCCATAGTCATGTTTTTGTTTTTTGTTGAGTGTATCATTGAATCGAACACGTAAGTTTTGCCTGGTTGTGTTATTCAAAAAGGACAGTGACTGGACGGTCAGAGAAAACAAAACAAAATACCACGTGTTGTACACATACCCACAGTGTGGCAAGTGGTAAGTCAAGATGATTGCAGTGGACAAATCCCCCGTGAAGGAATTAGATAATTAAATATAATTGGACTAATTTTAGGCTACCCTTTTTTTATTTAACATAGCCATGGAAAATGGCCCATTTATAGATAATTTTCCCATTAAAATCTCCATTTATAAGGGATTTTTCATGGCTATGTTAAATAACCAGATGGTATATTTTCTGATTATTCTGATCGTAGTAGAGTGGCATTTTCAGGGACTTTCAGCCATGTCTGACTGCCAGAGCAGAGGGCAGTTGCACCCATCTTTTTTGGTGGTGCCCCATAGAGCTCTAAGTTGGTTTATAACTATAGGTTAACTAATGATTTATGGTAGATATGAATGGAACTAGTTCATGGAAGTTAATGGGGTCTATGAACCAAGAAATGGTTAAACATTTCACTTGCAGGGCACCATCTAGTGCAACCCCAGATATCTGGGGGCACCAGGCACTTGGGACACATCTGGACGGGCCACCGGCCACCAAGAGAGTTGAAATCCCAACTCATCAAGTCATCACATTTTTATGGCTGGTATAAAACCATCACATTATATATAGCTGGTTTAGATTGCTTTACCATAAAATGTTACATAATATATATATATGATTGCATATACATGGCTTTCCCATAGATGTATATATATATATATATATGCATTGAAGAATATACATACATACTTTTTTTTTGGTTCCAGATTTGGCATCTGCAGCGCCAGGACGAGTATGTGGCCAGATTGGAAGCAGAATCTCGACGATTTTTTTTTCGGCGCAGGGTGCTAGAGAAGCCCCAGGAAATCGGTACCATCTGGTTATTTAACATAGCCATGGAAAATGGCCCATTTATAGATAACCAAAACCTATGGTAAACTAACAAAACTGTGGAAAATCACCATTTTTAAGTTCGGTAAACCATCTATTTCTATGGGCCATCAACAAACCATGGCAAACTGTTAGTCATAACCAGGCCGGGTAGCCCCAAATCATCCAAGCCATGAACGGCCATGACTTGGACACAACGCGACTTGGGGATCATTGGGGATTTCTCATTTGGAAAAGACCTGATGATCAATCCTGACAGGCAACAACTGGTCAACGGGAATTCCAGGATCCTGAAATGGAGGTATGTTTGGCCATATTTTGGGGGTATATCCCCTTACTTAGGCCTTACATAGGCCTTATATATGGTACGTACCTCCAATTTAGGTTCCTGAAATGGCCATTGAACTGGGCGCAAGGAATTGCATAAATTCACATTGTAGATGCACATGAAGTTATCTACATGCATGTACGTTTAGACATTTCTGCCAGGCGCCATCAAACCAATATTAATGGTTGCAAAAAAATCAGCAGGGAGCCACTTTTGTGAATCATACATTTTTTGGTTTTGAAATATGCCATTGGTTTCTGAGATATGCAGCACTGGTTGGTGATTTCAAACATTTTTTTGATGACTTTCCATATCTTGGGAATGTCATCATCCCAACTGACTCCATCATATTTTTCAGAGGGATTTTTTCAGCAACCACCGACCAGAACATGTGCACCCCAAACTGGGCAAGTTTGTGAATCCAACATGGTCATCCAAAAACTTCGATGGCCGCAGAGCAGACTGATGAGAACATCGAAACATATCGAAACCGGAAATCCGTAGAGAAGCCGAAAAAAATGAATGACGGTAAAACCCATGGTTTCAACCGGAGATGTTCCCTTAAACCGACCCATTGAGAATTTGTTCCCCAGTATACATATCCCCATGATGGTCTCATGACATATCCTCATGAACTGCAACTACAGTAGGTGGTGAAAGGCGTGCCTGTTGCATAAAAATCCTTTATTGAGCTTTTTTGGACGATTTTCCAAAAGTAGTGCAGCCGGAGTTCCATTGTGAACTAACAAAAACATGCCCATTGAAATCTTGCAAAAGTGGTCTTGAAAGCCGAAGTTCCATGCGGAATTACATGGGTAGGCGTACCAAGGCGCACCTTTCAGGTGCACCTACGGAGTTCCATGCGGAAAGCATTGGACCTCACTAGGCGTGCCTTTCGCCTTATACAGCTCTTTCACTGTAGTTCTTAGCATGCTAAATCATGCTAAATCATGCTAAATCATGCGAAAAATTCCTCATTCTCCCTAGGCCCGGGGCCCGCCTTCACCGGGGCCCGCCTTCACCGGGCCACTTCACGCCGAGGTCTTCAGTGCGATCGACAAAGAGGGTGATGGAATGATCACTGAAGAAAGGTGGGATTTATGGCGATTGGCCCAGCTCGAAATAGATGGTTTACCGAACTGAAAATAGCATGGTGGATCTTTCTATGGCGAACTGTAACACATAACCAGATTCGTGATTTATGAGGATTTTATGGCTGGTTGGTTATAACATATCCATTATGGTGATTGGAGGGGCATAATATATTGGTAATCACGTAAAACTGGTTGAGGTTTGGAACCATGGAATTTTATGATTTTCCATATATTGAGAACAATAATCCCAAGTGACTTTCACTCCATGATTTTTCAGAGGGGCAGAAACCAACCACCAACCAGATATGTTTTATTTTGTTTGGGTATGTTTTTGGTGACCAACGATGGGTTTTTGATAGTTCAACCAGCGTCTAGCCACAAAAAAGTTTGATTTCGAAGATTCCATCAATTCCATCCAATGGATTGGTTTTGGGCAACTGGAGAGGAAACCATTGATATTACTATTACTGTAATTACTATATAATATATGATATATGTATAACCATTAATATATGTAACCATTGGTATAATACATTACTGGTAATAAAAAAAGTAACCGTTGATGTTACTATTAAACATCGGCTTGTTCGGTGTCAATTGTACCATGACAAATTTATCAAACACTGGCATCCTGCTGCACTGTCAGGAAGTAACCCAGGATGATCCTCTATACTGTTCGTCGTTGATTTTGAGCGATTCAGGGTCCATATGTTTCCCCCATTTTGGATGGTTTGACATCACATGAACGTGGCTGCAAGCGTTGGAAGAAGGTGGTCAACCTCTCCAAAAGTTCCTGTTTATAGACGACGTTGAAGCCCTGCGATTGTCCCATTGAACCTGGCAGATCTACCAGGCTGACGAATATTTTGTCGCATCCCAAAGTTGAAGCCTACTTCCAGACCTTGGATATCGACGTGCCCTGGTTGGTGCAGCCACTTACTACGAGAAAAAGATGTTACAAGTGGGGTTGAAACGGTATGAAGTTGCTTCAGTTTAGGTTGGTTGTAAAGTTGCTTGTAAGCCCAGTTCATTCAGTAGGGTAACTAGGGTTATTCCAAGTATAGCTGCCGTTATAAGCCACTTAGGGCCGTAGGGTTACCCGTTAGCCGATGAAGAATCCATCAGGAAGCGGCCCCCCAAACCTTGGCGAAGTTGGTTGAAATAACTAGGTTAAGTATGGTTTAGTGAGATTGTGGTCAAGTTGTCAAACTTTCGCCAGATGGGGTTGTAAATTCTAAACTAACTAAAACGGAAGGGCCCGATTGCAAGTTTGGTGGTTGCGAAGGCAGAATTCAAGGTGTGCTGATTGTTTGTTTGGCCAGTTGATGTTTGATTGGGCAAATTCACCGAAGATGATATCAAAAACATTTCAGCGTGCATATGAAGGAAAGAAATGACGTTTGACAATTTGGAAGCTCTCCAAAATATTACGTTGGATATTGGGATTGATGGGCATGGAACCAGGGCAGTCATGGAGGGTCATTCAGCTTCATCTCTTTCAAGCTTGTGGCTTGAACAGTTCCTTTGAATGACATGGAGGGACATCGTTTTTTTTTTCAGTTTCTTGTGTTTGTTTTGTTGTTTCGGGATCGGGTTGTGTTCTTTATTTGGTTGCGATTCAACCTAATCTTGGGCATTGTTGGTTTTCTGTTTGGGAGGCGGCCCTATTGAGAATCGTCATAGATAAACGCATGGCTTGGAATGAACGTGGACAAAGAAATCATGATTTTGAATGAGGCAATAGAATGGAAGCGACAAAAATGAAAGAGTATGCGTGCTCATCCGCTTCAAGCATGAATATTTGACTATCAACATCAAGACGGTAGCTCCATTCCCTGCAACATAGCTGGTTTCTGGTTTCAAAGATTTTAGATGCTCATCCCTTTATTGAATGATCAGCCCTATTGACTAAGAGTTTTCAGGGAGTTAAAACCGCCAATCAGATACATGACCCACATACAGACATCTTCTCCATGACTTCTCGAATGTGTTTTTCGCGCTGTTTCGGGACTGTTTCACAGCCTTAGCAGACCGACTAGTGACTAAGCTTTGGTGACATCAAGAAGAAACAGTAGCCACGCCCTCATACCTTGTGGAACCGCTATATGATTGTACTGCTTGGGACGGCCAAGCATGATGAGCAATACTTCAACTTAGATGATCATGTGATGCGTATCAACATGTTTTGATTGTTAAATATATATAGTAAGATATGTTTTAACATAGATGATCATGTGATGCGGATTAACATGATTCGATAGTTAGAGTAAGATATGTGTTGAAAAAGATTGCTCATTAGGCGGTTGTGAAAGCAGAACACATATCCCTCATGTTTTGATAGATAGATAGATAGATAGATAGATAGATAGATATATCATATATCTATCCATATAATCGGGTTACAGTTTCCATGTTTTCATATGGGAATTGTTTTGGTCTGACGTAGATCATGTTTTGCTGAGCAATATGTCATGTTTTGTATGTTAAGATAACTGAACGTCTTGTAAATTCTTGGGCAAGCGATGGTGTCAGCGCGTCGTGTTAGTATAGTAGTGTTGGTAGTGTAAGTAGTGTTAGTCGTGTTAGTAGTGTTGGTAGTGTCAGTAGTGTTCGTAGTGTTGGTAGCGTCAGTAGTGCTAGTAACTGCTAGTAGTGTTAGTAGTGTCAGTAGGGTTAGTAGTGTTAGTTGTGGTGGTTGTGGTGGTAGTGGTAATAGTAGTAGTAGTAGTAGTAGTAGTAGTAGTAGTAGCAGTAGCAGTAGCAGTAGCAGTAGGAGTAGGAGTAGTAGTAGTAGTAGTAGTTGTTGTTGTTGTTGTTGTTGTTAATGCAGCTGTGCACTGGGAGTGGCAGTGGTAGTGCTAGGGGGAGTAGGAGCAGGAGTATAGTAGGAGTAGGTGTAGGTGTAGGAGCAGGAGTAGGAGTAGCAGCAGATCTCGTAGAACTAGTGGAACTCATTCCACTACTGCAGCTAGAAGAACTAGCAGAACTTGTAGAAGGAACGCAAAGATTGCAAATAATGCCTTAAGTGTTGACATCTAAGGTGCAAGAAAGTGCAAACCTTTTCCACATTATCGATAATGGAGATGGCGAGGCTGGGCCCCCATGTCCAACTTGCATGATCATCATGGTATGTTGGTGGTGTTGTTCCGTGGACTGGTTCACATGACCATGCACATGCGGATTCTGGACTAATTGTTCTTGTGTTGTGGGCCGCAGTGCCGACCGAACGATTCGTTGCGCCGGCGCAGGTTACTCTAGATGAGTTTATAGATGGCATCATGCGCTGCAAGGGCCAGGCCCTGTAGGGAGCTTGCGTGTGAGGTGTCCAGGTCATAGTTCAAGGCGATGCTTCTGAAACATGTTCAAGGCGATGCTTCTGAAACATGTTTTTGTTAAACCGGATCTTCACGCCAAGGATGAGACAACTGCGCATTTTGGTTGGTTCGGGGGTTGAGGGGGATTATGTAGGACCAGGCAACCACCTTCCAAAACACATACTCATTGTTCACTTGAATTTGGTCGCGTTTGGTTTCGCGGTGTTGTGTTGCCATTTTTGCCATGGCTGTCTCTCATTCTCTTTCTCTTCCTCTCGTGTGAAATTGGCCGTTTTTATGGGCATCTTTGATTAGCCACTGGTAGGCGAACATTTTGGAATGCATCTTCTTCCTTTCGTCCTCGCCAGCAACGGCCGTTGCAATAAACAGAATTAGATGAATGAATAAAACGTTTTTGGAAAACCGAAAGCCAAATTTTTGAGAAAACCCTTGATTTGGGGGGCTGGGCCGTTGGCTCGCCTTCAGTATGTGACTGAATCGTTGGAGAGGGCGATATGGGGAGAGAGAGAGAGAGGAGAGAGAGAGAGAGAGAGAGAGCAGAGAGAGAGGAGAGAGAGAGAGAGCAGAGAGAGAGGAGAGAGAGAGAGAGAGAAAAATAAAAAATAAAAAAACAAAAGCACAACAAAATAAAGCAAACATAACACAAATTCAGAATTTTCAGATGGGGAATTGATATCACCCATTTTGTGTCAAGAGGCGCGCGCGGTGGATCAAGTGGCGATGCGCTTCGAAGTTGCCAAGTTGGACACCAAAATCACGGAACTCATCGTGGCACGGGGGCGTTGGCGGATTGGGATCTCCCGACATGTTGGGAATTGACGGTTGGATGTGCTTGGTACCCTCTGGTTATGGCTGACATAGCCATGGGAAATGTCCCATGTATAGATGCTTTACCTATTAAAAATGGAGATTTTCCATGGCGAACTGTTAAATAACCAAAGGGTATATTATTTTTCCAATTCTTCGGGGGTAACGTCCCCTTCATGGAGGTATTGCCCGATTGCATCCGATGGCCCATATTCATTTAATCATTTAGTTGTTCTGAAAAGTGTAATGTGGTTAAAACATGCTAAAACAATAATAAACAACCCATTTGGGAATGGTTTATAATTACCACCAGATATTTATGGTGAAATTGGGGTTGGTTTACTTACTGTCTATTATTGTTTTACCAACATTACACATAATACACATTTGTGGTTGTTACGGGGCCCGTTCTTGCAACCATCACGAATCTCGCCAGCAATTTCCATGCGAATTGACCACAACAAATACCTTTCCCTTCAACTGGTAAATCACTTGAACATGGGCGACTATTGATTGCCATAGTTGATTGCAACAGCTTTAGCCTTGACGGTTGGTGGGTTGAAGATAGAGTCAATATCCGCTGTGGTGAAAGTTGCCTATTTGGTGCTTCATATTCTAAAGAGGGAATTCGCGCATATATTTGGGTGCATGACTGATTTGGTATGTTAGTGCAAAATGAGTCTGGTTCTGGAGGGACCAAAGGGACCTACGCAAAGGTGACATTTAAAGTGAATTATCTGGTACCTGTTAATTATGGCAATTTCCTCTCTGCTTGTCATGGTGCGCCCACAAGTTCCTTTGAGCAATGACCTGAGGATCTGTCATATCCAGGGGTTGCCGCTCCGGGCCGCAGGCACTTCGTGTGGCGGGAGTGATCCCGTACTCCACCCCCAAAGGGGCACGGGGAGAATCATTCACGAAGGAGTGAGCTGGGGCTGTATGTGGTTGCAACCCAGGTTATGGTGGGGGCTGCCAAGGATGAAATGCCCATTGGTTAGAAGGAAAAATTGCAGGATATGGATGGAAAAGTTGATATTGTATGATCTTTTGGTGTTCAAAGTCATGATTTCCTGGAAGTGTCCCCTTCAACCAATCCATTGATGAACCAGACACCAGACTGTAGGCAAGCGGATGCTCTCATTCAATTCGTTGATACGAGTTCTAAGCCTTCTTTTCGTTAGCCACGGTCAAGGATGCCCACGGCACCCCAGGTAACGTATAGAGAGAGACCAGGATTTGATTCATGATCATCGTTGAGGAATCTATTGACCAGATGAACATTGCAAGACTCCAAGCAGCATGGACTCCGAGAATTCATGACTTCCAACCCCCAGCTCGCGGCAGGGTCGAACTGTTAGTTGAAGAAAAAACATCTATACAATTCTGGTTTTGCTGGGAAAAAAGTCGTCTTTCTTAACATTGGGGTACCCCAATTAACCATCCAACAAAAAGCCAAAGGTCTTCGTACTTCGGATTTCGGATTCCGCGGCCTCTCTCGGAAGAAAAACCTGGGTTGCCTTCCTGCACAGATCAGCCACAGTTCAGGCACCTGTTTGTTTCAAGCGATGCCGCGTGGAAGTGGTGCCCAAGTGGTGATGTTTACCTGTGATAGCCCAAGAAATATCAGGATTTTTCATGGGGATGTATAGTTGATGTGATACTAGTTGATTTATGATAGGTAATTAAGTTGATTTATCACTGTAGTTCACATACTGTGGTTACTATATAGCATCTATATAATTAGCAAACGACGGGGTAAGATAAACCAACAAAGGTAAAGATGGTGGACTGGTGGGCTCAGAAAACTGTTTACCATGATAGTAACCCTCAAAGATGCAGAAAAGTTTGAATTTACCACCAGAACAACATTATATAATATATATATATATAATTGAGATATGACTCATGACTCCAAGAATTCTAGAGATAGAAGGGAAAATTAATGAAAAATACCAGTATAACTGGGTAGGATTCAATTTTACTGCATCTCTTTTAAGGGCTTGATACCTCTTCAAACTCCGCCGCCGGATATCGCGGTAGGATATCGCGGCATCGCCACGCTTTTCGGCTGAGATGAAGATGCTCCAAGTTGTGATGATATGAATATGGGGGTCCCATAATGGGGGATCTCACAACGGTTGGTTTACAATGGAAAATCCTACTCAAATGGATGATTTAGGGGTACCCCCATATTAGGAAACCTACATATTCTGAGATGCTTTGGAGCTTTGATCTTTATACTTCCACTAAAAACTGGATCATCACGGGTGAATGACTTCAGTTTGGAATAATTCCGCGGAGTTTCTTGGAGCTTATAAAATCCCTTTCCCCTAGTACTAAACCCTAGAAACCATGGTTTAGTAGGGAATGTATACATATTGGTACCCCTCTATAGGGTGTGTAAAAAAACATCAGGGGATGGGAAGTGCACTGTGCTCCAAACTCCAATGGTTCATCATCATTTTGCCATGAATTTTGCGGCTAATAACCGGTAAATCATGATAAATCCACCATTCCGGAAGCATGTTGATCATGTTCACGACCATGGACTCCCGTTTTTTTTCATGACCAAAAATTGGGGGTTGATCCCTCATTGGACATGCATTTTTGTTGGGATGCCTTGGTGCTGAGTTATTTCCCTCTGTTGCAAGTAGACTAACTTCATTTGAAACACCCCCAGAAAATGTAAATCCATGCAAAACTACGCACGTTTAATGGATCAAGTACGGAATATATCAACCTGCTAAAATCGTGGTAGATTTCTAATTCGACTAATTCCCATTTTTTTTGGGGGGGTTGCTATATCTCATTCATAGCTCACCTTGGTGATTCCACCTGCTGGGTCCCTGGAACTGGAGCACCGCTTCATCTCAGAGTTTTTCAGAGCTTCCGCCCGCGCGAGGGTGGATTCATCCGCGGAGATGTCAAATTTTGTGGGTTATTGCTGGATATATGCGCGTTCATTTGAGATATATTTGTGTTTTTATCTATCGTGATGTGATCTGATCTAATCCTCAATGTGCAGAAGTGCACTAACCAATCCTGTCAAACCGATCCTGTCCATCCAAGCGTCAAAATTGTCGCGACCTGTTGATTGATCAATCCCACCAGTCAACCCAACCGCGACCAGTGTGAGTTCATCAATCCTGGCGATTTTTCATGGCAACAGCCAGCTTGGCATGCGGTTGTAACGGGGTGCTGAAGGGAAACATTCCTCGCTGTTTTTGCGAGTTTGAGGCTCTTCCAACATCGGGGTTCGTATGGGTTTGCCCCAGCATGTAATGATTTTTGTACAATTTTTGATCGTTATTTTCCAGAACATGGTAGCACCAGTTCTCACCTTGCTTTTTCACTTGCGGGGGCTTTAGCCAATTCTAAGTGAGATGATCCTTCAAGTACTGATATAATTAGCCAACTCCCACTCAAGAGCAGCCGATAGCCAATCTTTTGTTTATGGGCTTCTCAACTGCTTCTCAACTGGAGCCTCAGCAATCGGCCTTACGGAAGCACGGTAAGGTTGATGAAAAAGGATTTGAAAACGCGGATGATTTTGCAGATATAACATAACTGATTGTAACATGAAACTAAAGAAGGAGTGACATGAATATTATCGGCAGTGGCAGTAAGCTTTTGAACAAAGATCACATGTCAGCTTCAAGTATCCTTGGCAGTTGCTGGCCATATCCCGCAAAATTACTGGACAAGTCCATTTAAATCATTTAAGCACTTCCTGTCACGGGCCCAGCGCTTCCATTGGAATGTTCCCCATTTCATTTGGCACCGGAAACACTGTGAAGGCAGCAGCAAAAAGGCATAGTGAGTGAAAATGCGGACTGATCGTATATATATATAGATGCTGTTTGGTGGTTTGGAACATTTTTTATTTTCCCATTTATTGGGAATGTCGTACTCCCAACTGGTCCGAACTCCATGATTTTTCAGAAAGTTAGGTCAACCACCAGCCGTTGGATGAAACTTCGTGACCCCCAGGTCTTTTGATCCCCAGGTGCCAGGTAGAGATCTTGGGATGTCACTTTGCTATGGGAAGCTTATAGGATCATGGAGCTAAAAATGGAAGACGCGCGCACACACACACATATATATATACCCTCTGGTAAACATACAAAAAGCTAGCCATAGAAATAGTGAGTTTTCCCTAAAAAAAAATGGTGATGTTCAAAAGCTATGTTAGTCATTACCAGAGGCTATATATCATTAATATCCCATTGAATCACTATAAGATCCCATTAAATCACTATAAATCCCATTAAATCACATATTTGGTTCACATATTTTCCATCGCTTGCGCTGTGAAAAATTCTCAGATCTTCTCTGTAGCGGTAGCACCAGCCATCGCCAGCCCATGATGAAGCTCCACGACCCGGTCCCGGGCTATGCCAACGATCTCCACGAGAGTATGGGTGGCTCTGGGCTGTGGACGACCGAGGACTTGGCGCAGAGCGAAGAAGGGACTCTTCAAAGCTGGGAAAAAAGTTTTCGATAAAAACATATACCCTCTGGTAAACTAACATAGCTATGGAAAATCACCATTTTTCATGGGAAAATCCACTATAAAGGGCCATTTTCAATAGCTATGTTAAATTACCAGAGGGTAAACATTTTAAAAATATATATTATATCATATTATATCATTATGATATCATCTATATCCGAGGCTTTCTAGTATGCTATTTTTCGTAGTGGAATAGTGGAATGGGATTTTTGATGGTTCTTGAATATCTCTTGCGCTACGTATATACTCGGTTGTGTAAGGGATCATCCCAGCGCATATTGATGAAGCCCCAGGGGTCCCATTTAAGGATGAGAAGATCACTATTTGAAGGGTAGCCTCACCCGGATCCCAGATATTTTTGTTCCGTCAAGTCATCGCATTTCGCCACCCGAATTTCGCCACCACAGTTGGGCCACATGTCCATCCAGGCGACATTGAAATCTGCCCCAAAATCTCGCGGTTGATCGGGTTGATCATGATGTTTTCCTAAGAACAATGCATTAAAAAAAACGATATCCACCGTGTTCATCCATTTCCAGATAAACATAAATAAATCCAAATGATGCTTTGAAGAGGGATCATCCCATTTCTCAGATAGATCCATAGATAATTCCCGAGGATGATGATCCTTCGTTTCGGCTCAGAAAATTTCGGGATGACTTGCTGGACATTCTCACAGATGTGGGGCAAAGGCCACTCTCTAGACTCAACATGTCTTATGTCTATATGCAAATATATGCGTATCTATTTGCAAATTCCATGACATGTGTTATAGTCTGATGGAGCGATGAAGTATCATATGAGCAACCGTAAAAACCCCGGCAATACTAAATATGTATTCGACGGACATTGGTTTATGGAAATTGATGGAAATTGTTAAAAACACGAGGTAAGCGATGGGACCGGGACCTATGAGTGTGCCATGTGATATGCGTGTTGGTCCACATACGTAGGTGCATGTGTGTACATATGCATATATACAATATATTTACATTTGTATAGGGACGAAATGGGATCATCGCAATTTGACGACCACTTCATCAGCACAATGGTTATCATCAACCGTAACAACACCCTTATCCGCAAAGTAATAACCACCAGTATCACTATTCTATACATATATATATATGCATTTATACGTTCATCACCACCATGATTGGCCTCCAGTCATCATCATCATCATCATCACCATCGTCATCGCCATCGTCATCATCATCATCATCATCATCATCATCATCGCCATCATCGCTATTGTAACCATTATCGTCATTATCATCGCCATCATAATTATCATCGTCATCATAATCACAATTTAATACGGGCAATAAAAATGAGAACAATGACAACAAGAACAATGATAGCAATATCTATGCATATGTATATTGTTATATCTATATCTTAATATCTATATTGTTTAATGCATACTAGGCGTAACAATCACAATCACGACACATGGCTGTGCCACCGTGACCCAGCTGGCGCCTTCCGGTTGAATCTTGCCGCCGCAGCCGCTCAAATATCGGGGATGAGGAAAGCAGCGTTGCATCCATTGCATTCAGAAAACTCGAGAGAGATATGAATACCAACACTGGTGTAGACAGTGATTAAGGAATTTTCAACTGTCTCATGAACAATTACCTATCATTCCTTAATCAACATTTCTCCTTCGTCAAAGGACAACAATCAATATTAATCAAAATTCTTAACTGTGAAGGACATTTTCACTTTTCCAAAGGGAATCACTTGCGCCGACAGTCCAAGCGAGTCCCGCGCAGTTCCTGTTCCACATTGATATTGGGGATTGGTCTCCCTATGGTATGAACGTCAACTATGACTAAAACTAAATATGGCCAATAATAATAATATATCTATATCTATCTATCTTATCTATCTATTTAATCTAATTTAATCTAATTTAATCTAAATCTAATCTAACCCTATCCTATCTATCTATTCTATTCTATTCTGTTCTGTTCTATTCCTATTCATTCTTATTCTTATTATTCTTATTCTTATTCTTTTTCGTATTTCTATTCTTATTCTATTCTTATTCTTATTCTTATTATTCTTATTCTTATTCTGTTTCTTATTTCTATTCTTATTCTATTCTATTCTATTCTATTCTTTGCTATGCTATGCTATTCTATTCTATTCTATCTATCTAATGTATCTAATCTATCTAATCTTTTTAATCTATCTAATCTATCTAATCTATCTAGTATATCTAGTCTATCTAGTCTATCTAGTATATCTAATCCGGGCGCCGGCCACGGAGCACGTGTCCTTGCCGGAGGGCTTATAGGCGCTGCCGGCCCTGCCGCCGACCCATCCCCAGTTCACCCCGTGTCGACTTCTATCTAATCTATCCTATCCTTTCCTATCCTATCTTATCCTATCCCATCCTATCTTATCCTATTTATCCTATCTATCCTCTCCATCCTCTCCATCCTGTCCATCCTCTCCATCCTATCTATCCTATCTATCCTATCCTATCCTATCCTATCCTGTCCTATTCTATCTGTCCTATCCTATCCATCCTATCCATCCTATCCCTCCTATCTATCCTATCTTTCCTATCGATCCTATCCGTCCTATCGCTCCTATCTATCCTATCTATCCTATCTATCCTTTCAATCCTATCTATCCTATCTATCCTATCTATCCTGTCTATCCTATCTTTCCTTTCTTTCCTGTCTATCCTATCTATCCCATCTATCCTGTCTATCCTGTCTACCCTATCTATCCTATGTATCCTATCTATTTATTCTATCTATTCTCTCGGTCGACCGATCGATCTATCTATCGATCTATCTATCGATCTATCTATCGATCTATCTATCGATCTATCTATCGATCTATCTATCGATCTATCTATCTTATCTTATTTTATCTTGTTTTATCTTATCTATCTATCTATCTATCTAACTATCTATCTATCTATCTGTCTGTCTGTCTGTCTATCTATCTATCTATCTATCTAACATCTTGACAGAAACCTGACTCCACTATCTTGGGCTCAGAAGCCCGAAACAAGGTGACCACTGTGATCCACGTGGCCACTCGGCCATAGCCGCCATAGCCATCGCGGTGGGGTGCCCGTGATGCCATGAAGGCAGGATCTTCTGCAGTGCTACAGGGGTTGAAAAAACGAGCGGACCTCAATGGAGAGAACCTCGGCAGCCAGGGCTGTGGGAGGGAACTCTGCTAGGAAGGGTAGGTTCATGGAATACTGTGTGGATATAATATGTTGCTATGTATACTTTTTATTATGTATATACAGTTTTTTACATGTATAAATATGCAGGTGTACAGGTGTATATGCTTGTATATACATGTATGTACGTCGCATCCGTTACAACAAATCAGAATATATTATTGAAGATGCATTCCATTTTATTTAATTATGAACGACTGGGTTGTGTGCCGTTTTTTTCTTGGCAGGGAACTTGTACAATTTGTGACATCCTATCACGATTTGGAATTTGTGATCCAGAAAGCACCAGAAGTCGTGACTACCCCAAGCCACCAATCAACCGATGGTTTGCAGGCAGAAATCCTTCAGAATCAAGGTGTCCGTGTCATTCAAAACATTGAGGTAAAATCTTCAAGCAATTGACATTTCAGGCAGAGGTAGCCTAAACTGGAATTATGCCATAGAGTTTGAGATATCAGCGGTGACTACATCCCGATTCCCCGAATGTTCACCCCCGAGAAACCATGGTGGACGTCGGGGTTTTACAGATATTTAGACGGTGTTCAATATTACCCCCTGGTAAACTAACAAGAAACTATTGAACATATTTGAAAATGGTCCATTGATGTAGTTGATTCACCTATATTCACCTACTAAAAGTCGTGTTTTTCCATAGGTCAGTTTACCAACGGCCTCGCCTCCTGAGGATCGTGGTTCTCAAGGAGTGGTTGCAGCAGAAGGATCGCAGCCCGGCCATGTTGAAAAAACCCACCGAAGTTTAGAAAAAATCGATATGTTTGGCAGCCAAAAGGTGGATTTCCCATGATGTTGCCATCAGAAACACGGAGAAATCATGACAAATCACCTTTCGGAGCCCAGCTGGTGATTTGAACGGAAAGTCATGGTATTTTAACAGCTCAATCACCAGAAAATCATGATGTTCAATAGCTAATATATAGCTACGTGAAATACCCGTACTCCACTGGCTGGCCCTGCCCCTTGTCGATGGTCAACATGAATCATCCGGCGAACTGAGGTTGGCTCTGCCAATTGCCCGAAAGCATCTCATCTTTCGCTGGGAAAACGGTGGAGGGTACCCATGTCAAATGAGGGATGACCAGAGCCTATTCAAAGATGGTAGTTGGGGAACTTAGATTGTCTGGAAATAGGGTATCATGTATCCCGCAATCCCCAAATTTGAGGTGTTTAATTGTTTAATCATCATCTCTCTTGTTAAACCTTGCAGTTTTTGGGTATATCACAGCATTTTCAGATAAACCCAAATGGACCAGATAGGCGGGAGAAGTAGTAAAAGATATGCCATGCAGCCAGAAACAACGCGGTGAATTTCTCAAATGACCTTTTTTCAGGTTAGTGAATCACTGTAAGTCATGTTTCTGCATTTAACATGTCACAGCCTCTGTATCAAGAAAAATGCTGCTGTCGTGTTGTTTCAGTGGTGGATCATAGCTCAATGCAGTGGGCAGCACCTATCACGATACAACTTGAGGAGCGTTTTCTTCTTGCAAATGGGAATTTCATGGAATTTCTTACTTCAAAACCTGAGGGCAAAAAGAGGAATGTCCCTCCCTTCTGAACCAAGATTCGAAATATCTAAGTGGTGCACCGGATGCATCTCCACCTTAGATTGGCTTAGTTGTAGTATGTTGTAGTGCTTTGCCAGTCATCACCCTGATTCAGAATTTAATTTCTTTCAATGAATTAGGAGCGCTCAGAAGTGAACATTTTAGGCTTTCAACTCTTGAGAGAATCGAAAATCACCATTTCCAACTGCCAGAGTGGATGGGAACACCTGCTGGACCCCCAAAACTCTACTGCAGTTCCGCTAAGACCGTTATACAACCATATATGCCATAGGTATAGCGTATACGGGTTATGTCCCAACCGGTGATGGTTGAATTCCCTTGGTTATATATATCCACTAATTGCCCCGAGTATGGTCAGATTTCCCGAGCCGTGGGGCCCCCACTTTTCCCTACTTCAGTCGCTATTTCCCTAGTAATTTCTGGATCCCTCCCGTATTTCCAAGGTGATGCTGGACCAGCAGAGATCAACGTGAAAGTGGAGAATCTGCAGCCCATCAAAAAGGCAAAGAGGCCAAGTACCTTGAGCTTCTTGGCGTGTTCGAATGGCGGGACGAATCGGACATCCCTGACGGAAGTGGTGATTTAACCCACAAAACTGGGGATTTATGATGATTTATAGCTTCTTTGTATCTGATTTACATATGATTTGTGATGATTTATAGCATTTCTATGGCATTCATAGCTGATTTATGATGGCTTGTGACTCATGATGGTTACCCTTCGGTGTTCCCAACTCTTGATGGTTACCCTCTGGTTATGACTAACATAGCCATGGAAAATGATGGCCCATAGAAATAGATGTTTTTCCAAGCTAGAAACCTCCATTTATTTCAGGGATTTTCCATGGCTATGTTAAATAACCAGATGGTAGATATAACTATACTTAATGGGGTTTATAGATGTTTTTTTGGTGATTTACCTATTAAAAATGGTGATTCTCCATAGCTACGCTAAATAACCAGAGGGTAAACCATGATAAACCCATACTTTATCTTCTGACATTCCATTGGTTACATCCGATGTTAAGTCCCGAAGTCGATGTTGCGGGAGATGGATTTTCTGATGGTAAATCCTCATAGTTCTTTCCCGGATGTTCTCATTTTATCCAGTATCACATCAAATCCCAATTCAATCCCAACAAAAATCCAAATTGAATCCCGAAAAAAATAATTAAATCCCAAACAACATCCAAATGAGCCGTATTGTGTGTACATCCCATGAAGTTTCATTAAGAACCCCAGTTCAATCCCCAGTTCTACCAGCTCGTGATGACCCCTATTTCTTGGCAGGTGATGCGCGCCCAGCCAAGCAGGCGAACAGTGTAGCGGCGCCCAAGGAAAACATGCGCCGCTTGGAGCACGGAGACATGGTGATTTTTATGGTGATTTTTATGGTGATTTTTATGGGATTTAATGGGAGTTATTGGGATTTAATGGTGATTTTAATGGGATTTAATGGGATTTAATGGGATTTAATGAAACTGTCTGACAATTTACCCTCTGGGAATTGGTGGTTTCCAAACTCATTCTATAATGTTTAGTAAGTGTGGGTAAAACAATGTCATAAACCACCCATTTGGGAATGGTTTACACGGCCTATTAATGATGATCTGGGGGATGGTTTACTGTTGTTTTCCCATTATTAATGGTGAATAATGGTTATATAAATACATATAATGATTGTTAATGTTTTTTTTTTAATGATATATAGATATATAGAACTATATGAAGTTATCATCATGATTGTTAATAATTAATTGGATCAAAACCGATGAAGTTATCACATGACTGGGGAAATGATCATCCATAAACCATCTATGATGGATGGGTCCCATCTGAGTACCACTGTTTTGATCTGGCAACACGACTGGGTCCCTAGTGTTAAGCATCAGGCATGGAGATGGAACTCTATAAAAATACAGTATATTATCACATCCATGTAAATAAATAAACACACATACACACACACATATATATATGTATATAATGTATTTATGTACCAAATCATTTATGGATTCATAGTCCTATATTTATGAATTTCTTGGAAAGTCAGGGTTTTTAAGACATGAACACATGGTCAAACCAAACAAAGGGGGGTTGCAGGCGGTTTCAAGCCACTTTCCTGGGATGAAGCACCAAGAAAAAACGACCATATAAAGCCCTCCTGTTTTGTCCGTCATTTGGTGCTGCAGAGCGGTTGGACCATGATCATTTATTTGAGGATAGAAATATAAAATAATATAAAGGTTTGACACCATCAACCTGGTTTGGGGATATCTTATATCTGTAGTATTTATATAAATACAGAGGACTTATAAACTACAGATTTGAAGTTTGAAGCCTAAGTTTGGTTTAACATGGACCAAGAACCGGTATACATTCACGCTTTGTTGAGATACATGATAGAGCGAAAAGACATGGCGGCTTCCTGCAACAAGTCACTAAGAAGTCGCTTCAGAAGAGAACCAGTGTCGGCTTATCCCTGGAAATAAATGCGAATATTGAACCAACGGTTCAAGTGTTTTTCTGGTTTTTATTGGAACAGTGTCAATCGGGCACCATCATACAGTACCTGGAATGATTCTTATCAACTGGTTAATCACGAACCATTATAAAAGGATATGATGATTTACTGTACCTGTTCAAAAAGGTGTTTTTTTCCAGTTCGCAAACGGTTCACTTACCAGAGGGTAAATCGATTAATGGCATATGATTATCCCATGATGAAATCCGTATTAAAAAATCAAAACATGAAAGACTAGCATGTGTTGTGGTTGCCAGGATGACCCTACAAGGTGGTGCTCCCCAGTCATAAATTGGTTATAAGCCCATGAACTAGTTCGATATATCATGATATATCACCAACAAAAACCGTATATAGTTATTGGAGTTATGTTCACTAACTTAGCGTTCTCGAACGGGGGCACCACCTTGTAAGGATTAAAATCATATGAGCTATGGTCAATACTCATGGTTAATAACCATTAATAGGGGCTAGTCATCCAATGGTTCATAGGGATTTAAAATAACCATTATAAGGATCCTTATCTTATTATGGATGGGATGACCATCAACCATATAGTGAGTATTGACCATGGCTCATATGAGCTACGTTTTTTTTTTAATATAAAAGGGTTTATATAGAGGTTAAACTGGATGTTGCTTTTGGTGTGGTTTTACCTGGCTGGCGTAAGGATTGCGTAGGATTGGCGTAGGCATTTTTCAATGTTCCAAATATCTTCTGGTTCGCGTAGGCAACATTTCATTGTATTTCAAATGCTCGTACATGATCGGCGTTGCAATCTCACGTTTTAAAATTGATTCAATGTTATCCACAAAAGGTTCAAAGGCACCGGGTTCATTCATGGATAGTTATCTATACGAACAAACCATGGAACTTGCCCGGCAGAGCACCTATACAAAGTCAGCGGAGCAGCTTAAACCGTCTTGATGTTCTTCGCTTTCCACCTGCTTGTTGCTCGATGGGCCATATTAGCTCTTGCTTCAGAGGAATGTTTCACCAGATTCCTGCCAGGAGACCCCTGGAACAGGCGTAGGCTTCGCGTAGACTTCGCGTACGCACCGCGTAGGCTCGGGTGCCCGGACTGACCACCAGCCCACGTCCGCACCAGTCAATATTCGACACATTGAACCGCCCAGAACTGCCCTTCACCAAGCTAGCGACAGTCGAACACGTCGCTTGGCGTGACTCCAGCATAGTCAAAAGTTACTAGGTGAGTCTTCAGTGATTTATCATGATTTATCCACCAGATGTTTAGTGTGCGCTTTGGGACCTGGTTGCTGGTGCGGCTGCTGCACATGGGTGTGGCTGCAAGATGTCTATGGGCGCTTTGGAGCCTGGGCGCTCGTGCTGCTGCAGGGAGTGCAGGGTGCCGTAAGGCACCCCACCTACCAAAAATGTGAATGGGACTGTGGTCGCGTAGGCAAAAGCTCCGTTTCCAACCTTCCAAAAGCAAACGGAAGTGTGACGGCGTAGGCAAAAACGTACATTGAGGCGTCGCTTTACACGGGCGTTGGGCCTGCGTAGGCACACCTTCACAGGGATGAGCCGCGTAGGCTCCCACTGTGGCCGCGTAGGCATTGCGTAGACAGCGGCGTAGGCAGCACAGGAGTATAAGGGCCCAGACAACAAAAAAAAACACAGCTCATATCACCTGTGACCTGGCCACCTTCGAGGCAGTTTTTTCGAGCGGCAGTCTGCCCGGAAGGCGGCGCAGGCGCAGGCGGAGGCGCAGGCGGAGGTGCGGCGAGTTGGGGATGGCGAGTTGGGGATGGCAGCAGGGGATTGTTGTTGTTGTTGTTGTTGTTGTTGTTGTTGTTGTCGTTACCCTCTGGTTAATAAACATAGACCCTGAAAATAACAAATTTTCAGTGGAAACTAATCTTCCAACCCCTATCTGGCAGGGTCTATGTTAATTTACTGGAGGGTAAATAATGGTGGTTAAATAATGGTGGTTATGCTGGGAAAATGATGGTTCGCATGATGGTTTTAACGGGGAGCATAGCCATAGATGAACTAATGGGATTTTTTCCAGAGATCCCAAGATTAAACAACCCCGAGGTAAACCCTGGTCGATGGACGAGGTGATAAACCGCACTTGTATATGGAATCATTCAGGAGGATCAGGAGGCGTTTAACATTAAGGGGGGTCGGGGGTACCGATTAGGGGGATGGCATTACATGGTGATAACAGGAATCTGATGAGGACAAAACTAACAGGTTGCGTTTGGTATTCCTGGATGTGCGATCAGTCGGCGGTATGAATGATGTTCCCAGTGGGGAATCCACTTGGGGAATCTACAGTTTTTTTGATTCTTTTTTGGCGTTCCTTAAGCAAAACTAAATACCCTCTGGAAAACAAACATCGCTATTGAAAATGGCAATTCATAGTGGATATACCCATTAAAAATGGTGATTTTCCATAGTTTTTTGTATGTTTACCAGAGGGTATTTTCTCATCTGGGCAAACATTGTAACATATCGTGACCTCACGTCGCAACGTCACTGCGACATGATTGTGAATAGTAAGGGACATCATGCAACAATAGCATTTATTCAGATTAGTGAGTTCTTATAATTTATCCAGATTGATGGTGATAATTATTATGGTTGAAATCAATCCCGTTTTATGGTGGCTGAAGTTCCTCCAGATTTATCCTTCACACACCATCCGTTTCTTCTGAAGGTGCCATATCTCAAAATTTTATGAATCCCAAGCTTGCTGCAAGCCCAATAGGAAAACAAAGAATTTTGGAGGGATATCCCAACATTGGCTTGTGCCTGATTTCGGAAGGTAAAAACCCAGATTTGCCGATGATTGGTGAAACCATGGAACTTGCTATCTACTCGACTTTGAGAAAGATGTTCTTCGTTTTCACCATATCCTAAGTCTTCTAAACCTTCAAAAGACAAATCGGTTCAAGGATTTAGCCAGTCGGGGCCTCATTTGACCATGTACATCCATCTGGGTAAATTTCATCACGACCTCACTGTCCTCCCTCACTATAATCATATAGTTAGTAAGGGAAATGATCCCCAAATGGCCCAACAATTCAGGTGAGTGAAATGTTATAATTTACCCAGATCCATACCCATAGGATCCATGGTGCTGGTATATATATAATATATGCTAACATGACTGGGGTATATGGATGGGATCCATGTTACCATATATAGCAGCACCATGGATTGTATGGGATACAGTACACGCATTCTGACATAATCTGACCATGCCTGGTGGACCACATTCTGACCATGGGATGGGCTGAAACTGTTTTCAGAGAGCCGATGGGCTGACATGGCTGATATCAGCTTTCTTCTTGGGATAGCGACAGATGGAAACACACATCATAAACAGTGAAAAACATAGGGAATATATTACTTATAGATTATAACTGGCATATCTATAACTGGCATAGTTATACCATACTTAGAAAACATAGTTCATTTGCTAAAAGAAATGCTCTATAACTGGCAGGGGTTTGACCCAGCAATTGTATACCCACTGGTCCAGTGGGTGCCCCGGCGTCATCCAGGGAATTGAAGCTGTGAACCATCTTTTTTGGTGCGAGAAGGTAGGTATCACCAGAAATGGGGATTCCGAAGAAAATTGCATTTAGTAATGTAAACAACGGCACATTAAGAGGGAGAGAGAGATAGATAACCTCTTGAAAACACCAATGCCAAGAGGAAAATGGAAACAAAAAGAAAAAAAAAACAGCCCGCCTCAATTTATTTTCACCCCCCAAGAAGTAACCCCCCCAGCCTTTGCCGTGTCAGGACCCTATCTTAGTGGAAGACGAGGATGGCAGTCCCATGCTCCGCCGCAAACGCAAAACGGCGCCGGCTTCGGCCGCGGGCTCCGGGGCTTCGGTTGGCGCGCCGTCGCCGTCGCCACAGTCGAGATCAGCGGGGTCACCAAGCCCCATGCGACGCATACGAACCAAGAGTAGTGAAAAGACGGTGGAACAAATCTACCAGAGACTTGGACGATCTTGGATGATTTGGATCATTTTTATGCTCATTTTATGGAGAAATTGAAGTTGCCCTCTGGGAAAACCAAACGTGGCAATGGGAAATCCATGGAAATCCCCTAGAAATGGAATTTTTGGATGAAAAAAATCATCCATAAATGATGGATTTTCCAGCAAGCCGTGTTTGATTATCGGAGGATAGCCCTTGGATTTGCTTCTGGATCTTCTGGGAAACGGGATGAAGTTGCATGTGGAAAGGGTTGCTGGGATGATCTTTGGTGATGCTAACCCACTGCAATCCAAGCTGGCAGTAGGAAAAACCTCAGTTCCCATTTAGACTTGAAGGAGCCCAAAAACTGTAGAGGCCTTGGCGGAAGGCATTTTTTTTCCGTCCCTATAGGTAGACAAAAAAAAACGCTCCAGGCCATGTAGAACAACTGAATTTCACATGGGTTTTTGTACTGTCACATGTTTCAGCCGATAGCTGCCGACCCAGTAGCTGCGCAGCTACTCTGTTGATTGGTTCTATCCCCGTCAACCATGTGCAACCTATAGCGGCTACTCACTGGCGGGCCTTACGATATTGAGGATGGTTTTTGTGTCGGGAACCACCAAAAAGGGGAACATTTAGTTTGTCTAGAAGGTGGTGTCCCCCAGTTTTAAGATGTTTTAAGTTGTTTTTTTAAATATATATATATATACCCAGGTAGCCATCGAGGTCTTGTTTTTACCTACCGCAAAATCATGCAAAATCTACTTTACCAACTTGGACAACTGTGGGGTACCACCTTCTAGTCAGGTGGATGAAAGTAAAAGGCCTAATGTTTCATCATTTTTGATCTATCATAACCTCATCATGTCTCGGTTTGAAGCCGCCATAGCATTCCAGGAAAAAAACGCAGCTGGAACATATCCTGCTCAGACCTGCGTCTCGATATGAAAACATGGCCGAGTTTGGAGATTGGAAGCAGCGGTGCTTCAAAAAAGTGGGCCCAAAGAAACTGATTTCAACCTATTTGGTTGTGAAATCGAGTGAGTGGATTGGAACCCCATGGCCCAGTTAGTAGGGTAAGCGGGCTTGGTCTGGTTGACAAGAAAGGAAGTGGTTGATTGACAGTCCCTTGCCTGGAAAAATACACTCCCAAACCCAAAAAAAACAAAACCTGGTGGTGTGTTCAGTAGAAATCCTGCTAAAATGTATTGGACATATTTTGAAGAATCATTTCGGACGATTAAATATTGATGGGACTAGCTGCATTGGGTTCAAAGATAAGGGTGCGAAAGAGCTTAACATGGACATAGGATCAAACAGGTTGATTTTGTAGTTTGGGTTCAAATGTGTTGTCCACTATGCGCTATACACAGGCAATCACACAACTATGTACTGTAGGCATATGTAGGCATGTGTACAGATTGTTTGATTCATAGATGTTCTCCCCAACTCACCCGATGTTTGTTGACGTATATATCCATTCACAATCCTAATCTTTAAATGCCTTAAAGTTCTGGCTACTAAGCAGATCTATTCATGACTTGAAGTCTTGGGTCCCAAACATTTGGGGCTTTTCAATCTGATTCCGTGGGCACCGCGGCCCAGGACAGCTATGTTGGCTCGGTGGAACGTCAGCACCAGGAGCAATGGATCCGTGACACAGACGGTCTCGTGGCGCAATGGCGCTCGATGTAGGTTCCAGCCGCGTAGGAAAGCCGGAGACCCATTCCAAAATATGTGATTAATATGTGGTTAACTATATTAGTGAACATATGGTTAACATATGGTTAAGATATGGTTAACTATATAGTTTGCTATTGTAAAAACATGGTTAAAAAAACACCATAATCATTTTACTGATGGCAAAATGATGAGAACATAGAGGAACATGAGAAGGTAGAGGAACATCATCTATCAAGCAGGGGTAAATCCTTCGTCAAGATTGGGTTTGTTGAAGGAGTTTCCTATGATAAATGAGAATGAGACATGAAGAACCTTACATTCATTGCAATGTTTAAGTGCTTGAGGGCAGTAGAGTGAAGTCTTACAGGCGCAGCTCCCTGAAAACTTTTCCATGGAGGTTCACTTACTTAACTGACCATTTGAAGCGGAATTTCCCCCACTGGATGCAATCGGATGACTGGAAAGAACAGAGAAAACCAGAGTTTACCCTCTGGTAATTTAACATAGCTAGGGACAATGGCCCATATATGGATGATTGATATAGCTATATATTCTATTTATATACTTAACATTTTTTTCCCATAGCCATATTTGTTAATCTCAGCAGAGTTGAGTTCAACTGTTTTTTGTCCAACTCACTGGGTCCGGGAGACCTGACACAAATGTTAGTTAAGTTGCAGTTTCAACTATATATATATGTGTGTATATGGTTGGTGGTTTGGAAATTTTATATATTGTTCCATAATATATGGGATAATCCTTCCCATTGACGAATATGTTCCAAGATGCTTGAAACCACCAACCAGTATATGTGTATATATAAATATAAATAATATTTATTTCAATCCTAAGGTCCTAAATTTTAGTTGGATGTTGTTTCCCAACTGAGAAGCATATGTTTAATTAAACTTTAAGGGGGTGGGCCCAACTTTCAACGCAGTTTCCCCTCAGTTTTTCTGAGGATCGATGGTCCTGAAGCAGCTGTCTTTCATCCCAGCTTTGTACAAGATCTTCGATGACCTTTGCCGCAATGCCGGGCCACAAGGGCGAGCGTTTTTCGGGGCATGGGGGGTTGCAAGATTTTTGTTGAAGGCGATGGAAAGAGAACTAGGATAGATTGGGACAATCTGGAACACATCATGCAAGCTATAGCAGCTAGAGATTGTGGTGTTGAAAGGTTTTGACCATCCATTTTCACAACATGTCCGACATGTCCAGGGGAAATCCCAGGGGATGTGAAATGCCCAAAGACCATCAACAATGCTTGGATGGTCAACAAGTGTGATTTCCATCCCTGAAGTTATCCCAGTCGCTCATTTCTTTTGGGTTCAGGGGCCGGGGGCGATGTGTACAGACATGTTTTGAGCCTCGAATATATAGTGTAATGCATTACTTATTGCTTTGGCCTCTTATTACTAATGCATACTTCACAGCTTCTCTGTAGTAGTATTGTGCGGCAAACTCCCAAAATAGTGGATGCTCTCCAGTAACTTAGACATGGAACACTCACTGAGTTTGTAGATTTTCTTTCGGACAACCATGGGTTTTCGTCATATGCCGCTGCCAAGGAGATTCTAGTGAATGCAGCGGATAACTTGATCCGCGACCCTTCCATGGAAGCTTTGCCTGCATGGCGCATCTCACCCGAGTCGGATCGCGGGTTCGAACGGTTCAGCAATGCTAGTGACATATAGGGCCTGGGTGCACAAACCGATATGACATGGGTGAAGTCAACCAATTGAAGGCACACATCCGAAGCCCAAGATGGTTGAAATCTGGATCTGGTTGGTGGTTTGGAACATTTTTTATTTTCCATAATATATGGGATAATCCTTCCCATTGACTAATATGTTTCAGAGGGATGCTTGCGGAGATCTTTCATCCCCGAGGATACCATCAAGATCTCTATCGATCGAAAGAAGTGTCTCATCTCCGTGTGGAACAATGGTGCCTTGGACGCAGCTTCCGTTTTTCCCCAGCCCAAAAAATTGAAGACTCGGAGAAGAGGTCACTTTCAGGTGAGTTGAATATTCCCTGAGTATTCCAAAACTAGACAATGTCAACCTTGGATTAATAAACCCCAAACTGCTATTTGGAGGGTACTCCCACAATTAATAAACCATGGTTATTAATCCGGGGTTGAGATTAATCCCTGCGTTTTCATATGTTTTTTCTTGTGTATTTTCTAATTTTCCATACCTGCGAGGGGCTGAAACTGCCAGCCATTCGTAATGGGTATTGCGGTATAGCAACGCCCAAAGAAGATATCAAGTAGTAATGTACCACCTTAGTGAAATCTACAGCTTTTTGGGGGCTGCCAGCTATCTATAATATAGCTGTTATATGCTGTTATAGTTATATTGTGTTACATTAAATTTAATGGTAATATAATACGTATCTGTTCGAACACGCCTGCGTTACATGAGTTACTGCATGTGAACCCACAGGAGCTTCCCGTTGCAGGTAAAGGTTTGCCAATCGAAGTCCACAAGGAGCATGGTTGCTATGTGCCAGAGCTGGTCTTTGGCCATTTGCCCCTCGGTTTTCTCGACGAAGATGGCTGATTATCATATCTTTTCTTGTGAAATCCCATGTTTTTGATGATTTTGGCCAACAATCCTCGAGGTTGAATGGTGATGATGATGTTCCCAGGTTTTCCTTTCCAATTGACATGCGTTTTGTTCCCAATCAACATCCCATTTTGGGTCAGAGATCCACTATGTTGTCGCTCAAATCCCCCAGGTTGTTGATATTCCTGTGTCTTGTATTCATCCCCTAATATGTAAAAACACAGTGACAGTATACCTGTGATAACCAAACATATTAGGAATATATATATATTATATTTATATATTTATATTAGTATATGTGTATATATATATCTGTGTGCATGTGTGTGGGAATATTCAAGCTTCGGCTATCGGTTCTTGATCTCCATTTGGGGCCCAATGAATTCCATTAAAATCCCATGAAATCTCCATTACCCTCTGGTAAACAAACAGTTTGCTATTGAACATGGCCATAGAAATAGTGAGTTTTCCCATTAAAAATGGTGATTGTCCATAGTTATGTAAACGTTTACCAGAGGGTACATCTCCATGAAATCCCACCTTTTCAAGGCCCTTTTTTCACGCGGATCTTCAGCCTTGACGCCAGGCTCACGAGCGATAACTACAACGACTCAGAGAAGAAGGTCGGCCAAGACGTTCTGAAACGGTTCATAAACCACCCATTTTCCTGGGAATGGTAAGTTTATACCACCTATAAAAATGGTGAAATTGGGTATGGTTTATTATTGTTTTACCAACATTAAGTAGAGGTAACACTGGTGAAGAACTGGTCGAATTAGAGGTGTCATAACTGGGTCATTACTCTGCAGGATGGGGCTCCATACTTAGCTAAGCTGGTTTATAACTATAATAACAACAGTGTATGATTATATTTATATAGATGGGGTTATAGACCGACAAACATCACTGGGGGGCACCATCGTGTAGAGGTAAGACGTGAAATGGTGGAATTAGAGGTGTCCCCAAAAAGGAATGAGTTGGATAAATTTGGAGAATCCCTTCTCCCCAGCCGAAATCCAAGGGTTTATTGGATGTTTAATGTTGGGGTCACTGGTGGAATTTTTCGAAAATCGGTGGAAGGGATTGGAATGGCCCAATGACATGGGATGATCCTCCATGTGGGGGGACCCACTTTTCACAACCGATGGGTGCATAATGACGAATGGTTTGCTAAACCTGTTCCAAGGACAGTGTCGGATTGTTTGAAGTACTGGTAGGATCCTGCTTGGTTGATTCATGTTGTCATCCATTCGTATATGGATGATGATTTTCGTATCAGAAGTGGGTGGAAAGCTTGAATCCATGAAGAAAGCATCATCTGTAAGACAAGTTTGCTATAGTTTGCTCATTTTTTGGAAATCCCTGGGCGAATTTTAATACAGTATAATATAAGTACATGGCGATTTTTTTTGGGCTCAGTATGAATGAACATCCGGATGGTTCGACCAGAAATCAGATGAAGAATTTGATAGGACGATCCCTTTGAAGTCCGCTGAAGACATGGCTGCCATGGCTTAACCACTGGGTTACCTCATGCCCTTGAAAACAAATGCAAAATTACATGGAACTACCACAAATGGACTCCAAAGTGAGTTTCCCTTTTGAGATTGACTATTTGGGCTCCAATTTGTAATTGTTTCGCAATGATAGCCTGGGGTAAACTAATAATATAATCATGGACAATCAATAGTTCCCCTTAGGAAACGATCACTTGTGATTTTGTTCCCTTTAAGCTTTGGACTTCTTGGTGATGACGTTTTTATAAGTTTTTTCCAGCCCAAAAAATGACAAATGATCTCGCAGGTGGTCGGTGGGCGGAATGGAGACTCGGCAAAGACTCGGCAAGTTTGGACGTTATCATTGTCATCATGAGGATGATGATGGTGGCAATACTACTGTTAATAATAGTATAATGGTTGTAGTAATTTGAACATATCAATAATAGAACTAATTATTGATGATGATGATGATGGTGATGATGATGATGATGGTGATGATGATGATGATGACGATGATGATGATGATGATGATTCTGATGATTCTGATGATGGTGGTGATGATGATGATGATGATGGTGCTGATGATGAGGAGGAGGATGATGACGATCATCAACAACAACACGAACAAGAACAACCGACTGCGAGTGACTGTTTGGAACGATAGCTGTGCAGTGAATTATCTACCTGCTTGGTGGTTTGGAACATTTTTAATTATACATTTTTTATTTTTCCATATATTGGGAATAATCATCCCAACTGACTAATATTTTTTGAATGGGTTGAAACCACCAACCAGCTACGTTCAGTTGGTAAAACATGGTGAACTCTTGCACTTTGCCTCTTGGATCTCTCCGCTTGACAATCGGCCAGTCGGCCCCCTTATGTTCATCAAAAATCCGCAGTTTTGTTGGTAAAACCATGCGAAACCATGTACAACTTGTACTTTTTTTGGAGATGAAATGAGCTCAGCCAGAACCCAGCACACCTTAGCCAGAACCCCGCAAGTATAGCATAGAATAGCTCTAATCACACGGTTTCGATTGAAACTGGTCGCATTGCCAGGTTCTTCTTGCTGCAAAATTTGCAGGGTTTAACACCTGAATTTGTTGGTGAAGACCCATGGGTATCATTGGGTATCCATCCATTGAAGCACATAGACATAGATTTTCAGCATATGTCAAGAAATGTCAAACATACATTTCTGGTTGGTGGTGACTGGAACCATGGAATTTTATGACTTTCACATCATGTTGGGAAGAATAATCCCAACTGACGAAATCATATTTTTCAGAGGGGTAGGTCAATGAATTTTCCCATGTTGGTTCCAACCTTCCAGCTTGGTCACATGTCCAACCTTGTATACATATCTGATGCCGTTATGGTTGAGGGGCCCTTTGAGCCACTTCGTGGCTGAAATCATTCGAAGCGGTGCGATGGAAAATAGTGCGTGAGCCTTGCGGCTATTGACTGGTGAGTGTAGTATCTGTTCTTATCAGTACAACTCCCTACCATCAGAGCTTCCGCTTCTGCATGGTAGCGGAGCCGGAACCCTGAAAGGGCCGGCATCCGTGAGGTACCTCCAGGTGCCTACAGTGGGAACAATTTGTGTTCCAAGCAGCAGTGAGGACTTTCAGTCCTGGGGACATTGGTCCCAACCGGAGAGACATTTGCCTCAGTGTGAAGCATGGCGCTTGACCAGAAGGACGCCTTCAGAGATTTACAATTCAATGGGCAGCCATCAGGTTATCGTGACTTCAGGCGAAAGGTGATTCTGAGTGTAGCTGGGTTGGAAGACAAACATGTCTATTTAGCTGGGCCACGTCTCTTGTCCAGGCTCTCGGGCGAAGCTTGGAGAGCAACAGAACATTTGAGCGTTGGGTCACTTAGACAATCCGATGGATGGTTGAAGGTCATCAGAGCCTTGGATGACCATTACAAATATCTGCCAGAAACTGAATTGCATGATGCGATCGAAGAGTTCCTCTTCATGCTCAAGCGCCGACCAAATGAAGGTGCGACTTCCTTTTCATCTAGGTTCCGAACACAGCTTGACAGGGTTCAGACTTTGATAGCACAGGAACGAGATGCAACTAGGAAGAAACGCAAGAGAAAACATGGCAAGTCATCAAGACCTCCGTCACCTGATGATGAGCCAAGCAGCCTTGAAGAAACTGACCGAGACATAGATCCTAAGGAACATGATCCTCAGGCCGAAGCACAACGAGCCTCTTCTAGTGAGCCACAAGTCTTTGATCCGTTTGCAGAAGAGCCGAGACTGGCCAGTGAGAAGCCTGAGAGCGAAGCCAGGCCACCGTCCATGCCTGGACATGCTGCAACAGACCCAGTGAGATCAAAGCCTCCATCGACGTTGCGTGGAGGTGGTTCGAAGAAGTCGAAGGCATCAGCCAGAGGTTCCTTCAAGGAAGATCATGCTTACAGTCAGAAAAAGATGCAACAAATGTTGGGTACTCTGGAAGTTGGACACACAAAGCCAACACCTATTTTTCCACAGAGTGTGCTGGGACACTTGTATTGAGGAAGTATGGATTGTCGCGAGAACAGCGAGCACAGATCATCAGGTCCACCAACGGATCTTCTCGATTCCTGGATGTGGAGCGAATCATGAAAGCATCTGACTTGGAAGACCGTAGATCGCATGACAAAAGTCAGCACAAACCACAGCGCCGTGAGACCTATGCGGTGCAACATGACAGCCATCAAATTCTTGTAGCTGATGGTGATGAGTCTTCTGATCTGATGGACGCTGATGATGTGACAAGCAATTCTTGTGACCACGAAATCCTGGAGGCCGAAGGGCCTGATGATGATTCAAATGATGAGGCGCAGGAGATTCTGGAACTGCACAAGAAATCGAAAGAGAAGTTCAGGAAGGCCTTCAGAAACTACAAGGACACCAAAAAGAAGGTTCGTGAGATCAAGAAGAGCAGGCAACAATCATACTATCCAGTGGTAGCATTGAACCAGCCAGCAGGTGACAGCCAATCTGCCGCATCGACACAGGTGCCTCTCAAACAGCCCTTCAAGTATGACAAGAAGAGTTTGAGTTCTGCCAAGGGTTCTGGAAAGAGGAAACCAGAGTCATCCACAAAATATCGAAAAGAAGAAGCAAATCTTACCGAAACTGTGTTGCAAACTTCCTTCAACTATATGGTTTCAGCATCTGGGGAAAACGGAACTGAAGTGATGAGTGAAGAGATTCTGTTAGCAAGTATCCCCAACGGCTATGCCATCATAGACACTGGTTGTACAACATCAGTTATTGGTCAAGATTGTGCGGATCGTTTGATGAAGTTTTTGCAGGAACATCAGATGCCTCTGCCGGAACGGAAACAACTGCCTCCAGTGGAGCTCAAGGGTTTTTCTGGTGAAGCCACAACTACAACTGAGGGTTTGGTTTGGCACGTACAACTGGGGAAACTATGGGGTACAATTACAAATTACAACATATGTCGTTCCCGGAAGAACTGCATTTTTGTTATCCCGAAGAGTTCTGGAAGGTATGGAAGCCCAATTCAATCTGGGGAGAAAAACATTGACCTCCAAAAAGCATGGGTTGAGCGAGATGATGTTGCGTCAAGCCTCCAATGGTCATTTGTTGATGCCTCTCTGGAATCTACCTGATGATTGGGAACCCGAAGTTCAATTAGAGGAATCTATGCCTGCATTTTCCAATGGTACTATGGTCCCCAATGAGGACCTGATTTACCACGACAATGAGCCCAATGCCGACGATGCCACTGCAAAGCCCCGCAATGAGCAGCGTCACTGCGATGTCAAGGACTGTGCTGCCACCAAACGTGTTGATCACTCCCAAAGTGGAGCTGGGATAAGTCCTAAGAATAAGAGGGGTAATGGGGATAAACGGCCTACTAGAAATGACAAACGTAGTGCCTTGCAACACATAGCCAAGAACACCAAAAAGGGTATGGTTGACCTCATTGGAATGAAGGATAGCCTCAAGATAATCTTTGGAGAAGATAGCCATGAGATCAAACATGCTTATGTTGCATATAGACCCCGTTTGGAGAGAATTCCCTATAGTGCAGCCACTGAAACTTGGTTAAGAGCAATTGTGACCCTTTTTTAATGATGGCCAATTCCATCAAAGCCCATGGGCCCTGCGTGAATCCGGCCCTGAACGCAAAGGAGTCACACCGACCAATCTAGCCTTGTTTGCCTATAGGAATCCAGCCGCCGACCATGTTCCAAAACCCACTGAGGAACATTTATGCTGGTGTTGCAATGACTGTGATTTGGAGGGCGGGGATAACCCTAATAAATCTGATGGGATAAGCATAGAAGCCCTATATGAAGAAGTAGACTGGGTAGAGCCTGACACCAATAAGATAAACCCAGAAAGTGCCAATCTCATCAGGTCATGCATCCAATCCTTGAAGAAAACCAGCGTCCAAATGCTCCTCTCTCGTGTTCTTAGTGAACCGGATGTAGTGGAACGTGATTTGAAACAGTGGTTAGGTCCTCAAGCACATAAGTTGTCAAAAAGGGTTGACTTGATAGAAGTTTTCACCGATGTTGCTCCCTTAAGTAAGACTGTTGAATTGTTGTCTAAGCATGAAGCCATCCGAATTGGCCAAGCCCATGGACATGATTTGAACCGTTTGAGGGATCGTCAGCTTTTGTTGTGCTTGATTGCATGGACCAGACCCAAACATGTCTGGTACAGTTGGCCTTGCAGCGACTGGGGTCCTTGGAGCCGATTCAACATGGCCCGAAGCGACCAAATGCGCTCGGAAATCATGAGCCGAAGTTCAGCCGAAGGTCTCAGAACTTGAGACACCTTCATGTTGTTGCTGAAGCATGGAATCTGCAAAACCTGTTGAAGGGTTACAATCACTGTGAGAATCCACTCAGCTCTGATGCCTGGAAAGAACTCCATTTGGTAGGTGAGGTGTATGACATCCGAATTGATCAATGTGCATTAGGTCTTAGATGTCCCAAGACTAATAAGCCTGTGTATAAACCAACCCGAATAGTCACTACCTCCCCCGAGCTTGCCAGAGAACTCCAAAAATATAGATGTGACCGTAATCACGACCATGGTCATTTGGAGGGTAAGTACAAGGGTAAAAACCTATCGGCATGGGCCGAGACATATCCCAAAAAGTTTTGCAGAGTTGTTGCAGCGGCAATGCATCGTGAAGCCAGCGTTCCAGCCGATCAACCATGGTTTGAAGAACTGTTTGCAGCCGAGTCCGAAAGCCGAGTGGAAGCACCTGACCTAGAAGAGTTGAATGATGATGATGATGATGATAATGGGGATAAGCCTAATGGGTCAAGGGGTTCTCCACTAAATGCCAAAAACATCATCCGAGCCGATAGAGCAAAAGCCATAGTTGCCAAACTGCATGTAAATACCGGTCATTCAACCAATGGCCAGATGATGCGCCTCACCAATCGTTGTGCTGCATCCGAGCAAGTGAAGCAGGCCATAAAGAACTTCAAGTGCTCCGTTTGTGATGAGTTGAGACCTCCTGCCATAAACCGGAAGGTCACCATGCCACATGTTGAACAACCCAACAAAATGGTAGGTCTTGATTTTGTCCAAGTAGAACTGATTCGTGATGATGAGAACGGAGAGCAGGAGGAGCAGAAGTTCAACGTTTTGACCTGTGTTTGCATGGCCACCGATTTTTGTCAGCAAGTGGTCATTCCTGAAGGAGCCGGTGCCTTGTCTCAAGCCTTCCATGAAGCCTGGATTAGACCATATGGTGCACCCGAAACCGTGTACATGGATCCAGCCTATATGACACTCTCTAAGGACTTTCAAGCTTACTTAAACCACCACAACATCCAGCTGTTGCACTGTGCAACCGAGTCCCATTGGCAGCTGGGAAGACTTGAAGTTGCGAATAGAGTTTTACGTGGAATGGCTCAGCGCGTTTGGAGATCATCGTCAAGACCGCCAAAGGAGATCATTGAAGCTTGTTCGTCCATGAGAAATCAACTGTTGAGAAAATGTGGATATTCCCCAAGTCAATGGTTCCTAGGTCATGATCCGAAGATAGCAGGTTGGCTAGGCGATGTCTCCGAGCAACAGAATTATCCGGTCCAATCTCAGGTTTTGAGTGATCCATCGTTTGCTGCAAAGATCCAACTCCGAGAAGAAGCTGCTCGGGCATTTATTGCTGAACATGCCAAGGAATCATGGAGAAGAGCATGTGCCGGTAGGAACCGTCCACTGAGAGGTCCATACCAGGTAGGTCAACTTGTTTACATGTTCCGCAAACATGGCCGTGGTAGTTTCAAGACTCGTTATGGGGTATGGCATGGTCCGGGTAGAATAGTTGGAGTTGAAAGTTCCACCAACCATTTCATTCCTCGAGTTGTTTGGATTGTTTACAATGGTTTCATTTACCGGTATTCCCCTGAAGCACTTCGCCCTGTTCCTGATGATGAAGCTGAATTCCGGGAATTAGCTAAAGATCTAGCTGAGGGGAGATTGCACCCTGATGTGATCAAAGCTGAGCAATCTGTTTCCGGTTATGCGGGGAGTTATAAAGATATGATTGATGAAAAACCCACTGAGGATGACATGGAACTTCAAGCAGATCTAGATGATGATGACAGGAACCCCCAAAGAAAAGGAGAGAAGCGTAGCATAGAGGGCGAAGATCAGATCAGAAGGGTCCAAATGAGGATTACTAGGTCATCCAGTTACTGGCAGAAACGTGCATCCGGCATGCCACCATTAGGAACACTTCATGAAGGTGATGCCCCACCACTGGTTTCGCTTGAGCAGCCATCATCCAAGCGTCTCAAGACAGTGCCAGAGCAGCCTCAAGAGGAGAGAGCCGCGAGTGTTTCTTATGAGCCGTCCATAGCACCATCCGTACTGGATGATGAAATGCCAGACCAGGCACTGCCAGCAGATCCCAGTGCCGACAGCCAAGTAATCCCCCATGAATCTTTAGACCCTGAAGACAATCCACCTGAAATTAGTCCTAATCCCGATCAACTCCAAGAAGATAATGTGTCACCAGCACCAGAAACAGCAGCAGGACCAGCAGCCGAAGAAAATGGTCCACCACCACACATCGAAAGCGATGACGAAGGGTTGATAGCTGAACATGGGAATGTAAAAGTACCAACACTTGATGTGCTAGAAGTATCACTGGATATTCACCCCGAAGATATCACCGAAAATCCCTTGTGTTTATGTACAGTTTTAGATGAATGTTTGGTTGCAGCCCCCACAAAACGTAGGGTAGAAGTTTCCATGCGAAAACTTAGCGAACCAGACAAAAAGCTGTTTGAAAAAGCCATGCAAAAAGAATGGCAATCATGGGTTGAAAATAAGGTGATGTCCCTAGTGAAAAGTAGGGGGATAGATCCAGCCAAGGTGATAAAAGCGAGATGGGTACTAGTTTGGAAGAAAAGCAGTGATCCCGATGACAGAACTAAGACCCCAAAAGCACGCCTTGTTCTTGTTGGTTGGCAGGATCCAATGTTGGGTAAGATAGCCACAGATTCCCCAACACTTAGAAAGGAATCAAAGAGTTTGGTGTTATCCATTTGTTCATCCAAAAAGTGGAAACTATGGGGCGCTGATATCAAAACAGCCTTTCTTAGCGGTGATGCCTCAACTAGAGAGTTGTACTTTAAACCCCCAAAGGAAATTCAGCAGTGGATGTCCCTAAGTGATGAGGATTTGTATAGACTAGAAAAAGCAGCCTATGGGTTAGCTGAGGCCCCCAGAGCCTGGTTTCTCCGTCTGTCCCGCGAAATGACAGAAGCAGGTTTAGTCCGGTCAAGCCTCGATCCTTGTTTATTCACCCTTCGAAGAAATGGGGAACTAAAGGGGATTTGTGGTGTTCACGTAGATGACTTGCTGGGAGGAGGGGAACCCGAAATGGATGAAGTCTTGCAGAAACTCCGCAAAAAGTTGCCATTTGGGGATTATAGGACGTTCACCATAAGATATACAGGGATAGAGATCCGACAAAACCCCGAAAACTTCAGTATCGAGATAGGCCAAGAGTCCTACATAGATGCACTGGAGCCTGTTGCCACAAAACATCTTGGGTCAGCTGGAACGAGTTTGCAAGACCCTGGAATCTTGCGTACGTGTGCTGGTCAACTTGCTTGGGTTAGTACAGCCACCAGACCCGATCAAAGTTTTCTTTCCTCATATCTCCAAGGAGTTCAGGACAAGGGTTGTGTTTCCCACGTTCAACAATACAATAAAGCCTTGAGGGAAATGAAAGAACGTAAGGTCTGTTTGCGTTTTCCAAGCAATGTCCCAATTGACAAATGGCGCATAATTTGCATAGCTGATGCAGGATGGGGAACACGCAGCAGTGGGGAGAGTCAAGGAGGGTATATCCTATGCTTAGCACATAAAGATATCTTGGAGCGTAAAAGGGCACCATGTTGGATTGTAGATTGGGCCAGTAAGAAACTAAAAAGAATGGTGAGAAGCTCAGTAGCCGCTGAGACACTGTCCAGTCAAAACGGTCTTGATGCCATCGAATCGTTTCAAGCTTTGCTAAGTGAAACACTGTATGGAATGTCACTAGCCGAATTCCGAAAAACCACACCAAAAGTTCCATCATGCCTTGTGGTTGATAGCAAGGGTTTCTATGACGCTGTAACCCGTAGCTGTTGCTCTTCTTCCATTTCTGTTGAAAGACGCTTGATGATTGATTACGCCATTGCACGAGAGACCATGGAAAAACAACACATCATAGCCTTTTGGGTAAACAACCTCAGGATGGCAGCAGACGTCCTGACCAAACTCAAGGGAGATGTGAGACCTCTTTTCGAAATACTTGAAGGAGGCACGTATCAAATCAAGGTTTGTCTTGAATCAGGACGCAAGGAAACAGCGCGGAAAAACCAAGAAGCCAGCGGTCAGCCACCGTGACCAGGAGTCCAGCCATGCATGCCACAAAGATGCAAAAGACATCAACATGACACCATGTTGGGTTACCTTAGGATGTATAAGATAACTCACTAAGTGATGCATTAGGCCTCCTGAGTAATCCAAAATTGTCTGACTCGCTGGGGTGCCCAGTGTAGTCTGTTTTTAATTAAATAGTGTATAGACATGTGTCGCACAGTCACCACATGAGTCAACAGTTTTGCCAGAGCGGACGTCTGACCACCAGTGCAGCCGCTTCCAAGCTTGACTTGTGTTTTTGCCGATTTTCCCATATAGGATTGTGACTTGCCTCCGCATTCTACTTGTGCCATGTCTGACAGCAAGATGCCTCGAAAGGAGACATTCAGTGATCAGCCGTTGAACGCTGATGAGATTCCTCGAGCTGCATCGTTGCTCCTCCGTGCCGTGAAGCATGGTCAGGCACAGCATGTCCTTGGTTTTATCAAAGAAGCTCCTGGAGCCAAGCCGTTTTGGGCTGGGTGCTATCATGTGATGGATGCAGCCCGTCCCTCAGGATATCAGGATCCAATGTCTATGCCATCTACGTCCATGAATGATGCCTCGAAGCGTCGAGTCCCTGATGACACCTTGTCTTGGGAGAATGTGACTGAGAATGGTGAGAGCCTGAGCGATGCATCTTACATTGCATCGATGCCTGAGACGGTGAACATTCCTCCGCCGTGGACTGATGGAAGCAATCCATTGCTTCAGGTGATGAAAGAAATCCAGGAAGATGTGAAGATTCCCATCCCTTCCGACATTGCCAATGTCCACAAATGGGGAGAATGCATCTGTGAAACAGAGAAGTACCAGACGGCCGGGCTGAGCTACTATGAGCTTGTGTTCAAGGCCAAGACCGATTCAGACTGCAAGCAGTATCTTTCGTGGATCAAGGGCCGTTTTGGCTATGTTCAAGGAAAAGATCACCCATCTGATAAGATGACGCCGGGTAAGGATCTAGCCAGGTTCTTGCAAAGGATTGGATGGACGGGAACCGAGTCCGCCACTTCCTTCCACCGAAGATTTAAGAAATAGGATGACGTAGTAGGCTTCCCCTATGCACTATCCGAAAGTATGAACCCTCAATCATCGCCGGCAGAGGGAATTTTCCCATGTTGGTTCCAACCTTCCAGCTTGGTCACATGTCCAACCTTGTATACATATCTGATGCCGTTATGGTTGAGGGGCCCTTTGAGCCACTTCGTGGCTGAAATCATTCGAAGCGGTGCGATGGAAAATAGTGCGTGAGCCTTGCGGCTATTGACTGGTGAGTGTAGTATCTGTTCTTATCAGTACAACTCCCTACCATCAGAGCTTCCGCTTCTGCAGTCAACCACCAACCAGATTTCATTTCTTCCGTTCGATTCATTGGTTCGCTCAACTGGTGTGTGGTTCAGGATGGCCAGCCATAAGGTGAGCGGAGCCTCGTGCTGAGCGCACCGGTCACGCTGATTCATGGCGTCGCGGTGGGTTCACGAAGGGGCAGACAAGCAACGCCACCTTCTTTGGAGGCTCAACACCTGTGACTGGTGCATTCAACTACCGAGGAAGCGGCACCGGCATGGGTGGTCGCCCTGACCGCTCCGCTCAGCCGGCCCCAGGACACGACCTCGAGCCTGTATTTGTGCATATGTGACCGATGGGCCCAAGCAGTTCTTGGCACACTTGGCGTACTGCGCATTCACGAATGCTGACACAGATCAGCGCGCCAATTCCATGGCCATGATGGACAGCCCACCCCCCCCTCCCCCAGCTCCTCGCCGAAACCCGGCGGGAGGACCCCCCCTCACCCAGCCGCTTGCCCCCCTGACACAGGGCAAAGACCTATCGTTTCTGACGTGCGCCGGCGGATTTGGGTGGGTGGAGAGAAAAAAAAACCATGGTTTCAACAAGTGGAGGTCTCCTAAAATGGTGGTACTCCTTTATCGCTGGATGGTTTGATGGTTTATTTCATGGAAAATCCCATCTATAAATGGATGATTTGGGGATACCCCCATTTCAGGAAACCTCCACATATATATAATATATATATAGTTTCTCTGGGCAAGCCTTCAGAAAGCCGATTTTTTTTTTTTGCTTCCAATCCCACCATTTACAGATATAGCCTCTGGTTTTGACTAACAGTTTGCCATGGTTTGTTGATGGCCCAGTTCGAAATAGATGCTTTACCGAACTTAATAGCATGGTGGATCTTTCCATGGCTATCGCTGTGAATGTCATGTCATTTCACCAGATGGTAGATATAACTATATATCGTTAATGGGGTTTATAGATGTTTTTTTTGATGATTTACCTATAAAAAAACATGGTGATTCTCCATAGCTACGCTAAATAACCAGAGGGTAACCATGCGAAAATCGTCAGGATACGGTGCAAAGCTCACCAATATCTACTCCAAGACCTTTGTGGTTGAGACCGTGGACTCGAGTTGCCAGCTGCTCGGTGTTTTCCCATTTTTTATACCAGGAACTGTGGTAATGTGGTATTTAAACCACTGGAAAAAATGGTGAAAACATGGTGAAAAAATTGAATGTGGTTAAAACATACACTGTGGTAAAAAAAAATGGTGAAAAAAACTGTTTTTTTTGGTAAAAACAATGGAAAATAAACCACCCATTTGACTGGGAACATAGCACCCACCTATAAAAATTGTCATTTGGGGGATGGTTTATGGCATTGTTTTACCAACATTATGCCATAATGCCACATGTTTTAAGACATGCTCAAGTAGGAGTGTATTAGCCCAGAACCGAGTTTTGTCGCAGGGTATCTAGGATTAGGCACGTTTAGATGGAGATATGACTTGCAGAAGAACGGAGTGGCACCAATCATAGCAGGGTCCAGATTGTTTTCAGTTCATAGCTATGTGCTTCAGTAGGCTATCCGTCAAGTCCAAGTTGGGTTATTTCCGTTGCAATCCTTTTTCCGCTGTTATTCAAGCTGGTAACACTTCGACGTTCCATCAGTATCAGAATGGCTGTGCCAAGCAATGCCCATGATTTCGCATGGGTTTCGTTTCGTCATGTATTTCTTGCGCTCCTAGGTTTTCATGTGCATCCAACTTGGGCGGGATAAATGACCATTTTCATGTGGAGTCAACCCCCAAAAGAGGTGACTTTTGCACCTCTGCTAATTTAACAGTTTGCTATGGAAAATCACTATTTTCAACAGGTAAATCAACTATATATTTCTATGGGCATTTTCCATAGCAAACTGTTAAATCACCAGAGGGTAAATCACCAGACAGTTCCATTAAATTCCATTAAATCCTACTAAATCGCATTAACTCCCATTTTTCCCACGAAATCCCATATCTTATGGCAAGATTGGCCCTTAGTAGTTGGTGAATCATCCCTTAACATACCCTGGGGGATCACCTGTCACCTGTTGGCTTCCCAGAAAGGGGTCGGACCTGGTAAAAAGTTACAATCCTTCTAAAAATAGGGGTAAACTATGGTAAACTTATGAAGATTGAGCTTACTTATCAACTATATGGTAAATCTTGATGTTTCTGTTTTTTTTTTGGAGGTTACTTGCATTGAAGAAACTATTTGAGGGCGACAAGAAAGTTGGGTTTCCTGGAAATCAATCCATTGAATTGCACCCCTTGACCAGCAAAAACAGGAAGAGATACCGGCAAGTCTGGCGCAACAACATGACCAGTCGCATCTTGCTCTGCAAGCCATGCCTGCTGTTGGTGCTATCTATTTGATAATTTTTTGATATATTTTGATATCAGGATCCTTGTTTCTGAAATTGTATGCTTCCATGTGTGGCCAGTTAACATATCTTCCCATCATCCTTTGCTGAAACAAATCCCATTCGACGCAATGCTATTTCCATCACTGTTTGATAGACTGATAGACCTCGTTTTTCTTTGTGATTTGGGAGAGATCTTAGTCATCAAAAAAACAAACGGTGTCGCTTTCACTCTCGGGAAAGGCGCCTTTCCTTGGTCCAACGAAGTCACTCAGTCTGGCTTGTTCGGCAAACAAATCCCCCACCAGGATGGAACTCTGATTTTGGTCCAGCATGGGCACCTTTTAAGGCACCTTTTAATCATTAGTCTTTGGCCATGGTGGAGTTTTTAAATTTCTCACATCGCACATGTTGGTTTTTGCCCTAAGATCTGGCCATGATTTGGCCATCTTTCATCATCTTTCCAGATATTGGATTTTCCGGCATCGATGAGATCAGGAGATGAGCCTGAGATCAGCAAATGTCAAGGTGCCTGCATTGTTTCGGTGGAATACCATCTGGTTATGACATGACTAACAGCAATAGCCATGGAAAGATCCACCATTTTGAAGTTCGGTAAACCATCTATTTCTATGGGCCATCAACAAACCATGGCAAACTGTTAGTCATAACCAGAGGGTAGATCAGGAGCACAGTCGGTTGATATCATGGGCTATTTTTAGGTGACTGGCTTTGGACTAGGTCGGTGATTTGGCTGGATTTCGTTGGGAAATCCACGAATCTGGGGGAATCTGGAGATTTTTGTTGGGGTGTTCCTTAAGCCCATGCATAACATGTGGGAAAGAGATGGTTTGCTGAAAGAATTCACTATGAGGATTCAGTCCCTCCTGTCACTTCACCAACAAGAACCACATTTTTAGGGCGAATCCTAAGGCACCGTTCAGGGGGGTGGTTGAAGTCATACTTCCCAGTGGGCCTCTCCCCCTGGAAAAAGCACATCGGGTTACTTTGTGGTACCCCTAAGCCGGTGAGTAAAAAAACTGAGACTGCAATTCTTGGAGAACTGGGCCCACGTAAATCACCGAATTCCGCTGTGGGTCACGTAAACTTCCGAATTGACAGTCGTTTTCCATAGATGTTCGCTTTTCATCCCTTTTCATCCCTTTTCATCCCTTTTCATCCCTTTTCATCCCTTTTCATCCCTTTTCATCCCTTTTCAACCCATCAGGTTTCAGTATACCATCATATACCATCCAGTAAATTAACATAGACCCTGCCAGATAGGGCTTGGAAGATTAGTTTCCATTACAAATTGGCTATTTTCGGGGTCTATGTCAATTTACCAGAGGGTAAATCCCATTAATATCCCATTGAATCACTATAAAATTCCATCAAGTCATTGTAAATCCTATGATTTTCATTGATTTTCCATAGTTTTTTTGTAAGTTTACCAGAGGGTATATACCATATACCATCATATACCATCCTAAAAAAAAAAACATGTTCCATCCCCATCCCAAGCCCCGGGGCCGCTGGGGCCTCCGCAGGTCAAGACTACACCTCCGTCACCTTTGAACCCGACCTGCCGCGTTTCGGCATGACGGCCTTGGAGGTCGGAAAACAAGTGGAAGGTAGATCAGTCCCTGTGGTGCCACAAGGAAAATTGTGATTTTATGGGATTTTGATGGTGATTTTATGGGATTTAATGGTGATTTTGATGGTGATTTTGATGGTGATTTGATGGGATTTAATGGTGATTTTAATGGGATTTAATGGCGATTTTAATGGTGATTTTGGTGATTTTAAAGGGATTTAATGGTGATTTTGATGGTGATTTTGATGGTGATTTTAACGGGATTTAATGGTGATTTTGATGGTGATTTTAATGGGATTTAATGGTGATTTTGATGGTGATTTTGATGGTGATTTTAATGGGATTTAATGGTGATTTTGATGGTGATTTTGATGGTGATTTTAATGGGATTTAATGATGATTTTGATGGTGATTTTGATGGTAAATTTAATGGGATTTAATGGTGACTTTGATGGTGATTTTGATGGTGATTTTAATGGGATTTAATGGTGATTTTGATGGTGATTTTGATGGTGATTTTGATGGTGATTTTAATGGGATTTAATGGTGATTTTGATGGTGATTTTGATGGTGATTTTGATGGTGATTTTAATGGTGATTTTGATAGTGATTTTGATGGTGATTTTAATGGGATTTAATGGTGATTTTGATGGTGATTTTGATGGTGATTTTAATGTTGATTTTGATGGTGATTTTGATGGTGATTTTAATGGTGATTTTGATGGTGATTTTAATGGGATTTAATGGTGATTTTGATGGTGATTTTGATGGTGATTTTTTAATGGGGTTTAATGGTGATTTTGATGGTGATTTTGATGGTGATTTTAATGGGATTTAATGGTGGCTTTGATGGTGATTTTGATGGTGATTTTATGGGATTTAATTGTGATTTTATGGGATTTCATGGTGATTTTGATCGTGATTTAATGGGATTTAATGGTGATTTTGATGGTGATTTAATGGGATTTAATGGTGGTTTTCATGGTGATTTTATGGGATTTAATGGGATTTTATAGTGATTTATTGGTTATTTTAAGGGATTTAATGGTGATTTTGATGGTGATTTAATGGTGACTTTAATGGTGATTTTGATGGTGATTTTATGGGATTTAATGGTTATTTTAATGGTGATTTTATGCGGTTTAATGGTGAATTTGATGGTGATTTTGATGGTGATTTAATGGTGATTTTAATGGTGATTTAATGGGATTTAATGGTGATTTTAATGGGATTTAATGGTGACTTTGATGGTGATTTTGATGGTGATTTTATGGGATTTAATGGTGATTTTGATGGTGATTTTAATGGGATTTAATTGTGATTTTGATGGTGATTTTGATGGTGATTTTAATGGGATTTAATGGTGATTTTGATGGTGATTTGATGGTGATTTAATGGGATTTAATGGAACTGTCTGCTGATTTACCCTCTGGTAATGACCAACATAATGACATAGAAAATGGCACATTTAGTTCGTTGATTTAGCTATGAAAGATTGTGATTTTCCATAGTAGACTGTTAGATCACCAGAGGATGTCGCATTTCATCAGAAAAATGGAGGATTTACCATGAACATACCATGAACAAATGGGATTTTTACGCCAAAACACCACCACTTGGGGTTGATGATTGGGCTCTTGGCCGGTTGGTGATTGAGGATGGTTTCTGAATTTTGGAGGCTGATTTTGTGTGAACCGCACCATGTGTTGGTTGCGAGAGGGTATGATCTGTTCACGAACTTCGTAACCATGTGTATAGCAACTTCAGAGGCTACTCCAGGAACTCGACCAGCTCATACTGTTTTAACAAAGACATTGGGATATTGGCGGGGGTACAGTCAATGAACACAGACACATGATATCAGGTATTTTACCATTGCAATCTTATATTGTCCACACGTTTTCCTAGATACCCTCTAGTAATCAAACATGGCTTGTTCAATGGCCATTTCAGGATCCTAGATTTGAGGTACCTAGCATATATAAGGCCTACCCCCAAAATATGGCCAAACATATGATACAGTACCTCCATTTTAGGATCCTGGAGATCTCCCATTGACTTGTTGAAAAATGACAAATTTATAGATCATTTTCCTATTCAAGTGCCCCTGAAATTCTGGGATTTCCCCGCCACGTGGTCAGGATGATATCGTTTCATTAATGGAGCGTCGGGCGTGTGAGATCTGGCAGCACTTTGGAGGGGGCCGAACTCATCCGAACTCCATGACTAAGCCGGGGGAAAAGAATGTTCTGCCAGAAAATACGAAAGAATATCATGCTTCAATACATTAAAAGAGTGACAAACATGCAGGATGGGGCCCCAAAGATAGCTAAGTTGAGATAAAGGTGGCTGAATTCTATGGTTTATAGTAGGTACAGCATGATATAACTATAGTAGGGTTTACAAACCAACAAACATCACTCACTGGGAGGCACCATCCTGTGTATAGTTTGGCAAAAGACCATGTGTCTTCATCGATGTCTAAGAAAATCCCTTAGAAAGATGAAAAACATCACATAAAGCGCAAAGGTGCTGGGCACACAGTTCAGGGTGGACCTACGTAATCAGATAGTATTAACTGCTTAGTCATGTGAGATTGTCCAAAACATTAGGTAAACCAAAAAAATGCAACTCTGATTAGGACCATACTGAGAAACCTAGCCGAATTTAAGATTATTGCCCTGATTTTTTGGACACACCCATTATATAAATCTAGATATCCCATTTTTGGTACTACGATGGAATCTGGAAACTTGAGTCTAGAAGATGAGTAAGTTTATGATCGGCACATTCTTACTTTAGTTTTATGGGTTCCAGGATGTCAACATCTGCAGTTCCTTCAGCTGACACATGTCTGAGGGTCCCAGGGTCCCTATGTGGGAATAACCTCAATTTCCATCCCTGAGAATCACAAGTTTTACAGGGAAGGTAGTCTTCCAATCATTTCCAATCCCCCATTTGGATCTATTTGGCAGGGTCGATTTCTTCGTTGGAGGTGTGACCTGGCAGTGTAAATCCCTAGTTTTTGTAGGTGTGCTATGATGAGTTCACCTGCTTCTTCCAATCAAACGGTATCATACCTACAATGTGGGCCCCCTAGTTATAAAATGTCATAAATTGGTTTATAAACCCTACCTATTACCTGTAGTAATAAGTATCATAAACCATATTTATTGGAGTTACAAAGCAACTTAGCTAAGATCTAGGCGGCCCCATTTTGTTTTTTTTGGATTCCGCATCCGGAGATTTATGGCCTGATCAGGCCGAGACTTCCCATGTTCTTTTTCTCCCGGAAATCTCCACGTGGCCGCGTAGGATGTGGCTGCCTCCACACGGGGCAGATGTCGAGTCTTTCTGAATCAGAAGGAGTTGGAGGTGAAGTCGCCTAGCTGAGAATCGATATGGCCTGGGGAGGATCTAAGACCGGGGCAGGCAACAAGGGATCAGTACCTGGATTCATGGCCAGGCCCAGGATGTCGAAAAACCAAATAGGACATATAATATATTTTCATAATATAGATGATCATGATTATCAATGGCATATAAATAAATGTGTATTTTTATATATATATATATATGTGGTATATAAGCAATTATTGTAAATCATTAGCCCCTTGTGTATCATGGTATCAAGATGGAGTACCCGGATGATCCTGGATCCGTGGGTTTCAGAAAACATCCCGGATCCACTTGGGACATCTTGGGACACCGCCAAGGCCAAGAATAAAGCGACGAATTATTTGAAGATGGTTTATACCATCCATTTATTGTGACAAACTGGGGGAGGATGATTGGGACCTCTTTAGTTTGGATTTTCAGATTTGGGCTGAGGGGTTGAACATGGACGCAGCTAGTTTGGCACTCGAAACTGGAAAGTCGACTGGTGGCAGGGTCAATCTCGCCCTGCTGATCAGCCACCAGTTCTAAATGGATCCCTTTCAGTCGAAGCGCAAGGTGAATGGGGGCAGTGAATAATGTTTTTTTCGTGGCCTTTTCTTTACAGGAGTTCAGGGTCAGCCATGAAGATTGTCCCTATTTCTTATATGCTCGTCGACAAAGCAACATTGGAAGCTGTTTCAGCGATAACCCCCCCTAACACGTTGATTGATTTTGTCAACCTTTGGTGAAACCGCAACGTGATTTGTTGTTCATTTGTACAAGGGGAACCCTTGGATTCTTCCTCCATGTCATCCAGATAAATTCCACATGGAGGTTTCCAAAAATGCTGGGCACCCTACAAATCCAAATCCAAAATTAGACCATTTTCGAATTGAAACCTATGGTTTTGGGGATCCCTCATTTTCAGAGGCCCCCATAGTTTGCTGGGGGGTTTTCCCACACCAAAGGGGGACCATCAGCCAGTGAGGTCCTTCGAGGATTACGTGGGCCTCTTTTTGAAGAAAGACGATTTTCGAAGCGCCTTGCTGGTCGGCCGTTTTTCGCCCATCAAAACTGACCCCTTTTTTAAATCGACGATCGGGACTTGACTCGGGACTTTACCATCCGTTTGTACCCGTGAAAACTGCGTTTTTACCTATTTTTGTAGGTGCTTGGAGGGTCTCTTATATATGGGTATCTTAAGTGGAGGGAATGGAAAACATGTGCATGCATGCATGTACGCATACATACGTACGTACGTACATACACAGACAGACAGACAGACATACATACAGACATACATAAATCCATCATACATACATGACATGACATGACATGACATGACATGACATGACATGACATGACATAACATAACATAACATAACAATACATACATACATGCATGCATGCATACATACATAGATACATACATACATACATACATACATAAATACGTTTGTACGTACATACGTACATGCATGCATGCATGCATACATACAGACAGACAGACAGACAGACATACAGACATACAGACATACAGACATACAGACAGACAGACATACAGACATACAGACATACAGACATACAGACATACAGACATACAGACATACAGACATACAGACATGCATGCATCCATACATCCATACATCCATACATCCATACATCCATACATCCATACATACATACATCCATACATACATACATACATACATAGATACATAGATACATAGATACATAGATACATAGATACATACATACATACATACATACATACATACATACTTATTTACTTACATACATACATGCATGCATGCATGCATGCATGCATACACACGCACACATATGCGTATATATATATATATATATATGTGTGTGTGCTACGTATATGGATGGACATAAGGTCGTCAGGCATTTGATTGAAAACACTTTCGCAATGATGAAAAAAAGAATGTTTGAATTTATCTAACATATTGCAACTATTTGACCAATACTATTCCTGATGTATTGCGTTTGAAAGTTGCATCATGAAAGTAATTGAAAGTAATAATACATAATTGTTGTTTACCCTCTGGTTATGACTAACAGTTTGCCATGCTTTGTTGATGGTCCATAGAAATAGATGGTTACCTAGCTATAAAATGGTGGATCTTTCCATGGCTATTAGCAACTTGTGACTGGGGATCGGATTTGTTCAGAAAGCACTCAGGAGCAGAGACATACGGAGACCGATGGCAGGTGGCAGTGTCTCGGAGACCACATTTTGGCACGGCAAAATTTAAGGAGAAGGCACCGAAAAATAGCAGATGCTAAGTGTGTGTGGTTGTATATATATATAATATAATATATGTATATCTATTATGTATGTTTGGTGATTGGAGGGGCATAATATATAACTGTTTGGTGGTTTGGAACATGGCTTTTATTTTTCTATTCAGTTGGGAATGTCATCATCCCAACTGACTTTCATATTTTTCAGAGGGGTAGGTCAACCACCAACCAGATAAGATCATATAAAATCTTCATTGTTTCAAGTGCTTGTAGAGATGTCAGTAGCCAAAACAGAAACGCGTTTTTGGATGCTGTCCTGAATCTCAGTGTTTAGATGGATCCCTTTTGCGTTAATTATTACTCTTCATATTATGATCACCATGTTTAGGCCCTGCTTGTTTAACATACTGGAAAATCACATTATTTAATAGGTAAATCAACTATATATATATGACTATTTTCAATAGCTATGTTAGTTTACTAGAGGGTACGTTCCTTTTTCACCCCAAGAATTCTTGCTATTGCCTGAGTTAGTATAGGGAAGCAATAGGCACAAATTTTTGCGAGGATGAAATATTGGAAATACTCGTATCTGAGTTCGACCATTACAGTATTGCTTGCATGGTCAAGAACGGTTCTTGATCCTCTTGCTGGTTGGTGGTTTAGAACATTTTTTTATGTTTCTATTCAGTTGGGAATGTCATCATCCCAACATATCCCAACTGACGAACTCCATGATTTTTAGAGGGGTACCCTCTGGTAAACTAACATAACTATGGAAAATCACCATTTTTAATGGGAAAACTCACTATAAATGGCCATTTTCAATAGCTACGTTAAATTACCAGAGGGTAGGTCAACCACCAACCAGGTATTGCTAGGTCCTTTTTGGTTTCACACCTCTTTCTGCAGAGTTTTTTTACCCCAATTCTGTGGATTGTTTTGCGGTTGACCCGCATCAGCCAGTAAGTGCCAGGAGGTTTCAGTCTGGACTGCCCAAATGTGCTGGTGATGTTGCTTGTATAATGTTTTAAATTATGCTGGTTTTATACAGGCATGCCAAATGCCATGATATGTCATATCACATCCGATTAGTACTGGATTTAGTACAGCGGGCCACATTTTTGGGTTTGTCTGACAGTAGTTCCCCAGAAATCTTATGGTTGACCGTCATTTTCTTATGGAGGAACAATATATACCTTTCAGTAAATTACCCTCTGGTAAACTAACCTAGCTATGGAAATCACCATTTTGTATAGGTAAATCACCTATAAATGGTCCATTATCCACCAGCCGGGAAAACCCGTATGGCTTTTCCACAACTTTCGTTAGGTCCCTCAGCCTCTCTAGGTGGCCCTGACCAATGGCAGTGGCTTTCGACAGGCGACAAATTGGAAGACGAGGGGAAGATGGTCCGATGGTCCTGCAAGATGAATATGTTAAATCTTGGTGGGGTCAATGGTTAAAAATTGTGTAGATCAACATGTTAAATGCCAAAGGTGAATGGGTAAGGGGGTATTTCACCATAAATGTTGTTTAGGACTCATTTTGTTTGCTATGTAATGGAGGCATACTATGCCCCACTAGTTTCTGGATGAATTGTAGCCATACACCTTGATTGTCAATTATTCTTTGATTAGATAGATATGCCACAGAACCCTGTAAAAGTGAAACCAAATTAGCAAACCACCAGGTTTTGTGCAGGGTAGTGTCAACCCCGATTCAATCAATTCTGGTTGATTAGGGACCCTCGTTAACCCCCCACAAATATAGTGATGATTTCCTAAACGGTACTGTAACTTCGCAATAATTCGGGGATGATCCTCCATGCCAAATGAAGCCAGACCTGGAATTCCTCACGTCTTGCGAGAGGGGTGGCGTTCGACGAAGTTTCAATACGTTCTCAATTCAGGTCGGCACAAAGCCGCATAGGTCAAATGTGGTCAAATCTTCGCTTGTTGACTGCTGTCATGCTTACCGATCTTACCAGATTTTAACTCCACCGACTGGATCTACATCTCGTCCTCAGGAGTCCACGGCAGCTTGTGCATCAAAGAGCTCTCTCTCCATGCTAAATGATATAGCATGATATAGCATGATATAGCTAATTCATGCTAATTCATGATCTTGGTTGAAATCCGGATCTATTCCCACTTTTTTCGGAGATCTTCGGCGGGTTCCCCAAGAAAAATACCCCATTCATCCATTCATCCAGTTGGTTGGTGCTATTTGGAGCCATCGAACAGAGATGCCAATGGCCCAGGTGAGCTTCGTGAACTCGATTTGCACCAGCCGCGGCGGCACACATGTGAACTATGTCACGGACCAGGCGTAGATTTCGGGATATCTTGGGTGCTCCCTTCAGATTGCTAAGTTGGTGACGTGTTATAACTGTAGAATAACTGGGGTTTGTGAGTGGATATATATATATTGGCATATATAATATTATATTTATATACGTTATATATAATAGATGGTGTGAGGTTATAAACCGACTTGTTTATAACATGGGTAACTGGGGGTTTCACCTTGTATGAAGATTAATGTCAGCTCCCGATTATGAACCTACCCAAGCTCTGAATTCCAGGGCTACAAATTTAGTAGCAGATTGTCACTATTTCGGGTGGTACCCCCTAATGAATCAGCCAGAGTTTATTAATCCAGGATTGACGTTATAAGAAATTTCTCCATTAGTTAACCCATGGTTTGAGGAATCAACTTCAACTCAGTCAACCTTGGATGGGTGACTATCCTCAATCTTTCCATGAATAAGGATGTATAGAAAACTATCTAAAAAAGCAAACGCAGGATCTCTACAGGAAGCCCCCTCATTCATAATCATAACATTTTATAACAGCCCCTTTCTAAGCTTCGCCTTTGGTGCGCCAGGTGGTGGCCCGCTTGATGGAAGACTTGGGGCAGAAGGCTGAGAAGGCGTGGCTCGGGTGAAACTGAAAACCACCTGGAGTGGTGAGATCCGCCTGTAGTAGCCTATAGTCTGATAGCAGAGTAACCCGGTGAGTGAAGCCGCGGCTTGAAGAAATTTCTGGACTCCTGGACAAAGAAAGGTAAGGATCAACATGGATCAACTCTGGAATCGAGGATGAAATTGGAAGAATTTTTTGCTGTCCCAGAAAGCTTCGAAGGCAACAAACAAAAAACCGCTTGAAACTGGTCATCCGATCATCCCCATGAGATGACGAAGTTCCGCCACGACCAATTCAGTTCCAGCCTATGGGAGTGGGGTTGCGCACCTCCAATGACGAGTTCATTGACATGGTCAAACTTTTTCAGCGACAAGCGGCCCAAGAAGTTCAGCTTGCGTTGAGGCGGGTCTTGCGCAACTTGATTGCTTGGAAAAGATGCGTTGCGTACGATCCGTTTGGACGCAAACCTGAAGATCACACTCACGGGTCAGGGGCTACCGGAATTTATGTTATTTTCCGGCAGAAGGCCCCGAGAGCTGTCTAGAGTTGGCAACATGGGAGTGCCCATGATTTATCACACCATTAAAACACAGACATAAACCTGAAGCGACTGGCACGATGGGATTAGGATTGGGGTAACTATCCTAGTGGGCGGAACTGTTCAGCTTGGTGATTTTTTTCAGCCAGAATTTACCCTCTGGTAAACAAACATAGCTATTGAACATGGCCATGTATAGTGGATTTTCCATGGAAAAAATGTGATTTTCCATAGTTATGTGACAGTTTACCAGAGGGTAGGATAACCAGTATAACCAAGATAACCAAGCCCGGACCGTGGCAGCCAGCTGCTCAAAAATTGGGTGACAATTTTCACCCCCTTCTTGGCTACATCAAACAGTTCGCAAACTGTTAGTTTACCAGATGGTATTTCTGAAAAACAAACGTATAGTATAATATAGTATAATGTGGGTAAAACAATACTAAACCATTCCCCCAGTCACAATTATATAGGTGCTTCAAACATCAACCATTCCCAGTGGTAAAAATGACCCAGCGTTTTACCCACATGCATCCCAAACATCCCAAGCATCCCAAGCATCCGTGAAGCCAAGCCGCGTTCAGGCTGGAAATCTTTCGGTGAAGCCGCAGCACGTGCGCAATCATTTGTGGCTCTTTGTGAATTGCCTCATCGAAAATCCGGCCTCCTGGCGATCTGACGATTTGGGAAAAAAGGAGGGAGAGGAAACCGCTGCGCTATGATTATACATGCATAGTATATATATATCATTATCATCATTATTGTATGTGATTATAGTATAGACACACACACACAGTCACACGCACACACATATATATATATATATATATGTATACATTATACGCATATATATATAATATTATATTTGTAATTTCGTAGTAAAAATCCATAATCATCCGTTTCGCAATAAATCCTATCAAGAATGGGCAGCCCGTTGAGCCTAGAAATTGAGTCCCCAAGCGGCGGGGAACTGAGGCTTTTGACTCGCAGACAAAGGACTGGGCAATGTGTTTGCGGCTTGCCACCGCTCTTTGGAGAAAGAGGTAGAAAGAGCACAACAGCATAGATAATTAATGTTTGTTGATGGAATCCCAATCTTGGTTGACTTGATTGGAAAACCTCATCCATTTTGTTGTTCAACAAAACTCATGTTTCAGCCCCATCGTGTGAAAAACATCATGCTTTCGAATGTTGGTTATCACAAAGATCATGCCCCATCCACACCATCTTGATCCATTTTCGTCATTGATTGGGGTCAGGAGACACTCACAACGAAGAAGGAACGCTTTGGGTCCCGCTGTGAATTGTCGGTGCCTGGGCGACGACAATGGGAGCCACGGAAGCCATGATTTTTACATGGCATTCGTCAGAAAAAGTGGGGATGCTCAAGTATATATCAATGAAAAAAGAAATCAAAAACATATATAATATCTGCAGATAGAGACAGAGAGGCTGAACTTGCAAATATGAAATGTATATAACAATATATATATATATACATTTACATAGATGCATGCATGCATACAGCCGGGGATAGAGCAGGAGATATAAATGCAAAGGGAAGATTACGATGAGTCAGTCGGTTCTACCCTTCAGTAATCAAACATGGCAATGGAAAATCCTGATAGATTTATCCCAGTGACAAGAGTAGGACTTAAATGAACCAACGTGGAGGAGACAACTGATACACAACTTTGTGACATGGAAGCCCTAAAACCTGGTTTGGAACAGATTATGGCTGTTCATGTGGCCAATCAAAGTGACATGCAGGAAGCGATACTGTTTTTTCCTCGTGGCAGAAAGAAACCAACATACCGATTTGTAGACAATTATGTCTTTCTGACTTTACATGTCTCAGTGCCTGTCTTGAACCAACACAGAATAACGACATATTGTGAAAGTTCTTCCATGTTCTTCCTATTTGTACATTTGTACCATATCTTATGCACTGACGTTTTCAAGTGTGTAGTAAGTCTACGTTGTCTAATTGTACCCCGAAACTACCATTTTAGTATAGGGAATTCATGATGATCATCCATTGGATTTTGGGGGATGACATAACCCTACTTAATCTACTTGTAAACGAACTTAGGTAGCTATGGCGCACTCTGGGCCATATTTTACCTATCCACATGGCAAAGCTCGTCGATGCCCAGGATGAGTTGTTGCAAGGCATTGCAGAAAGTGGCCTCATCGAGTCTCTGAAGGAGTGGTGCTTTGGCTGAAAACCCCGATGGCAGGCTCTGGAAAGCGGGCGATTGTGTCAACATGTGTCAACCCTGGGTTGGTAGTTACCCTCTGGTGAACTAACATAGCAATGGAAAATCACCATTTTTAATGGGAAAATCCACTATAAATGGCCATTTTCCATTGCTATGTTAGTTCACCAGAGGGTACCCTGGTTAACTATATGTTAACTACGGGGCACCCCTCGAAGACAATCTGCTAGGCAGCCCGGGGAGTTAGGAATCCTGGATTAAGATTGCTGATTAAGATGCAGGATACAAAGTTACCTGAACATCCTGAACTACGTCGTAGATGATACCCTACAGTAAACATACAAAAAGCTACAGTATGGAAAATCATCCATGGAAATAGTTGATTTACCCTTTAAAAATGGTGGATCTTTCCAGTTCGCTATGTGGCTGTTTACCATGTCGGGTACTAGACATATTTATCAAAACAACACGAAGATCTCATGATTGAACCCTGAACTTTGGAGGCTAAATATTGTGGTGTTAGACTGGTCGAGTCGATGCTAAATATAGTAGTGAAACTTTTCGTACACGTCAAGATCTTTCAAGCGTTGGTTGACCTTATTTCATCTTATTTCCGGTTCCTTCTCTCCTGTGCGTAGCTGAATTTTACAAGAAATATATAGCTACATAAGATTTTTGTATCCATGTATCCAGGGATGCTTTTTCTGTGCAGGGGCACCTCCATGGCAGGACATTGATAAGGTAGTTGTATTGAACCAGTTTCACCAACAGTGTTTTTTTGAGAGTAAAGATTACCTCTGGTGAACTAACATAGCTATGGAAAATAATCACCATTTTGAGTGGGTAAATCCACTATAAATGGCCATTTTCAATAGCTATATTAGTTTACCAGAGGGTACGCAAATATTTCCGGACCCTAATTTTCCAAGTTAATTTTCGGATAGCAAACTTCACTATCATATACCATACACTCTGATCATTTAACATCAACATGGACATTCACCATGTTTAATAGGCAAATTACCTATAATGGATTGTAATAGACCATTTTCAATTATCACTATGTTTGTTACTAGTATAATATTAATTATACAGTATGTTAGTTTGTTTGATAACCATTTATAAAATTAAATGATCTATAATCGCTCTATGTTGAATCATGTTAATTGCCAGAAGGCAATGCCCACTGGGAGTTGGCCCACCTTGTCCCAAGGTCCATGGCCATGGGCAAAAGTGAGTTGGCCCGGCATTTGCCACTTGGATACGTCAAAGGCCATGGTAAAATGGGTAAAGCATGCTCAAAACAAGGGTGAGGTCCTTTTGGAAATGCGATGAAATGGGGTAGAATGTTGTAGATATATGTACTGTATGTGTGGATTAAAGGGTGCAATGACTCATGCTCAAACACAATCATGGGCATCTACTACTTGGTGCTGTCATTGGTGCATTTTTGCTTGGAACATGGCCAGCTGGTCCCTGTCGTGGGGAACAGTGGCCCAGAATTGGCTTTTGAGGGCGATTTATAACCAAAAACATCAGCCGGACAAAACTGGCATTGCAACACACGTGGATCATGTGGGGGTGCAACTCACCAAAATGATCCACAATGGGATTATGGAGTTATAACATGTTATAACCAATACAGCCATCGAGCAGCCCCAGGAACAAAAGTGACCTCGGCCTCCAGAAACGTTTGCCCCTCGGCAGTGAAATTTCCGGATCGGCGTGTTTTTGGGGGTATTTCACATCGGTTTTTGGGGTCCCATCGGTTTCCGGCCATCAACCAACACTTCGTTTCAGGGAAAATCCTGGGGATGTACCATCTGGTTATTTAACATAGCCATGGAAAATCACCATTTTTAATAGGTAAACCATCTATTTCTATGGGCCATCTATACCATGGCTATGTTAAATAACCAGAGGGTCGATTTTGATGGGTGTCCCTAGTGGGTAGGTCAGTAGGTCTGTCTGAAAATGGGTGATGCCATGGGATGCCTGAAAAGTCATGATGCCATGGAAAGTCATGATTAAACATCAAAATTTGAGGTAATTACCCCGAATCCCTCATGCGCAGCATGCGAAGGTGAATGTACAGCCAGGAAATTTGGGGTTTCACTATACCTTTCTGCACTGTTTTGTTCAAGGTCATTTCTGGTTTACACACATGGCATGATGTGCTTGGAAATTTTCTAATTTGGGTCGAATTCGACGACACTCTGCAGAAAATCATTTTTCCAATAGTGAACTGTTTCATTGGGCGACACGGGGCCTATCTCTTCCCTCGGGTCCGAGGTAAATATACCCTGCACAACCATCCAATTTTTGTGACGCTTCCGTTGAGGTTTGGCGTCCCAAAGTTGGAAGATGCCAACAAGGCTATGGTGGCTAGAGTACTGGGGGATGTCACCTTTCGAAGAAGTTGTGGCAAACGATCACCACCATCTTATCGCATGATACGCAATAACGAGCATGATCCAGGATTGACGTTGACATGTTAAAGAAATGATGTTGAATCAGGTGTGGACGTGTTGTTTTTCCTCAACTCCAATTTACTCTGGAACACGTGAGATTTAGTGTTATGAGCAGCCTGAATATGTCCAAACTCATGTCCAAGGCTATCCCACCGAACAAATTTTACACATTCACATCTGAATTTTTCAACAAGATTTACATCGATTTACCATAACATCCATATTTACCATGAACACATCCATAAAAAATCCATAAAACATCCATAATTCCGCCAGAAAAGCCATGGAACGACCAACGTCCACCTGGCCAGGCAGGTACCAAAGAGTCCCAGGACTGCACCCTGATTGTGACAGAGGGTGCCTTGTCATGGGGATGGTCATTTCAGAATGGGAAATCCCAAAAATCTTGGGCAATTTGTATGAATTTGTGGGGAATGATGACTGGTTGGTGCTGACTGGAACCATGGAATTTTATGACTTTCCCATCATTTTGGCAATGGAATGTCATCATCCCAACTGATGAACTCCATCATTTTTCAGAGGGGTAGGTATACCACCAACCAGCCAAAAATCTTGGGGAATCTGTAGGGAATGATGGGAATGCGAAGGTGATGTTGTTTTGTGACCTTGGCGGACATGTTTCAGTGGTGATGTTGGAAGGGTTTAACACATGGGGTTTGGAATGTGCTATGAATGTCCGACATGCCATAATTTTCCGGATGGAGTGTGTCATAGCTATACAGCTATACTCAGTTATACGCAGCATTTTCTATTTGTTTTTCCGGGAGATGGGTTCAACGGTTCAACATACATCTCATGAGATGTTGAACTCTTTTGAAACAAAGTTGGTATAAGGGCCTACGCTGGAGAATTGTTTGGAGATTCGATCACATCTGATCCTGCCAAAAAGCGGGTTCATGTCGGTGCAGATGATGCAACAGACGAGTTTGAGCAGTTTTAATCTTGTTTGCCCTTTATTATCTTTATTTCATTGCTTGCAAATGAGCCGTTTGAGTTTGAGGATTGTTCGAAGAAAGATGAAGAAAGATAAAATACAACAGAGAATATCCTGCTTCTGAATTGGTATCTGTAGTAATTATTCGTTGTTATTGAAGCTGAGTGCTGTGTCAAGTTCGCAACTTCAAGAAAGTGCTGTGGTCAAAATCGTTTCAATGTTCAATCTTACCACGCAGATCTGTGGGTTGAGAACTTTGACACGTGTTTGTTTTTAGATACACTCAACGAGGGCCCTTTTTGTCAAGCGCACACCCCGTTTTGGTTGATGTTTTTTTCCCCCCATGTTCAGGTTTCACTTCCATGGTGCGCAGGCACTACGGTCATATATTTGATAGCCCATATTAAATGTGGATAGCCAACGCCATAAATCTTCCATTTGGGGATGATTATGGCACTGAGAGTGAATTCCACATCATTACAATTACCCTCTGGTAATTTAACAGTTTGCTATTGAAAATGGCCATTTATAGTGAGTTTTCCCATTAAAAATGGTGATTTTCCATAGTTATGTTAGTACCAGAGGGTATCCATGATTCATCCGTTGTTGGTTATTGCAAACCATGATTGACAACAGATTTCAGAATGTGCCAAAAAAAGATATTATTCTGTTTGGTGGAATTTGGCCATTTAATTGCCTATGGTTGCTAAGATAAAGAAGCAAAAATAATGATGGTATAACGGTATAACTTTGTAATTAAACAACAACTAGATGGTCTAGATGCCTAGATCATTGACAATAAATTGTAACGACCTCACTGCGACCTCACTGTAATGATGATTAGTAGGGTCACTGAACCGTTGGAACTGTGGAGAGTAGCCGTTGAGTGCCGCACAAAGAATAAACGCCTGAATCTAAAAATAGCCCAACTGTTCAGGTCAGTGCATTTTTTTTTATCACTCTCTGGTACATTAACATAGACCTTCAAAATCACCAATTTTTCGTGGTTTTTAAATATATAATCTTCCATGCCCTATCAGATTATCTGGCAGGGTCTATGATTCATTCCTGCGAAGCGCCTTTAGAGGTGATTCTGCAAAAGCCTTGGCTGTGGCAGGACTTAGTTCCTTGGAGTTTTGGAGAACCGAGAGCTAAGCGATCCATGAGATGGTCGTGTTTGAAAAAATGCCAACAAAAAAATGTGGATTTCACACACAAAAATCCTGGTATAATGGGATACAATGGGGAGAGAATGGGGAATCGATTCTTGTCCTAATGTCCTGGCTTCACCATTTTGATGTTATCCCCAAGGACCCCCAAAACTAATACCCTCTGGGAATTTAACATAGCGACATAGAAAATGGCACATATTTATAGTTGATTTTCCTGTTAAAGATTGTGATTTTCCATGGCTTTTTGTATGTTTACCAGAGGGTAATACTGATATGTGCTCGCCTTTTTTCATCACGTGCTGTTCCTTCTTCCTCCATCATGATTTTCGCATGATATCCATCATTGGTTGTTGTGTGTTGGTTGTTGATGGGTATTGTTGGATGTAGCTTCATCAAAGATCCCCATTACACCGAAGAAACCATTTGTCAATTCTGTACCTATATGGGGGTGGGTCAAAATCTATTATTATCAATTCTAATGGGATGAACATCCATTTACCAGCTATTTTGATGTTCACCAGGGGTACAAGGTTTTGACCCACTGCCATATGTTTTGATGCTTTGAACCCTCTAGAAATGATGGTTACAACCCATTTTTAGAACATGTTGAGGTCAGCAGGTCAACCTGTATGATGCTTATATCCAAATGATGCATATCCATGATAATGATATGTGATTAATTAGTTGTTATTTTCCATTACATACTGATTACTAATCACCACTAAAATGCATTACCCTATTGTAAACATACAGAAAGATGCGGAACACCCATGAAAACCCATGAAAAACCCATGGTTAAACCCATAGTTTCCCTTTTGTAGAACATGATCTACAAAAATGGTGGGTTTTCCACATCGATTTTCTGTAAAAACCCTAGGGTAAATCAGAAAATCCCCCATGAGTCGCATCAGTTTTTGCGCAGAGGCATTGTGGGTCGTGACCACTATGGCGTGTTTCCTCTGCGTGGCAAGCTGCGCAACGTGCGCGAGCTGACGGTGACCTGGCAGGGTGATGCAGGGTGCCGTGGACGGGAGTTGTTGTTTTTTTTAACCTGAGTATCCATCAATATATGAGGTGCCATATATTGGGTATATTAATATTAATCATTGGGTGCCATATAAGGTATCATAGGGTATCCCAAATACACTTCCCAACAATAATGAGTTTACATATAGGGTATCATTGGGTATCCATCCATTGAAGCGCATAGACACATAGATTTTCAGCATATGTCAAGACATGTCAAACATACATTTCTGGTCGGTGGTGACTGGAACCATGGAATTTTAAGACTTTCCATTCAGTTGGGAATGTCATCATCCCAACTGACGAACTGGGTTTACATATACTAAATCATGGTTTACATTGGTTTACTCATTCAGGATCTGAATCTACTCGATGAAAGATGGTGAAAGAATGAGGTTGGCATTTAAATTTAGGCTGTGAGTCCCACGATCATCGCCCCGGCCCCCGGAGCCCTGGAGACCACTGGGCTCCGAAGGCGCTGATAGGTGCCTCCCTGTGTAGGTGCAATATGGCACAACAGGGTACACTAATAAACCCGGCAATAGGATTGTTAGACCCATTATTACCCTGTTGGGTACAACCATCAATAACCATCAATAACCATCAATAACCATCAATTGCCCATTATACTAAAGACTATTGATGGTTATTGATGGTTTTTTCGTGATTACGAATTGTTAATGTGGTAAACCCAATACCATGAACCATCCTCAATTGGGTATACCCCTGGGATGATGCAAAATGGGTTAACAGGATGGTCTATTGCTAGGTTTTGATGGGTTTACTAAATTACCCTCTGGTAAACTAACATAACTATGGAAAATCACCATGTTTAATGGGTAAACCAACTATACATGACAATATTCAATGGCTATGTTTGTTTACCACAGGGTATATCAATTATATCAACTATATCAACAATCTACCATATTGCATGCAGAATTGGAGAAACATGATGCATCTTCTTGGGTTGAATGGATCTTTCTATTGGACGAGCTTCGTTACCCCCCATCCTTACTCCAGGTAAAGCAGATGATGGAGAACAAGGAGATCGAATCTCTGATGAAAATCATGGCCTTTGACGCCTCCAAGGAATATGACACTCGGCCAATGTGAAGCATGAGAGTGTTCGCAAAGTTGGTAACTCCAATAGCTTGGGTTTATGGTATACAATGATATAACATCACTATAGTTACAGAACTATAGTAGATATAAAATGATAGATGTATGTAGATATAGTAGATATACAAGGTGGTGCCCCATTGTTAGCTAAGTTGGTTTATAACTCCAATAACTATGGTTTATGGTAGATATAACTATAGTTAATGGGGCTTATAAACCAACTTATAACTGAGGGGCACCACATTGTATAGATATAACTGTAGTTGGATGGCTTTATAAAACCAACTTAAACATCACTGAAGGGCCCAAGGGGTCTCACCTTATAGCAGTTGCCCCAGGGGCTGGCGCTCCAGGTGGACACCAAGGGCTTGCGCTATGGCTCGCTGATGATCATGGCAGACCAGGCACGGCAGTTTATATCTTTCTTGGGCTTGCTATCACTACACATATATATATATAATATATGTATATATACATAACGCGTGTGAGCCAGTGAGCCGTGAGCCACACACACACAGATATATATATATATATATGTGTATGTATACGTATATATATATATACATACCGGAAAAGATATGCTCACATGATAGATAGATAGATATATATATATACATATGGTAACTGTGGGTATATATAAAGAAGTTGGTTATGATATGGTATTTGTTCAAAGAGGGGCATGATCCTTCTTGCAAGTTGGAAGCCAATCTTTTCCATGCGACTGAAATTTTTTCCATGTGACTGGGACGTTGCCTTGCGGTTGGGTGGTGTCTAAGATTAGCCCGGGGAATCCTCGTTGAACGGAGGCTATGTTGGTTAAGCAGAGGCTATGTATGTTGCAGGGAGGGTACTTGGTCGACTTGATCTCCTCTGAACCATGATTAGAAGTGATTTTGTATGATTTTGTGTCCCTTCTTTCGTGGATATCACCACCAAACATGGGGTAGTATCATGATTTATCCTGTGGCCACTGACACGGGCATCACTGGCCATATGTCTGTTGAAACATGGTGAAACTAGGTCACTAGCAACTAGTTCATATCCTTATGCTCTATAGAATTTGTCAATGGATTGGTTCAAGGGAACTTTTACAGGAAAGCCCCATGATCTTCATGGGAAAATCCGTTGACTCTGAGCAGACTGTTGTTGCAACATGCAGAACATCGCAACGTGCCTTCCTTGGTTCCATGGGGAAAAATCGCAACGGACAGCCGGACAGCCATCAGGATTTCGATGGCTCGCACATCAAGGGCCTGGTGATCAATTTCATCGAGTTCCTGGATGATTCGCCTGGAGAAATGAAAGTGATGTGGGTATAACAACGCCTGGTTGGTGGTGACTGGAACCATGGAATTTTATGGTTTAATGGTGATTAATGGTGAGTAATCATGGTGATTAATGATAAATTATCTGGTTGGTGGTTTGGAACATGGCTTTTATGACTTTCCCATCATATTGGGAATGGAATGTCATCATCCCAACTGACGAACTCCATGATTTTTCAGAGGGGTAGGTCAACCACCAACCAGATGCCATTTCCACCATCCCCCAGTCATCACAATATTTTATAGGTGGGATTCAAAGCATTTCCAGTCATGGGTGGTAAACATGACATTGTTTTACCCACATGAAATCATCATAAAACGATGTGAAAAAGTGTGCCTCTATATAGCGAAAATGGGAGTATCCTCTGGTAAACCAACATTGTTATGGAAAATCACAATCTTTAATAGGTAAATCAACTGGAAATGTGCCATGTTCTATATCGCTATGTTAGTCATTACCAGAGGGTAAATCATAAAACCATGTGAAAAATAGTGGGCCTCTATATAGCTATTACATAGCTATATGCTATGTTAGTCATAACCAGAGGATATCAAGAAAGCATGGCTTTGCGGTTTGTCGATGGCTTGGCATCGTTGAATGGGAAATCCACGAGTCGACTGGGGAAATGGCCCATTGATAGAGGTTTACCGAACTTAAAAATGGTGGATCTTTCCATGGCAAACTGTTAGTCATAACCAGGTGGTATATATATATACATATATATATATGTATACTATATATGTACAATATGGGTTCCGGGTTCCTTAAGCAAATCCAAAATAAGGGTTTATGAAGGATCTATCATTGCAGGAGTCACCTGACTGAGGAGGGGTTGGCTGAATACGGGCCGGGGGGATTTAAGAACCGGGTCTTTCTGGTTATATAGTTGTGTTACCCTCTGGTAAACAGCCACATAACTATGGAAAATCACAATTTTAATGGGTATATCAAAAAAAAGAACTAACCTCTGGTAATCTGCGCCCATTTGCCATGGAAGATCATCAGTTTCTCAAAAACGGTCAATCATCGAACTACAGGCCATGGCTTCCATAGCTATTTAATAATGTTATATGAGCAAACCTACCATCTAGTTCCACACATCATCCTTAAAAGTTCGGGGATTTCTGCGTCAATCGCCAGCTCTCCCTACCAGCATCTTCCGGTGAAACAAACCATCCAAGAACCGAGGTCGATGAACTTGGATGTGCTGTGCAGGAACCCGTCAAACAATTAACTCGATCTAATTCCCGCAATTTTCTTACTCTTTCTTGGTTAAATCCACATTTCTACTAGTTAAATGTTTGTTTTGGGTGGAATAAAGCCCATACATTTCCCCATGTTTCACCTTAAACTTCAGTCCATCCTTTTTGTTACTCACACTGGCCATAAAGAACAGGACACCTCAGTGCTGGCTTCAAAAACACCCAACCTTACCACACCCACAAGAAGCACTCCTCCAACTTTCCGACCCAAACAAAAAAAACAATCAAAAACAATGAACATTTGAATCCCATTTGATTAGTTCACATTAATTCCACAACATCACCCAACTACACGTTTTCCCATTTTCCCCATGCCCATAGCCCTTGAAATTCATCAAGTCCCACGACCTAGGCATTGGTTCCCTGGGCTGCTGCATTGCGAGGGCTTCCTGCGGGAATTCGTGACGCCCATTGTGAAATGTTCGCGTGGCTCAGAGGTCGTCAGTTTCTTCACTGTGCCCGTCGCATGGTGAACAAATGGCGTGGCGGCCACGCGTGGTGGGTTTGATATGGTTTGATGGTGATGTCAAGCCTAAAGAACAACCCCAGCTAGTGAATTTCATGGCACCAGGCCGTTTTCTTCAACCGGTGTCCCAAAAAATAGCGATATATAGCGATAATTTGAAGCGAACACGGTAAATGCAGCTTGCGTAGTCCAAGGATTCCAAGTTATTGTTTTATATATCCTTGAAATTTCGATGTTTCTGGTTTAGATGGTATATATATAATTATATATATATATATGAGAAGTGGTGCTGTTGTATGGAAACATGGTGAGGTTGTAATTTCAGGACAGTAAATAGACGCACTTGCCAAAGTATAGGAACACCCAATGAATCCCAATGATATAGAACAGTAATTGACCACTATATATATATTGTTTGATTATAGTATGTACATTGGCGTTGCCGACGATGTACTGTATTTTAAAAAAAATGTGCCCCCGATGCTGGCTGTTCCCATAGAAGTATTGAACCCATTACTCAGTAATCAAACTGAATATGTTCATACTTTGTCGACATGTATACATCTTATTCATCAAAACTTGGCAGGTGATTCCAACATATTGATTTTCTTCACCGACATGGGATGATGATCCCTGAGGACGAGCATGTATTAAAATTATAGATATTTCCGATGGGGTGGCTCAACAAAGCAGTCATATTATATGTTACACCATATTATGTGTTGCAATAACCTTCCATATTCTTACACCTAACATCTATGTTTGGTGATTTTGACCCATCCCCAATTCTGGCGTCGCATCGCCAGTTTCGTTTCTGAGGAATATGAGGCTTGGAAGAAGAACAACGACGATGGCCGCGGCTGGACGTGCGTCTTGGACGGTGCTGGTGTCGTTTGTTACCTGGATGTAACCCAGGGGATTTCTAGTTGATCAATGGGAATCCAGGAATGATGCATAGGCCTTATATATGGTAGGTACCTCCAATTTGGGTTCCTGAGATGGCCATTGAGTTGATATAGTGGATATCTAAGTTGGTGGAAACTAGGCAGATACCCGGCCTGGTAATGATTGTTACAGTTTGCGAACTGGAAAATGGCCCAGTCGAAATAGTTGAGTTACCCATTAAACATGGTGATTTTCCATAGCTAACTGTTAGTTTACCGGAGGGTATCTCGGAAGAATTGGAGATGCGTCCTGACCAGAAATTGGCCATGATTCAAATCCCTCAACGCCTTGGAGAGCCAGTTGCAAGAATTTTTCAGCGCATGTAGATTGTTCCTGTAAGTTCCCCCCAAATTGAACTAGCCTCCGGTAATTTCACCTATGGAAAATGATCCATTTGTAGTTTTGTAGATGATTGATCTGTCCCATAGGATCCATGGTGCTGGTATATATATGCTAACATGACTGGGGTATATTGATGGGATCTATGTTACCATATATAGCAGCACCATGGATCCGTCATGGGTGTAAACAATGGCCACTTTCCATAGGTAAATAACTCATGAAGATTCATGGAGTCCGGGGGTCTGGCGGGATATGTGCGGCCGTGTGTTGGCGATTGTCAGAAGCCTTACTCCTTTGGATATCCCTTTGGTAATTTAACATTGAAAATGGCCATAGAAATAGCGTACCCTCTGGTAATGACTAACAGTTTGCGAACTGGAAAATGGCCATTTATACAGTAGTTGATTTACCTATGAAACACGGGGATTTTCCATAGCTGCGTTGGTTTACCGGGGGGTACACACTGCAGAAGTTCCTTCTGTGACCTGACAATGTAAGGCCCTGGGGGGGGCTGGGCAGTAGAACGTAGTAGAACCCTTTTTCAGTCCTTATTAAGTCAAGGGGTCATTCCCATATGCTCCATGTATGGTATATTTACCCACATTTGCCCTAAAAATCACCCAGTTTTGTAGGTAAATATACCATACATGGAGCATATGGGATTCTTTAAGGCCTTGTCAAGACTTTATTCCGAATGGATAGCTGATCTTCGTTATCCACTGCTTATCCAAATAGATGGATGATTTAGGATGATGTAAGCCACAACCCACATCTGAACAACGAAGAGGGTCGTTCTGGCAATGCCAACTTGGCGAGGTTTTTCTGGAATTTGCTCAAGTCTAGAGGGTATGAGATCTTAGTGGGTGGTTTTCGACGATTGTTTGCATATCTTTTGCGGAGTTTGGTGATTTTGGCGTTGTTTGATCATTGATGAGTTCGGGTGATTCCGAATGATTCTTTTTTTTCTCTTTGGTAATGGTAGTTCGTTGTGTTTTGGTGATTTTTGTGGATTTGGTGCCCTGAAGGTCATTTCTTGTTGGGGTTTATGGTCAACTAGTTTCTAAATAGTTGGCTGTTTCCCTGCTTATCCACCTAGGAGTAGGCAGTGGACAACTCCTTAATCCTTAGCCATTCTCCAATTCTCCCAAGTTGCAACTTGCAACCTCCGGGAACCCTGCAACTTGTTGACGACCACGCCCAGGCAAGTATTACAAAGGCTTGGGCACCAGCACCTCTGCGGAGGCTCGGGAATATTTTTCGGAACTGCAGCAGCACGAGTTGACCTTCTTGACCAATGAAGCTGCCACTTGGCGCAAACGCCACATCAGCCACTGAGCGCAGAAGGTCCACCACCCAAATAATGGATGAGAATAGCTGGATTTAGCTGGTGAATGAGTCTTTATTAGTGCTTGCAGTGCTTGCTGCTGGTGAACCAGCCGCGACAAGGTGATCAACATGATCAACCAGTGCTAGTTTTTCAGGGGTTGAATTCACATGATCTTGAGGTTGGAGAGGCTGTGGAAGTGAAAGTTTTCTGGAGATTTTTGTTAGCCCCTTCTCAGGGGTCCTCCGGTCTGCCATCGTACATGATAGCCCCAAGGGTGTAAATTAGTAATTTGATCAATGGGAGATCTTCAGGATCCTAGAATGGAGGTACGTTAGTACCATATGTTTGGCCATATTTTGTGTGGATATTCCCTTACATAGGCCTGAATTTTAGGCCTTATATATGGTAGGTACCTCCAATCAATCGGTTCCTAAAATGGCCATTGATTTGACCTCTTTATCCAATTTACTCACCTTGTACTTAGGGTTTTGGCAGCGGTTCTGCTCAGTTGGAAAAGATCTTACTCCTGTCAGCTGCAACGGCCTCGCCATAGAGGTGGTTTTTTAGAGGGGGGTTGTCCCAAAATGGTTGAGTGAACCGTTTAGTTCAGGTTTGCACCTATGGTCACTCATTCAACTGTAATTACATTATAATTAGACCTACATATTATCATATCCACCATAAACTAAGGCATACCCCACCACTACAGTAGGTGGTTGGGAGGGGGCGTGAGCTGAGCTGAGCGGGTCGTAATCCCTAGAATTGGGAGTCAAGGACAGTTTCCCAGTCACATGCTAGACAAGAATGCCATTTGATGAAGTACAGTTTAGAACATTGTTCAAAACAGACAAATAAAATGTGGATGTCATAAACATGGAAAATATATATTTAAGATGTAGAATCATTGTCGTGACCATTGGCCTGTATGCCTCTAAAGTGTGTTCAAGCAGGTGTTTATCGCCCCCATCCTGAAACCATGAAGGGTTGCCCCAAGGACCGCGCGTTAGTTGACATGGCCTTTAACGGCAGCTTGGTAGAAGCAACACGGGTTGTTTCTACGATTCGTAACCCTTGAAATTTGGGATTAGGATCCATGTATGCTATATATGGTAACATTTACCATCAATATACCCCAAATGTTAGCATATTAACCATACATGGATCCTATGGGAATGGAAGATGCAAATTTCCGGAGTTTTTTTTGGGGAAGATCGGACGATCATGGAAGATCCAAGAATTTCTGCACAGTGTCACTGTGGGAATGTGCAAACTGGGAATCTACCCTCTGGTTATTTAACATAGCCATGGAAAACGGTCCATTTACAGATAGTTTACCTATAAAAAATGGTGATTTTCCATGGCTATGTTAAATAACCAGATGGTAGTTGAGCAATGATTTCCCTGTGGGAATGGAACCGGAAATGAAACAATCATAATCACAGACATGGAAACTCGCAAAATGGAGAAACATGAACATGGAAACCCGAAAAAAAACCGGAGGATGGTTCGTTTCCTCTTGCACATGGCGGATGTTCGTTTCCATCTGATTGTTTCTATGATAGTGCATGCTGAAAATGACCCACAGCCATTATCTCGCAAAACGACCAAGGCTCCTACTAGCTTTCATGGTTCCTACCACCTGAGAAGTACAGAAAATCCAATCTCAGTTCGTTGTTTTTGTTGGGGTCTACCTTCAGATGCACATAGAGGATGTACACGAGAGGTGGCTTGATGAAAACAATCATTGATCGAGCCCGCATCCTGTTTTCTAGACTTACAGACTTCCATTTGGGCTTTTGGCTTGGTTGCCCATGTTTCTTGAAACAATTCTGCATTCATTACTCATTGCCATTGTTCCATCCAAAAAACAGGTTGTTTGGAGCCGATCTTGGTGTGTTACACCATGGGAATCGTCCCCCGCGCCAGGTAAGAAAGCCGACCAACGCAAAGAGTGGATTTCGCGCTGCTCCGGTGAGGAGTACGTTGATCACTCGCAGCCCACCCTGACGTTGGATGCCGCTCGCGCCAGCGAGGGAGGGGATTATATATTTCAATTCTCAATGGGAACGCGTAGGACAAGTACCCTCTGGTTATGTCAAAATGGCTATTGAAAATGACCATTTATAGTGGATTTACCCATTGAAAATGGTGATTTTCCCATCAGTTATGTTAGTTTACCAGAGGGTAGGACAAGTATGGATCAATTACAGTGCATTTACCCTCTGGTAAAGTAACAGTTTGCGAACTGGAAAGATCCACCATTTTTAATGGTTAAATCAACTATTTCGACTGGGCCATTTTCAATAGCTATGTTAAATTACCAGAGGGAACCTGTAGGTTCATTCTTTTCCTTGATCTTTATTGATTTTATTGCGTTTTGTGCTTGCTGTGTGTGTGTGTGTCTCATTGAAAGCTGGCAGTATACACTCCCCTTTTCTGAACTTCACCGTTATATGAATCCCAGATTTTGCTCGTTCAAGTCCAACTCCCGTGCAGTTGTTAATCTGATTTATATAGTTGTTGGTCAAAACAAATCCTTTGAAATCCCCGGGAATCATATGGAATGGTGGGTCAACGTAACTAACCCTTCTATTCGTGCAGTTAAATAAATGCCTATTTTCCATACACGTGGTGCCCCCCAGTGATAAGTTGGTTATGAGCCCCACTAGCTATATTTATTATCACCATAAACCTTAGTCATAGTAGTTATCAACCAACTTGGCTAACTATGGGGGAAACACCATTAAAATCCAATTATTTATATTATAAATAGATCACTGGTTTTTAATCCTATTTGGTTAACTCCCATGGACATCACCATGTTGAATCTTAATCATGCCAACCAATCCCCATTTTCTTTGGTCTCCACACTATATGTATACAAACATCAAAACAACCAACGTTAAACTATGGTTAATGGGTTTATAAACCAACAAACTTGCAGCAAGAGCGTCAAGCCATTAACTTCAAAACACTCATGACTGTTTAATTATTACACAATGGTTTTAGAAACCAACATCATTAGGAGGCATCACCTTGTAAGTGGACTACAAGCCCACAACGGCCCACACCTCAGCTGAGTCAGGACTTTGTGAACAAAGAACTGGTCCTCTGGGCCAAGTACGATGTTGAACGGGCCATTCCCAGCGTCGTTGATGGCTTGAAGCCGGGGCAGAGGAAGGTGCTTTTTAGCGCCTTCTTGAAGAGGTTGACGCAGGCACTTGGCAGCTCGAAACTGATGGTGTTACCATGAAACATGTGGGTGTCATTGGGGAAAACAAGGAACGCATGAGATTTTTGAATGGGGATATTTTTTTATTGTGATTTACAGGTCTTACAAATAGGGTATTCACCAGCCATAAATGGAGATAGAGTTGGATATAGTGGGCGAAAGAGGATGACTATATAGAGAAATAATATTTGTCATCCGTCTGCACAATCCTGATGCGTATGCCAGCAAAAACTGGGATTGAACTTTGAACATAAGGATATAAAGAGGAGAATAAGGGAAATTTACCATCAGAAAAGTGATTTAAGTATAGGGAACACACGGACATAATTTGGATACAATTAGGACTTACCATCAGAAAGCGGGATTGAACTAAGGAAATTAGGATATAATGGGAATAGCTTTGGGATATTTCACCAACAACCTATGATATTTGGGCGTGTTTCAAAAAAGGGAGCACCCCAAAATATGCACACAGTTTTATAAATGGGATGATGATGATGATGATGATGAATAGGATGAGGATGATGATGATGATGATGATGATGATGATTCACCTGCATGGGACACCCCCAAATCTCGGGGTAAGAACGGTAAGAACCAAGGTTTCCTGCCATGGATTCATAGATGATTCTCTTCTTCAAACATCTCACTCATAGGGGATTTCCCATCACTATGTATGAATGCTCAAGGGTAAGGTTTACAATACCAACCTCCAAATATAGAAAGTCGGTGTTTCCCCACCCCTTCGCCGGGCTTCCTCTTACCCTGTTATGGTAGGAGATGAAAGTGGCTCAATTCTCGGGCTTCGTCGCAGAAAAGTCACTGGCCTAACCCTGAGAACCATCGGAGGTTCTGGCAAGCTGTCTGTGGGTAAAACTAACATAACTATTGAACATGGCCCATTTATAGTGGATTTTCCCATTACAAATAGTGGATTTTCCATAGTTATTGGATGTTAATGTTGCGTCCTGATTAGTGTGTGGCCCCCCCCCCTAAACTATTTCTGGACTCTCTTTAAAGTAGAAAGTCAAAAAATTTCTTCCCAAAAGAAAAACATATCCTCAATTAAGTAAGGATTTCAATTGGCTACAATTGAAATCTAATTACTATTGTTTTTTTTGCCGATGAAGTTGTGGTATTTGTAGTACTTGTAGTACTTGTAGTACTTGTAGTACTTGTAGTACTTGTAGTACTTGTAGTACTTGTAGTACTTGTAGTACTTGTAGTACTTGTAGTAATTGTAGTACTTGTAGTACTTGTAGTACTTGTAGTACTTGTAGTACTTGTAGTACATGTAGTACTTGTAGTACTTGTAGTACATGTAGTACTTGTAGTACAGGTAGTACTTGTAGTACATGTAGTACTTGTAGTACTTGTAGTACTTGTAGTACTTGTAGTACTTGTAGTACTTGTAGTACTTGTAGTACTTGTAGTACATGTAGTACTTGTAGTACTTGTAGTACTTGCAGTACTTGTAGTACTTGTAGTACTTGTAGTACTTGTACATGTAGTACTTGTAGTACTTGTAGTACTTGTAGTACTTGTAGTACTTGTAGTACTTGTAGTACTTGCAGTACTTGTAGTACTTGTAGTACTTGTAGTACTTGCAGTACTTGTAGTACTTGTAGTACTTGTAGTACTTGTAGTACTTGTAGTACTTGTAGTACTTGTGGTACATGTAGTACTTGTAGTACTTGTAGTACTTGTAGTACTTGTAGTACTTGCATTACTTGTAGTACTTGTAGTACTTGTAGTACTTGTAGTACTTGTAGTACTTGTAGTACTTGTAGTACTTGTAGTACTTGTAGTACTTGTGGAAAAGCTGTTCTTTAATAAGGGTTTAATATCCTTTGGGAAAGGCTTGGAGTTTGAATTTGGCAATTTTGGAACAGGCTTGCTTCCCTTCTGGGCTTCCAGGGGCTGCTCTGGCACAGCTTGCTGCAATAGTGACCCCAGCAAACAAACCTACTAAAGTGAAATGGAGCCTCTCCTGGTCCAGGGCCTTGGAAAATTGTGGAAAAGCTGTTCTTTAATAAGGGTTTAATAAGGGATTGTTTCTTTTGGGAAAGGCTTGGAGTTTGAATTTGGCAATTTTGGAAAAGGCTTGCTTCCCTTCTTCAGGGGCTGCTCTGGCACAGCTTGCTGCAATAGTGAACCCAGCAAACAAACATACTAAAGTGAAATGGTGCCTCTACTGGTCCTGGGCCTTGGAAAATTGTGGAAAAGCTGTTCTTTAACAAGGGTTTAATAAGGGATTGGTTCTTTTGGGAAAGGCTTGCAGTTTGAATTTGGCAATTTTGGAAATGGCTTGCTTCCCTTCTGCAGGGGCTGCTCTGGCACAGCTTGCTGCAATAGTGAACCCAGCAAACAAACCTACTAAAGTGAAATGGGGGCTCTACTGGTCCAGGGCCTTGGAAAATTGTGGGAAAGCTGTTCTTTAATAAGGGTTTAATAAGGGATTGGTTCTTTTGGGAAAGGCTTGCAGTTTGAATTGGCAATTTTGGAAATGGCTTGCTTCCCTTCTTCAGGAGCTGCTCTGGCACAGCTTGCTGCAATAGTGAACCCAGCAAACAAACCTACTAAAGTGAAATGGAGCCTCTCCTGATCCAGGGCCTTGGAAAATTGTGGGAAAGCTGTTCTTTAATAAGGGTTTAATAAGGGATTGGTTCTTTTGGGAAAGGCTTGCAGTTTGAATTTGGCAATTTTGGAAATGGCTTGCTTCCCTTCTTCAGGGGCTGCTCTGGCACAGCTTGCTGCAATAGTGAACCCAGCAAACAAACCTACTAAAGTGAAATGGGCCTCTACTGGTCCAGGGCCTTGGAAAATTGTGGGAAAGCTGTTCTTTAATAAGGGTTTAATAAGGGATTGGTTCTTTTGGGAAAGGCTTGCAGTTTGAATTTGGCAATTTTGGAAATGGCTTGCTTCCCTTCTTCAGGGGCTGCTCTGGCACAGCTTGCTGCAATAGTGAACCCAGCAAACAAACCTACTAAAGTGAAATGGGGCCTCTACTGGTCCAGGGCCTTGGAAAATTGTGGGAAAGCTGTTCTTTAATAAGGGTTTAATAAGGGATTGGTTCTTTTGGGAAAGGCTTGCAGTTTGAATTTGGCAATTTTGGAAATGGCTTGCTTCCCTTCTTCAGGGGCTGCTCTGGCACAGCTTGCTGCAATAGTGAACCCAGCAAACAAACCTACTCAGATAGAGATGCATTTACAGGCTCAGATAGGGAGATGAGCAAAAAATTGACTGAGCTACAGCGTTTTTGAGAAAAAATGCCTCTCAGCAATTACAGTTTTTTTTGCAAAAAAAAGGGCTCTCCCAATTTTGTTTTGCCACAAAAGCGAACCCTCCAAACAATACATGAGTTTCAGAATAATTTGGAAAAAAATTGCCACAATAGCGACCCTAGGTACTAATCAGGACTCAACATTATTTGTATGTTTCAAATGGAACTCAACAAGGGCCATAGTACGATCATTTTCAGTAGCCCAATTAGTCACTTGACAGCAGAATACAGCTTCCACAAACGATCGTCACGAAGTGCGACGTCATCAGCATCGTCCCCAGCGGTTCACTGCGCCGATGGCACAATCCAAGACTTGGGCAGATACGCCCGCGTCGGATGGCATTTAGATGTAGTTACTTAATATCTTAATGTTATCGATTATTTAACATCAGGGGGACGGGATGCAACATCACAATCACAATCACCAAGTCCGCGAGATGCTTCAACAACCACATAAAGCTGGCATTTTTGTTGAGGGTTAGGCACAAAACGACCCAGATGTTGTGGTATTGATATGATCGAATCAAATATGATCCCACATGATCCCACCATTTCCAGTCATATCCTCGTGAATAAATGATACACCGATATACCCATAAATTCAAATTTAATACATTGATGTTTCATTCGCACATATTGTTGGTGATTGTGTTTTTTTCGTATTAGGGGGATGGCATTACGAATATTACGAATCGTCCCAAGAACTGACAGGTGGTGCCCCATACTTAGCTAAGTATGTTATTAAGGTTCACTGAGGTTCATGATGATTATAGCTATAATAGACATGTTAATCAACAACTATCATAGTAATTCCCTGATTTCTAGGCTTATCCAATTGCGAAGTGGGCTATAAAATGTCAATTTACTAATCATTGGGATGATCCTCCAAGTAACCATTCCGCAAGGCTTCCTTGGCTACGGCTAAGGAGTGCTTACCACCATGGCGAGGGGTCCTTGCAGCAAACCATCATCGGCATGGCGCAAAACTTTGTGGGCAGCCGCCCGGTGAAGCGGAGTTTTTTTTGGACATCGAGATGGAAAACGGATGAATTATGGCCCATTGAACTGCAGCAATTTACTCATAAAACATGCTTATCCATATCCAACTGATGATTTGTTGACACCAACTATATACCCTCTGGTAAACTAACATAACTACGGAAAATCACAATTTTTAATGGGAAAACTCACTATAAATGCCCATTCTCAATAGCTATGTTAAATTACCAGAGGGTAATTTATTCGGGATCATATCCCATAATCAATGGGATACCTGTCAACCAATGAGTATGTTGTATTATTTTGTGTCTTTTTGGATTGGAAACAAACATAATCCCAGAAAATTCTGATTGGATTGGAAACAAAAATACTCATTAGGATTGGATTATCAAAATCAATGGGAACAGGGATACCTGTCCCATATGCTCCATGTATGGTATATCTACCTACATTTGCCCTAAAAATCACCCAGTTTTGTAGGTAAATATACCAGCACCATGGAGCATTTCTGGGTGTGGTGATTTTCTTCATTTTTCGCGGCTCGGAGCTTTTTTCCCAGGTAACAATGTGAATCTTTTGACGCCTTCGGGGCAATTTGGCACGCGCATGGCAGGGGGCAAGGACCATGCAGCACCGCGATACATCTTCACGAGGACGGGGGTATGGTGAACCAGGAGACTTACCCGGTTATTAAACATTTAAACTTAAACCTAGCTATGGAAATCACTATTTTTAATGGGTAAATCATCATGTTTATCCATTTCTATCATCTATATATACATGGGCCATGTTCCATAGCAATGTTAAATAACCAGAGGGTAGGATGATATGATCTGGTTGCGGTTGATCTGATAAATCCCAGTTAGGAAGGTAAGCGGTGAAAAACTCACTATCTGGTTTATGGTTTCAAACATGAATTTTATTTTCCATTTCATATATGGGATAATCCTTCCCATGAACGAACTCATATTTTTCAAGATGGTTCAAACCACCAACCAGCTATTATACTTCTAACTTATAAACCAAATATAGCGGCAAAAAAAAAGCCCCCCCAGTGAAATGGTCATGTTGGTTGATCTAAACCCAGCCAGTTTCACCTAAATCCTTGGGGGATGGTTGTGATAAAACCGATTCAAACACTTCTGTGATAAAATTGGGGTGGTTTAAAATTGGGTGTTACCCTCTGGTGAACTAACATAGCTATGGAAAATGGCCCATTTATAGATGGTTTACCTATTAAAAATAGTGATTTTCTATAGCTATGTTAAATTACCAGAGGGTACCACATTACCATGTATAATTATAAAGATCACCTTGACCATAACCTCTATAAAATGCTGACCTCAGTACCTGTTATAGAGCGTTTTATATATATAAAAATCACCCCCCCAGATCAGCATTTTATAGTGATTTCACTTTATAGTGAGGTTTGGTCATACAACCGAGCATTTTATAGATGTTTTCCATTCGTAGCAATTGCGAATAAGATATTTGTTTTATAGAAAAAACATATGGCTATACCATGCATTTTATAGAGGAATATGATTTTATATAAAATGAATAGTGCCCACTTATCAAGTTTCTATATTCCATACAGCTGCCAACACCCTGATGGCTATAAAATGAAAAGTTCAGAGTGTCGCAAGAAGCACAACCAACAAGAGGCCTGATCAGATCATGTGTTACTTATGCACTACAAAATGATGGCTTTGCACACTTAGACATCAGATCTATATATATATATTTATGATGAATTGACATTATTTAATATTATTTTATATTATTTTAATATATAGTTTGATAATGTTTAATATGTGTTATACAATGTTAATAGGTTCCCTGCGATGACGTGCAGCAATTGCATTCATAGAAAAACAATGAAAAACACTTGCTTTGTTTTCTGCGGGAGGGGAGGGGGTGCAACAAAATTCGCCGGCCTTTGCTGCTGTGAAGGGCTCAAATCTTCAGGTGGCTGGTTCATTTTGTTCCAGATCATCTTGCATAGATCCTTCAAGATCCTTCGATCATGCCGCGTGCGCCGGCGCGCGTTGCAGAAAAAGTCGATCCCCGCTGCCCTCCAAAATGTCCGAGGGTATGTGTTGCTCGGTGGAAAGCTGACATAAACTGACATGTGCACACAGTTTCACACGTCGTCATAAATTTATACATAGTCTATGAGCGGATGCATCCTGAAAAACTAAGGGACAATCGAACTGTGTGGAGGATATGGAGCTGCCGAAGTGGGACGAGTGGAGACATGTGTGGAGTTGCCCGGGTGGCACTAGTTCAATCTAATTCGGATATTTTCATGCAAGGTGGCCAGATTTGTTTCGACTGTCAGAAGAACACGTGTCAGAACATGGTTGGGCATGATTGAACATATACAGTGTATCAAGCCATGGGTTGAACTTCTGCTCAATCCCCAAGGTTGCCGCTGTAAAATGCGGAGCAACAGACCATCATGGCACTATTATTACTGGAATGCAGACATGATGCTTGGATAGATCTTGAATTGCTGCATATCTGAATGCCCAAGCATACAGAAGCGCTTGAAGTGATGTTGATTCGCCCAGGAGTGTATGGGAGTTTACTCTTGAGATTTCCAGAACTGTTCCCAAGAAGGCAGAGGCGTGCTAGCTGTGGAGCATAAAATCATAATATACACTAGTATATTTTTATACATGTATATGCAATTGTGTACAAGTACACATAATGCATCATAAGATGCATCATAATACATCATAAGACAATATAGTACATCATAATACACCATAATACATCATAAAACATCATAATACTGTCTATTGCATGCCTACATATGATCATTCTCATGTCAGTTACAGAGTGGGCATTCGGTGAAACTGTCAGCATTATATCATTATTGTATATGCAATATGTGTCTTGCAATATCCGGTACATGCATGATTCAGGCCATGACAGTGCCTCCTGAGACGCACGGTTCCAATGCAACAGCGTGGCGCCCTAGAAAATTCACATAGATTTACTTTTCTTCATCCTTTGCTGTTTTGATGTATATTGATGTAGGTTGATCATTATATATTGACTTATATTGTGTTAAATTATGGCATATTCATGTAGATTGTATATGTTTCAGTTTTCCCAGGGATGAATAGGTTGAATTGGATATTCAGGGTAGTCAGGACGTTTCATTTTATAGGTTCCTTCCGGAACCAGGTGACTGATGACAAATCGAAAGCAGGAAAGCCTAGCGCGAAGGTGTGAGCCCATAGCCACTTTTGGATGTATTTGAAAGGTACTAATGGGGCAGCACTTCATGGCACTTGTTATTTGCTTGGTAAAATTACAATTCAACAATTACTTCTTGGATCTTTGTGGCTCTTTGTCGGTCCAACGTCTCTATTTCATTCTATTTTTATGATTAGGTCTAAGTAAATCTAATTCGATCTTTAATGAGATCTGACTAGTATTGACTAGTGGTTTAAACTTTGGATTGTTATTATTAGTGCCACCCACGTCATTCCTCATTCATCAGCCAGCATGTCCGGACCAGGCCGACGGGAAAGGAAAGACTGACGGCCCCAAGGCTTCCAAGTCCAAGGACAGTGCAAAGGTGGTTGAACTAAGATCGCCCATTTTGTCCGGGAACCTCCTTATTTTATCTTATTTTGATAACATTACGGTACGTACGTACGTGCACTTGTAAGTAATATCTTTGTTTTTGAATGTGTTTGATCTATTTTGTTGTACTATGTTGTATTCTGTTGTAAAGAATCATGGTTGTCATTTGAGATATTGTGGGTTACTGTGGTATGTTACACGGTCATACAGTATGTTGACGTATATTGATGTAAGTTGATATCTACTGATGTATATGGATGTATATGGTATATGTTTTGGAATTCCCACGGTTCAGCAGGTGTACTTGGATGTCCAGGGTACTCTAGACATTCCATTTTATAGAATCCTTTCGGCGCCAGGAGACTGATGACAAATCGAAGGCAGAAAAGCCTAGCGCGAAGGTGTGAGCGCATTGCCACTTGTGATGTTGTTTGAAAAGGTGCTAGTGGATCAGCACGTCATGGCATCTCTATGCATGTTTTTTTTTTGGTCTGATGCAAGATCTCTGTGGGTCCAATCTCTCTAGTGGGTTGTGAGCTTTGCCCGGACCAGGCCAGCGGGAAAGGGAAGACCGATGGCCCCAAGCCTTCCAAGTCCAAGGACAATGCAAAGGTGGGGGAACCATGCTTGCCCATTTTGTCCGGGAACCTCCTTATTTTATCTTCTTTTGATAACATTATGATACGTACGTGCACTTGCAATTTCTTTTATTTTGATATATTTTGATATATTTTGTGATATTGTCTTTTATTTGGTTATATAGAATGGTTGTTGTATGTTGTTGTCATTTGAGCTATTGTGGGTCACTGTGGTATGTTACACTGTCAGGCCATACAGTATTTTGATGTATATTGATTCTGTATGTTGAATTATACTGATGTATTTTGTATATGTTTTGGACTTCCCAAGGTTCAGCAGGTGGACTTGGATGTCCAGGGTACTCTAGACCTTCCATTTTATAGAATCCTTTCGGCGCCAGGAGACTGATGACAAATCGAAGGCAGAAAAGCCTAGCGCGAAGGCGTGAGCGCATTGCCACTAATGATGTTGTTTGAAAAGGTGCTAGTGGATCAGCACGTCATGGCATCTCTATGCATGTCTCCTTTTTTTGTTCTGATGCAAGATCTTTGTGGGTCCAATCTCTCTAGTGGGTTGTGAGCTTTGCCCGGACCAGGCCAGCGGGAAAGGGAAGACCGATGGCCCCAAGCCTTCCAAGTCCAAGGACAATGCAAAGGTGGAGGAACCATGCTTGCCCATTTTGTCCCGGAACCTCCTTATTTTAGCTTATTTTATCTTATTTTGATAACATTATGGTACGTACGTGCACTTGTAATACTGTTTTTTTTTTCGGTGATATTTGGTTATATTATGTTATAGTTGGTTATATATATATAGAACGGATTTTGCTGTCATGTGAGCTATTGTGGGTTACTGTGGTATGTTACACTGTCATATAAGCCATTTAGATCCATATAGAATCATTAGATGTATATTGATTCTGTATGTTGAATTATACTGATGTATTTTGTATATATGTTTTGGATTTCCCAAGGGTTCAGCAGGTGGACTTGCATGTCCAGGGTACTCGATACCTTCCATTCTATAGATTCCTTGCGGCCAGGAGACTGATGACAAATCGAAAGAAGAAAAGCCTAGCGCGAAGGTGTGAGCGCATTGCCACTTGTGATGTTGTTTGAAAAGGTGCTAGTGGATCAGCACGTCATGGCATTTCTATGCATTTTTCATTTTTTTTGGTCTGATGCAATTTAATATGTTGTGGATCTTTGTGGGTCTTTGTGGGTCCAATCTCTCTAGTGGGTTAGAACTTTGCCTGGACCAGGCCAGCGGGAAAGGAAAATCTGGTGGCCCCAAGCCTTCCAAGCCCAAGGACAGTGCAAAGGTGGTTGAACTAAGATCGCCCATTTTGTCCGGGAACCTCCTTATTTTGATAACATTACGGTATGCACGTACACTTGCAATACCTTATATATCCTTATATCACATGTTGATCTTTCTTGTTTTATAGAATGTTTGTTGTCATTTGAGCTATCGTGGGTCACTGTGGTATGTTACACTGTCATATAAGCCACACAGTATTTTGATGTACATTCATTCTGTATGTTGAATTATACTGATGTATTTTGTATATGTTTTGGACTTCCCAAGGTTCAGCAGGTGGACTTGGATGTCCAGGGTACTCTAGACATTCCATTTTATAGAATCCTTCGGCGCCAGGAGACTGATGACAAATCGAAGGCAGAAAAGCCTAGCGCGAAGGTGTGAGCGCATTGCCACTTGTGATGTTGTTTGAAAAGGTGCTACTGGAATCTAATGGATCAGCACGTCATGAAATTTCTATGCGTTTCTCATTTTTTGGTTTGATGCAATTCAATGCTTTGTGGATCTTCGTGGGCGTTTGTGGGTCCAATCGCTCCAGGGTGTTTGAACTTTGCCCGGACCAGGCCAGCGAGAAAGGGACACCTGATGGCCCCAAGGCTATCAAGGCCAAGGACAGTGCAAAGGTGGGAACCTGCGCCAGGGTTTGTTCTTGTGTGAATGAAGTATATATAAATAGATTGGAATTGTTTTGGATCTGTAACATCAGCAGCATCCAGCAGCCAGCGCGCCCGAACCAGGCCAGTGACAAGGCTGATGCCTCCAAGGCTCCCAAATCCACAGATGGCGAAAAGGTCAAGGACCCCGGCTTACCCCGGTCATTTTATATCAATGGCAGTCTTGAAACATGGAGTGTCACTGGATGTTACTGGTAGTCGTGTTCTCAACACCTTCCATTTTATAGACACAATATGAGTCAGTCTGATTGACGACACATGCTTACAAAATCTTACGCAGTTGCTTTTTGACGCTTGTTGACGATTTGTCATATGTTTGAATGTGTTGTATCATTATTTTTCATGGCTTATCATGCTTATATCATGGTTATGTCCTGGTGTATTAATGTTTCTTGTGTTTAATTTGCCAAGTTATACATCGTTTTTTTGAATCTTTATGACTGTTATTGTCTTTTTCTGTATCCATCAGCCTGCATACTCGAACCAGGCCAGTGCGCAGAATGATGGCTCCAAGCCATTGAAATCCACGGAAGAAACACTGGTTGGGGGGCCCCGGCCAGTTCATGTCAACGAAATTCAACGAATTTTGGAAAGATCTTGATATACCTTTGCACTTTTGTGCGCTGCCTTCTTGTGTGCATGAGTAGTTTACAAGGGAATGGGATGGAATGAGTACCTTGTTTGTCCTTGTTGTGGATGATATATATATATATATATATATTTAATTATATAAATATATTTTTACAAATATATATATATATATAATTATATATATATATGTACTTTGATATTATAATATATTATATATATGTATATGTTTTGGATTTGTTTTGGCTCTGTAACATCAGTAGCCATTAGCCAGCGCACCCGAACCAGGCCAGTGACAAGGCTGATGCCTCCAAGGCTCCCAAATCCACAGATGGCGAAAAGGTTGGGGACCCCGGCTTACCCGGCCACTTTATATAACTGTCAATCTTCAAATATGGAGTGTCACTGGATGTCACTGGTATTTGTGTGCTCAACACCTTTCATTTTATAGATACAGTATGAGTCAGACTGATTCACGACATATGCTTACAAAACCTTACACAGTTGCTTTTTGATGCTATTTGATCATGCTTCATCATTGCTATATCGTGGTGTATTCATTGACTGTTTATTATGTTTAATTTGCCAGTCGAACCAGGCCAGTGCGCAGAGCGATGGCTCCAAGCCGTCGAAATCCACTGAAGAAACGCTGGTTGGGGGCCCCGAAACTCAAGGAAATTCTCTGATGACCTTCATATATCTTTGCACTTCTGTGCGCCCTCTTCTTGTGTGCATGATTGTTTTGAAAGTTTCAATGAGGTGTGAATACATGTGAATACCGTATATTGTCCTTGTTGTGGATGAACTATATACTTTTTGGATCTTTTTGGATCTTTTTGGATCCATTAGGATCTAAAGTCAGCATCCATTAGTCAGCGCACCCGAATCAGGCCAATGATAAGGCTGATGCCTCCAAGGCCACCAAACCCATAGATGGTGAAAACGTGGGGGACCCTGGCTTTCTCTGGCCATTTTATATCATTTTCAGTCTTGAAGTATGGAGCGTCACTGGATGTCACTGGTAGTTGTGTCCTCTCATGGCTCAGCATTTTATAGACGCAGTATTTCGGGGTATTTTGGGATAGGATATTTTTTAAATAATCATAACTAATCAAATGTTTAGATACAGTATATTTACATATATTTACATATATTTACATATATTTACTGTATATATCCAAGAAAGGTACAGTTTTGTGCTGGTAACTGTCGCAGACGTGATTATTGTGAATGCGCGGCACTTGCAACCATCAACCGGCATATCCGGATTAGGCTGACGTGCAAGATGATGGCTCCAATCCATCCAAATCCATGGATTGCGCAACGGCTGGGGCCCCAAAGGCAATCCAGTGCAATGTCATTATGTTTTTTTTAGCTTTCTTGTAAGATGTATTCAGGATGTTTTTCACACAAAGCTCTATAGGGTCAACACACACAACAAACCAAGTCTTTCACGGGTCGCTGCCTCAAGCAAGGGTGGCACATTCAGGCACAAAGTGAGCCAGCATGAAACAACAGGCTACTCGTAAGAGTATATCATTTAAAACAAAAGATACATTGGATTTACATGGATTTACATTGATTTACGAGATCCCAGGTTAGATCTCGTATCTGTTTAATTCATCACAGTTCCGTATATACAGAATTATTATAGACATATACGTATAATATCGTATAATGGTGTAAATACATGTATAGCCAGTTGTCATCATATATATATATAATTATATATATAATTAATTATAATTATATATAATTAATTATAATTATATATAGATAATCAGTTAACATCATATAAAATCATATATATATATACACACTGCAATAAATACAAGTATAGAAATACTGCAAGAATCCCGGATTGTGCCTCAGCCATCTTCAGTGGTGCCTTTGTCCTCCTTTGTCTATGGCTGCTGCTCTTGACAACCTCACAGAGACCGAAGCCTTGTCTGAGCATTTCCAAGTTGGCTGCTTCGACGTTGCCATTGTGCTCACAATCTTCGCAGTCCTTGTGGGCACTTATACACTCTTCGGCGTGTTGAAGCGGACACTGGGGTGGGTGGTGAGCTGTGTGAAAAACCCACTCTCCACGCATGTAGCCAGAGATTTGAACCCAGTGATGGCTAGGCTCCAGCAACAGGTCGAAGAGCTGCAGGCTAAGTTGGATGAAGAGTGCAGAAGACGTCGGCGCGCCGAATCTCAACCGGTTTGGCACCCAGACGGAAATTCCTTGACACAGCAGCTTGCTGATCGGGAAAGGCTGCTTGAAGATAGACTCCATGTCTTGGAGGATGCTCTTGCAACATGCCAGCAAGATCGAGCTAGGCTTGAGAACGAAAGGAACCAATACAGGGAAAGAAGCAGACTTCTCATCAATGGGCCTTGCTTCGTGACCAAGAAAGGCAGCAAGTGGCACTGCACATTGGACTGCAGAACACTTCAAGGATCTCAGCCTGACCTCAAAGAACCCATGTGCCGCTTCTGTGCGGAATGGCTCCGAGCTGAGACAGGAGATTTAATGGTGTAGGAACATGACCTGAGGTGCTTTGGCATGTCCCGGGTTAGCGCATGTCAAATTTAATGCATAATTGATCATAATTGATCATAATTGATGCAAATACATCGGCCTCAAGGCTACGCCACAGTGAGAAAAAAACGCGCTTCGGGCCAGCGCTGCACAAAGGGGTCAGGATGTGGGGGCCATATGATGCCATATGCAACCATATGCATATCCACATGCATCCTTGCAAGTTTTATATGGCTCGATATGGTTTCATAATGTTTTTTAAGGTTTTATATTCTGTATCCATGGGTGCAAGCCATTCATTCTATAGACTTTGCTCAAGTATGTTCACACCACCAGCCCGCAGTGTCCTGAGGTGGAAGATACCGCAAGAGTGTGGGTGCCAAGCTACTCCAACCCTGACTGTCTATTCTTGCGGGTTGCCGCTGCTGTTTTGTCATTCTGCTTCCAAGCATCAGGCGTTTATTATCTCACTCAATCATGTTGAATGATGATATCACATCATATGCCAGCGCAATCTGTCTGAGGGATTTGGGGCTCAAAGGCAGTATTGTAAAAGCCAGCTTAGCATAGTTCCACTGCTGTTTCTGCTTTTCTTGCCACAACATGCGGTTTGGTCTTTGCATTTGGCTACTAGCTCTTGTGGCCGCGGCAGCTCCTGAGAGACCACTGTCGCTGAAAGAGGACACCACCAGCACTGTGGATGATGAATCAAAGCGTCTCGTCGTTCACCAAAAGACTGGACAAGCAGATATACAATGGCATACATGTTGATTGTCTAAAATATAATAAGTCTTGACAAATCGTAGAGAAAAACATGAAAATCGGGAACATCATTCCAAAAAGATCAAACATCCAAGAAGCGAAACATTGACACAAAACTCAGACTAAATTTGATGTAAAGAGACAGTTTTGAACGTCACAGGTGGTTTCATGCTGCCGACAACTTCAACTTCCTGGCGCGTGTCGCCGGTCGGATGTTCATCGAGAGTGACCTGGGCCTGGGATTACTGTGGATTGCTGGGAGTACTATGGAATTTCTTTGTGTATACAACATATCTAACATCTCTATAAAATTTTGTGTCAGACATATCTTACCTTTCTATAAAATGCAGTGTCTGCTGCCACAGAGTACATATATAATGACTATACACTGTATATATATGTATATATATTCAATTATATTCATTTGTAACTATAGGATACTATAGGATACTATAGGTGTATTCATTTGATTTCTTCTGATTGATTTTGAATTGCTGTCCTCGTTTTCGTTTACTGTATCTCGGGATATATGAATATATAGTACCCCCCTGTGCCCCTACTATATATATATAAATCGATATTAGATTGTAAAATATACAATATGATTGTGATTGATTATGTATAATTACATGTGATATTTATGTAGATACGTGTAGATACCATGTTTGAGCATGGCAGTTCAGTTGTTATTTGCTGCCAGGTACGCCTTACCTGCACTGCCTGGACTGCTTCGGTGCCTCCCAACGGGTGAAGTCCTGCTGGGAGGATGCAGGGTACAAGTGTGAATCCTACGATTTGAAGCTTAACCCACAGCATGATTTGTCCTTGTTTGGGGGTTGCGTCGAGCTGATCCGACTCATGTTTCTGTCGCTTGATCTCGTTTCAGTTTTTCAGTTTTTAATTGTAAAATACAAATGCAGTATGTTGTAGTGTACATATAGAATCATGAGTTATAACATGTTATAACATATCATACTGTAATGCTATTTTATGCTATTTTTATCTATTTTCAATTATAACTAACTATGTGTATAATATTGATTAATATTGTGTGGTTATTTCAAAGTATATCATCCTATATAAATAGATATAAATAACATGGTAGATCTTAGTATATCTATGCGGTTTTCACATGTTTTCACATGTTTTCACATGTTTTCACATGTTTTCACATGTTTTCACTGTCTATTTACATCTAATTACATCTAATTACTCTGTTTTTTTGTGTGCATTCTTTTGTGTGGTCTCTAGACTCTAAATTTGCTGAGCTCGATATTCTGTGACATTCCCTGAGGTTGCTTGCTGGAGGCATCATTATCTCAGGACCTCCATGTTCGCTGATGGTGGCCGCCTCCCAGTCGGTGCACCGAAGGACATGGACAAATTTGATGGGCAACATTCAAAACAAGCGAGTGCGCTTGTCAAACATTCTGTGGAGCAATTATGCCATTTGGTTGCGCAAAGCTAGCGTCACAATTCATCACATAGCATTACGCTGCAATAATTCAAGTTTACCCATATTATACAATATCATGTATGTATATATATATATATATCATTAATTATACATCCAGGTCATTGCTGGATGCTTTTGTATACTGCTACCTCAGCATTTTATAGTGGCAACTTGTGCTTGTGTGTGCCAGCTATAACCGAAGCCTTTGATCATACGCAAGGTGTCTGAAACCATCAGGCATGCTTCCTTGATTATTATGCTGTATCTCAGGTCGTGTGCTTACGGGTGGTCCAGAGGCCGGAGAACTCCTCTTCAGTCATTCTGCCTACAGAAACATCCCGAAGCTGTCGCAGAGAGCTGTCATCTTGCAATGTCGTGTCGTTTTTGTATGTTGTTGTTTCAGATGCTTGTCGTGATTGTAGCGTGGCTCAGAAAACAACTCCTGAAAGTCAATCTGGATGAACCTGGATGAAGCATGACGAAACCTTTTTCTCTGAAGATTGCCAGATTAGCATGCAGGATCCGCAAAGATCTGATCCTTCTCGTGGAGCAACCGGCGTCTTCTTGGGCGTTTAAGATGCCAATGCTGATCAAGCTTGCAAAAGAGTGGAACATGTAGCTTGAAGCACATTATTAGATATTATTAGGATTTATTATAGGATACATTCGATACATTAGACATCATTATACAGCTGAAACGGGTGGAGTAAGAATACGTACCTACAATATCCTACAATAACCATCAATATCCTACAATATCATATAATGTTTCCAAATATTTTATATTTATGTGCTATGCATGAAAATTGCAAATGATAAATGATGATAAGTGTATTGCGAATGCATATGTATATACAGAACTATGATGAACTATGTATATCTAGATATATGATGATATATGATGATATATGATACAGAACTATACTGTATATAGACATTATATATATATATATATATTTAGTCGGGTATGAACCGGTTAGATATGACAGATTTCTTGCAATGACTTGAACATGTGGATGTTCTTGGAACATCTTGGAATCTTGTGGCTTGCTCGCTTGAGGCGCAAACTGACAACCTATATGGGTTGTTTTGGTCATGACCTCGAAAAATGTTCGCACTTATTGACCAATCTGCAGTTACCTGGATGGAGTTGGATGGAGATACTGAAAGACGAGGACATTTGAATTTCAATTTTGAGATGTTTCATGGACACCCTCAGTTTCCTCTCAGGTTCGTGGATCCTGTGGTGCGGAGCATGACAGCTGCGATTCGTTGTCAGATCAAGGCAGCGAAGATCGCTTTCCATCGCTTTCCCGTCATATTCGTGCCTCTTATTGTAGCATCCTATAGCACGATTCCTGTTGATTGCTTCAGGAAAGATTCCAGCGACGGCAGCTGCGCCGCACCGTCAAGAAGGCAGGCAAGCCCTCAGTTCATCCCAACTTCAATTGTAGTATAATGTAGTATACATGATTAGTCGTCATGGATCCATAGAATTATGTACGATTCTATCTATATACATATTCGTGCCACTAGAATATATTAAAATCATCTAAAACCATCTAAAATCATCTAGAATCATTTGAAATCTTTTGAATCATGTAACCGTGAGTCTTGTGGAAGCGTGAGTACGGATGCTTCCGGCATGCTGCTGCAGGAGTATTGGAGAAGAACTTCGAATGGAAAGTGGTGCGGTGGAAAGCATTTGGCAGACTCTGCATCATACACATCAGGTTTTTGCAAAGCGCTGCTGCAGTGCTGGCTTGGATGCTTGATGATGCAGACTAAATTTCATGGACAATGTTTGACAATGTATTGTAGAAGTATATTGTCAAAATGTTGATTCCCACCATTTTATAGACCCAGATTTTTGGCCGCTAAGAGAAGTTCCCAATTTCCAACCAGATCCATACAGAATCAATGAACATCACTATAAAATGAGCCCTCCGTCTCAGGAGGCGCTATTGTCCATCTGGAGTGATCGACGCGCTTCAACGGACTTCTGACTCAGTGCCAAGATCGCTGCCTTTGGAATGGTGTCTACATCTTTCTAGTATGCTGCCACGGTATTTGTATGTATTTGCATCTTTCATGGATGCTCTGAGCTTGTGGCTGGATTCTGTAGATTTGTCGCCCGGGATCGTACGGGGTCCAAAGGTGGCATTTTGAAGGAGCGTGGGAGCTGCCCTGATATTGCTACCATTCAGATCCATACAGCGACATTAGCATTTCGTTCCAGTTCGCCCAACTGTATCCCACCACCGGATTGCCAAAAAAAAACAGTTTTTCGGAAAATTCATGCCAAACCATATGAAACCTAATAAAGTTCTGTCTGCAGAGATCTTTGAAGCTCTGTAGAGGTTTATCTCTCCATTTTACTACGGACTTTATCATACTTTATCTATCTTTATCTTTGATTTCTTCAGATTATCATACTATTTCATACTATTTCAATCTATTTCATATTAGTTTAGCATATTTCATCATAGTTCATCATATTTCTGATGATTGCATGTGGTTTTCTTCGGCATTTGGATTGGTCAGGCGCGGATTCCTGACAAACAACCGGAGATGTGGCAGTGCAGAAAAGCATTTTTACGTGCGACTGCGACACTTTGTCCATCATTTTTGCAGAGCATTGGATCAAAAAGAATCAGAATGGACCATTTTGATCAATCTATCCATCCTGGTTCATCCCGGATTGTTTTCTGATAGTCTGGCTTGAAATGTGTTAGATTCATCCGTTTGCCTCTTTGGCATTCTTTGGCAGCGTTGAGCTCATAATGATCTTCGTGACGAAACTTTTGATATCTTTTGAATTCTTTTGGATTCTTTTCGTATGTTTGCGTCTATCTGAATTCCTTTGTGATTTGATGCTATGTGCTTCTAAGGCTGAGCATAAAGACGCAAACGATCCAGGATTGGGTCAAGGCACGAGATTTAGCTGGAGCTGACTGATGCTTTGGACTGGAAATTGCAGGTCATGAATATCACTCATTGAATGAAATCGTTTGAAATTGAATGAAATTGATTGAAATTGTATGAAATTCATTGAATTTCTTTGAAATTCAGGACTAGCTTTAGTACAATGCTTGTTGATGTCCGTTGCATGTCGACTATAAAATCAAAGGCCAAGGGTGTCTAGACACTTTGAGATGAATATAGTGAAGCATAAGTAAGTATGAACATGTGTGAACCTAGCATTTTATATGATTATATATGGATATATATGGTTCTGATTGATCATGAATTTCAATGATATATTTTGATTCTAGATGTGTATTGAGCTGATGTGTATGAGCCAATTTACATGTGTATAATTATACCATATTAAAATATATTTTTAGAATTTTATAGATATTTATAGATTATATTTGATTTTGTATGTTCAAATATATAGATGCATTTAGTTTTGTATATTAGTGTATTTTATTTTTACATATTGTTTACTGTATATTATATCATTTGATATATGTATATATGTATATATGTATACAGATATATGTAAATGTATATGCATAATTATGATTAATTATGCGTTTATTATTTTCATTTACGTTCCTGTATTATATTTTTCACATATGACCATATTTTATCATATTATATCCTGCTACTGTTTTTTCATGTTTTTTCACAAAGTTCCTGATCCGGGTGGCGCCAGGACAGACTTTGGAGATGCTTACGCCCCCAGTTGCCATCGAAATTGAACAGACAGGAGATACACTGAACGACACCGGAGGATGTAACAGGTCTAAAAAATATTAAAAAATGATATGTCCATACATGCCCCACCTATTGATAATTATTGCTGAGCATGATATGTAGTCCAAACGGGGCTGTCCAGGGAAAAATCGTGAAGGTATTGTATGGTATTATCTCATATTGATTTTGTTTCCAAAATTTGTACAATGTTGCAATATGATGTAAGACGTCGTTTTGATCTATTACAACCGTTTAATATCTTTCATATTATTTTATATTCTTTTTTGGTGGTCTACACTTCAAATCTTTTTAGATTTCTTTTATGCTTTAGTTATTATGCACCAAGCCATCTCCAAATCGGCACCAAGCCATGTTCATCCATTCTCAATGTTGTTGTTCTATGAGACGTCAACTTGCACGACGGTGTCGCAGTCCATTCTATATAGAACGGTTGTTTAGACTGCAACCTCAGCATGTTATAGAAGCACATTCAAAATATAGAAAAAAAACTATGACTGTACCAAGCATTTTATAGAGATAATTTGACGATAGATCTAGGAAGGGAAAAGAAAGAACACGTATGAACCATCTATAAAAATGACCAGCGGTTTATATGAAATCTGCACCTAAATTATTAACCAATCAATATGTTGCTATTAAATGCTATTAATATATAGTAATATCTATTAATGGTTTATTAATACTCTAGTACCTAAAACAAACAAATTTGTGCTGGATAGCTAATAGACTCTTATTAAATTTGATATCAAATAAGGACCTCTACAAGTTTTATCAAGTTTGTTCAGATTTTTTTGGTGTCCACATCTAAAATCATCTAAAGACCAAAAAATGTTATTCATAAATATTCATAAGATTTCAATTTGTGTTTGATTAACTGGGGGTCAGGCGGATCGGTCTGGGCCCGTTGTGCTTCCCGTATGTGGCTCCCCATTGTGGCTCCCCGGTGTGGCTCCCCGTTGTGGCTCTCCGTTGTGGCTCCCCGTTGTGGCTCCCCGGTGTGGCTCCCCCCGTTTTCGGGTCGAAGTCCTCGAGCCAGATTTCCGCCAACCCGTTGTATGTCCCAGATCGTCCGAAAAAATGTGAGGTCCCCCCCCTGGAAATACCTACCCTAAACGGAAGTTACATTTAGGGGTCCCCCCTCATTTACAAACGAACATTTTTCACTCTTTACATGGGAACATTTTTCACTCTTTACATGGCCCCCTACAAACCAGAATTTTATAGATTTTTATAGTCTTTACATGTCTTTACATGGTATCCCACAAACCAGCATTTTATAGTATTTACATGGTCCCCTACAAACGAACATTTTTCACTCTTTACATGGCCCCCTACAAACCAGAATTTTATAGATTTTTATAGTCTTTACATGTCTTTACATGGTATCCCACAAACCAGCATTTTATAGTATTTACATGGTCCCCTACAAACGAACATTTTTCACTCTTTACATGGCCCCCTACAAACCAGAATTTTATAGATTTTTATAGTCTTTACATGTCTTTACATGGTATCCCACAAACCAGCATTTTATAGTATTTACATGGTCCCCTACAAACGAACATTTTTCACTCTTTACATGGCCCCCTACAAACCAGAATTTTATAGTCTTTACATGGTATCCTACAAACCAGCATTTTATAGGTTATTTACATGGCACCCTACAAACCAGCATTTGTTTGATTCTATATGATTTTTTAGGGTTTCTCGATGTTTCTTGGTTTAAGCGGGCCAGAATGCGAATCAAAATGCCCGGTTTGCTGCAAGAAGGGATGTTTGAAGATCCAGGTATACTCTGGTGATGTCTAACAACCGCGCACACCCTATTGTAATGGTGCCATGATGCAAAGGCAACGGTGCTTCGAGTCACGAAGGACCTCGCATCCATGTTACCTGTGACATGGAGTTCTTGATCATTGATGCCGCATGCGGAGCCGCAATCTGAATGAAAATAAAGGAGGGGATGATTGATATGCCGCCTGATAGTCGGCATGATGCAGGGTTCCCGGTTTCCCTTGCGCATCCACAGCAATTGACCTGATTTTATCATGGCTGGACATTTTGAAACTTATGCCCTGCGCAACATGGCGCAAGCCGTGCGCCAGCCACGCGCTTGCCATCGCTCCCGCGATCGCGCCCGCCATCACATGCCATCGCTTCAGAATCATACGAACTTGTTTCATCTCCTTTGGTTGGAGTGGATAGATCTTAGCCGTTTTCATGCAGAGCTATGTTGATAGATGTCGTATCATTAAACACGACAGATGATCATGAAATACAATACAGTGTCACTTTTGGTGGATGGTGGGTGTGGCCCCAGGACTTGCTGCAGAGCTACCTCCGCTTCCACCTCCGCGTTCGCCTCCGCGTTCGCCTCCGTGTTCGCCTCCGTGTTCACTTCCAGCTGCTGACTTTCAATCAGGCTTTGAAGACGATGCAGTACCAGGCCCGGCCACTTCCACCTTCAATGTGAGCAGTCGAACATGATGTCTATAAAAGTGCACTGTTTCCACATGGGTGTGGGTCACAATTTGTTGATGGGTAAAGATTTGGGAAAATGGAGTATCATGGCGCAACCGCCAAAGTTACCGGAATGATACCATATCATACACAGCAATCAATTGTTTCACTTGAGCAGCCAACAAAAAACGTTTAGATCCTAAAGTACCATGACTCGGCTGTTTCCACTGACCACTCACTGTGAGCAGTCCAGCATGATGTCTATAAAATTCAATGTTTGCACGTTGGTGTGGCTGCGTAGTGAATAGATGTAAATAGCGCACAATGGATTCGCGTTGTCACTGTAAGCAGTCCGATTTCTATCCAATCTTGAGCCGCCGACAAAAATGTTTAGATCCTGAAGTACCATGACTCTGCTGTTTGCACTGACGAGTCTCACTGTAAGCAGTTGAGCATGGTGTCTATAAAATGCAGTGTTTGGACATTCATGTGGTTCACACTAGGCAAGAAGAAGCGGTACAATGGGAGACAAGGGGCAACAAGACCCTGATCCGTTATGAAGATTTCTACATCCCTTGCTTATTAGCTGTTACGTTGGATCACGCTGGATCTCCATAAAATAGATTGAACCAAGGATGATGATTGCTGCATTCAAATTCAAGTTGGGATTGCGCCCACTATGTGCCATCTACATCCATTTACATTCATACCGAAGTATGGTTCGGTTGAGGTTGAATTTTGGGTCGGTTTCGGGCTTATGTTGGGCCATTTGGAGGCTATGTTGGGCCTTTGTTGAGCGATTTTAGCGCTATGTTGGGCCATTTGGGGCTTTGTTGGCGGCTTTCGGGCCTAAAATTTCAACCCCAACCGAAGCATAGTTCCGTTGAGGTTGAATTTTGGGTCGGTTTCGGGCTTATGCTGGGCCATTTGGAGGCTATATTGGGACTTTGTTGTGCCATCTTAAGGCAATCTATGTGGGCATTCCCAGCCTGATTTTGGCGAATGAGTGGGAGTTGCGCCATCTATGTCCCAAAAAGGCAGCTTGATGTTGAGAAAAAAATGTTGGGGGAAACCGGCGCAGAAGATTGCAAAAAATATGTAATTTTTAGATATTTTTTGGGACATAGATGGTTCAACTGACCTGTTTTAAAGGGAGTTGAGCCATCTATCCCCCATTTTTTTTTGACATAGATGGCGCAACTCAAGATTCTGAGCCATGTACTTTTAGGGGCGAGTATAGCATCAAACCCTTAATGAATAAACCTTTAAGCTGTTAAAATATGTTAAAATCAGGGTTTAGCAATCAATCACCCCCAAAAAATCGGAATGAATTATCCAAACGTTATAATGAATAACTTACAGTGATATACCAACATTATATATATATATATGTATATACACGTGTTTCTTTTACCCAGTGCTGTGGCTATAAAATGCAATGGTTGCACCCCCTAACACTACATATAATTCAACAGTTTATTTCATTTTATTTCAATATAATTTAATGTAAATATTATATATTTGTATATACATGTCCTTGTTTATACATGTTTATACCAGTAAAACACGTTATTTATATATATTATATATATTGTACACAACACATTATATATATACCCCGCTCTCCCTCTCTCATTTCTTGGCCTGCTTCAACCCGCTTCAGGTGTTGAAACTTTGGAGTTGACATCTCCAGCTGACGCAGGACTGGCTGCATCGTGGGTGGGTGTGTTTTTTTGGTCATTTTCCAATCTCCTATAGCCTTGGCCTTGGTACATTTATATAGAAAAATAATGAAAAATAATGATATATATATATAATTGTGTATATATATATATATTTATATTTTTTATTTTTATATTTATTTATTTATATATATACACATATACACACACATTTTTGTTGGTCCTTTCCAAAGACCCAGGAAAATTCTGAAGGTCTAGGCTCAGGCTTTGAATGGATGTGTTTTGCTTTGGGATCCCAGACCCAGATCCATTTGCGCACATCCTGGCAGGTGGTTTTTGCACTCCTGAAAAGAAACCGAAGATCTGCAAGACGCCATGGCTTGAGATGGACCAACATTCGAATCGATTGGATCACATGCAGGCTTTACACGAAGCCCCAAACCCATTGACGGAAAACCCATATCCAACGACTCCGAAGAAGACAGCAGCAGGTCCCAAGACAGCACGGTCGTGTTGCACCATGTTCCGGAGGTTTTTTTTGAAATGTTTTGAACGCCTTGCGTAAGTGTTGGGAAAATACAAGTTTGATATAGCATAGACATGAATAAAATTGAATAAACACATACCTATTATATAATCCCTAATAGTCCACTACATTCCACTTTAATTCACTATAATCTACATTAATCTACTATAATTTAATATAATTTACTATAACCTTATATATATATAAATAGAAAAAACATATATATATATGTATATACACATACTGGTTTCCTTACCTTGCTTTCTGCAAGGTGAAAAGCTTTCTTCGGGAGTGGGACCACGTGGTACTGATGGACAGTCTGCAGGCACAAGAGCAATTCATTCAGTTGTGTCACAGGAAACAAAGAAAGATGACACTATACTTCATGATGATTCATGCAAAGAGTGTGCTAACTTCTGCGCATCTTTTAAAAACACTATTGAATTTTCAAACCAAACCAAACACAGCATGCCTCCCGGGAATTTGTGATGCATTGATCACCATTGCTATAAAATGGGAGGACTGCACATTCAGAATGCACATATTGTGATTTAGTGTTAAAGTGTGCTGAAATGTTTTCCTGCTTCCATTTGGTCCATTTGCATATTGATATCATTTGATATCTATAGATGACATAGAATGGCACTTTTTCAGTCTGAACCATGTGAAAATCTCCATGGCACTAGGAATTCCTGGTGAAGCTGATTCCATGGTTTCGATTCCTACAAAGCGACGGAAGTTGCCTTGGAAACAGGCGATTTGCATCAATTTGCATCAGGTTTCATCAGACATGGGATGTGGCAATTAATTCTAAAAAGTTGGAAGTCCAATTTGCTGCAAGGTGGTTTGTATATGTTTGTATTACAGTATGTGTTTCGGTGATGCTTTGTGATGCTCTGCGAATCTTGCATGGCCCAGAGTTCATGTTCCTCTTGTTGGGTGCTCACATATTTTTCAGTTGTTGTGTGTGATGTTGTGTTCCTGCCTGTTCCTGCATTGAAATCAATTGTATAAAGTGTGTTAGATCTGGTTGGCGAGTGTCCAGTAGATGCCAGTAGTGTCTATCAGCTTTGCAGGAAGCATCGCAGCAAGGGGAGACAGGACTCGTGGGTGGCTAAGACTCCTCCGCTAGGCAGTGGCATTCAAATCTTTCTGCGCACATTACATCTCACATTACTGCATGTCCACAGTGGGTTTATATGTTCCTTTAATATGATCTTTACTATTTAAATCTATTTAATCTATTTTACATGGTACAGGTTTACACAATATTACGATATATTACGATATATTACGCATTCATGTATATAAAATGATGGGGTTGCACTCTCTCACTCATATATGCACTGCTCAGCTGAGTGGGAGTCTGGCACCAGGACAACATTCGGAGGCACTAGTGTCGCCAACTTTGGGCGATTGTGCTGAGGGTGAAGGACAGATGTGGCATTGTAATGCATTGTAATGATTTAAAACATGCATTATACAATACACATTTCTGTTTTTCATTTTTTTTGCTCTTTTCAGATGGATGCAGTCCGAATCAATCAGATTCACTTGTGTTCAATGATATGTAAAAATACAGCAAGTACGTGCAAGTACAAGCAAACATATCATGATATATGATGATATATGATGATATATATCAATAGCTCGAGCGTTGGAGAACTGACTCACCCAGGAGACAACCAGAGAGCCTCGAGGACGAAGAATCCGCGAAGGAAGCGTGCTGAACAGGCCACTTCTTGCGCTTCCGGGCCTTTATCAAGTTGTACAGATATTATGAATTTCGATGATATTTGATGATATTTGATGATATTTGAATATAGGTGATGTTTGCATATATCTCATGATGTTTTCACATGTTTACAAACTTTTACGGTATGTTTGCCAATGTTTGTATACCCATGCATATCCATGTACAGTAAACAAATCAATGTATATCCATGTATATCCCTCATTCGTGAAGCCGTTGGTGCCACTTGCATCCATTTGCATCCTTGTTACATCTTGTTACATTTTTTTACATTGTTTTATTTTGTTTTATTCCATGTTGATTCATTTTTGTGCATCATGGTTCATCAATTTGCACCCATTCATGCTTCCAGGAAGCATCGCAGCAAGGGGAGACAGGACTCGTGGGTGGCTAACACTCGGCCGGTTCTGGTATGGGCCAGTGGGGTTCAAGTCTTTCTGTGCACATTACATCACATTACATCACATTACTGCATGTCCACAGTGGGTTTATATGTTCCTTTAATATCCTTTTAATATGATCTTTACTATTTTAATCAATTTTACATGGTACAGGTTTACACAACATTACGATATATTACGCATTCATGTATATAAAATGATGGGGTTGCACTCTCTCACTCATATATGCACTGCTCAGCTGAGTGGGAGTCTGGCACCAGGACAACATTCGGAGGCACTAGTGTCGCCAACTTTGGGCGATTGTGCTGAGGGTGAAGGACAGATGTGGCATCGTAATGCATTATAATGATTTAAAACATGCATTATACAATACACATTTCTGTTTTTTCATTTGTTTTGCTCTTTTCAGATGGATGCAGTCCGAATCAATCAGATTCACTTGTGCTCAATGATATGTAAAAATACAGCAAGTACGTGCAAGTACAAGCAAACATATCATGATATATGATGATATATGATGATATATATCAATAGCTCGAGCGTTGGAGAACTGACTCACCCAGGAGACAACCAGAGAGCCTCGAGGACGAAGAATCCGCGAAGGAAGCGTGCTAAACAGGCCACTTCTTGCGCTTCCGGGCCTTTATCAAGTTGTACAGATATTATGAATTTCGATGATATTTGATGATATTTGATGATATTTGAATATAGGTGATGTTTGCATATATCTCATGATGTTTTCACATGTTTACAAACTTTTACGGTATGTTTGCCAATGTTTGTATACCCATGCATATCCATGTACAGTAAACAAATCAATGTATATCCATGTATATCCCTCATTCGTGAAGCCGTTGGTGCCACTTGCATCCATTTGCATCCTTGTTACATCTTGTTACATTTTTTTACATTGTTTTATTTTGTTTTATTCCATGTTGATTCATTTTTGTGCATCATGGTTCATCAATTTGCACCCATTCATGCTTCCAGGAAGCATCGCAGCAAGGGGAGACAGGACTCGTGGGTGGCTAACACTCGGCCGGTTCTGGTATGGGCCAGTGGGGTTCAAGTCTTTCTGTGCACATTACATCACATTACATCACATTACTGCATGTCCACAGTGGGTTTATATGTTCCTTTAATATCCTTTTAATATGATCTTTACATCCCCCGTGATTGTATCCTAACAAATGCCTCATGTTTTGAGACCTACAAAATGCTCCTGCGAGCTTTTTTGAGGGCATTTTGTATACTCCCAATAGGGGGGAAACTAGCCTACCATTTGCCTCCTGATTATTTCATATCATCTCCAAAAATCACGGCAAAAGGAAAGCATATTGTAGGTTGTTTTTGACATATTTCTATATGAATAGACATCAACTTATGAATAGAAATAATTTTTTATAAGCATCAAACATCGTCAAACTATTTCACATAACAATATTTATAAGCACATATGCACAATTTTACAATTTCAATATGTTACGAAAGTACCTTTTTCATTGTTATCTCAATATGTTATTACATTATGTTCACCAACCATGAAGACGATAGGTCCCCAAAAAGAGTGTTTGGGGACCTATCGTTTTAATCCCCGCTGTGTCTTCCCTGTAGTGGTGATCCGAATGCAACGAGTCGGTTTATATTAAAAAAATAATGTACAAAATGTGTCCTTGCAGACAGATGTATTGTAAAAGAAAATTGCCCTGTGTTTTTAACCTGCTCTGAAACCGATGAATTTCAGCAATTTATGTTTTGCAGAGCATTTTGTAGTCTGGAAAGTATACAAAATGCTCTGCAAAACATACTGGGTATCAATAACGGGGGATATCTTTACTATTTTAATCTATTTTACATGGTACAGGTTTACACAATATTACGATATATTACGATATATTACGCATTCATGTATATAAAATGATGGGGTTGCACTCTCTCACTCATATATGCACTGCTCAGCTGAGTGGGAGTCTGGCACCAGGACAACATTCGGAGGCACTAGTGTCGCCAACTTTGGGCGATTGTGCTGAGGGTGAAGGACAGATGTGGCATTGTAATGCATTATATGATTTAAAACATGCATTATACAATACACATTTCTTTTTTTATACAATATCTATCGCACATTCATGCCTATAAAATGATGGGGTTGCACTCTCTCACTCATATATGCACTGCTCAGCTGAGTGGGAGTCTGGCACCAGGACCTCCTTCGGAGGCACTAGTGGCACCTTTGAGCGAAGGACGGACAGACATGACATTATAATTTAATAGATACATATATAGATACATTCCTCCTTTCTTCATCCTTCTTCATCTTTCTTCTGATCTTTCCGGATTAAATCTTACCTTATCTTTAGTTCAATTCCCCACAAAAGCATCAAACACGTAAAAAGGAACCCCCCCGATTCCGGCGTCATCCAGTGTTTTTTCAGTTAGATGGGGGCTGGATGAGAGGGCACCCCAGTTTCGATATGTTCTGAGCTGGCCTGATGCGTTTTCGTTTTCAATGGCCTTGATATGTTTCGATGTGTTTTAAAGCTGCTTCAAAGCTACTTTCTTGCGCAAGCGAGCGCTGCGTCATCAGGTGAAAAAGGGATATCCGCATGCAAGAAGGAGCACGGTGTTCAGGCCAGTATATTGGAATGGGTCGAAACCTTGTACCCCTGGCGAGCATCAAAATAGCTGGTAAATGATGGTACATGATGGCAAATGGATGTAAATGGATGTTCATCATCTTAAATATTGCATTTATATGCATTTATATGATTTTATATGTAGATATTTTGAATTATGTTTAATGATATTTAAATATGTTTAAGAATATCCATAGCCATCTAATATACATTGATATAATTTTATATAAGTCAAGATGATCCGCGTGTTTTCTTGTGGATTCTTTGTTTCGTTTTTGAAGTGATGTGAGGCTGAAAGCAACACAGGACATCGCCGTGACGAATGCTGTTTCATCGCCAACTTGCATGCTACTTTTTTAAAAATTGCATTTCAGATTTCAGCATTGCCACCAGATGCAATTTGAATCAATTTGCGCCTGCTCCAGGAGAGACAGCAGAAGCTTCCCCAAAGAAAGTGAAGAAACAGAAAAAGGAGAGAAAGGCAGCACATGGAGAGTTGAGTTACCCTGCATATTTTATCATATTTTATCATATTTCAATATGTATATTTCATATTTTTAAAACCCCATATCATTTTATTCTAATCTATTTTAATATATTTAATCTATTTTAGATTATTTTTGCATATTTCATCATATTCAGAAATTTATGCTGTGATGCCCTCATGATTTTGATGTGTTTCATGCAATTTGGAGGGCCTTGCCTTCCGACCAGGCTTCTAAGCAGGAAGCAGAGAAGAGTAAGAAGCAAGAGACAGGACTTATTCTCATGGGAAAGATTGCAAAAAGTGATGAACCTTCATGCAACAACTCTGACAGGTGTATGTATGTATATATATATATGGGAATGTCTCAAATTAGGAATGCCCCAAGCTCACTTTTTTTAGTAAAAAAAGAAAGGCTTGGGCCATTCAATTATGGCACCCCTATTCTGAGACATTCCCATATATATATATAAATATATATTGACATCGTGAAACATGCAGGTATACGTATGATGAAGTATGAGCGAGGATGAACAAGTGCAAACCATTTTTATCATGCTCAAGAAATCGGAAGAACCTGGTTCTATTTTGAGTGTGGGATGATGGCGGGCTCCACCTCATACAAAAGTTGGAATTGTGTCTTTCTGGGTCGTCTTTGCAGAGCGGTTGCTTCTCACAGGAGCACAGTGCGGATTTGACCCGAAGGCCGTTGAGAAAGCTATGGCCGCTCAGCATGGTTGGTGCAGGACCAGCATGGACTAACTACATTTGACTACAACACATTACAATGGTTTCATACCGTCCAATTCCAACCCGTTCCATTCCATTTCATTTCATGTCATTCCACTGCCCTCGAGGTACATCAAAATCACATAAAAAGCATAGAATAACATAGAATAACAACGAATAACAGAAGATAACTGTCAATATACAATCACGCAATATCACAATATATCACATGCATATGTAAAAAGAACATTAAAAATATAACAAACTCTAATTATATAGATCTAATTAGTTGTAATTATATGTATATATAAAATGCTAGGCCTGCAGCCCCCTGAAAACCATAGGTCAACCTCAGCCGTTGTGAAGATATGTTGCAAAGTTATGTTGAAGTCTGACCTCAGGATTATCCATTTTATAGAAGGATATGGAATTGAATGACCATGTTTTTTCTTTGGCGTCATTGGTTGTTGTCTCTCCAGCCAAGCCTTCTTCAGGTGGAGCACGCCAAAGAAGTCGGACAGATGGACGAAGAACTGGACGTGGCGGATCTGGCGGTCCTTTCCGCTTTCAACCAGTTCGAGATCTTCGTCGCACATGACTGGCCCAACGATTCAGTACTTCCATTCAACCGTCTACGAAACTACATCGTGGAGTTGAACCCAGCTTGTGAGGCAGCTTTCGGGCCGGACAACCGAGATGCTCTGACATGGATAGTTATTCTTTGCAATGCATTCTATGATCCATATGGTGCTACCAATCATTTCGTTCCGGCCTTTACAGCAGAAGAATTGGGAGATGAGCAGTTCGACCAACTGAGAGAAATTGGTCTGGCTGAAACAGACGCCAGGCTTGATGAGCTCAAAGCCGGTTGTGAGATGGATGTGGAGACAGATGAGGACCTGGCTCTGCGCAATGACTACCAGATCACTTGGCAGCACGTGAAGGCTTGGAGGGCCTTCCAAGAGCGCTGCTACAAAAGCAAGCTACACCCAGTGGAGGTTCTTGGTGATGGCAACTGCATGCTTTGGTCTCTGAAGTGCCTGAAAGATGATGACATCAGCGGCAAGAATACAATGACTCCGAAGAAAGAAGACTACAAGATTCTAAAGACATGGCGTCAGCAGCTTCATGATCAGTGGATTGCCTTGAGTACAAACGAGGACTGGCAGACTTTGTTCAACCAGATCTATGTGCAGTCAGATGAGCCTCTTCGGTTTGAAACGGCAGAGACAACTCAAAACAAGAAGGATGAGACAAAGATAAAAAAGGAACGCTGCAGATCTCCATCTTCAAAGAAAAGACGCAAGGCACCAGAGGCTGCAGCTCCTGAAAGTGCCGAGCCACCTCAGCCACCTGCAGAATCAGAAGGTGATCCACAGAAGAAGGACCAGGCACCTGCAGAATCAGAAGCTGATCCACAGAAGAAGCACAAGAGGGTTGCCGCTTGCCGACCGGCACCTTGCTTCCAGTCTGGCCCGAAGGAACCTCTTAAGATGCAACAGCCCAAAAGGAAGGTCAAGGTTGCCAAAGAAGATGCCAAAGATGATGCCAAACAAGGTACCAAAAAAGTTGCCAAAGGTAAAGGAGGTCCCAACAATGATGCCAAAGGAGATGCCAAAGGAACAAAAAGATCCAAGAAGAACGAGGACGCAGAAGAGTCCGCACTGGAGGCGGGGGAGGATGTGGAGGTTCCTGAGATTTCAGAGACAGAGACGGTCATTGCTGAGCCAGTTCGCACTCGAGTTCGCAAGAAGGCCAAGACATCTCGCGAAGTCCGTTTGAGATCCCTTCGCGCCTACTTGGGAGAGAAGGGCGTGACATACCCTGCATGGATGGGTGCGCATTGGAGGCACAATGGTTTTACAGTGTTACACAATGTTTTATATATAGTGTATAATTACACATCAAGAATCAGTAGGCTCCAGACCTTCCATTATATAGAGAAATAGCTTTACAATGTTTTACAATGTTCCCCATCCATTGGATCACATGATATCATATGATCGTCACATGATCTTGCCATGCACTTCCCCTTGAAGGTATGCTGGATGCAGAAAGGCAGCGTCATGCTCAGAGGGCAACTACACCTCACTTCAGCAAAAATTGCTTGCTGATCCCACCAAGATTGATGAGCTGAAGTGTGAGGCTTGCAAGTCTTTGCTTCTCAAATTCGACTTCAAAAGTGGTGAAGCCATTGAACGCATGAGCGCAGCAGAGGCTGGAGACGTGGATGAAGGCTGTGAGAACAAGGAAGATGCTGAGATGAACGCTGCAGACAAGGCCAATAGTTGTGCTTCTGAGAATCCAGGTGCGCCTCCTGATGAAGGAAACCGTGATGAAGGAGATTGTGAACAAGATGGCGGCCTGCAATACTTGGGCCTGGACACGCTTGCCAAGCAGGTTTGTGTATACTTTGAGGCGGGATTGGGCCGTGCGTTTCCAGTATGTGTGATCTATATTCTATATAGGTTGATCTAGGATGATCTTGTGTCTATTTCTATGCCTTTTCTATGCCTTTTCTATCCTTTTCTATCCTTTTCTATCCTCAAAACATCTCAAAACTATCCATTTTATAGATTTGGTGATTTGACACCCCTATCCGAGACCATTCTCATTCTTCCTTTGATTACCCATTGTATCATATTGTATCACATTGTTATCTGCACTGGAATGACTAGAATGTAAACGAATATACTAGAATATACTAGGATATATTTGAATATCCTTTGCATAGAATAGCAAAGAAATTCATGTTTAAGAAATATAAAGAAATATATATATATATAATTATATATATATAATTATATATATATAATTATATATATATAGACATATGTAGACCCCACAGCTAATCACAAATATATAAGTTCAAAAAATATCAGAGCAGTTACATATATTAACCAGTTCTCTGCTCCAAGCATTTTATAGACTTGGAATCATCCCGCTTCTTGAGGTCCTTCCGCGCTTTGGCTACAAGCAGAAAGTTCCGGTGCGATGCACTCTTTGCAAGTCGAGAAAACAGCCGCTGGGAAAGGTGATTGATGCTGTGAAGCTCAGAGCAAAGGATTTCAAGCACTTCTTGTCTCAGCACTGTTCTACAGTCCTCCACGTCAAGATGACGGCTGCACTTCAGCGGGCGGAGATGCGCAATGAAGTTCCTGATCCTGATCCAGTACGTTGCGAGGCATTTGTTCTGCGGGAGGACGAGGAGGGTGACAACAAGCTGAGTGTTCTCCGGAAGAACATTATGGAGTGGATCAGTTGGCAAGGTGAGTGTGAGTTGCGAAGACATAGCTATTGCTTCAAGACAGAGTCTGGAGGGAATATCTTTACCATAAGGCACGTAGACTGCCAGCAGCAAGTGGTGGTGAAGGACCGAGACGATGTGCCTATATGTGCGGAGTGCCAAAAGATTGGAGACCAGAACGGCATCAGAAGGACTGTCCTGAAGCATGTGCGAAAGAAGTTTGCTGCTGAACTCTTGCATGCCAAGCTCTTTGTGTCAGATGAGAGGGTGGAGCAAATGAAGTCTGAGATGAAGAAACATGTTATCTACAAACCCCACAACCAGTTCTTCGACACGGTCATGGATTTGCGTACCCATGAGCTCCAGACATGGGTGCGCAAAAGTTTCCTGTGCATGACTGAGAAAGCCAAGAGTGCCCAGTTCCGCAACTTCATGGACACAACGGTCGAGCCCTGCATGCGGATCAATGTCCATGCCGCCTTGCAGACAAGGCCCCAGATTGTTCAAGCTCAGACTCTTTTCACAAACTTCTTGGAGAAAGGGGATCCAGCCATCGTGGACCGCATCAACGTTGAGATTGCCCAAGCCAGCTTGTCAGGGAAGTTGCAGAACCATCCCCTGCTTCAGGGCCTCATCTTGAGCTGTCTCAAAATGCTTGACCGTGAGGAGAGAGGTCTGCAAATGGTTGGCCGAGATGATGAATCCTCCCTGCAATTCACAGAAGAGGCGCGATATCTCGTGCAAGAGGCTGGCAGTCAGCTTGCAATCTTGGGGTGCAACAAGCACATCCTGCAGAAGTTCGGCTTAAGGTGCAGGCCACAGCTTCCAGACTTGACCGACAGTGGCTTGCCGACACCAATGCTAGCGTTGCAAACTGCAGAGGCGGTGCGAGACAACATGATTCTGATCGACCAGCGACTGTCAGCTGCAACGGAAACTTCTGGCTGCGACCCGTCAAGATTGATTACCTTTTCTCATCTTTTCTGATATATCTATCTGGGTTTTGGATGGTTTTGGAATGCTTTGGATAGTTTTGGGATGTTTTGGGATGTTGTTTTTTTAGTGAATGATCAGAAACTGTATGTGAAACATTATGAAACTGTCTCTCTTTTCAAATCTGGGTGTTCTTTCCTCGATTCCTGTAGGCAGAATGATGGTTGCATTCGACATGACTTACTTGTTGCAAATCAGTGGCCAGCACTACAACAGAAAGACCGATACAGCCAACCTGGTGGGGGGCGCCTGGACTCTGCAGAATCCTCAAAATGCAGTGGTTTTGGTGGAGGAAGACATGGTCGATCTCCAAGATATCAAACCGGCGACTGACATGCTCCTTGTGTTGGTTTCGGATGGTTTTGCATGGTTTTGCAATGTCTTGGAATGTGTTGCACACTTTTACAGTGTCTTATATACAATACATTACAATACCTTAAAGATCTTTGAGCAGTCTTAAACATCCTTAAAGTGTCTCCTATTGAGATCTTAGAGCTACAAAATGCAAGCACTGCACCCTCAGTCAACACACGGGGAATATATATAATTACATATGTATATATGGAAATACATGAAATAGATTGAAGTAGAATGGAACAAACACATAAGCACAGTGATATATATCACTAATTTATACGAGTTAAGTAATATTGAGTACATCCATATCATATAAACAGATAGTTGCGCCACGTTGCGGCACTGTCTTGCTATGAGGCTGGCATTTCTGGCATGGGACCCATCAGCCGAGCACCAGCTTTGCCTGAGCGCTGGAGAGATCCCTGTTTCATGCGCAGATGTCGACAGCAAGTTCATGACAGAGGCAATCGACAGGTTCATGGCTTCAGGGGGCGCGGACTATATCAAGGTCCTGTGTTTTGACGCTCACGGGTCGCACACATTGATCAAACGGGTCATGTTTGGCATGGCAAACGACCGGGACTTTCAACTGCTGTCCCTTTCTTAGTTGATGGATGTTGGATGCAGTCGGTTCATGTTTTTATGCAATACCTTATTGCACAATATTCTTTCAATTTCTTTCATATATTCTATCATCGTTTCATATCGTTTCATCCTTTCCTGATTTTACGGAAGTTGGATGAAGTTGGGGCCATTGGTCTATGAAGACGGTCTCATATGAACGCCCAAAAGATCCCAAAAGCAGTAAGACAATGAAAAAGATTGAAAAAGCATGTAATTTGTTTTAACGTAAAACATTGTAAAAGTGTAAAACCAAGCAAGATCAAAGCATATTAGATCATATTTGATCATATTTGGATATATTTGGATATATTTGGGATGTGTTCTTGCAGCCCGGTGAGGTCAAGCTTTGACTCCAAGTTCTTCAGGAAATTGCAGTACAAGAAGATGCCTCCCAACTGCCTTCCTCGGCTACCGGTGTGCATGGCATCTTTGGACCAGGAGGTTCACTACTGCCTTCCTGGACCATGTGCCTTGGTTAGAAAGGAATACTGAAAGAATACGAAGAATCCAAACAAATTTAGTTATCCACATTCATGTCTATAAAATGATTAGCTTGGAGATTCGGTAATGCAATATAAAACAATATCATTATATAAATACATATATATATATATTATAATTACATTAAAATAATATTTTAGATAATATTTTACAATATAATATATAATTAAAGAATATTAAATATATATATATATATAATTATGTAATATCATGATATATTGTAATGCATTATTTAATATATATATATAACATCATAACATGTTATATATGGATATAATATGATATAATATTGTATATGGATATCTTTAATTATATATATGGATATATATATATATACATGGTCTTTTAATGTCTTTTATATACAAAAAACCCTATACGATCCAAACTTTAGAAGTATGAAAACAAATCATAAAATACCGTAGATTACCATAGAACATCTTCAAACCACCTCAAACCAACATAGATACTGCACAGTCTTGTTTAAAGTCATGCGCACAACAAGGTATGCACAGTATCCCGCTATGTTTTCCATACACCTATGAGCAAAGTATGCCTGAAGTAAGATTGAAACCAACCAGGATATAATACATTACAAAAAATATTATGGTATAATATAATTTTACCCCAGACATAGCATTTTATAGGCCCAAAAAAATGTAACTATAAAATCAACGTACTGACCTGGACCCCGGAATGTACAAGTGTATATGATATATAGCTCATAATGTTATATAATATTCTGCAAGATGATATTATATCAAACCAAAGATGCATATTTGCTTGCTTTTGGCATATCCTAGGCCACGCAGTGAAGAACAGCGGGGGACAGGCGCAAAGTTCCATTCGAACCATTTACCTTGGCCAGTACTTTGTAGACCTGGCCGGGGCATGTGTGGCTGGCGGAATGCCTGCATCTGCTTTTGCCCGTGATGACCCTCAAAGTGATGCAATCCAAGCTCTTCTTTCAAATCCTTGGTTTTACGTGTACGATGCACAAAACCAGGAGGATGCCTGCAACCAGCCCCTCGAGCTCCGATCTATCCCGTGGCATTCCAAGGGGGCCTTACTTTGGAGCCTCTCCACAGCGATGTGTTTCGCGCCGGTGTTTCACGTGAGGATGTCCTTCGAGAAGCGGGTGGAATGTGCTGTATCTGGCTTTGTCCTGTTTGACCTTTGGATGCTCATGGGTGCCAAGCTTGAAGCTTCCAGGGGCTCATGGGTTGGCAGCTGCATGATGGCCCGTGAGACAGTGAACAATTTACAAGGAGTCTGCCTCAGTGTAATTTCGATGGCCACCAACAAACCAGCCACTCGGCATTGCAATTAACTGCCCATGGAGAGATAAATGAAATTACAATGAATAACACCCTTAAGATATATTAAAACCCATTGGCCATACATAAATGTACGATACAGATCTATACAGCAGATCTTTACAGTATTATAATATATTATAGTTAAAAAACAATTATCATACACGAACTGCCACATAGTTGAAACATATCCGAACATATCAAAACCATACCTGTAAATGTCTATAAAATCTAGGGTTCCCACATATGGGGACTTCTAAAATGTGATAGCATCATATAACATATTTTAACATTTTTTAAACATCCTATACATTTAAAATCATTGAAATACATTCAAAATCAGTTAAATACATTTAAATACCGTCCATTAAGTTTCATCAGAATTCTACATTGTTTGATGGTATTTAACCACATGAGGCCTTTGAACTTCATTGAACATTGCTTTTCCCAGGGAGATATTTCTATATTATGCAGGGATGGGGGATGTCTTAAGATGTTAAAATCAAGCCTTTCAAAATATCAGATCATCATGTTGTATAATATTATATCATATTATTGTATAGTTCAATATAGTTCAAACATTTTTTTAGCTTGACCGTTCCATCGGTTGCAGGAAGATTTCAACCCATGGGCCTACAAGCAGGGAAGATACAGCGAGCTCGCGATTGAGCGCTTTTTTGGAAGGTTGAGGAGCAGACAGGCAAATGCACAGCTTTCTGCGCAGCAATTCTGGCATTGCAGCCAGAGGGAAATGCAGCACAATTCTGCCAGACATGCGCAGTTTCCAAAGACATCCAAAGATCCGAAGGAGCCAGCGCTGACGGAGAAACAGTTCCTCTCAAGCACGATCTGATTTTCATTTGATCTGATTGTGTATGTTGTTTGCAATGTTCCGAGGAACTCCAGAGAAATATCGAATTCTAACTAACTATATATATATATTGTTAAAATTATATCCATTTATATCCATTATTATCCATTTATATCCTTTTGTAATATATACAATACAATATTACAATTTATTTATCGATATTTTTGGTTTCATATATTTCAGGTTTTTCAATTTTATTTATGCCTTTGTTAAGGTTCGCCGACTGCTGCACAAGGGCCTACGATGCAGCACTGAACTTGGCTGCCTGGGCTGGCAACTTCACCACAGAGTCTTTGAAGACATACTATGAGGATTCCTGTGCAGGGCGTTGGTTTGACCAGTCTCACTCACATGCCCCAGAGTTTGACTGTGAGGAGGAGTCTGACGATGAGGCTGCAAAGGCCCGAGATATGTTACTTGCCAGGTTGTTTTATGTTTTGGCTTTCTATAAAATGGATAGTACTGGGATGTACTGGGTGTCTATCCTCATATATTATCAATGATCCATGCATGGACATGTGGAATGGGAATGGCATGGAACGGCTACGGAAATATACGGAAATCATGTTCAGAAATCTTTTGAGCAAGTGAAGTGAATTGGATTAATTTGGTTACAGTATATGATGTTATATGTAATTAAAATACCATGACAAATACATGCAAATACGTTCAAATTCACGCAGCGTCATAACTGCCACATCAATTTAGGATTACAGTACATAAAGATACATAAAGTATCAAAAAGTTAATATGTGAAATTATTTGAGCGCACATAGTGCGAACAAAGGGGATGTCAGAGACTTCCTTCAGGTTGTATACTTTATCCATCTTTCTCCATCCTTTTCCTTTATTTTCAATTGATGTTCCATCTTTTTGTGCATAGTTTCCATCTCAGGTCTGACAAGGATCGCTGTGCTCATGTGTTGCGGGGCCTTGGACAGCTTGCAGCAGCAGAGCCTGATCTTGACGAAGATCCCAGAGCAGAGGATGACCCTTTGCAAGACGTGAACCTGTCTCGCATGGATGAGGAGGAGAAGAGCGAGCTGGTCAACCTTTTGCAAACTGAGGCAGACGAGGAGGCTTCCAGGAGAGATGTTACGGACAAGATGCCAAAAACATTGGCATCTGCTTTGCACCTTGCTTGTCAATTACTGCAGTTCTGCAGGCTTGGTTCCTTGCAAGTCTTCCTTTCATGGGTGGTATCACAGTGTGACATATCGAATCATAGTGATCATGCTCAGAAGTCTTGCGCCGATTCCATTTTATACTTCCAGAACATCCCTGAACCATGCATTTTATAGGAGTTCATAGAAGTTTCATGAAAATCATGAATATTCATGAAAACCCATGACAATTATATACGACTTTTTGAATTTCTCAGCCGACAGAAGGAAATGGGGTCAGGGATCTGACATGATCTGAGGTGCAGTGGCGGCGACCGGTGGAACGCTTTGTGGAGATTTTGCGTTTTCTTGAGGTGTGCTCCGTTCGGCTGTGACACCCTGTGGGTGAAGAACCCAAAAGCTCCTCGGAAGAGGGAGTTGAATTGGTTCCAGAGGAACAATCAGCTTCTGGCCATTCACCAAAGAAAGGCTGTTGAATCTCGAGATCGGGTCAGGGCAGGACGTCTTGAAAGGTGGATCCATCAGGGACAGAAGCTTCGAGACTCCATGTCTGCCAAGGTCGCTGAGCCTGAAGTCATTGGGTGCCTAAGCTGTACACAAGTCATCATAATTCATCAAAATCTCACATTTTTCAATGGTGTTCGTATCTTTCATGGTTCTTGAATGTTTTTGAATGTTTTCGATGGTTATCCATTGTTTTCCTATGTTTTCCATGGTATGAGATGGAACATAAGATGGTACAAGTTCCTGCAGCCCCAGCATTTTATAGACACTCAATTGGCAGTAATGCCATGCAGTGGCCCCAGTAGATGTATTTGAAGACTTGAACCTGTTCATTGCTCAGGACTGGCAATGTTGTACTCTTCGTTGACGCAAATGAGAAGATTTCCATCGGGTTGGTGCTTGTGGTGTGGCGCATTGGCAAGAAGCGAAGAGCTGCAGCCAATCCGTGCCCAGTGCAGAGCTGCTATTGCTTCAGGGTGGTCAGCGTCAAGTTGCCGGAGGCTTGCTGCCCTGTGGTGTACATGTGAACTGAACGGAATTTGGTGAGAATGATGTGGATTTTTGCGTTTCAACGATGAGCTCAAACTGTGTGCATCTAAATGTTTCTACATGATTCTTAGGTATTCTTAGATATTCTTAGTGCATCGTAATGTATCTCAATGTAGATAATTGTAGATAGATGTGACGGATTAAAACAGCGTAATCATGTAAAATATTCTACCGTAAATACATGTAAATACATGTAAATACTATATATATAAATATATATATATATATATATATTGTTTTATTTCATGTTATATTACAATATATGTTGTGTTGGGCACTGGCCCATGCATTTTATAGATCACATGCAGATCCAACATGGCCCTGTGCAGGAAAATTCATCAGTGTTCAAGGTCTCTGCCACTAATGAAGCCAGAGTTGTTCCGCTGGATTCTCTTGTGGCAGTGCTTGATTGCCAAGACAGCCACCTGACAATGTTTACATCGGTCATCATCGGTCTATATATTTATTTTTCAGCAATGCACGTTTTGGAGTGTTAGCGAAACAATTGGAACATCTTTTCAAATCCACATCCACCTGGTTTCACAATGTTTTACGTGTTTTGATGATTTTTGAATCTTTCTGAACCGGTTTGATGTTCCTTGATGCTGATTGCATTTCTTGGAATTTGCCTCTTCTTTTGTACTTCTTTGCAGCTGTGTGCATTTGGTACTTCGTTTCTGCCCACGTGTCTCCTGAGGCAAACTGCCGGCCCACGAGCAGATTGAGACTTTCAAGTTTGAGTTGTCCCCGGAGTCAATCGCAGCTTGGAAGGAGACACATGAAAAGACGGCAGAGGGGTGGCAGTGCAGCTTCCTGGCACCGGAAGCTACAGGTGAAAAGAGAAAGAAAACAAGGAGAGCACGCATTTTCCAGAGAGCCAGGCGTGCTGCCAACAAGGTCACCAAGCTCGAGAAGAAGGAGCAGAAAAAGCTCAAGGATAAAAAGAATAAGAAGCACAAGAAAGAGATGGAGAAGAAGAAAAAAGTGACCAAAGAAGATTGAGCCCACAGAGGCCAATTTTGGCCGCTCCGACAAGGGAAGAAAGCTGGTCAAGCAGGAAATGGCAACTCTCCTGACTCTTGACCTGGAGAAGTTTCCATCCAAGCCTGCCTTTGAGGCTGACGGCACTTGCAGACTCAAAATTCCTGCAGCTGCTGGCATGACGTGGGGCACGATCTTGGAGATTGCCCCCATATACTTTGAGACTGTCTTCATCTCGACAAGGTCACGAGCAGAATATGGCCGTGCCGTTTTCCAGCACTTCGATGTGATCAAGAAGCAGATGGGCCGAGAAGAGCGCACCGGATGGCTACGACTTCTTCGAACTTTGTGTGAGATGCCAAGGCCAAAGCAGGATTCCAAATCTGATGCCAAAGCTTCCAAAGCTGATGGCACAGCTGATTGATGTAGGATGATGTTGGATCCCGTAGAAGTTAATTGATGCGCACTGAAAGTACAGTGCCTGCAAAGGTGCCTGATGAATATACAGTACTGAATGCTGATGGATCACAACTGCATCCAAACTCCGTTTTTTGGGACGCAAGATCACATGATAATTTTATACTATAAAATGGCTGGTAGGGACCCCCCTGAAAAATAACCTCCATATATATATATATATATATATTACTGCATGATATTGCATGTGATGCCACATGAATCTACATGATACTACTGTAGAGTGCCAAGGTACCTGCTGCATCGTGATTGTTTGGCTTGAATCACAGGATTCATGAAAGCTGGATAAAGCTGGTAGGTGGATGTAGATGAGTCACCTCTGGTCGCTTTGATGCACTGTACTTCGATCATACGTATGCAGGGGCATACAGCATGATACACGTGCCATTTTGGTCCATTCTGATTCCTTATTCTCACTCCATTTCGCTATTATGAATACCTTTGAGAGGTGACAGTTGCGTAGACCAGTGCGCACACAGCAATGCGGGCGATGATGTGCTGTGTGCTGAAACATTTCATTTCCATTCATTTCCCAGTCCTGTAAAAAAATTGCAGGGTTGGACGTAGGATCCAGAACATCAAACCAAATGAGACTCAAGCCAAGGGAAAAAAACAGAAGCGTGAATATACGTGATGGATCGTGATGGATTATGATGGATTATAATGGTATATGAATGTATATGATGGTATATGATGGTATATGTATGTCATGTATGTATATGTCGGTTTTTCTCAGTCCGTTCTATAGAGAATGGGTCGGCGGACAGGACATTTCCGTACGGATCCGTACGGATTTTTCCGTGTGAATTTGATGTGAGGTCCGTACGGATCCGTACGGATCCGTACGGAAATTCATTCCTGATCTACATGGACAATTCATGGATTTATTTACGATAGCATGGGGGCAAATCAGGCATATTAGGAGCTTTATACCCCTGATTTTATAGACCTCCTATTTTACCCCAGACATAGCATTTTATAGGCCCAAACCATTTTGTAACTATAGAATGAACGTATTGACCTGGACCCCGGAATGTACAAGTGTATTTATAAAGCACATGAAGCCAAGTGGCTAAATAGAGGGGCCCCATTTTTTCGACCGATCAGCTTTGGTAGCACACATATTTGCCCATTCATTTCCCGTTTTATCCTACTCAGAAGGGATTCTGGACAATAATTATGGGCCCCAATTATCAATGGGAATTCCAGGATCCTAAAATGGAGGTACTGTACCATATAAGGCTATATTCTGGGTGTATATTCCCTTACATAGCCCTTATATAGTCCTTACATATGGTAGGCACCTCCATTTTAGGATCCTGAAATGGCCAGTGAAATTACTGATCATTGACTCCAAAGCTTCTAAAGTCTAAGCTCAAGGAACCTCCAGTCCTCGATTTTTGAAGTCTAAAGACTCCGTCTCCACTTCGTCATGACGTGCTCAGGCTCTCTCCAACCACGCGCTTCCTTTTTCCAAGTGCTGATGATCCGGTGCTGACCTACCAGTCCGAAGAAGGCATGAAGATCGAACCCAAATGGCACCTGGGTTGAACTGGACTGACTACCTTTAATTGGCCTTGGTTGCATCATGCTTTTTATCTTCTTGGAATTCCAATGTTTGCTGGTGAAATCCATTGTTTTAACATGCTCAAATCAGGTTAAATCAGGTTAAATCATATTAAATCATGTTAAATCATGTTAAATCACATTAAATCATGTTAAATCCCAATTTTTGCCGGCTTTGTTGCGGCACATGTTGCTGGTTTTTCATCATGTTTTTCATGATGTAAACCATCCCTATGTTTACCGTCGGAGGGGCCGGGCCCTCCATCCCAAGCATCACCGGGGCCCCAACGACGAGGTACTGCCCGGTGATTCCCATGGTGCCTTGGCGGGGCAGCGGTCTGGAGCTGAAGGTTTGACCGACCTGGAAGATTTCCCATGGGAAAGCCACTAACTGGTGGGTAAAATGGGTATTATATGCGATATGTATAAATATAGGGAAAATATTAGAAATATATGAAAATGGCCATAGAAATGGATTTACCCATTAAAAATCGTGATTTTCCATAGTTACGTTAGTTTACCAGAGGGTAATGTGGGTAAAACAATGCCATGTTTACCATCCCTCAGGTGATGACACCATTTTTTGGTTGGTGGTATAAACTTACCATTCCCAGGAAAATGGGTGGTTTATGATATTGTTTTACCCACATTACTTACTTGGAGCATCTACAGTCTATAGGTCTTTGTTTATCCCGGGGGGGTCATGATGGGTCATGGGGGATTCCTGAAGCGACTCCAAGAATGTAAAACGCTGAATTTCTGTTCTCAATCTGTTTTGTTTTTGGATCTGCCAATTACCTCTACAAAATCTTGGAGCTTTGGGGGTGTACTCCCCAATTTATACCTATAGAATCTGGGAGTACGGGGTAATGACTTAATCTGGAGGGGCATGTTTTTGGTGAATTTTGGGTGAGAGACTGTCTAAAGCCAGAAATGTGTTAGTAAGCGATTCCAAATTTGAACCTTCAGTGCCGAGCAATGTGCAGAGGAGTGATGGGGTCCTTTGCAATGACGATGAATGGGAAATGTATGGAAATGTGCGGTCATCTCTACTAAAATTTCTTTGCTTCACGAGGTTGCCTTAATCAGCCTTAATCCTCTTCAGTTTGGCGGAAAGTTGTCCTCATGTTTAGTGATGTTCGTTGGTTGTATATGGCTCTACATTTACACATTTATAGTGCTCATTCTATTTCTGATTTATAGTAGAAATAAGGTTGTTGGTTGCATCACCCATTGGCACCGCCCTAGACTCTATCGACATGGTTGTTTCAGGTGCTTGTGAATGGCGCTGATGGTATTGGGGTTGGTTGGAGCACCTTTGTTCTGCCCCTTGGAGGGTAATGGACCTGCATATGTGTCAAAGTGTCAATTATCGACATGTTTTCTGTGCATCCCATTTTCAAGGTAAATAGTTCAAGAGAGTAGGTTGAAATTGAAGGTTCCCATCTGTTCCCTTGCATTAAAAGGAGAATGTTCCCATTTGTTGAAAGATTCCTCCTTGTTCCCATCAGCAGGAGAACTCTCCCAAGCCTGTTCCCATCTGTTCCCCATATCTTGCAGGTTCCCAACTTTTCTATCTTTTTAGGGGTTGCTATCATCATGTGGCACACCCAATAGTAAACCATCGCAGCAACCAACCATTGGGGGATCATTAAAAATAATCCCAGATAGGAGCATACGGAATAGCAAACCAAACTTGGAGATGGTTTATCATTCGTTTGCCACCTTGCTTACCTATCAAACTAGGGCATCTCCCTGTTTAAGCTATGTGAGAGCTGCTCATACGTACGGGCCTCCCGTTTGGAAGGTTTGGAACTCATTTTGTTCCTGTGGGAAGATGACAGTGAACCCTTAGAAGACACTCTTCTTGTCTCCGGAAGGGTGCTACCAAGCAGTGACGTGTTTCCAGGAATCTTTCGATCCCTCGAAACAGATAACCTTGTTTGTTCACCGGGGTGGGTTTTGACATGTTTTGACCATGTGGGTCTAGTTCGACTCCCAGCCCGTAAAAGGGAACCTTTCATGTGCGGCATGAGCGTTTTCCCGCCCAGACCGATTTTTGGGGCACTTTGAGCCCAAAGAATCTAATTTTTGCAGCATCATCTGGTACATAAAGGCAGTAATGTTCAAAATTGGTTGACAGGAAAAGGCATTTGTCGAAAAGGTAACTTGGGTGACCTGGGTCTCAAAATGTTTCACTCCCAGGAACTACAACCCTCGCGACATCATTCGCAACTGCCGCCGGCTCCTGAAAAAGGAATCCTTGGAACCTATGCTGCCATGGTATAGAGGCTTCCGGGGAAACATTGCACAGATGCCGGAGCAAGAGGGACGATTTGAGCCGCTGGGATCGTTCGTTGAGACAGGTGGCTGGTTTCAAAGCTACAAATATGTTCTCCATATTTAAGTCGTGCTATAAATTACACGTCCTCACAGGAAAATTCTATAGAGATACATATAATTCCTGGCATGTCATCCATACATGGTTAAAATATGATACCCCAAATTGAATAGTTGAGATGAGAACAACATTTTCGCCTTTAAATTTGCAATTCTGGGCAAACCCCTTCTCCAGACAAACCTACATGAAGCATAGGATCCCAAAAGATCGGTTTCTGTCTGATTTACCCTGTTTGTTTTTCTCCAAATGGCCCATATTTGTCGGTAAATATGATGAAATTGCTGATTCGCAACTCTTGCTTTTGTTTTTTCCCCATACCTTTCAGACAAACCCGCATAGAGGAACCCCCCTCCCACCTACGTTTGGTTTATAATATTTTATAATCTAAATTCATCTATATATAATATAACTATAGATGCATCCACCATAAACCCTGTAATTAGTAGATAAAAGAATGGGCATAAAATATATATTTCTATTTGGATCTATTTGGTTGCTATCAAAAACCACACTCTGCGCAGTGAAACCATTTTTGACTATTACGTCCCGAGAAAATTCGATGATGGGGAAATCTGCAGGGATATCAGGGAAACATCATCTAACACCATGGAAGATCTAAACCATATTATGTTTCATGCTGGGTATCGAGGAGTCACGTGGCAACCGAAAACCATCCATCTATATCATATAGATGATTTTTGTATTAAACATCCATTTCGTTCCGGGGGTTTCCCAGCTAGCCATGTTTGAGGACACCGGAGGGTATCTATAGTTAGATGGGCATACAGGATGGTTATAAGTTGATTTATGCTGTAATCCCCTTTAACTATAACCGAAGGAAGTTTAGAAGTCAAACATCCGAAAATATGGCCAGATGGAAAAGCAGTGGTGCGAAGAGCCAGAGAAGAGAAGAGAAGAAGAGAGAAGCTCAGAGAAGAGAAAGAGTCAGAAGAAAGAAGATGCAGGTGCGCGAAAAGGTAGAAAAGTCGCGTTTCACTGTGTTTTTCCAATGATTTGGGGCTCTGGAGGGTCGAAAAGGAGGCTCGCTAAAGCGGCGGGTGCGGAGCCATCTGGCTAGATGAGAGATGAAAAATTGCATGCGTGGCGCGAAGCAAACTTCGAAGTCAAAATGTACAAAGCACACCATTCTCGGAGCACTTTTAGACGTTGAGATGTCGAAAAAGTGCACACCGTTGTGGTGCGAAGCACATTTCCACGTCAAAATGTACAAAGCACTTCGGTGTCGGACCACTTCTGGAAGTTGAGATGTCGAAAAAGTGCACACCGTTGTGGCGCGAAGCACATTTCCACGTCAACATGTACAAAGCACTTCAGTGTCGGACCACTTCTGGAAGTTGACATGTCGAAAAAGTGCACGCCGTTGTGGCGCGAAGCACATTTCGAAGTTCGGGGCAAATTATGGCGTTCAGATGTCTTTTTTTGCGTGGTAAGCTCAAGGGATTCTTCACCTTGTCAAAAGAGAGCAAAACGCGAAGGTTTGTAGCATTTTCAAAAGCGTTGGCAGGCGTGGGACTTTGGAAGAGGATCTGCAAAAATGCATTTCGCGTGGCAGGCGCAGTACAAGAGAGATGTTAGGAGGTCAGGGCGCAGATTTCCTGAGAAGGGTTTCATTTTGGAGCATTAGATTTTCAGCTTTGCCAAGATGATTTTGCGTGACCGGTGCAGCACTTCGTATGACCTGGCATCACTTTTTCGTGGCACACGCAGCGCTTCAGACGGATGGAGTGGAAAAGTCGCAAATTGCATTGGTACGAGGCCGTCAGCTCTGCACTCAACTTTCCATTTTTGAAGGAAATCTTGCAGAATTGCCGCGTTTTTGATGTGTCAACTTCGAAAAATGAGGAAGTCTCGCAGAATAGCTTCGTTTTTAAACGTTGCCAACTTCGAAAATTGAGAAAGTCTCGTAGAATTGCTTCGTTTTGATGTCAAGTTCAAGACTTGAGGAAGTCTCGCAGAATTGCTTCGTTTTCAATCTTGCAGATTGACAGATAGATAGATAGAAAATTGCAACTACAACTGCCACTACCACTACACTACACTGCTACTACAACTACAAATCCAAATTTGCTACAGTACATTACACTACACTAAGCACACTACACTAAGCACACTACACTACACTAGTTACATCCAACTACGCTACACTGAAATAATTACACTAGAATACTACTACTCTACTTCTACTACTACTACTACTACTGCTGCTACTGCTACTGCTACTACTACTGCTACTGCTACTGCTACTGCTACTGCTACTACTACTACTGCTGCTGCTGCTGCTACTGCTACTGCTACTTCTACTACTACTACTGCTGCTGCTGCTGCTACTGCTACTGCTACTGCTACTGCTACTACTACTACTGCTGCTGCTGCTGCTACTGCTGCTACTGCTACTGCTACTGCTACTGCTACTGCTAGTGCTACTGCTACTGCTACTGCTACTACTACTGCTACTACTACTGCTACTACTACTACTACTACTACCACTACTACTACTACTACTACTACTGCTAAGCCAAGAACCCCATAGGCTGTGAGTTAAAGACTGCAGCCACACACGGAAGCAGCTCCCATTGTTGCAAACGATTCTAGCATGTGACCGCAGATCTTGCTTCCAGGATTGTGTGCTCATACCTCAGCAGCTTACAGCTCGAACTTTTAGCACGCAACACGCCGGTGCATCCATTCGCCATGGCGCCAAAGCCGAAAAAAGACGATCAAAACAAGCAGCCGGTACATAAGACGGAAAACGTCATCATGAAGTACCGCCTGGGCGAACGGCGCTTTAGCACCCTACCCGGCAGAGGACGGAAGCCCTTTGTACACGGGCGACTTGGAAGCAGAAGAATTCCTTAGAGTAGTAGTACGTAGCTAGTAGCTAGTAGCTAGTAGCTAGTAGCTAGTAGCTAGTAGCTAGTAGCTAGTAGCTAGTAGCTAGTAGCTAGTAGCTAGTAGTAGCTAGTAGCTAGTAGCTAGTAGCTAGTAGTAGTAGTAGTAGTAGTAGTAGTAGTAGTAGTAGTAGCCCCGTGCCATACCAGCAAGACAGAATGCCATAACTGAGCCATGCTTTTGCTTTAACTTCTGTCGCTCAACTCTTTTTTTGACCCAGGGGGACAGCTCCACATCAAACCTACCGGTAAGCTCCTCACCGCACCAGACACCCAGAGGTACGATCACAGCTGAGGGCAATGAGCAGGATTGCGAGGGACCTGGTTTTGCCAGCACCAAATACTCCTGCAATACACAAGTCAGAGCTGCCAGAGCGTCCTGTTAGGATGGCAAGAAGTAGCGCAACAGTGACGGCTAGAACGTGACCATCTCCATGTCAGGAATAAAAGCGGCTGCGGCGAAGAAAAAGCAAGAAAACGAGAAGAAGAGGAAAAACGACGAGAAGAAGAGAGAGAGGGCCGCCGCCAGAAAAGAGCGAGCTGAGCGCAAAAAAGAACGCGAGAAAAACGAAAAGGCGGCGAAAAAGCAGCGCCGCCGAGACCGAAAGAAGAAGGCTCGACGGACAACTGATGGAGGGCGGTGGTGCTGCCGTCACACAGTTCAGTTCACGGCATAACACTCCCCGCCGTAGGCCATCCAGGCGGCAAGGACAAAGAATCGCAGGGAAAAGAGAAAGCGGATCAGAGAGGCCGGGTTCGGGCATTGCACCGAGCGCGGGCGCGTCAGAGCCACATCCTCGCCCTTTGCAGGGACCACACGACACAGACGACTACAAGAAGTGGCGTGCCCAACAGGACAAGCGGAATGAAAAAAAACGAGAACGGCGCTTGGAAAAGCGTGGACGCCTCAGCTAACTGCGTGACGTTGACGGCCCCAGCGTGGCGCTCTTCTTTTTTTGAGGCCAAAAGAATGGTGACAAGCGCACTCGAGCCTTCCGATGGGATCGCGAGTGCCGAGTCTGTTTTCGGACTTCCCCGACATAGAGGACGTGCCGAATCCTAGGGCACTGCCGCGGGCCGCGTCACCAAGAATGATGGTGATTCCTCTGCGACCTGCGGGTCACATCATTCAGGCTCGCCGAGTGCACAAGGTGATTTGCGTTTGCCTATGCTTTGAACCCAACAGTCTGTCACGAATGTGTGGGTGTAGGTGGACGCCTGGATAGGTTGAAATCTACGCGCGATAAGACGTCGATGGATCCAAGCCTCCAGTTTTATACAAATGAAGCAACACATGGACGCAAATATACACATATACGCGCGCACAGAGGCACACTTGTCAGACAGAATGCCTGCTCACGAGGCTCATACCGATTGATGCTTTCTTGCGCGTGAAAAGGCCGTTGTGCCCAAACCTGTTATAAAAAAAGACACATTGAGGACGGTCGCCGCTGTGAGTAAATCACAGAAGTCAGAAATCGATATTGTCACATGCCAGGTACGTCTGACTGATGAGGTCAGATATCACCAGAACTCATCCAGTGTCTTCGTTGGTGCAAGACTGGATGGGCTGCTTGCACCCCCGGCCTTAAAACTGAAAAACTGAAATACTGAAAAACAGAATAATTCGTAAATCCTTTAGAAACAGGGGTTGGCCCCCCCACACACCCACACACACACACACCCACACGCACACACACCCACACACACACACATACATATAGTAATATAATATAATAATATATATATATATATAAGTATAGAGAGAACAAAAGCAAACAGAGTAAACCGTACATAGCTTCTACTACTACTACTACAACTACAACTACAACAACTACTACTACTACTACTAATACTACTAATACTACTAATATTACTGCTACTAGTACTCCTCCTCCTGCTCCTGCTCGGTCCATCAGTGGATCGCTCTGCCATCCGTGATTCACAACAACCAGCCTCTCCTATAGTTTCCTATTTTGGAAACTTCTGCCACCGCCTTGTGCGGTACTACTGGTATCTATAGCTATATTCCCCATAAGCTGCACAGTTGTTGGAGTTATAAACCAACTTAGCTAACTATAGGGGCCCACCCTTGTAGTGAAGATCTTGTTTTCCAATAGCCCAGGGATGCCCCCAGGACCGTGGGAGTGGTGCAGCATCGTGGCTTGACCCGCTTGGAAATCACCGAGCTACCTCTGCGAAGGCCGGGTCCATGCTGGGCCGGACAGAATGGACGGGATTTGGCCATGAATCAAGGGCTTTTGAGGGCTTTGATCCCTGAAACATATATGGGATAGGATTCTGATAGGATTGATTATTATAGAGAACTGATGGTTGGTTGATGATTAAATTAGTTTGGGGATTATATACTGCTCAATAGGTTGGGGTGACCATAATCCATGAGCTGGGAATCCCGTTCTTAACCGTGCATTTTTTGAAGGGACGACGTCGCAGGATTTGTACAGTGTTCAGCTGAAATTAAATTAGGGGGTGTCGGCTCGGAACTGGATTATATAATTCTAACCATCCAAAGTTCAGTTTGCAGAAAATTACAGGCAAGTTACTAAAAAACATCGATTCATGTGATCAAACATGTGCTAGAACATTTAATGTGATACATATAGCCCTTGTGTTTTTTGACTAACTTGGTCCCGTTCTCTCTGTTGTACTTCCAGGTGGACCCAGGACTACAAAGAGTGGATCTTGGAGCACATGCATGGGGACGACGGCAAGCGTGCCATGATCTCCGAGTTTCGGGTGCGCGCCGGGATGGACATGACTTGGACATGATTGCTTTATATAATCATATAATGTGGGTAAAGCAATACTAAGCCATTTCCCAAATCACAATTTTGTAGGTGGTATATTCCCAAATGGGTGGTTCACCATCGTTTTAATTACCCACAACATTATGTATATATATGTATGATTCCCATCGTATTGAATCGGATGTGTCCCCTATATCTTGGCACCTTCCAAATTTGACCTTCCACAGTAGGCCTCCTACTTGCCCAAGAGTTAGTTTAGGTCAGTAGATAAACTAAAAATTATGGTAGATACGTCTATACTTGCTATAGTAACCCCCAAAAAGATAGAAGAGAACAATCCCGCTAAAATAGTGATCAATCACTGTTCTATCCATTTGGGAGTGGTTTTTTGGGGGGATTAGATGGAGCCTCACCGTAAGCAACAGACATGTCACAACGGCACGGCCCTTCCAGGAATACCACACGGACAACACGGTGCATTTCAGCCTCAGCATGTTGCCCGACAAGGTGGCACAAGCCGAACAGCTCCTTTGACAGTCGGATCTACTTTCTACCTGAGCCCTTAAAGTTTTACCCAACTGTTGATCGGTTATGAAATATGGAGTTATATGGAGTTACGTATGGAGTTATGTATGGAGTTATTTGGAGTTATATGGACTTATGAATGGGAAATCTATCAACCAACTAGTGCAATGAGGTGGGATTGATAAGGGTATTTTCATGGCTCAGCTTGTATTTGCCCTGGCATGTGGGATAGGTAAGCGTCAGTTTTTCGCCCACAAGATCACAAGAAGTTGCTCCAGCCCATTATAGGTAAATGATAGCTACACGGGGAAACGAACTATTATTTTACAATATTTTAGCAGATATGTCGAATTGACTATGTCTTAGCTCTATATTTTATACCTCTGTTCTTAGCTAGTTTCCCCCCAAAACGTATCTAGGTACCAACGTATCTAGGGTGTTTGTTGGGAGCAACCCTGAAATACATGGATAGATGCTGCGCGATTTTTTTTGATACCAGACATATATCGTAGAATATTTGGAAACCATCCTACCTGCAGCCTCACAGGCAGCCCCGGTTTTTGAAAAATGTTCACCTCGTCTTGGACAGAGACCTGGGAAACCCACCATCTGCTTCACGCTGATGACGTTTCTTTCATGTCAAGGAGGTGATGGAGCATGATGGTGCATGATGGTGCCATATGGTGCCCGTAACTACCCCAGCCTGAAAGCAAATGACATCTAAAAGCCAGCCATGAAATCCCAGAAACGGATGTTCTTCTTATTACCAAGGCCGAGTTAATCGTCACTATATCCCTATTTGAAATTGCCATGCCCCATTTTCAGACACACCCATATTCTATAGACAGTATTGATTATATCGCCGTTATATCCCATATTATAACCATATTGAAGAGCTTCGCACACCGGCGATGCCATAAGGGTTATAGTAGTGTGAGCCTTGGTGTTGTTCACGTGCTCTGTGCGCGCGCGCAGGTGGAGAGCACAGTGCGATGTTCTTTTCATACCTCAGCTTGTAAACATTTTGCCACACATGTGTGCTTGTTCTTCTTGTTCTTGTTCTTGTTCTTTTTCTTCTTCTTCTTGCTGCTGATGGTCTTGTTCTTCTTGTTGTTGTTGTTGTTGCTGTTGTCGTTGTCGTTGTTGTTACCCCTGCAGCTTTGTTCTCAGTCTCGTAGTGGCCGAAAATCGTCAATTATGTGGCGTTTTCGTTTTTTTGTTGAAACTTTCGGAGCGAAAAACACCGTACATACCGATGTGTTTTGCCCTTTTCCCTGGCACGCTCCCCCGTGCGTCGGGAGGGGTTTTCTTCGGATTCTAATCAGTAGCGAGCAGCCATTGTGGGGTACCCATTTGCTGCAATGATTTCATCCATGATCTTCCCATGATAAAACCCCATTTTCCCTACAATGTGAGGCCCCCAAGATAGCTAAGTTGGTTTATAACTCCAATAACTATGGTTTATGGTACTTATAACTATAGTTACTGGGGCTTATAAACCAACTTATAACTATGGGGCACCACATTGTACTTAATCACAACAAAAATAGATGACTTGATGAATTTTCTTCGGAGATGTTTGTCATGGTTTGGCTTCTCAGGAAGGGTTTGGAGAAGGCCCTGCATTTGAAGTCTTCGCAGCTTGCCAGTTCTCAGTGGGGATTTAACCAACAAATATATATGGGGATACAATGGTGATACAAATGGATGTAATGGGAATGTTTCAATATTTGGAGAATACAACGCTGCTGAAGTTGGCAAGCGGCACATTCTAGTTGTTCCATGTTGGAAACAATCACGACCTGGCCTTATCCACTATGAGAATCCCCATTTGCCAACCACTAGAAATGATTTTCGAACACTTTTGAGAACACTTATTTGGGCAGTTTTTTTTCCTGATAGGGGTCCCCAAAAGTATGGAACAATGTTTCCAGGATGTTTCTTCCATATTTTCCAGGTTCTATCACTAATTATTCATTTGGGGGGTGCTATAAACATGCCATTGATGTTCAAAAACCATTCAAAATTCCATTATATCACCAGTTTTCCTGCTTAAATCAGTATAAATCAGTTAAATCCTTCCAGTTTGGGGGTTGCTATACCGGACTGTTTTTGCAACCAGGGTCTTACCTTTACCTTTTTGCACGAAAGACCTCCAATTTGATAGCTATGCAGGCAATTTTTCCAGGCTTCAAGCAGAGCAGCTTCTTTAAACAGCCGAGCAGTGTTGAAAACCCCCTTTCATGGTGGTTTATTGGTTCATTTTCTGCGGGTCCTTTTTAACAGTGATTTAATTGGATTTAATGGTGATTCAACGTGATTTAATTAAATCTTGTGGTTTTCACCCTTTGGTATTTTAACAAAAATCCAGTAAAACCGGGGCCCATCTACATATGATTTACCTTGTAAAAATCATTCTTTTCAATAGCTATGTTAAATTGCCAGAGTGTATATGGATGTATCATTCTGCTTTAGTAAATCCATGACATCCCCAAAACAACTCCATACATATGCCATTCTGTAGGCGATAGACAAGGGGATTATGGTTCCTTATGTCCCCAATCGTTTGGACTATGGTCTTCAACATTGCTCAGTCCAAGGATGTCATTGAACAACATGTTCCTCTTCGATTCCGACGGGAAGCTCCTTGTGCTGTTCCGACAGTTGGGATGAGTGATCAAGAATCTGGGTAAATTTCAGCACGACCTCACTGCGACCGAGCCCTGGAAATCATGGTTAGTAAGGGAAATCATTCCCAAATGGCCCAACAATTCAGGTTGGTGAATTAATTATTATTTACCCAGAAGAATGGGGAGAGAGCTTGACTGGCCATGGAGATGAGAGGTTGGACAAGGAATTTTAGCCTTTTCTTTTAGACATTTTTTTTAAGTGACTCAAACTGTCATTTCCAGCGGTGTTTTTGGAGAATAAAACGGCGGTCAGATATGTCTTAATGTGAAAGACGGACAAGTGATGTTGTGTGATGTGTGAGCAAGGATTTATTCATCGGCAAAAAAATGGTAACAATTTCAATATACTTACCCCATTTTTTTGGATAAAAAATCAGGGCCTTAACTAGACTTGTCTAAAATAATGTATGATATTTAGGGACAGTTGGGTCCACATCCAAAAATCGGAAAGGCGAAAAATTCTGGGGGCACAGGGCCCCGCAACTTTCACCGAGGTTGAAGAAGTATTCTTCGCCAGAGGACTGGCCGTGGCCAGATTTCCCTTCGAATGGGGTTGCTCCTTCGCCCGTTTTAGGGTTGCTCCAGCCCATGATAGGTACCCTTTGGAAATCAAACGCGGCAATTGAAAATTCCATATGATTACATTATATATATATATATACTATATACATATGCATGGAGGTGTTGATAGCAAGCCATGTATGGAGCAACGCCAATAACCCCAAATTGAATCGAGCGTCATAAAGCAGGGTTTTAGGCTGGTATTTCATATGGGAAGGGATGACAATTTCAAGCAGCGGCTCAAATATATTTTCTGTGTTACGATTCTTCATTGAAACCCACCACTGGTTGGTCGTTTCAAATCTTGTTTACCTTCAAGTCGATTTCAATGGAATGATGATCCTCAATTGACATAAATAGCTGGTGGTTAGATGATGTTCGGTGATCTCAGGAAAAAAAACAACATCAAAATCTCAGTGGTTCTCGCCCACCTGACCTGGGAATCCACCTGTTTCCAGATGGACACTTTCCGGTTTTTTCGTGGCTGGAAAATCCCATCATTTTCAGATTGGGGTTCCATCGTGTATACATGGGGGATTTTTTGATTGCCATGTTTCATAATCGGAGGGTAAGGTTGTATATATCCATCCACCAATCCACCGAGAATTTACCCTCTGGTAATTTAACATAGCTATTGAAAATGGCCATAGAAATAGTTGAATTACCCATAAAACATGGTGATTTTCCATAGCAATGTGACAGTTTACCAGAGGGTATCCAATCGATGAGAAAAATGTGGCGGCAAGGAGATTCTGAAGGATTTTGCCAAGACCAGGCTCGAAGTGTAGCTTGGATAATAGTGGTGACAAGGTGGCCCTAAAAAATCAGGATTGTTTTGTTGGGAAAAAAGGCGGTTCAAAGCAGATGTTGCTGCTTAAACCGTGTTAACTTATGTTAACTTCCATTTTTTAAGATTGTTTCGGTCCCAGACTTGGCGGAACAACTTAAAGAAACCCACTGGATATTTTTGAGATCAAAAACTCATGGTCTTCCTTTTTTTTTCGTTCTTCCATTCTCCAGTGATTCGTGGTGAAACCAATTTCGTCAAATCCAGCCGGTGAAAATCCCAGGTACCAGCTGCGTAAGGACCACCTAATCAGGGAGCTGGCCAAGGTCAGCCGGAAGGGCCTGGGAAACCATGGGAAACCCGAGCACCATGGTGATTTTCATGGGGATTTCACCAAAGAAACACCTGGTTTTATGGGATTCAACCATATTAAACCTCATTGCCATGTAATTTGTGACAGAACCATGGACAATTGCCAATTTATAGATGGTTTACCGTAAATGGTGATTTTGGACAGCTATGTCAACTTAATTACCAATCAGAAGGTAAACCACCAAACATCGTTTATAGATCTTTATAGTTGGTATGTATAGTTGATTTATGATAGGGAGTTGGCTGAAATTCTGAAATTGAATTAGGGTATCTGTTGGGTGGTGGACATATCGGGCAGCATTGTAAATAGATGTAAAGCGTGGGATTTTGAGCAACAAAACGTGGAGGGGTTAGCAGGATGATGGTCTGAGTAGAAAGTAGAGACTTACCCAGCGGATAAAACATAATCCATTTCTTTATGGATGGTTTACAGCGGTTTTTCCTGTGAATTCCACTTTGGCCGGTCCTTTACTGATTGGCAAATGGGACATCCCCAGATTGAAACTGGGTGAAACTGTACTGATTGGCCAGTTTCTATTGGTTGTCAGTTGGTTTTCACGCCTCCTCAACAGACTCAACAGCCTTTCAATAAATTGATGCCGCAACGATACTGATCAGTTGTTTGTAGGTCAGAAAAGGATAGAAAAGGAGGTTAAGGAATTTAACCCAGAATTCGATCGTTGATTTTGACGGTCAAAACAGTTCAAGCCATGGTTTACTATTTTTTCCGCTCAAACCAACCAATGAAATGGCTTGATATCAGGGAACATCCAAAGAACATGGTGGATATCTTTAAATCTGGGGCTTCCCAGCCCCAGGAAGCAGCGCTGATGAGCGAAAAGGCTCGCTTCATCCAGCCCCCCGGCGCCAAAACGGATTGGTCCAGTATTTTGACCACCCCGCGATTTGAATGGGGAAAATGATGACAGAAAACACAATTTTTTGGGGCACCCTATTGACAAATCTTCCTGATCTTCCTGGTGCTGTTTCAAAGCTAAGGTCTTGCCCATTTTGAGGGTTCCGACGGTTTAGTTTCAAGGGTGACGCCGTTCATTCCTCACTTTGGACGCTTCAACAGTCACCGGGCATCATTGTTAGTCCCTCGAATCCCCATTGCAATCAAACATGATTCATCCTGAATTCATTTCGACTCTCTTCATTGTCAAATCCCGATTTCTATACATTGACTATATACATACAGAACTCATCCAAAATCATCCAAAACATCAAAACGCAGTTCTTTGTTTCCACCTTCGCAACTGGAGGAATTATGTCAGGAACTGCCACGGGGGTTGACGGGGGATGATATCAATAGAAACTCTTTGAAACAGCAAGTGCCGGGTTTCCCATCATGTTCATCCGTTCTTACCCTCTGGTAATTCAACATAGCTATTAGAACATGGCCATTTAGTTCGTTGATTTACCCAAATAACAACGGTGATTTTCCATAGCAAACTGTTAGTTTACCAGAGGGTATCTATTGATACCAATGTTTCCCCAATGCTTATCAATCGATACCACTGTTTCACCCAATGTTCCCCGTGCTTATCTATTTCTCGACATAGTTTACCATGATTTCTTCATTTTTATCAATGTAATTCTGAGACTTGATTCTGATATTAGCAAATTATCAGGACCTCACCGCGAGGTCGCTGTAAATTGTTGCAAATAATGTAGATGGATATATCTTCATGAAATATCCCTATAAACCCTGATAATCATAAAATCCTCACATCTAAATCCCATGAAATCACCACAAATTCCCGATATTTTTCCATAAATACTGTGGATGGTTGCGAAATCCTGCACCAGTTGAAAACGGCAATTTATTCTATTATTTTTAGGGTTTCAACATGTTCCTTTTGGTGGTGCAGGATTTCTTCCACCGTAGTCCATCGATGTCTTCAACTCAGGATGGTGGCCGAAGGCCAGTTGAAGGTCGAAAGCCGGCCCACGAGAGAGGTGGGAGCGATGGTGGCAGCCTATGAAAACCGGGGAAAAAACAGGGGAGGTTGGAACAACATGCAGGATGGTGCTCCCCAGTGATGTTTGTTGGTTTATAAACCCCATCAAAACTAGTTCGTTATATCTACCATAAACCATAGTTAGTCCACTTATATCTCAACTTAGCTATCCTGGGGGCCCCATCCTGTGTTTTCTTTTTTAAATAAATCTGATTTAAGTTAATCAACATGTTTTTTAACTATGGTGACTTCATAGGAGCTTCAAAAAAGATTGGATTTCTGGTTGGTGGTTTGGAACATGTTTTATTTTTCCATATATTGGGAATAATCATCATCCCAACTGGCGAACTCCATCATTTTTCAGAGGGGTAGGTCAACCATCAACCAGATATGGTTAAAATTCCCACAATGATTCACCATAACCACCATTATTAACCATTATTAAGCATTATTAACTATAAAAAATCCCATTGAGCTTTACAACCAAAAAAAGGATTTTACTGTAGCAAAACATTGGTGATTTTTCAGATCAAGGCAGGCACCCTGACACCTTTCTGGCTGGCCCTCGTAACTTCTGAAGGGTTTCACACCTTTTTTGGGGGAAATCGTTGGGTTTATGATGGTTTTTTATTACTGTAGATATAGAGTTACTGGTTGGTGGTTTAGAGTTGATAGTTTAATTTATAACTGGTGGGTGGTTTCAAACATGGCTTTTCTTTTCCATCATATATGGGATGTCATCCTTCCCATTGACGAACTCATATTTTTCAAGATGGTTATTGCACCACCAACCAGGTATATATAGACTTATATAATAGTTTAATTTATGAAGTTGGGGGGCCGTCGTCTGGCTTTAAATCAGCTACGGAAAATTGCCAGAGATGACTTACCTATATGAAAATTTGTGATTTCATTAGCGATATTAAATTACCAGAGGATAATAACATTGCATCCCATTAAATAACCGCGACACCCCCGTTAGATAGTTATAACCATATTTATATAATTAATAACGATTAATATGGGGATAGGTCTTAAAACCTACTGTTAGACCATATCTGGAGAAATAACCGAATACAGTAACCATTAACCAGCTATGACTTTGGGTACCTAGTGTACCAGGGTTCTGAGCCAGAACCATTTAGATCTTATAACCATATAAATATAAATCCTTGTAAAACCCATATTACACCTCAGTCACTTAGATCTTATGACCATATAGTAAAACAACAAACTTATAATAAAACTATAAGACTGTTTATGCTTCTATAACGTGTTAAAAGATCTTATGCTTTTTTAACCTTATTATAACACATCCAACTTATCATACGTCGATCCCGTGGCAGTAGTCGCAGGTCACTGAGGAGATGCAGCGCTTGGGCTTCCGCACCACGCAGGATCCGATGGCGTGAGATGCTGGGGACGTTGCAGCATTGCAGTGAAGTCCCAACATGGGTAACATGGGTAATGTTGGTTAGGATGTGTTGGGATACTTGATATTTGAGCAATTTTTGTTTTGCAGTAACCCCTGGATGATTCAAAATGGCAATACTGAATAATACTGACTGATACGTATGATGAATTCTATATTCCTAATGGTTCAACTCCCATAATGTTAGGAAAGACATAGTAAACCATCCCACAATTTTACCATTGTTGTGGGTGGTATATAAGCCATCCAAAATGCAAATGGTTTATTATTGCTTTGTTAAAGGGCGCAAGTTACCTTATGATTTTGGAATTGGATGTTATTTTGTTATACTTTTTTTTTCTTCCGTGCATCTTTTTTGGGCGTTGTTCCCCCTAAAAATGGCCGTTTGAATAGGGAACATGAGGTTTCAACATTGTTTGAAGGCAGTAGATTTGCGGGCTCCCCAATTTGATTGCATTTGATTGCATCATGCACACACACCCAAAGCAAGAACCACAATTTGAGTAAATGCAGCAGCATGATTTCTTCGTCCACTATATCAGTCATGACCACCAGTCAATTGTGTGCGTGTGTGTGTTCTGAAGGACGCAAAAGTTCATCTCTACAACGTAGTGCCATCCCAGTTGTAAATTGTTTTTTAAAACCATCTCACTATTCATTACTATCGGTATATAATATAATATAATATAACATAATATGATATAATATATATATATATATATATCCACCGTAAACTCACGTCAATCCCATTGTTGGCCTAGTTGTCAACCAACTTACCTGTGGTTTTGGAGGCCCCTTCCTGTACCATGCTGATGGTGATTTGCCACATTGGTTCTATATAGATTCTATTTGAGCTGGGCTATATAATCTCCTCACATGGGTCAAAGATGATGATGTTCATGATGTTCATTGATTTTCTCATGTCATTACAGGTAGCTCAAGACACTCATCCCATTTAGCTCGCGAGCTTGGTTTCGCCACTGTTTCTGTTGCTTTCGCTCGTCCTGAATAAGTGGCACACAATGATACGTAATGGGCGGTATAGCAGTATAGCCAAAGAATTATTGTACAGTCATGGGATATCATGGGTTCTATTCCTATTCTTTCAGGATCATGCAAGCCATGTTTTGGTGAGATCTTTATTGTAATTTTTGTAGATGCAAATGCTTGAAGTCCAAACATCCACCTGTTGGTAGATCATTTTACTCGGAAAACCATGGGGTTTTCCACATCTATGTTGGTTTTACCCTAGGGTAAATGATGATGATACCATCTGGTTATTTAACAGTTTGCCATGGAAAATCACTATTTTTTAGTTCGGTAAACCATCTATTTCTATGGGCCATCAACAAAACATGGCTATGTTAGTCATAACCAGAGGGTATACCAAAGCTCCACAGGACATCGATGCAGGCAAGGTGGAGATCGCGGAACTGAAATCCCCGCGGCGCCACAAGAAGCGACGAGCCGCTGTGCTCGTCGAAGAATGGCTGGATCGCAGGCATCCTAAGTGGGTACCCTCTAGGTAAACATACAAAAAGCTATTGAAAATGGCCATTTATAGTTGATTTACCCATAAAGAGTGGTGATTTTCCATAGCTACTGGTACGTATGTTAGTTTACCAGAGGGTATAATGAGTCATTGACCAATAGGGTTATTGATATATGACCTCGCTACCCACTTAGGATGCCTCACTAATGCCTCACGATTGGTTATTTGTATTATATGTCAATAATTATGTTATTTGGAATAATTATTGATAATGGGTTATTGATCGAAGGAAGTTTAGAAGCCAAACTTCCGACAATATGGAGAGATGAAAAAGCAGTCAGCAGGGAGAAGAGTCAGAAGAGAAAAGATCAGAAGAAAGAAGATGCAGATGCGCGAAAAGGTAGGAAAGTCGCAAAACACTGTGTTTTTCGTGGTTTTGTGGCTCCGGAGGGTTGACAAGTAGGCTCGCTAAAGCGGGGGGTGCGGAGACATCTGGGGAGATGAGAGATGAAAAGTTGCACGCCGTTGTGGCGCGAAGCCGATTTCGAAGTGAAAAGGTACAAAACACCTCAGCGTCGAACCATTTTTGGAAGTTGAGATGTTGAAAAAGTGCACGGCGTTGCGGCGCGAAGCACATTTGGAAGTAAAAAGTGTTAAAAACTGGCGGTCTCGGAGCACTTTTGGAAGTTGAGATGTCGAAAAAGTGCACGCCGTTGTGGCGCGAAGCACATTTGGAAGTAAAATGTGTTAAAAACTGAGGGTTCGGAGCACTTTTGGAAGTTGAGATGTTGAAAAAGTGCACGGCGTTGTGGCGCGAAGCACATTTCCAAGTGAAAATGTGCAAAGCACACCATGGTCGGACCACTTTTGACAGTTGAGATGACGAAAAAGTGCGCGGGGTTGTGGCGCGAAGCACATTTGGGTAAAAAGTGTTAAAAACTGAGGGTCTCGGACCACTTTTGGAAGTTGAGATGTCGAAAAAGTGCACGCCGTTGTGGCACGAAGCACATTTGGAAGTAAAATGCGTTAAAAACTGAGGGGTTCGGAGCACTTTTCGAAGTTGAGATGTTGAAAAAGTGCACGGCGTTGTGGCGCGAAGCACATTTCGAAGTCAAAAGTGTTAAAGCTGAGGGTCTCGGAGCACTTTTGGAAGTTGAGATGTCGAAAAAGTATGAAAAAGTGGACGCCGTTGTGGCGCGAAGCACATTTGGAAGTCAAAAGTGTTAAAAACTGGCGGTCTCGGAGCATTTTTGGAAGTTGAGATGTCGAAAAAGTGCACGGCGTTGTGGCGCGAAGCACATTTCGAAGTCAAAAGTGTTAAAAACTGAGGGTCTCGGAGACATTTTGGACGTTCAGACGTCGTTTCGTACGGTAGGTGGCGTGGTTTGTGCATCCACTGAAAAGTGACTAAAACGTGAGGGTTTTGTAGCATTTTCAAAAACGATGGCAGGCGTGGGAGATTTGAAGAGGATCTGCACAGATGCATTTTTCGTGGCAGGCGCAGTACAAGAGGCATCTTCAGCAGAGATGTTCGGAGCTCAAGGAGCTGATTTCCTGAGAGGGGTTGCATTTTGGCGTAGGCGTATCAAATCATCAGCTATGCCAAGATGCTATTTCGTGACAGGTGCAGCATCGTATACGACCTGGACTAACTTTTTCGTGGCAGGCGCAGTACTTTAGAGACACGGCATGGAAAAATCGCAAAAAACGCATTGGTACGAGGCCGTCAGCTGTACAGTCAACTTTCCATTTTTGAAGGAAGTCTCGCAGAATCGCTTCGTTTTTGATGTTGCCAACAGAAGTCTAGCAGCATTGTTTTGTTGTCGACGTGGCGGTTAGACAGATTGATCGACAGGTCAAGAGGTAGATCGAAGGACAGGTGGAGAGAGAACTTGACGGATGAATAGATGCATAGATAGACACATAGGGAGATAGATCGATAGTTTACTAGATAGATGGACAGGTAGACAGATAGACAGATAGACAGATAGACAGATAGACAGACAGACAGACAGACAGACAGACAGATAGATAGATAGATAGAGACATAGAAAAACAGACAGAGACATAGATGGGTAGGTAGGTAGCTAGGCAGATAAAAAGATAGAGAGATAGATGGGTGGGTAGGTAGGTAGAAAGATAGATAGAGAAAAAAATAGCGACAGAAATAGAGAGACACATGGATGGAGTTAGCGCATAGGGTTAGCCGTTGTTAACGGCATCACAGAGATCTGACTTTCAATGGAGCGTGTGTCTTTTCTGGCCGCGCTCCCGAGTCTGCAGCATGTAACCTTGTTGTTACCAGTGTTGTCGTTGGAACGCTGGAATGATGGTGTTTTTTCTGACCCATCCGTGTAGCGTCTGCGTTTTGCATCCGTTTTGTCTCCGACACGGATCGTGCAACCGTAGGCCGACGAAGGAAAATAACGCAGTGGGAGCTCTTGCAGGCATCGGTTTTTGAAGCACAACAGGGGATAGGTGCAATGGGATTTGATAGCTAGATCGATAGATAGACGGGTAAATAGATCGATAGATAGATAGACAGATCGATGCATCGCAAGATCCATAAATTCATCGAGAGATAAATCGAAAGATGGGTGGCTAGATAGAGAGACAGATCGATCAATAGACAGGTAGATGGATCGACAGATGGACACATAGATCGCTAAATCGAAAGATCGCTGGAAGCGTCGATGACCAGATAAACGCATGGGTAGCTAGATAGATGGATGGATGGCTGGAAGAAGAGGTAGACGGACAGATGCATGGATGAATCGATAGAGAAACAGAACGAAGAACATGGTGATGGATAGCTGTGGACATGGATCGATGAAGAGATGGACGGAAAAAAACTAACAGAGAGAAGTAAGTGGATGGATGAATGGCTGGATAGACAGAAAGATGGACAGTTTAATAGGTAGGTGAATAAACAAATCGATCGATAGATACATGAATAGACAGGTAGATAGGTAGATGGCTAGAAAGGTAGCTCTGTAGATAGATGGCGAAAGAGAGACACAGAGAGAAAGAGAGAAAGAGAGACAGAAAGGGAGAAACACTCAACCACCTTTCAATCCATCAGTGGGTTCGCTCTGCCATTTGTGCGTCACACCAACTCACCTCTCCTATAGGTTTTCCATTTTTGAAACTTCCGCCACCGCCTTGTGCGGTACTACTGGTAATGGGTTTGGAGACAGGGGAATCATCCTCAAACAACTGGTTTGCTGTGTATTTACATTCTGGTAATTTGTTACATAGCGACATTGAAAATACCTTATAATGGGTTATCTGGTCGGTGGTTTGGAACCATGGAATTTTAGGACTTTCCATGTATTTTGGGAATAATACTCCCAACTGACGAACTCATATTTTTCAGAGGGGTTGAAACCACCAACCAGTTATTGATAGATGTTGAGACTTTGGAATATCAATGGGTTATTGATAACTTTAGTAGATCGTTATATCATGTTATGTCAATAGTCATTAAGAATATCCAAAGTTATCAATGGGTTATTGATATAACATGATATAGCGATCTAGCTTTCAAGCATTCTAAAGCTGTATGTCGATGACTTTGCCCGCTTCGAGGCCCATCTAGGAATGGGTCCCAGCTGCTCCTATCTCCATTTTGTATCAACCAGTTTTGCAGGTCTACCATGTGGTACCCAATTTAGAACTGGTTTCATCCCCGGTTATCCAAGGATACCCAAGGTTATCCCATTTCGGATTCAGGAAGGCCCAAACCTCGCCTCAGATCCTATCCATTGAACCATGGGAGACCGAGCCCCAGTGACGCCGCCAAAAAGGCCGCCTGTGAAAGCGCCGCCAACCAAGCTTCCAGTGCCGACCACAGCAGTACCCAAGAAGAAAGCACCAGCACTGCCCAAGCCGCTTACTGCGAAGGCGGCGGCGAAGGTGGCACCACCAGCCCCAGCAGAGGCGACGAGTGGACCTCCCCCAGCAGAGGCGACGACCGCCAGTGGACCTCCTCCTGGTGCACCAGTGACGCCGCCGCTGGCAGCGACAAGCAAGGCGCCGCCACACACCGAGGCCACCGCACCCGGACAGTGGTGGCTCCGTGAAGACTTCCCCCTTCACAGATACCAGGCCTTCTTCCCACTGGGACTACCGCCACCGCCTCCAGCCCCCGAGCCCACAGAGTCAACAGGTGGAGGTGGAAGTGCAGGAGAAGCAAGTGGAAGTAAACGGGGGCACAAACACAACGTTTGTCAGATGCGCCGAGAAGGTGAAAGTTACAAAAAACAGGCAGAAAAAGTCAGACAATATGAACTGGTGCTGGACCAACGGTCTCTGAAATGGTCAGGTACCAGAAGGGTCCCCCATCCTATATCCGAGATGGATCGAAATGGAGGGTTTCATGGGATTTGACCAAGAAACATGTGATGTATAAACCGATGAGCCTGAGCCTTCGGTAGTCTGACAGTTTGCTATAGGCAATTTGTCCATTGAGTCCGATGACTTACCTATTAAAGGATGTTAAAGGTAGTCATTTTCCATAGTTAAGTTATGTTACATTTGCGGAGGCTATCCAAAATCAATCAAAATCATGGAACCGACTGAACTGGGACCAATTTCCGCAATTAAACATGGCTTCTGTTGCCATGTTTGGGCCAGTTCTATCGCATAGCATCAGTGCTTCTCTACTATCCCATGGCGGATCCATGGTGCTGCTATATATGGTGCTCCATGGATCCCGTCAATATACCCCCTTTATGTTAGCATTTTTCTACCAGCACCATGGATCCGTCATGGATATTGCAACGTTTGGGGTATGCCATCCCCAGAAATCCAGCCATGACAACCCCCATAAAGGATCAAAAAGGTAGAAGCATCGAAGAAATCCTGCTGAAATAGTGATTATATGTGATTAATTGTGATTATAAATGTAAAAAACAACAACAACAACAACAACAACAACAACCAACAACAACAACAACAACACCAACACCAACACCAACAACAACAACAACGACAACGACAACGACAACGACAACGACAACGACAACGACAACGACAACGACAACGACAACGACAACGACAACGACAACGACAACACCAACACCAACAGCAACAGCAACAGCAACAGCAACAGCAACAACAACAACAACAACAACACCAGCAACAACAACAACAACAATTCGCCTATTCATGAAAAGCCCATTCAGACCCCATTTGATTAAATTGATTGGTTGCCCCCTATTTTTTTGCTGCTCAACTGCTCAACCAAGCAACAACAATAATCAACTAATCCCATCCCCGTAATGATTATATGTTCAATTCCCCTTAGAAAGCCCTAGTATTAGGTCTATTCTTTACCCTTTCTTTGGGGTAATTATATGTAATTATTGAATCCCATGCGGATGGGATTATCCAATATTTGCTGGGTCAATCTCATCAAATTTCCATCAATGCTAATTGCAGCAGCATCTTTCCCACTAGAAACCATTCCTGCGCCCATGTGTTTGGGTAAATTATAGTGACCTCACGTCGCGAGCGAACCCTGGAATGATGGTTAAGATTCAAGGAATTATCCCAATAGCTGGCCTTATTTCAGGTTAGTGAATTACTATAATTTACCCGGATATGTTCTTTGGGGCCCATTTCTGCGTCCACCTTTTTCGAGCCCAAAACATCAAGGTCATCGACGTACAAGATGAAGATGTGGATTTGTCTGGTAAAGACGCTCGGCCTGGATGGTGGCCATCATATCCCAGGAATAAGAACTGTCATTTTGTTTCTGATGTCAATATCAAAAAAATAACAGGTGGTTCTAATGAAAGCCCAGGATTTTGCTAAACCCCCAGTGTATTAATTACGGAGAGCAAATTTTCAGACCAATTTATCACAGATTTTGGGGTAGCCCCGCAATAGTCTGGATTTTGTAATCTGAGGTGTGCTTGGACATTGCTTGAGAAAATCTTGGAAATTTAAATCCAATGTGAATACCCAAAATAAGACGAAACCAAACACACACAAGCACACTATATGTATATATATATATATATATATACACGTATATTTTCTAATAGTCTAGTAAATCTCACGGAAACTAACATGAAGACAGGCCGTTTTAAGAAATGAATAGAACCTATAGCCTGGCTTGTGGAAAACTGAACCTGAGGTACCCAGGTTTTGGGACCCCAGTGGATGTGTACACGTTGGGTTCTTAGCCAACTTAGCCATGAATGGTTTTGAAAGATGATCCAGTGGATATACCGTGGATGTTGTTAGTTTGCGCATGTCTCTAAAAATGATTTAGATCATTTTTCCCCACCTGCCAGGTGAGGGTTGTTAGATTTTATGTCAGTTGCCTCCTCCTCCTCCTTCTCCTCCTTCTCCTCCTCCTTCTCCTCCTCCTCCGCCTCCTCCTGCCTCGTCCTCCTCTCCTCCTCCTCCTCGTCCTCCTCGTCGTCCTCGTCGTCCTCATCGTCCTCGTCGTCCTCGTCGTCCTTGCTCAACTGCGACCCGCGATCCACAGTGTTCTCTGCCGGACCTCAACCACGACCATCCACGCCCAGTGTTCCTTGCCGGACCTCAACCACGACCATCCACGCCCAGTGTTCCCTGCCGGACCTCAACCACGACCATCCGCGCCCAGTGTTCCCTGCCGGACCTCAACCACGACCATCCACGCCCAGTGTTCCCTGCCGGACCTCAACCCATGCCCAGTGTCCCTTACCGGACCTCCGCGAGTATCCACGCAAGTGTTTCCCTGCGGACTCATGTAGGAAGATATGGGACAAAGAATGTGCAGAAAGTTAGAAAGAAAAGAAAGAATGTCAGAAGATTAGCAGATAGAATCAGAAGATTTGCCAGATAGAATGCCAGAAAAATGCCAGAAGATATGCCCAGAAGATATGCCAGAAGATATGCCAGAAGATATGCCAGAAGAATATGCCAGAAGATATGTCAGATAGAATGCCAGAAGATATGTCAGAATATATGCCAGAAGATATGCCAGATAGAATGCCAGAAGATATGTCAGATAGATGCCAGAAGATATGCCAGATAGAATGCCAGAAGATTTGCCAGATAGAATGCCAGCAGATATGCCAGAAGATATGCCAGATCATATGCCAGAAGATATGCCAGATAGAATGTCAAATAGAATGTCAGAAGATATGTCACATAGAATGCCAGAAGATTTGCCAGTAAGAAAATGTATAAATGTCATGGTGGGGATCACACGAAGTAAAGTAATTACATTTACAGACGTTTGGGTTGCCATGGTTTGAGAAAAACTGGTGCAACTTTAGTAAGGACTCCCTATGAAATGACAAAGCGCCCAGTTAGGCGAAGGTGCAAAGCAATCATTGCGCTCCAAGGTAGTCGGCTACCTGTAAGTTGGTTCCCCAAGTTCTGGACTAAGCCTACAAAAAGCCTACTCATAATTGTGTTTATGACCCACTTAGTGGTGAGCCACCAAGGATGTTCACATCACTAAAACTTCGTCACGTCCAAGTGTAGCGGTCACAATTACTTTTGTCCCAGCTGATGAGTTCCGTTTTCAGCCTGGAAGTGCATCTGTGCTGATGCTGGTAAGTGTTCACCATGAGTATCCACTTATTCTTTTAAAGTTTAGCATAGTTTAGCAATGTTATTAACATTTCGGTGCCGTGAAAATTGCTTAGGTATCCCTATCGCAAGACATGGTACATTGTAGTGATCTAACTGCCCTGCCTCAGGATGGCTATGAGTACTTGCTGAAAATGAAGCTTTGGACTTTGACCAAGGTCACCCTGCCAAACTGCGGAAAATAACAGCCCCAATTTGCAGATGGTGTTGCAGCAAAACATACTCCCAATGGAAGATTCTGCCAGGATTCTTTGAGATTTTCTAAGCATGGGGTATTTCATTGTATTTCGATTCTTGCAGTTGTTGCAACCAAAATAGCCCTTGAAACTTGGAATTGACAGCCACGATGATGCCTTTGAAAATTGATTCTGCAGCACGTAGGGTGGACGACAATTACAGCAATTCCATCAACTTTGCATGTGTCCCCCTAAAACCAGACCTTGGAGTGGAACCAGCGTGATTGTTGCTTAACAAACCATGTCTTGTTGGCCTATCTCCCAAATTCATTGGTGAACGGGGTCCGGCTTTTATTTGACCGATTCCAGCGCTGTACCACCTTAGAATACCTGGGTTTGTCCATGATTTTTCATGGTTTTCCCATGGTTTTTGCCTTGGTTTTCCCCAGAAAACCTCTGTGTTCCTGGGGTTCATCACCTTGAACCATCTCCAGGAGCGCGCCGAGAAGCTCATGCAAGAATTAGAGCAGCGTTGGGAGCCATGGACGCCGTTGTGAAATGATGGTGATTTTAATGGTGATTTCACGGAATTCTATGGTAAGATGGGCCATGGGATTGATTAGCGATTTGTGGTTAGGATTTGTGGCTTATAACCTACTGTATCCCAATTATAAACCCATCTGCCCTTTGGTAAACAAAGAGTTTGCGACATAGAAAATGGATGAACATTGCGATTTAGTTCGTTGATTTAGCTTTCAAAAATTTAGTTTACCAGATGGTAACTGATACATGTCCACCATAAACCCATGTAATTTTTTAAAACCGAATTCATCTACATATTTCACTCACCTTGGCTAAGGTAAACCGGGGGCCCTTGGGGTGAATCTATCGCGGTGGTTCTCCAAGGTTTAACGAAGCTGAAGGAACTGCAGAAGATGACCTTGGAAGAGATGTGGGAGTCACTGGGCCTTTCCTTTTGCTTGGGAAATGTTGGGAATATAGCAACCCCCAACAAAAAAAAATAATTATATAGAATGAATAGCCATTAAAAAAGATCAATTTGGAGGGTTCACCAATGGTTATAGTGGTTATCAATGGGATATGTCATGGGACTATTATCCAACCATAGTGGGGTCAGAAAATGGGACCAGCATTTGGTAAAGTGGTAAAGTGTTAAAGCCAACAATAAACCATCCCCAAGTCATCACCATTTTGATGGGTTGGATCAACTATCCCCAAATGGACGCTTTACTATTGCGTTTGCCATATGCCACATTATCTTTATTGACTGGATCGTACTTGCCTATCTTTTTTTAGGTTTGCTGTTATTTGTTTGCGTGGTAACTGGTAACAATACGAAGATCACGAAGCACTTGGCGAAGCCGATGGCAGAGTATTGTAATTGATCCCTCCGCCCTATGTCATATTGCGATGCCTCGTTGGGAACCCCTGGTGTGTTGGATCGAATCTAGTCACTTTGGTGTCCCTGATTTAGGTATTTATATCATAGCGATTACCCTCTGGTAAACAAACTATGGAAAATCACCATCTTTAATAGGTAAATCAACGAACTAAAGGTGCCATTTTCTATGTCGCTATGTTAAATTACCAGAGGGTAGGGCGGGAATAGGATAGGGACATAGCTGCGAAAGTGATGAAACATGCCTCCACCGCCACCTTCCCCATTCCAGTGGAGCAGTCGACATTTGAGATATCCATCCTAATCCTACTTGTGATGTGTACCCGAGTTCAATAATGTTCACCCAAGCGAGATCAAGAACCATCAGTGTATTACGGGGTTGCCAATTTTATTGGTAATTTATCATATTTTTAAAAATACTGGGGGTACCCTCCCAACTATATATTATGAAATATATATATAATATTCGTCTTTTTTTCTTCATTTGGTGGTTTACATTGATACAAATATAACATTTATACCTTATCGTGATGAGTTCATGCCCCACTTCCTGAGTTTTTTGGAATCAACCATGAGCTGGGAATCTTGTGACCTTAACTAGCGTTGATTGTATGGCTATTGTTGTTTGTATCCCCATTACCCGTCCCGGTAATGACTAACATAGCGACATAGAAAATTGCCATAGAAATAGTTGATTTACCCATTAAAATTCGTGATTTTCCACAGTTATTTTAGTTTACCAGAGGGTATATCACGATTCTATCACCATTCGATCACCGCTACTAATATCATGTTTGCGTTTTTCCCATTCATGTGGTAAAGCATGGTAAAGCCAATGTCATAAACCACCCCCAAAACCAAAATCGTCATTTTGAAGGTTGAAATTGTCACCTGTCCCCATTCGTCGTGGTAGCTCTATGGCAGCCAGGGTTCCCCCCACTACTGCATTAGGTTATTAATCCATTAACCAACGATTATTCACCGGGCACACCCCCCGGACACTCTAGCACTCTAGCGGAAAACATACTATTGTTCAAAAACCATGAATCCATTAAATGATATAAATATCCATTAACCAAGTATGATTCACCAACCATTAATCCACTATTAACCAACATTATTAGGTTATTATAACCCATTGGCCCATTATCCCATTAATCCATGAGGTTATTCATGGTTTTTAATCCCACTATTATTACTTATTCACCAGCCCTGAATCCATTATTATTAACCATGAACCCATTAATTAAACATGGTAAAAAAAAACATTATTAACCATTGACAAGCCATTGGTCAACCATTGATTAAACATTGATTAACCATTGATTAACCATCATTAACCATTATTAACTATTATTAACAATTACCGTTACCCATTAACCAAACCATTCACCCAGCCACAACATCATTCGTCTAGGAACGACTTGCTGGCGCTGGAATCGGCTTTGGACGCCTGGGAAGCGCAGGAGGCGAAGGAGCAGAAAGAGGCGCCGCAAAAACCCGGTGAAATGTGGATTTATATATACCTCTGGTTATTTAACAGTTCGCTATGGTATAGATGGCCCATTTATTTAACATATTCATAGATGGTTTACCTATTAAAAATGGTGATTTTCCATGGCTAACCAAGCAGTAGACTTGGATGACATGGAGTGAATCCTTCACCAAGGATTCACCACGGATTCCTCAGGATGGCTATAGTTATATCTACCATAAACCATAGTTAAGTTACTTAAGCCACATATATATATATATATATATATATATCATGGAAATGGATGATGGGACAATTTACAGGAAAACCTTATATTTGTTGGTAAAAACCATGGTTTCTGGTTAAGACTTTCCCTTAAACCAATCCATTGAATATATATATATATATATATATGTGTCAACTGAACGCTATCTTGGGGGCACCGCCCTACAGAATCTATTGAAAAGGTCCATTTTCACAGTTTAATTTTGCTGGATTTGAGCTCAGAAACTAAGAAATGGGCTTTTGGTGCTTTGAAATACGTGGGATTTTCGATCCTAAAAACATGTGGGATCATGATCACCATTGTGTCTACATAGTCTACATACTTATATAATCTTATCAGGCAGTGGAGGCCTCAGGGCTGGGATAAACCATGACCTACAAGGTACTTGTAAGCCCACAAGGTGGTACCCCAGTATGTTACCTAAGTTGAGAAAAGTCGATTACGTCTTGGGTTTATACCACCTCGCAAGGCCCGAAATGGGAACACCGACATCTTTATTGGTCCATTTGAAGAACATGTTTGAAAGCCATTTCTTTACAAGAGCGTTTGTGTTTAGTTTGTAATATATTCTACTGTAGTTGGTTGCTGGTTTCAAAGAGTTTTAGTTTCAAATATTTGGGATGATGATCCCAATTGACTTTCCTATTGTTCAGGAGAAGTGGAAACCACCAACCAGTTCATGAATTATTGGTTATAAATACGTATTATATACCCATTAGCCCATTATATGTTTCTACGTCCCCATCATTTGTTGATTAAATCGCAGTAGGTCACCATGTTTGATGGTCAAACCCCCATTACTTAGGGAATGGATAGGAATGGGGGTTGCTGGGATGATTATTGATAGTTAGCCAGTGGATCATTCCCGAAAATTCCATGCGTAAAACGCACCAGTAAGATTATGTCGAGCATGCCATTTCTGTATCCCAAATCATGGGCCTCTTGGGCCAAGCACCCGAACCAAGTCCTGGAAAGGCGGAGCGTCTCTCGAAGAAGCAAGGCCGAGATTTCGAGGATAACTCCGTGAACCAACAGTGTGCCCTGGATGAAAAAAGGGCCAGGGATAGCTAAGTTGACACACTTGATTCAAGGTTAACTAAGTTGTATGGGGAACGTATATCTATCTATCTATCTATCTATCTAATCTTATCTAATCTAATCTTATCTAATCTAATCTTAATCTAATCTAATCTAATCTAATCTAATCTAATCTAATCCATCTATCTATCTATCTATCAATCTATCAATCTATCTGTCTATCTATCTATCTATCTATGTATCTATCTATCTATCTATCTATCTATCTATCTATCTATCTATCTATCTATCTATCTATCTATCTATCTATCTATCTATCTATCTATCTATCTATCTATCTATCTATCTATCTATCTATCTATCTATCTATCTATCTATACACATACATAGATGTTCATGTATATGCATATATTTATAGATAATTACTTTGCTTCGTGTAAACCACACCATGACATTTATACATTTTGTTACTGGCAAATCTTCTGGCATTCTATCTGACATTTTATTTGGCATTCTATCTGGCATACCTTCTAGCATTCTATCTGGCATATCTTCTGGCATTCTACCTGGCATATCTTCTGGCATTCTATCTGGCATATCTTCTGGCATATTATTTGGCAAATCTTCTGGCATTCTATCTGGCATATCTTCTGGCATTTTATCTGGCAAATCTTCTGGCATTCTATCTGACATATCTTCTGGCATTCTATCTGGCATATTTTCTGGCATTCTATCTGGCAAATCTTCTGGCATTCTATCTGGCATTCTATCTGGCATATCTTCTGGCATATTATCTGGCATTCTATCTGGCATATCTTCTGGCATATCTTCTGGCATATCTTCTGACATTTTATCTGGCATTCTATTTGGCATACCTTCTGGCATTCTATCTGGCATATCTTCTGGCATTTTATCTGGCATACCTTCTGGCATTCTTTCTGGCATATCTTCTGGCATTTTATCTGGCATATCTTCTGGCATTCTATCTGACATGCTATCTGGCATATCTTCTGGCATTCTATCTGGCCGTTGAGGTCCAGCGCAACTATATATATATAACTCTATATAAATATAATTATCTCCCTCTCTCTCTCTATATTTATATATATATAAGTATTTCCCCACCTGCCAGGTGAGGGTTGTTAGATTTTATCAGAGCGCCCTTCCTCCGCCTCATCTTCCTCCTCCTCGTCCTCCTCCTCCTCCTCGACTAGCTGTCCTCTTCCTCCTCGTCCTACTCCTCGCCTCCTCCTTCAGTTTCTCCTCGACCATGTCTGCATCAACTTCCACCTGCACTTCCGCCTTGCCAACTCTTCGCCAAGCTATTTGCCAACTCTCTTCGCCGACTTTGTGCGGCAAGCTCTTTGCCAACTTCCCAGCTCAGTGTGCACCGCTGGACCTCAACCTGGGACCTTCCCAGCTCACTGTGCACCGCTGGACCTCAACCTGGGACCGTTCCAGCTCAGTGTGCACCGCTACCTGGGATCTGCTCAGCTCAGTGCTGGGATTTACTCGGTTATTACTCAAAATTTGGCGGCCTCACCTTGTAATGGTTGATGATTACAGGCAAATCATAATAGGTGGTTCAAAGTTTCAATAGATTTCATTAGTATTTTACCAGTGTTTTAACCATCAAACGTATTGGGGATATAATATAGTTGATAAATTATGGTTGGTTGGTTTGCCATGGGTGAAATGTGCGATTAGTTGTGGGATAAGGCCTAATGCTGATAGAATTGAGTGTGCATCGAATGGTGAAGATTTGTTCAAGCAAATGCAGGTGCATTGCATCTCGCTAGAATACGGTTAGCTATGGGCAAATGGCAAGTTGGACAATACCAATAAAATGGAAGTTCGCTATGGGATTAGCGTACCACCCCGCCACATTATGGGCATATATAGTGATTATCATGCGGCTTTGACGTTTACATTGGACTATGCAGGTATGCCATTACTCGCATACTGAACAATGCTGCGAAAGAAGCTGGCGAGGATTCATTTCCAGAGATTGAGCCAGGGCCTGCATCGCGTGCTTTTGCATGCCGATCAATGGCTGATGTCATTGAAGCCGCAGTCAAACTGCCGGGCATAGGCAACGACAGAATTGCAGCAGTAGGAGTTACAGGACGAGTGTATAGCCAAGCCAAGCGCTATGTGCATTCAGGTCCAACACCAAATCCAATTTGGGAACTTCTTATCGATGTGCTGCCGACCAACGCGTTTATCAAGTCGGATGGCCCAAGGATTGTTCTGCCTTTAGTGCAGCCACCAGCTGATGGAGCAGGCACCGCTGAAGATAGATTCTACAACTACTTCACATTGGACCATTGGATGCCAATGCAGTTGACAACTATGACAGGATGCTCAACTACCTCAACAGTGTTTGTGGCAGCAAGGAAGCACCAGGTGTAGCTTGGGGACCAGGCTCATTATTACTTTACACTGAGTTTGGATACCCTGACAACAACGATTTTGCGGATGATTATTTCGCAAATCCTCTGGTCTTCAGTCCGGAAGCGCGAGTTTACTCCAACATCTGCACGCTCGCAGATGCCTTCCGAGCTTTCGTCTTTGCACTTTGCCATTATCTGACCGCTTCTCGACCAGCAAATGCGCCAGCTGCAAACATCGATGCAGTTGTAGCAGCTGCAAATGTCGTGATGCTGTTCAACTTCGTGCTCGCTCTCGTGACCGAGTCAGCAGCATTGATGTTCATGGTGAAGGGCAATCAAGACAGAAAGTGCCTTAGCATATCAGACTCCTCGACCCGCCATCACTGATGATGACCCGCTGAAAGAGCCACCAATGAAAGTCCCACGTCAGGGAGACATTCCAAAAGTGGACCCGTCGAATGTACCACCGAAGCCAGGTCCTCTTCCACAACAACCTTAAACATGTGAGGTTGTTTTCATATCCGATGGCATGGATATGTTTTTAGAATGTGAATATGATGAGAATAGAATAACAAAACTATACAGTACTCATATCGTTGGAATGGGATTTATCATGGAATTCATGCTGGGGTCCATCAAGCTCAGACTGATGATCAGCCAGTTGGTCCCAGTTATAGAATCCATTGATAATGTTCCCGTTTTTGGATCAGTTTCATTGATTTTCTTATTGAAACAATAGGGGGGAAAAATACAATCAGATGCACTACTGCCATCATGTTGGATGCAAGGCACTCCCAATTTTGACTGACCAAGTCCACCACAGCTCGTACAAGGTGCTGTCCCCCAGTTTCAGGTTGACACACCAACTTACATAACTACATACATCTACATATACATATATATATATACATATATATATATATACATATATATATATACATATATATATATACATATATATATATATATACATATATATATATATATATACATATGCACATATATACACATATACACACATAAACACACACATACACACATATATACACACGTATACATCCCTACCATCAACCAGAGGTAACCAAAAAGGGGCGCGGCCGAGGTGTCTTGGTTCTGAGCAACAGTTTCTCACAGATCAAGCGGATCAGGACGGCACGCTTTCAGGGTGCACGCCGCGGTGGCAAGGGCAAGTTGATTGCGAGGAAAGGTGCGGCAGAAGAGAAGGCGGGGAAGCCGGCGGGAACGAGTTAATTAAGGGATTTACCATCAACGATAGAGGTTTAATATGTTAGGAATTGTTAGGATTCCTAAGTTAGGATATTATATATATATATAAAGGACGTTATAATGGGAGCAAATCATCCCGCACCCATTTCTCGGGATGAGGCTGCGTGAACTACCCTCCCACTGATTAGACAAGTAGTGAGAGATCCCACTGTTTGTCCTTGATGGCTGGTGTTCGGCTACATGTTGTTAGCTAATTACAAGGTATCCGTTGAATACTTTGGATATAGTTCGGTCACATTTATCTTATGGTTCTCTCTCATTTAAAAGTGGGCATCATATCATTATCATGACTGTTGTTGCCAACCAGGTGTTAGCTGGAAAAAATGAGCTACTCATTGGTAGTCCCATTCGTTTTGACTCGTGAATTCGCGATTGGGCGCCGGGCAACAAGGAATGAATTTACTAAAGGACAAGTCAAATCACCTATGCCTAGAGGGCTTCTTTTAGGGTACAACGACAGGAAATATCGAAACAGGATTTAAGCCATGTATAGGCAAATTTTAAATTTTATCTCCCTTTAAGGCATAAAATCTCCTATAGAGTCACCATTTTACTAGCTGCTTCAGCTCCTCATCGTCAGGAAGAGGAGGACACGGAACTTCCAGATGCCATCAATGCGGCCTTCGTTTGTCGAGACTTGGATGGCGTGGGGAAATCGTGGATGGTTTCACAGACAGTGATGTCTGTTGGTTTATAAACCCCATTAATTGTGTATATATATATATATATATACATAATATACAATTATATCTGCTATACACCATAGTTCAGCCACTTGTATCTCAGCTATTTTTTGGGCCCCATCCTGCCTGTATCAGTGCAGTTTATTTCCTAAGACATTTCTACAATCCCTCGCAAAGATCTCCTATCGTGGGGTTTCAACAAACACCCCCCAGCCAGGTGACCCGAAAAATGGTAGATGGTGAGGAACTAACTACCCGTAAGCTAGTGCTTAAGTTGGTTGATTTTCATACGCCCCCGGGCTCGTTGAACCATGTTGAACCCCTCATGAAATCAACGTATCCATATGTACTGTAGGTTTTCTCCAGAAACGATGTTCCACTGCCAGGTTTGACTATCTCAGGGGACATAAGATGCAAGGTGGATAGTAGTTCAACATAGTTTAACCATATGATTTTTTTTGATGTAATTTGCGGCAAATGGAAGCAAAATCAATTAGAATGGTCAAGGAACTAGGAAATAATAGGCAAGCAGACCTTTGTGAATGGTAGGTCTACGGACTAATTCTTGACCCAACATTTTGCATTTATAGATCAGCAGATTTCTGTGACAATGGTGGTTTCCCATTGCAATTGTTGGATTTAATTCACATTGGGTCTATCGCATTTAATGCACATTCAACATGCCATGCAGTGTATAGGCTGTTGATGGATTATTCATTTAAATTTTAAGGTGTTTGCCAGACACGAGAATAAGATTATACAGCACAGCACAACTGGTTTTCTTAAGATGGTTTTCTCTAAAGTGATATGTCTTCGTTTTGCTGCTTCGTATACCTCCTGCTAATTTACCAATTAACTCGTATCCCATGTTGGCTAAATGTCAGTTAAATGTTAAATCCCTTAAATCAGCATGTTTCTCTGTGCTTTTTTCGCCCTTTTGAATGGGGCTGAGGAGAGTTTGATGCGCTTCTTGCCTTCACCAAAGCGGGGCACGTCTTCAAACTTCAGGCATTGCCGCGTTTCCGGATGAAAAACCGTAGAACTTGAGGAAACACATGGAAATTCACAGGAAAACCATGAGTTTTTTGATGGTTTTTGGTAGATGTTTTTGTGGCTTCCTAAGTCATGGGGGTACCCCAGTGATCATCTATTTACAGATGGGTTTTCCATGATAAACCATCCATTTGGGGATACCCCCCATTTATGGAACCCCCCAGGCCCTGTCTGAAAATGGAGGACTTATCAATTTTTTCGACGTGTGTGCAAACACATATTATGCGAATCAAGAAATGCAACCACATTTTTCTCTGGAGAACCGCAAGATTCTATATATTAAGACTCCTGAGCAATCCTATATTCTAATATTAGCATTAACTAGCCTGTTCGCTTTTTATTCAAACCTACGCTTGTAGAAGTTTTCTTACCAGAAAATCATGGAATTTCATGGGGTTTTCCAACATCGAATTGAGCAAGAGTGGAGGGGAACATAAAATCTATCCTCCGCCATCAACTAGATATCAATCCTTCAGCAAAAAAGCAGGAAGATGTGCTGCTTACTGTTTAAGAAGAAAGGCAAATTGAATTCAATCCAGTTTTGCAACTAAAACATGCTGAAACAATGCCATCTTCATGGATTTTGTAGGGTTCCAGCCTGGCGCAACCTTCAGAATAGGAACGTGGCCCAACCTGCAGGCTTTGGACGTACCACTCCAGCAGCACAAAGATGTGTCCGTACCCATCGAAGAGTTTCTTGCAGCGCAGAATGGGGGGAATGAGGTGTTGGCTTCGGATGCGTATGCCTCAACCTGGCACAAGACTGGTCATTGAGAGTAAAATAGTCCTCTGGTAATTTGTTACAGTTTGCTATTGAAAATGGCCATAGAAAATAGTGGATTTTCCCATTGAAAATGGCGATTTTCCATAGTTATGTAAGCGTTTACCAGAGGGTAGTGGTTGGTTTGATTTTTTTGGGGTGGGTGACGATTCCCCCTCACAGGGCCTGGCAAAGCGACCAGCCACAGATTGACTGGTCGTGTTTCGTATGCCCAATTTATATCAATTTATTGCAGTGCCGTTACCCTGAAGAAAAAAACCACTCCGTCGGATTTCAAAATGAAATAAAATGAATAGATTCAGCATAGTTTCAGCAGTACCATCTGGTTATGACTAACAGTTTGCCATGGAAAGATCCACCATTTATAAGTTCGGTAAACCATCTATTTTCATGGGCCATCAACAAACCATGGCTATGTAAACGTCATAACCAGGCCGGGTAAATTATGGATTTCTGGCAGATGTGGAAGTCTTAAACATGTACCAAAACAACGAGCAATGAGATCTTGCAGGAAGGGGCCTTCCCAGTGAAATTTGTTGCTTTATAACCCCTTCTAAAAACTTCTAAGTATAGACATATCTACCCCGTATCGCCTAGTTGAGCTACTCAGCAATCAAATTTGCGAAGTTAGTGGCCTTTTCTTGGTGGCGAAATATGTTATTTTCCAATTATTGCTATACACACTTCATTCGAAGCGGCTTAACTCGAACAAGTACCATCAAAAACTCAAAGATACTCAGATAGGACTTCTATTCCTGCTAATTTTTATTTGAATCCTATTTCAATTCTCACGGTGGGCTTCGCCTGACATGCTAAATTCGCGGAGTGTTAGAAGGAACTATTTTCATTATCGTTCGCGACCGTTGCTTTGGTTTCCGATGGAAACCCAGGATGTTCTGATCCGAGATGACATCCATAAACACAAACAGCAAAAAACAGTTTGCCGACACATGTTCATGAGATTATGGTTTTATCCTTTGGTAATCATGCATAACAATTAACAATCTCCTGTAAATGAAGGTTTCATTGGAAAATCAACTAAGAATACCGTGAATGGTGGATTCTCCAGCCGGCCACGTTTGATTACCAGCGGGTTTACATTTTTTCGGGGCGATTGAAAATCCGCCATTTTGTTCGATGATCTTCCAAGCTATAAACCTTCATTTAGTTCGGGGATTTCCCACATTCTCCCATAATTTTCCCATCAAAACACACCTTTTTTTTCCGGATATATCTTAAATGTTTGAATGTTTTCCCATGTTTTCCCATGATTTTCCCATCAAAACCTCCATGTGTTCAATTTTTTTTGGGAGGTTTATGGTGGTTCCTGGATCCCGGAGAACCTCCAAGGTTAGCCCCGGTACTTCCGAAGAATGACGGCGTCACGGCAGTGATCGCAGTCCCACATGCCCTGAAGGCACGGCGGCTAGCGGCTCGCCGGGGCTGTTGATGGATAATTACGCTTTTTTGGTCATGTTTAATGGTAATTTTAATGGTGATTTTAATGGGATTTATATTGGGTTTATATTGGGTTTATATTGGATTTATATGGATTTATATGAATTTATATGGATTTATATCGGTTTAATGGTGATCTAATGGTGATTTAATGGGATTTAATGCAATTTTTTGGCGATCTACCACCTGGTAATTTAACATAGGGACAGTAAAAGGCGCATTTAGTTCGTTGATTTACCTATTAAACGGGGATTTTCCATAGCAAGCTGTTAGTTTACCTGAGGGTAGTGGGATTTAATCGTGTCATAATAGCAAAGAGCGATGAAATGGGGATTTTATGGGATTTACCCAAGATTACATGGCCTTGGAACATCATTGATGATTTATGATGATTTACCTATTGAAAACCGTGATTTTCCATAACTATATCACCGGAGGATAATTAAAGCCATGAAAACATGGGTTTTGTTGGGGGATTGGTGGGAAGGATTTTTTACCACTTCCCCCCTGCATCAGGACCTGCCACTGCAGATGATTTTTTAGGAATCAACACACCGCGAAGATCAGTAATTCTTCCACATCATTACCAGTTCGATCATGTCAGGTCCATGTTGTTTTTTTTTAGGAGGCTAGTGTTTTTAGCTCAAGTCAAAAAAGTGTTTGGACTATTTGAGCTCTTGAAACCATTTGAAACCTCTGATATGGCACGCTGATGGTTTCCTTCCTAGCTTTACTTGTCAAATCTCCACGTTGATGGATACGTCTCCACTTTTGGTAGTTCAATCTTCAATTGCATAATTACTTTACTTTGGGTAGGCAAGACAACACCATTTACAGATTTGTGACATTTAAGTGACATGCGTTTTTTGTCAAAGTTTTTGGTGATTAAATCCGGAGCTTTTTTATGATCGAGTCACCATGTTTTTTATGTTGATATATCGAAAATTGGCTAAATCATGTGACATTCCAACTGTTCATGGTAAAAAAATCCCCCATAGTAGAAAAAACATGCCAAATCCTCCTTTTACATGTTTAAATCCACCATTTCCGATTTTCACTGCTTAAATCATGGTGAAGTCTCCATGTTCACCGGGGAAATCGGTAGATTCAATCATTTGTGAACTCACCATTTTCAGTGGTTACATAGTAGTTAACTCATGTCAAATCCCAAAGTGTAGTATATGATATATATATATATATGTAAATAATATATAATATACAATATATAATATATAATATATAATCATATATATATATATGTGATTATATATGCAATATATTATATAATGGTTAAATCCCTAATTGCAAGTGGTTAATCTCGTTGAATCCCCATGTTTTAGTGGTGAATTCATCCTGAAATCACCTCAAATCACCGGTGAAATGTCCATTTTTTACGGCCGTTCGGGATCCCCGGTTTCTAGGACCAAGACAGCGAGTTCGCCATCATCGTCACGGCCATGGGCTGGGCCAAGCGCGTGCCGCTGAGCGGCTTCCGAACCCTGAGGCGGGAATTGGGCTGTTGAAAAATGGTGATCACTTGATTAATGGTGATTTTAATGGTGATTTAATGGGATTTAATGGAACTGTGTGGTGATTTACCCTCTGGTAATTTAACATAGCTATTGAAAATTGCCATTTACAGTGGATTTAAGGGTAAAATACCACCAACCAGTGATTTATGATATGATTCTGGGTAAATTATAACGAGCTCACTGTCGTCCCTCACTATAATCATAGTTAGGAGAAAGGGGAATCATCCCCAAACAGCTGATGGTCGAGCGGCCGCTTGTGGATGAGCTGCAGATGAAGATTCGCATCTACAGCGCCGACTGGCACGCAGAGATGGAATTCAACAGCACAATGAGCCGATAACGGAAGCTGAGTAAGACCCAACCTGGTTGGTGGTTTGGAACATTTTTTATTTTTCCATATACTGGGAATATCATCCCAACTGACTAATATTTTTCAGAGGGGTTAAAACCACCAACCACCAACTGTAGAAATCTGTAGAAACTTCGACTTTGGAATTCCTCAAGGTGAACTATGGCATAGGTGTTGGAGGTTCGAACCTTCCAGGATGGCCGGAGCCATGGTAGATCTAAGGATGCCTCGACATCATTTTCCTCTTCTATAAGTGCTTGAAGGGGTGGGTTGTGATGTAATGATTTTCTCTTTTGATGAGAGGCGTCCTTCAAGGGTAGGCAGACTTTGGGGTCATCTCTTGCTGTGGCGGAGGAATGGCTGTGGCCGCAAGTGTGTGAGCCTTACTAGCCTTATGTCAAGTTAGTGAATTATTGAATTATTATAATTTATATACCCACATGATTGTATATGATTTTTACTGGGATTTTGAGCAAGAAAAATGGTGAAAGTTACTGATTTCTTGGGATTTGATCCAGAAAACATGGTGATTTACTGGGATTTGACCAAGAAACATTGTGATTCTAATGGTGGTTTTATGAGATGTTCATGGTGATGTCATAGTGATTTCATTCAATTTCAATGCGTGATTTACAGTGATGGGATTTCGTGGGTTTTGAATGGGCTTAATGGGGCCCTTGTGCGGCAAATACCTCGGGAAATAACGGTGTGGCAATGTCAAAAAAACCGGTGAAAATTGGAGGATTTAACCAACAAAGATGGGGGATATAATGGACCAGGAAGAATTGTGATCTGATGGAATTTTGAATGGATTAAAACACCATCAATGGAGTGTTTATAGCAACCTCCAAATGCATAGAACCTGGAAAATATGGAAGACACATTATTTATATAGCATCCTGGAAACACTTTTCCATACTTTTCCACCCTTTGGGGACCTCTATCAGAAAAAAAATGCCCAAATAAGTGTTCTCAAAAGGTCAAAGCATGTGAGCAGTGTCCAAATCATCCCCAAATTTGAAGAAGTGTCTTTCCATCTTTTCTTTTGGTCCTGTTATGAACATATTCCCAGGTATAGCAGCCCCCCAAATAGATAGGATACTTAGAAACCTAGAAATTATGGAGGAAACATCATCTAGGTCCTATCCTGGACACGCTGTTCAATCTTTTTTGGGTTACAGTACTGATTTGTTGAGTTCTACCGTCAATGATAGGGAGCGAACATGTGGTTTTAATTACGTATCAAACATATTTACTTAGATAATTCGTAAATGACGGTTGGTTGAGGTTGCAAGGGGCTACCCCGCAGTTTGCTGAGTTGGTTTATAAAACCCCATTCTGGTTGGTGGTTTGGAGCATTTTTTATTTTTCATTTCATATATGGGATGTCATCCTTCCCATTGACGAACTCATATTTTTCAGAGGGGTAGGTCAACCACCAACTAGCATTAATATTATATTTATAATTTATATACAACTGGGGTTTATAGGGCCAGGTTATATATATATATACTATAGACTTTGGTTTATAAAACCCCATTAATATAATATTAAACATAGTATTAATTATACTTTGGTTTATAAAACCCCATTAAACATAGTATTTACCACAAGTCGCCCTATGTTTCACTGGCGCTTTCGCGTTAGCATGTCGCCGGTACTCGGAGGATCATCCACAAGTAGGGGACGTTCTAGGGTGATGTGAAATGTATATAGCATTATATAGCATTATATATATATATTTGTTTTTATATCATGATATTGTCTTATTATATCAAATGTATTCAAATGTTACATTATATTATTTATATTAGTTTATTTTTGCTGCATACACACACACATATATATATATATGTGTGTGTATTATTAAATCAGATTATATATTCATCGAAGGAAGTTTAGAAGTCAAACTTCCGACAATATGGACAGATGAAAAGCAGAGCAGGGCAGAGGCAGAGAGAAGAGGAAGATTAGAAGAGAGAAGATCAGAAGAGAAAGAGTAAGAAGAAAGAAGATGCAGATGCGCGAAAAGGTAGGAAAGTCGCGAAACACTGTGTTTTTCCAATGATTTGTGGCTCCGGAGGGTCGAAAAGTAGGCTCGCTAAAGCGGCGGGTGCGGAGCCAGCTGGCCAGATGAGAGATGAAAAATTGCACGCCGTTGTGGCGCGAAGCACATTTCGAAGTGAAAATGTACAAAACACACCAGGTCGGACCACTTTTGGAAGTTGAGATGTCGAAAAAGTGCACGCCGTTGTGGCGCGAAGCACATTTCCAAGTCAAAATGTACAAAACACCAGGGGTTCGGACCACTTTTGGAAGTTGAGATGTCGAAAAAGTGCACGCCGTTGTGGCGCGAAGCACATTTCCAAGTCAAAATGTACAAAACACACCAGGTCCGGACCACTTTTGGAAGTTGCGATGTCGAAAAAGTGCACGCGAAGCACATTTCCAAGTCAAAATGTACAAAGCACACCATGCTCGGACCACTTTTGGAGGTTCAGATGTCGAAAAAGTGTACGCCGTTGTGGCGCGAAGCACATTTCGAAGTCAAAATGTACAAAGCACTAGGGGTTCGGACCATTTTTGGAGGTTCAGATGTTGAAAAAGTGTACGCCGTTGTGGCGCGAAGCGCATTTCCAAGTCAAAATGTTCAAAGCACTAGGGGTTCGGACCACTTTTGGAGCTTCAGATGTCGCTTCACTAAACTACACTACACTACACTCCACTACACTACACTACACTACACTCCACACCACTACAACTACAACTACACAACTACACAACTACACTCCACTACACTCCACTACACTAAATTACACTACACTACACTACACTACACTAAATTACACTGCACTACACTACACTACACTACACTACACCCCACTACACTACATTACACTACACTACACTACCTTCCACTACACTTCACTACATCACATTACACTACACTACACTCCACTACACTACAACTACGACTTCACAACTGCACTCCACTACACTAAATTACACTACACTACATTACACTACACTACACTCCACTACACTACACTACATTACACTACACTACACTACCTTCCACTACACTTCACTACATTACACTACACTATACTCCACTACACTACAACTACAACTACAGTCCACTACACTAAATTACACTACACTACACTAGATTCCACTACAGTCCACTACACTACACCACATTACACTACACTACATTACACTGAATGGCACTGCACAACAGATAGACAGATAGACAGATAGAGAGATAGACAGGTAGAGAGATAGATAGATTGATTGATAGATAGATAGATAGATAGATAGATAGATAGATAGCCAGGTAGACAGCTAGACAGCTAGACAGATAGACAGATGAAAGAGAGAGAGAGAGAGATAGATAGACAAACAGACAGACAGACAGACAGACAGATAGATAGATAGATAGGTAATTAGATGGAAGAGAGAGAGAGAGATAGATCGATAGATAAATAGATAGATAGGTAGATCGATAGATAGATGAATAGATAGATAGATAGGTAGGTAGGTAGGTAGGTAGATAGTCAGAGAAAGAGAGAGAAAGAGAGGAGACCTCAATCACCTTTCGATCGATCAGTGGCTTCGCTCTGCCATCCCTGATTCACAACAACCAACCTCTCCTATAGGTTTCCTATTTTTGAAACTTCCGCCGCCGCCTTGTGCGGTACTACTGGTACTGATTATTATATCTGTATATTTTAGGGGCCGTTGAAAGCTGGATTCCAATGCCTGGCAGGCCTGGCAAATTGACCGTGGCGTGCCCCTTGAACGAGGACGATGAGTTGCGCTGGGTGCACCGTGCCGGGCTGCAGGAGAGATGGGCTTTCGGAGGATCCGAAATATGACTGGAAATGGGGGGTTCCATAAATGGGGGTACCCTGAAATGGATGGTTTATCATGGAAAATGGTGGTTTAACCATGGAAAATGGAGGTTTATCTCTCCAAATGGATGTTTTTTTTGGGAAAATCAAACGAAAGTGGATTATTTAGGAGTACCCCCATTTATGGAAATCCTCAAATGCCAACATTTTGGTATATAGATTATACTATAATCAGAAACATAAATTCATGAACCACCTATGTGGGTAATACATAAACTTGTTTTAGTATATAGACTATTAATGTGGGTAAAAACATAAATTCATAAGCCACGATTTTGCGAATGGTAAACATACCACCTATAAAAATGGTGATTTGGGGGATGGCTTATTATTGTTTGACCCTCATTATACTATATTATATTACACGTTTGTTTAAGAAATACCCCGTGGTAAACTAACAGTTTGCGAACTGGAAAACCACCACGTTTTTTTGTAAAACAACAAAATCAATGGGCCATTTTCTATGCCGTTATATTTACCAAAGGGCATATAGACTTATATACTATATGTTAGATTAAGATTAATGTAGATGGATACAGTTATCAAAATTAGTTTTCACTACTTATGAATCTGTCATTTTATTTCCATGTATATGCCATATCTATATCCTAGTCAACCATTTGTTACCCAGTTAAGATCCATTCAGTTGGCACATGTGGGTTCTAAACTAAATACCGTCGGGCAAATGAGCTAAGCCAATGATCAGCTTTTTGTCCTCTGGTGGCAGTGACATCATGCTTTGGTGCTCATAAAAACTTGGCCAAGTCATGGGCAAATCTGAACCGGAAACCATGGTTTTTCGTAGGGTTGGTACAGGGGTGAAACCGAAGTTTCCGGTTTGAACTTCAACCAATCCAATGATCTAAGAATCTCTACTGGTTGAGTGGAACATCCGTCACTTCCATGGCAATTCGTTGGAATGACATGGCAATCTGAGTTTACCAAAAGGTGCCATGATTGTGACCCAGTGATTTGTGAAATTGTTGTAGCCACTAAGGTCATCAGCTGCAATGGGGTGTGTTGCTTAACGATGGTAGGGATTCCAACAAGAATTTGGACATGGAATTTGCTTGAGACACTTGCGGGGAATGAGATCGACTTCTCAATGAGCAAGAAGGCTATCTTAATGTGCTATGGTCACATTGAGTTACCCAAATAAAATTACAAGCAACTGTATAGTCAATGAACATATACTCAGAAATGGGAAAATATATGCATACATACATGGAAAAAACTTTATCACACACATACATACATACATACATACATACATACATACATACATACATACATACATACCTACGTACATACATACATACATACATACATACATATATTATATCATTCACATGAGTCATCCACGTTATCCAATTGATCGAAAATCATTATCCGGATAACTTGGATAACTCATATCATCTCATATCTATATCCCATAGGATCCATGTATGCTATATATGGTAACATTTACCATCAATATACCCCAGTCATGTTACCGTATATACCAGGACCATGGATCCGTCATGGGTATCTATATATACATACATTATCAGTATTAACTATTGTTAACCATTACTAACTATTAATATTAGGGTACCATATATGTATGGTTAATCCTATGGCTACCATACATGTACCCTTTGGTAATTTAACATAGCTATTGAAAATTGCCATAGAAATAGTGGATTTATAGTGGATTTAAGGGTAAAATACCACCAAGCAGTTTATTTATGATATGATTCTGGGTAAATTATAACATAGCTATGGAAGACATGGATCATTTATAGATCATATATATATATAACATGGATCCTATGGGTATCTATATATACACACATACATGAGTTATCATAGCTGTTATCCATTGAGAATTTCGATCGCACAGGACCTCCTCGTGACGGTCTCGGAGAGTGGCGCGGCGCTCTGCTCTCAGGCCGTCGCCGCGACGCGACGCCGCGACGCGACGGTGGTGGTGGGTTACCGGTAATAGCCCGGGAAGGTGGAAAGATGATGGATATCATTTGATGATATTTGATGTACTTAGAAAATGTGGGAAAAATGGAAAGTTAGTAAGTATACCGGGGGAAAATGGTGATGTTCCAAAGTTTTTGTTGTGAGTTAACTTGGGAAAATGGTGATCCTACTAGGGAAATATTCATGGTGATGTTTTTTTTAATTTTCAGTAATTTTCATAAAGCAAACTTGGAAACTTCCAATGTGCGAAACTGGGTGCTTTGGGATGATCCTCTGGGCCTTGAGAGTGAAAATTCTGTGCGCTTGAAGCGTAATGTACCTAGACCCTCCAAGTACCCCAAAAATGATTAAGACATAGTGAAAATCGATATGGATAATTTAATTAACATTATTTTTTGGGTACTTGGAAGGTCTATATATATATAAGATTGGGCACGTTTTTGTCGTATCAGTTACATGCAATGTGTGTTTTTTGTCTGTCGGCAGGCCTCCAATCTTCGGAGCAGCACCTTGAAAGCGAGACTCCGCTGGAAACATCCCCCGAGAATTTTTAGACATGGGCGGCACCACGACATCACGATAGCATCCATAGCATCCATAGATCATGGTTGAGGGGAAGTATCCCAAATTTTGCAATGTTTTTATTATGTTACCATACATCATTAATGCACCAATATCTTTCAGTGGAAAGCCACAATTTTGTCTAAACTAAAGGAAACAGCATTTTTTTTCTGGATCCATGTCATGCTTCAAGAAATCTCGAATCTTCATGGAACGGACCAAGATTTTGGTTGTTGGCTATGGGTATCACCATCATTTGCCAATGAGACTGCCCATAGGTCAGAGTCCAGGTGCTTTCGCATAGCCTGGCAGCCAGGAACATCCGCCATATATTGGCTGCCATAGAATTCTCCTGCACGCTTTGGCATATTGCAAGGTACCCTCTGGTAAACATACAAAAAGCTATTGAAAATGGTGATTTATAGAGGATTTTCCGATTGAAAATGGTGATTTTCCATAGTTATGGTACAAGTCCAACCATCTAATTGCGGTCGTCATTATGAGCTGCAGGACTTTCTTTAGCTGTATGAATTACAAACGTCATTACTTTGTTGAATGCATTACTGACATGTTTAACAACCATGGTTACAGCTAACTCACCATTTCTTGGATTTTATCAGATACCTTCAATGGGCATACAGTTACAATTTTATAGGTTCATTTTGATGCATGTTGCAGAATTATAAATACGTGGTTCTATATTACAGCTTAAATAAGTTTCCAGCAGGAATCCAAGGGCAATGGCCTCCGGCGGGCTTGACCATGGGTATAATTGCTATATTTCCACTTAATTCCCACATACATACATCCATACATCCATACATCCATATATACCTACATCCATACATCCATACATCCACATCCATACATCCATACATCCATACATCCATACATCCATACATACATACATCCATACATCCATACATCCATACATCCATACATCCATACAATCACATCCATACATCCATACATCCATGCATCCATACATCCATACATCCATACATCCATACATCCATACATCCATACATCCATACATCCATACATCCATACACCCATACACCCATACACCCATACACCCATACATCCATACATCCATACACCCATACATCCATACATCCATACATCCATACATCCATACATCCATACACCCATACATCCACATCCATACATCCACATCCATACATCCATACAACCATGAATCCATACACCCATACACCCATACACCCATACATCCATACATCCATACATCCATACATCCATATATCCATATATACATACATCCATACACCCATACATCCACATCCATACATCCATACATCCATACATCCGTACATCCATACGTCCATACGTCCATACATCCATACATCCATACATCCATACATCCGTCCATCCATGCATGCATGCAGGCATGCAGGTATGCAGGGATGCACACATACATCCATACATACATCCATACATCCATACATCCATACATGCATACATCCATACATCCATACATCCCTACATCCATACATCCATACATCCATACATCCATACATCCATACATGCATCCATCCATGCATGCAGGCATGCAGGCATGCACGTATGCAGGAATGAATGCATGCATGCATGCATCCATCCGTCCATACATACATACACAGATACACACATACACACATATACATATTCATATACATATACATCCCGGCGGAAGCGTTACCGGCGTACGAAAATGATGAAAATGACCATTTCGTCACAGCGAGGAGCGATTTTTTCCATTCAAAACCTCTCCAAAAAAAGGTCCATCTACTTTGTGAATAACAACCCTTCCATGACTTCAGCCTGAAAAAGTGCAACCGCAACTTTTTCTCACATTTTCTTCAACGTGTCAGCGGTGGCTTCCATCAGGTTTTTCCCTGTGGAAATGCCAATGAAGATCATAGAGCGTGGCATCAGGATCATGTGGAAATGCCAATGAAGATCATAGAGCGTGGCATCAGGATCATGTGGAAATGCCAATGAAGATCATAGAGCGTAGCATCAAGATCATGTGGAAATGCCAATGACGTTATCATCCCACCCCACCCCACCCCACCCCACCCCACCTCAGACTGACTATCGGATGCGGATGTGTGGAATTGCAATTGAAGATCATGGCGCGTAGCATCAGGATCATGTGGAAATGCCAATGAAGATCATAGAGCGTGGCATCAAGATCATGTGGAAATGCCAACGTTATCATCCCACCCCACCCCACCCCACACCCAAGAATATCGGATGCGGATGTGTGCAATTGCAATTGAAGATCATGGAGCGTAGCGTCAGGATCATGTGGAAATGCCAATGAAGATCATAGAGCGTAGCATCAAGATCATGTGGAAATGCCAATGACGTTATCATCCCACCCCACCCCACCCAAGAATATCGGATGCGGATGTGTGGAGTTGCAATTGAAGATCATGGAGCGTAGAATCAGGATCATGTGGAAATGCCAATGAAGATCATAGAGCGTGGCATCAGGATCATGTGGAAATGCCAATGAAGATCATAGAGCGTGGCATCAGGATCATGTGGAAATGCCAATGAAGATCATAGAGCGTAGCATCAAGATCATGTGGAAATGCCAATGACGTTATCATCCCACCCCACCCCACCCCAGACTATCGGATGCGGATGTGTGGATTTGTGCGACGGTAACGAGTCCGTTGGCATATACATGTACATATGCAGACATACATATCCATATGAATATGCATTTGCATATACATACTTATACATATACATATACAAATATATATATCTATATATATACACATATACATGTACATATACATGTACATATACATACATACATATACATATACATTTACATATACATATACATATACATATACATATGCATATACATATACATATAATACACACATATATATATACATGCATACATACATACATACATGCATACATGCATACGTACATGCATACATACATGCATACATACATATCGTAGGAGAGCTTTAGTACCATCACTGGGACATGGATGTTCTTTGATTTTCTTTGTTTTGGGGCTGGGTGGATTCTATAGTTTTCCTTTGGTTTCCTTTGATTTCCTTTGATTTTCTTTGGTTTGGGGCTGGTTGGCTTCTATGGTTTTCCTTTGATTTCCTCTGGGTTTCCTTCGGTTTACTTTGGTTTCCTTTGATTTCCTTTGATTTCCCTTGGTTTCCTTTGGTTTCCTTTGGTTTCCTTTGATTTCCTTTGATTTTCTTCGGTTTGGGGCTGGGTGGATTCTATGGTTTTCCTGTGTTTTCCTTTGGTTTTGTTTGGTTTCCAAGGGAGAAACAAAGGAGAAGAAAACCCAAGGAAAAAACAAGCCAACCAATGAAAGTTTAAGGAGGCTATAAGCTCACAGAATGCATCAACCATGTTTGTTACTAAGACTTTCCGAATAGAACATACGCCATACATACATTACATGAGATTAGATTACATTACGTTACATTGGATTACATGACATTACATAATGTTTCGCTTCAGGAAATGCATGCCCTGGATGAAACTTCGTGGCGATTCCCTTGGCGGCAGCGGCATTTGCCACCTCACCGCTGACGCTGCGGCCGAGCTGCCGACCGGCGCCGGCGCCGGCAAAAAGCAGCGGATGTCGGGCTTCCAGCTGTGCCGTGGCTGCGATTAGGGTGATACTGGTTGGTGGTTAATAATGGTTAATAATATGGTTTCCCCATCATGTTCCAACATACCCGGCCTGGTAAACATACAAAAAACTATTGAACATGGCCGTTTATAGTGAGTTTTCCCATGAAAAAATGTGATTTTCCATAGTTATGTTAGTTTACCAGGGTAATGGTAGATAGTACTTAGTGGGTTGATAATGGTTTATAAACGAACTTGGCTGAGCAGTGTCCAGAACCACTGTTAGTTGATGATTAGTTCCGGGATTTCGGGCTCAATATAGTGGGGATTATCAGATTATCACATCCATGAATTGGGAATCCGTTTTCAACCAGCCAGTATAAAGCCACGACACAGGGTTTGAACACTGTTCAGCTGTTCATGTTTCTTTTAATGAAATTAAGGGATGCTACTACAATGTAATATGCTGGGATTTTAGTGGGTTAAGTTATAGTTGGATCATAATGGATTTCCGATGTGATGTTAAAGATTTTTTAATGTGTGTGTTTTTTTAAATGCGATTTAACTGATTTAACCATCAATTGTAGCAGTTTTGGTGGGTATTACAACATGTATCAAAGTTCTGGCCTTGGTCTTCTTGGGGATATTTTTTGGGCGTAGCCAGGCAGAAGAGAACCCATCTGGATTCGGAAAAATTGGATGGGGGTGAATTTGCTTAAGGAGCTGTTTGAGATGTGTTAAGCGACAACTTCTGGCTGGTGGTTTCAAATTTCAAACATGGCTTTTATATGCTTTTATGACTTTCCATATATTGAGGAATGTCATCATCCCAACTGACGAAGTCATATTTTGCAGAGGGGTAGTTCAACCACCAACCAGACTTGTTTTTTTTTGTCAATCAAACATTTGCAACTATAAAAATACCATCCGGTAAACGTTTACATAACTATGGAACATCACCATTCTTAGTGGGTAAATAAATCAACTAATTGGCAATTTTCTATGTCGCAAACTGTAACTTACATTACAAGAGAGTATCCCCAAAGTATATATCCCCACGATATCTCGTAGAAAACCATGGTTTTTGCCCGTTTCATCCCCATTGTTTGTTGCTTAAATGACAACTTACCTTGGCGATGGAACATCCAGGTGGTTAGGCAATGTGGTGCACCTTCGGCCGAAGATGGGAAAGTTTTCGTGGACATTAAAGTAGGACAGGACGTAGGACAACTAGGATTTCTGGTATCGATAGTTTAATATAACTATATGTAGTTAGATGATGGATGTCTAAAACTTATCCAAACCAGCAGCCATTTCTAAAACGGGGTCCCACATTCCAGTTCTGTCAGTTCTGTTTGCAGTTTTTTGTTTGGCATTTAACTAAAACCGAAGAGCTGGATTGAAGATACACAAAGGGGCACAGTGAGTGATACTTTTTTCCTGGAAGGCAGAAAGATGGACATACACAGAGTTTGGCTGATATATCACGCACCTTGAAAGAAAAACGGCACTGCTTTGGAGATATTCCAAAAGCATCAAAGCCAAGACTGGTGCAAACGCTGGAAAGATTGAGGACCACCAGCTGTATCACTGGGTCCTGCACCAGGCACACCCGTGGACCCTAGCAGATTCTGCAATGCGGCAGATTCTGCAATGCGGCAGAGAACGAGGTCCGAGGTCCATCAATTTCACCATGAACTCCGGGGTGACGCCCCAAGTTCTTTGGAGCAAGAGCTAACCTGCTGCTACCATCCGTGGGGCAGCCATCCTGAAGAAGCATAAGTTCCTAACAAACGTCCATGGGGATGCTGAGAAAAGATACAGAGGGCTCCAGAAATCCTACTTTAATGCGGGATAATTATCGTATTTCCATGTATTTCCGATGGTGATGCTGATTCATCTTCAACCGCACCAGGAAATCTGTAGAGCTTGGCACAACCTTCCGAGTCCTTGAGGCTTTAGGACTTCCTACCATCAACCTCTATGAGCGGGGCTTATCAAGGCCCTATGACGGCAACTAACAGTTGGACTGTTTAAACCAACAGAACTTGCGGGACCACCGGGCACCACCCTGTAGAAACCTCGGCCCAGGCTCCATCCCAGAAATTGGCTCAGGTGGATCAAAGAGAACAAACTCGCTCCTTCTGCAGAAGTTGGGCAGAAGTGGCGAGAGCTGGCCAGCGAAGAGAAAGAGCAATGGCAAGCCAAAGCCAAGGCGATACAGACAGCGTTCCGACGGCGATTTTTTTTGGGGGAAAGCGGTTATTCAAGGACAGAAGGTGCTGTAAAACCCAGTTGAAGTTGGTTTACAAATCTAGTCAAGCGTAGACATATCTATGATAAATGCTACTTAACCTGTTTGTAAACCTATTCGGGTAACTATGGGGCACCACCTTCTAGGTTAAACTGCAAAAGCGGTTGGTTGCATGATCTCAACCCTTGGCAAAGGGTCGGGTAGTCCTAGTTTAGCCATCAAAACAGCTGGATTTGCCAACAAAACGCAGTGAGTCAATCATCAAGAATCGGGGAAAATTCACTGGTGAAGGGAACAGGGTGGGCCCCCTTGTGATGCTTGTTGGTTTATAAAACCTCTTAACTAAATCTAAAACCATATAGCTGTTGGAATTATAAACCAACTTTGCTATCTAGGGGGGCCGGAGCCCAATATGGCCCACCTTTTCCGGATGGTGGTAACAACTAGCTACACCTTTTCCGGGGATGTGACCTGCCAAATCTGGGACTGAAAAACCAACTCCAACGCAGATATATATTTCAATCTTATAACTCAATCAATTATTGGATTATACATGTTTGGGCATTTGACAATTCGAAGTGGGCGCTTGGTGGGTTTCAAGATACCCTCTGGTAAACGTTTACATAACTATGCAAAACCACCATTTTCAATGGGAACATCCACTATTTCTATGGCCATTTTCAATAGCTTTTTGTATGTTTACCAGAGGGTATATCCCATTAATATCCCATTGAATCACTATAAAATCCCATTAAATCCCATTAAACCACTATAAATTAACCAGAGGGTATCAAGGATGTTCAAAGTCAGTGGATTTGAAAGTCACTTAAGGAACGGCCTGGCGAAGCCACCTGGGATTCCTGGGATTCCTGGGATCGTGCAGCAGCTCCATGGAAGTTCACCGCGCAACAACGGAATACCGACTTCAACAACAGGTTTCAGCAGTGAAAGGCTGTGCGAAATCGGTAGAACCCCAGCATTTCCAAGTTTTCTCTCTGGAAAATCCATTGTTTCCGGTTGAGAAACTCCCATTTTTCTAGGTAAATCCATGGTAGGTCCTTCAGTTCCCGTAGCCCCGGTATTCCCCGGTGTTCGCTCCAGGCCCTGTCGCTCTCGGGCCCCGCCACGGCCGCTGGCTCCGACGACGACTCGGACGAAAACCCGGTCGCCGCCGATGCTTCCGAGGCGTCCGCACCGGTCGAAGCGGCCGCAGCACGTGGGGTGCTGCAGAGAATTCAGCAGTTCATGGGGAGAAGCAAGGACAGACTGGACAGACTGGACCATTGGCTGATGAAAATAGAAGGGTTTGAAGAAACCCCTTTAACAACAGGTAAGTGATGATAGATGGTATACCAAACCGGCCAGACTCTGGTTGGTGGTTTGGAACATTGCTTTTATGATTTCCATTTCATATATGGGAATGATGACGAACTCATATTTTTTCAGAGGGGTTGGAACCACCAACCAGGACTGGACAGACTGGACAAAGTGGACAGACATAGGGGTTTCACATGGTTTCACATGTTTCTGGACATGTTTTTACATGGTTTTAGTGTAAAACTTCAAGAACAGGGGCCCTAACGATAGCTAAGTATGGGCCGGGTTGAAATATGTTGCGGATAAGGCTGAGATTTTCATGGCTGGGGTTATGGTGCATATATCGAAAGTTGGATGAAAAACCAACAGTTGCCGGTGGTTTGCCTGTCCATTTTGGCTATATTTTTTTATATTGGTTCATTCTTGTAAATTGGGCCAATAATAACCGCAGCGGGTTAGCTTACTTCATTTTTACGAGTAACATAGTGAATCTCAACTGGGTTTGTAACACATTTTAGAACTGGTTGGTGGTTTCAAACATTTTTTATTTTCCATAATATATGGGATAATCCTTCCCATTGACGAACTCATATTTTTCAAGATGGTTATTGCACCACCAACTAGAGAACTGTTGTCCTTGTGTGGATGTTCAGTTTCCATTCTCCCAAGTTCCGAGTGAGGAGTCTCCAATCTTTCAAGTGCTATCCCCATTTCTTCAACTGAATCTCGATTATCTTCTCGCTCGATATCAGCCTGGAATTTCCCAAGTTTGGTGGGGTAAAAAAACATGTGTTCAAACATCGTTTAAAACATCGGCTAACATTTTACAGCATCTCAAAACATCTTAGACACATCCTATAAAGATCTATAAAGCACCTTAAATCATTTTTAAAACAACTAATGTTCCGCACCATTTTCCCATAAGCACCATCTTTCCCCAAGTTTTACTCCGAAATCTCCACATTTCCAGCCCCGGCGCAGCCTCCTCAGGACGCCGCCAGTGCTGCAGTGACTGCGGCACCTGAGTCGGAACCTGTCGAGGCTGTCGAGGCAGAGCAGGAGGATGAAGGCAGTGGAGGACGCCGGGGAAAGCGGACACAGGAATTCACAGTTTATGGGGGTTTACCCCAAACATAGTTGATTGATTTCATGGAAAATGCGAAAATGAAGATTTGGGGGTACCACCATTTTAAGAAACCTCCATATGGAAGTTCCCCTAAAAAATCTAAATATTATGGAAATGTATTGGCCATAGTTTTTAATACTCTAGCCATGGTACTATAGCCACAGTTCCTTTGCGTATAATACTATAGCCATATATCATATATGAATTACCAGAAATTCCACAGTAGGAAAATTCCTAGGGCTATTTCTATCGGAATTAACAATAATAAAAATAGCAATTAACATATTTTAATAAATAAATGCGGAATTAACAATCATAGGAAATCAATTGAGAAAAACATTGTTTTTTCTTTTTAGCGGGATTAAGCGGAGATTGATATATGGGGATAGAAGGGAATAACCCAGTGCTCCAAATATCTTCTAACTGAGCCAACTGAGCTGGTTTGTGTTGGCAGAAAGAGTCAACTTCAGTAATATTTGTTTGTTTATGAACCCAGTTCACTATAGATACCCTCTAGTAGTTTAAGATAGCCGTGGAAAGTTGTCACTTCTAGATGATTTACCTATTAAAACTGGTGATTGTCAATAGCTATTTTAAATTACCAGAGTATATCTCTTATAACATCTACTTCATCTAGTCATAAATCAACTTAGCTATGCGGGGGGCCCTTTTTGTGGGATGACGGGATGCCAAATCCTAGAGTCGGTGGTTGAGTTTCCCAGTGTCATTGTTGGCTGTTCGGACAAGTTGCCTTAGCTTGGCTGAGTGGTGTTGCTGGCCTGACTCCGTCATACCAATAGTCCCCATCCAAAACAGGGCAGTGATGATATCCCAGCTGTACGAACCAATCAGCTGAGCAATGCGCAATGGTGCCCTAGTGGTTAGATTGTATCCAAGTGATTCACTGCGATGGCCCCTACCAGGGAGAAACCCATTCATATCCCCATGTGACTGGTTTGCAACCACCACAACTAGGGTTAACTGGTGTATAGTTGTGTTTTGAAGCAATTCGAAGGTGGTGCCCCAGTTTGTTACTTGGTTGCTTGAGATATATAAGTATACCTTGTGATATATAGATTAATTGTGGTGCCTAGTACGGTAGATATACAATGATAATCATAATCAATCATATACCGCTGGCTGTTTATAATTTACTCATAACTGGGGGCTATACCTTGTACGGCTCTTAGTGAACCAACCCTTGGGATAAACAGGAGAACCGTCGCCCACATCTCCCAGCGGCAGCGGCAGCGGAGCATGGCAGAAGCTCATGGCTGCGCAGAGCGTGTCACTTGAAGGTCTTGGGAAGTGTGGTAGATTTCTGGTAAATGATTCGGAATTGTGGGTTTTTAAAACTTAGAGGCGCAGATAATCCTTTCTCCCTAATACTAAACCCCGGCCCCCCCCCAATAATAAACACCTCAGGTAGTTTTTATTATTAGGGGGTATTTATTCTTAGGGTTCCCCCTAGTAGTAAATTAAAAACCTTATAATATTTCAAAATGGATTAAATTTTCTTTTAAAATCAAATTAAAATATTGCCCAAAATTGGATTTCGAAGCTTCCCCCTAATAGTAAATTAAAAACCCTAATATAAAAAACTATTTTGTTCTATTTCCATATCGCTTAGATTTCCTCTAAAATCTAATTAACACTTTGAAAAAAAATGATTTGGAAGCTTTCGCCTAATATTAAATTGAAAACCTTAATTTAAAAATCATTTTTTTTTTCGACCTTAAAAGACGGACCCTAATAAAAAACACCCCGTGGTTGACTAGTTTTTATTATTAGGGGGTGAACCCCTGAACTGGTAGCTTCATTTTAAAATTGTTTTCTACGGGGAATCAATTAAAAATATAATTGGCCAACTTCATTTTTTTTCAAAATTGGAGACGGACCCTAGTTTTTATTATTTGGGGCGGTTAGTAATAGGGGGAAGGGATTATGATGTGATCCATGCACGCATATAGATAGGTGTAGCATAAAAGGAGGACGTCACAGCATGTCACAACAGGTGTAGAACCAGTAGTCGGATGCTCATCATGGCGGCGTCGGACTTGGGTAAAGGAACATGGCAAAAAAGTCTCCAGACATAAAACAAGGTGGGGCCCAATACTAGTAGATGGTAAGGCTGGTTTATAACTCCAAGAACTATCGTTTATGGTAGATACATCTATTGTAGTTAGTTGTCGTGTTTTTTTTTGGGGCAACTTATAACTTATAACTGGGGCGGCCCACTTTGCAGACATGTAGGGAAGCAACTGTCCTATTTTCCAATGGTGCTGGTCCATTGCATCCAATGGCTATGCAACAATTTCTGGGTGTATCTGAGAATAGAGGATACCCGCAAAATGGCATGTTTCAGATGGCGATGGAGAGAGAGAGAGAGATATATATATATATGGAAACTGGTGATAACTAGAGATTTTAGAGGCACATATTGGGTGCCCCCATTTTCACTGCACCATCTCCCCTACTAAAATGGCAGTTTGAGAGTAAAGTGTCCCATTTCTAGACACACCCAGATGGAACATTTTGTAAATTCCTCACTTCTCAACGAGGTCATTCAGGGTTCCAAGGTTGGTTTGGTGGCGTCTTAGGGCCCAGTTGGAAGTTGGTTCACTATACATATCTATACAGTAGACCCCCAAAAATATTACCATCCAACTGTTAGAGGCTATAGATAGTTATAGAATATTATAGATACCTACAGATGGTTATAGATGTACTCTACTAAAGATGTACACCAACTATAGATATCCATAAGTATAGGCATAGGATTGCAATTTAATTTTAATTACGGTAAACATCGGTAAACCCCAGATATAGAATAGTGATTTACCACTATTTTGAGAGGTTTTCCCAACAATTTCCTTTTTTTGGGGCGGGATGGTCATACCAGTGATACCCTAATAGCGTTTTCCCCATGGTTTTGCACCTTGCGGGCTGAGTCTCATCGTGACCCGTGGTGGCATGGGCAAACGCCTCCCACTGAGTGAGCTGAAATTGGTGCCACGCAATCGCACAGGGCAGCAGGCGAGAACCGCCATCCGATTGATGTTCTCAGTGGGTTCTGAACATGTTCACCATGAAAATTGCTTGTTCAAGGTGGTGCCCCATAGTTAGCTAAGTTGGTTTATAACTCCAATAACTATGGTTTATGGTAGATATAACTATAGTTAATGGGGTTTATAAACCAACTTGTTTGAGCTTGATTTAACATGGAACATGGTTGTTGTTGTTGTTTTTGCTTCCTTGGGTTTAAGCAAGAACCTTTTTTTCTTTTTGGGTGGGGCGAGGTTAAACAACAAAATGCAATGTTTCTTTGTTTGTTTTAATGGGTTTAACATGATTTAACCAACAAGATATGGGAGTTGCGTGTCTTGAACCATCGGAGATTGTCGGGGAGGGTTGGTGGCACGTCAACTGGATGGGTGGTATATTAACCAGCAAACCTTTGGAGATCAATGGGAATTACCTAGCACAGTTGGTGATTTTATGGGATTTAACCATAGATAGGCCAGATAGATGATACTTACTAAGGTACTGGTTCCAGTGTTTGACACACTGGGTATTTGACGGTCAATTGCAAGATTTTGATAGATGTTTCCATCGTTTTTCCCCCATTTTCCAAGTCGAAAAAACTGGAGGCCATCAAGTTGGGCAAGCGCCCGAGTCAGGCCTGGAAGATGACTTTTTTGTACCCTGAACAAAAGGATAGCAGCTGATAGCACAGGTTTGATATGGTTTAATTGACTGATTTTTTTGGTGGTTCTTTCTCGTTTTTTTTTTGGTTGGTGGTTTGGAACATGTTTTATTTTCCATTTCATATATGGGATGTCATCCTTGCCATTGACGAACTCATATTTTTCAGAGGGGTTAGCAGCAACCACCAACCAGATTAAATATTATTAACAATCATTAACCATATAATAACCCATATTAATTAACCATTATCAACAGTATATTAACCACATATTATGATCAGTGTTTTCTTGGGGACACCGTGCGGCACGATGTCCTTAACAATGGGACTCTGGTCACGATCTGGGAGATCGTGACTTCAATCCATGTGGGAATTCCGTTCAGAAGCGGTGAATCCAGGTGGGATCATAAGATCATGTGGCGACAATGCCCTATTCACTGGTTGGTGACTGGAACATCGGAACATGGCTGGATTATGACTTTCCATATAATTTTCCATATATGGGGAATGGAATGTCATCATCCCAACTGACGAACTCATATTTTTCATAGGGGTAGGTCAACCACCAACCAGATGAGTTTTCCCATTTCAACGCCAACTCAACAGAGGAAAACTATTTTCGTTGAAGGATAATTAAGTAGCTTACAGGCCTCCAATTGGAAATGGAGCAGCCCAACTGAACTGGCGATGCGTCGCAGGATGCAACGTCCAGAAATTTGTGGTTCATGATTTATCATTTTTTTTGCGACTGCGAGGTCTTTATGTAGCCAGAGGGTACTTGGTGATTCATTTCTGGTTGGTGGTTTGGAACATTTTTTATTTTCCATTTCATATATGGGATAATCCTTCCCATTGACTTTCATATGTTTCAAGATGTTTAGAACCACCAACCAGCATTTAATGTTTCTTTTTAAAGAGGTGATTGCCACTGGCGATTCGCCATATGGCCCATTGATCTCGCGAGTTTGGGTGATTTTGAGCCGCGGTAACACTGGGTCATATCAGTTTCACAGTGGCAGCCAGTGCATAGTTTGATCATAAGCAGCACTTAACAAAAAATGACACATGACCTCATGTTTGAACATGTCACAAAAATGTAGAACGAACCTCACTTTATATGGTGCCCTCTCCAGTTATAAGTTGCTATGATACCCATGTTACATCATTTAAGTATATTTAAGTATATTCAGTTCATCAACAGAAACCCACCAATTAAAAGTCGTATTTCAACCAAATGTAGCAAACGAACTTGGAGCACCACCTTGTATCACCACAATTAACAACATGTAGCTGGGGATATACAGGGATGACTACTAGGGTATTTCACGTTCTTTTTGAAGATATGAACAACCTTAAGAATCATGTGCGAAAGCACCTTTAATATATGTCCTTTTGCTTCGTTTACATTGTACATAAACTATATTTATTGAAATTCATTGATGTATATACATATATGTATTTATGCACCGTGTAATCTCTATATATATAAATATATATATAGATATAGACACATCACATGGTTATTAGCCCCGTTTTTACTGATTGGAATTTGCCACGGGGGCAAGTCGCAGGATGACGCCGCCACCTGGCCCAATGGCTTCGGAGCAGCCCTTGCAGTTTGTTAATAGTTAAGGGTAGATCTCTACAATTACCCTAGGGTAAACTAATATACTCAAATATATATATATATATATACACAAGTGTATCTATGTGTATATATATATATATGTGTGTGTGTATATATGTAAATTCATAATATATATATATGTGTGTGTATGTGTGTGTATGTATATGTATATATAGGCTCGTCCCTGCTCCTGGAACTACATACGATGGGGTGGGATGTTAACGTTCATGTGAACTTGCAGAAGCAGTTGATGCTACGCACACGCGGGGTGGGGGGGGATGGGGTGGGATGTTAACGTTCATGTGAACTTGCAGAAGCAGTTGATGCTACGCACACGCGGGGTGGGGGGGGGATGGGGTGGGATGTTAACGGTCATGTGAACTTGCAGATGCAGTTGATGCTACGCACACGCCGGGTGGGGGAGGGGGATGGGGTGCGATGTTAACGTTCATGTGAACTTGCAGAAGCAGTTGATGCTACGCACACGCGGGGTGGGTGAGGGGGGATGGGGTGGGATGTTAACGTTCACGTGAACTTGCAGAAGCGCTACGCACACGCGGGGTGGGAGGGGGATGGGGTGGGATGTTAATGTTCATGTGAACTTGCAGAAGCAGTTCATGCTACGCACACGCGGGGTGGGATGATGATGGCAAGAACCAAAACTGGTCTCACATGTTTCTGGGAAAGGTCCTCAAGCACCGTGTTCATGTTCATACTAATGCTGATGATGATGTGATGATGATGAAGATGATGATGATGATGACCCTGATGACACTTGTCAATTCCGCGACTAAATTTCGTCACGGAATTGACAAGTTTTACTAACCTAATTCAGGTTTGCGCGGTTCCAAGAGCAGGGACGAGGCTATATATACATATATGCATATATGTATGACGTGTATCTATAAATATAGATGTTGAAAACCCATGGTTTCCCAAGAAGAATGATCTACAAATGCCGAATTTTCACACATTGACCAACATAAGTTGGGAGTTTGACCAACAAAGATGTTGGACCAGACCGGCAAAGATTGGATGTTTTGCCATGATTTGACAATCAAACATGGCTGTGAAATGTGACCACGTCCAGGTACCCTCCGATAGTCAAAGTTTGCTGGACAATTCTCCATTGATAGATGGATTTTCCCAGCTATTTTTAGCTCCCTGGATGGTTCGGGGATTTTCCAGCCAGCCACGTTTGATTACCATCTGGTAAACATACAAAAAAATATTGAAAATGGCCATAGAAATAATGAGTTTTCCCATGAAAAATGATGATGTTCCATCGTTTTTTGTATGTTTACCAGAGGGTAACCATTAAAATCACCAATTCAATCCCATTAAAATACAATTAAATCCAATGAAATCACCGTTGAATCCCATTAAAACGCCTGATATTACCTGATATGTCCATATACTGTACACTTTCCCAGCCTTGCAGCGCCTTTTTCGCCATGCATGCGTGCCACGTGATTTTTCATGGTGCCCATCTCCCAGACCTCCCATGTTTAGACACACCTGGTTGTGCTGGTTGCGTATGTTATCATATATTGCTGGTTAAATATCACCATTACATCCACAATGAGGTCCTCATTTTTTCCTAGTTAAAATATGTTAAAATCCCCATGTTCATGGTAAATCCATCATTTTCAGATCTTAAGTCAATGGCCATTTCAGGAACCTAAATGGAGGTACCTACCATATATAAGGCCTAAAATTCAGGCCTATGTAAGGAAATATCCCCACAAAATATGGCCAAAAATATGGTACAGTACCTCCATTTTAGGATCCTGAAGATCTCCCATTGATTAAACGTGATTCAACTTTCCCATTCATATCCACATGATATTAATGTCGTTGGGCTTCTTCGTCCATCACACCGGCTGAGGTTTGCGCCATTTGCATCACCGGTTCGCAGAGCTTGCCCAAGCTGCCCCGCAGACCCAAAGCACCGCAGGAGTTGTACCAGGCTCCTGTTGGTTAGCTGTCGGGGTTCAGCCCCTGTTGATCACACCCATGACATTCGTTGATATTCGTTGATCTGATTTCCATGGGCCAAAAGTTCCAACGTATTTGTCGCTGACCCTTTCCTGTAAACTGAGTATGTCAGTTTGAAAAAAGTGCTAACTTAATAGTTTCAAGCAAGCTTCATGATGAGTTCTATTGTGAGGTACCAGCAAAGAGTCATCCTCAGGATTTCGCTCAAGTTCTAAGACTTCAAAAGTTCCGTGGTATCCCTAAATTACATTAAATTACCTGGTGTTTGTATTAGGGTTTGTTCACCCAAGTGAGATGTGGTAAGATTCAAACCCATTTAGGCCCCAACGTCTTAATTTGTTTGGGATGTTCCCAGGCAAGGTCCCAGACATTTTCCCTTGCTCTCCTGTACAGTAGTCTCATGGCATGAGATATGCATGCATGCATCCATACATCCATACATCCATACATCCATAGATAGATAGATAGATCAGATAGATAGATAGATAGATAGATTTATTAATTAGATAGATAGATAGATAGATACATACATACGTACGTACGTATGTATGTATGTACGTATACTGTATATATCTCTATATATATATCATATTGGGATGTGTGAAAACCTATTTTTACCATCTTTTGGGTGATAACATCCAATAACCAGCTATTTTAGGGTACAGTAGCAGGTCCTAAGGTTTTCACTCATAGCCAATGGCATACATATGAATTAGCTTTGAAGAAGGTCAATTTTCGCTCGTTAGATCACCGGTAATTTAACGCAGCTATTGAACATGGCCCATTGAGAGCTAGACCTTCTGGTAAACTAACATAACTAGTGAAAGTCACCGGTTTTTATGGGTAAATCAATTGTAAATTGCCATGTTCAATGGCTTTTTGTATGTTCACCAGAGAGTCTAGTTGATTTCCCTCTTAAAATAGTGGTTTTCCCGTTGGCAAACTGTTAGTGTACCAGAGGGTAGATCAGCAATATATTCCCCATGTAGGTCCCATTAGTTGATATTATCTCCATTCCAAATATATTCCCAATACCCTCTGGTAATTTGACATAGAGAGTGAAAATTGCCATGTATGCTTAATTTAATTTACCTTTTAAACATGGTGACTTTGACTAGTTATGTTAGTTCACCAGAGGCTAGTAATTGAGTTAACATATACCTAACATATCCCCAATATAGATTCCAAAGCAATATTTCCATTCCCAATACCATCTGGTTATTTAACATAGCAATGGAAAATCACCATTTTATAGCTAGGTAAACCATCTATACATGGGCCATCTATACCATGGCTATGTTAGTCATAACCAGAGGGTACATTTGTTTGTGTTGATGTGGTAAGCCACTAACAAACCATCATGGTGATGGTTTAGAGTAACAATATTTCGTTTCCCAATATATTGCCAATAGTCAATGACCATTTCAGGAACCTAAATTGGAGGTACCTGCCATATATAAGGCCTAAAATTCAGGCCTATGTAAGGGAATATCCCCACAAAATATGGCCAAACATATGGTACTAACGTACCTCCATTTTAGGATCCTGAAGATCTCCCATTGAAATAGTGAATTGACATAGCCACGGAAAATTCCCCCAGTTTCGGATCGCATCGGATCGCAGGATTCCCTGCTACGTGATGGTAATGACTTGGAGTCAGCTACGCCCTTTGAGTCTCTGAGTGCCAAGCAACAGGGACATTTTCAGCAGGAAACTTGGCCTTGTTGGTCCATGGAACTGAGAAAATGTCAGTTTTTTTTTGGGTTATCCTCTGGTCTGGTAAACATGGCTGGGAAATCCCATATCAGTGGAAATTTGAATGGGGAAAATGGATTTTATGGTGGATTTTCCGTTACCATGTTACCGGAGGGTATACTTTTTTTGGCGGGGTGGGTCCCGGGAACTGATCTGAAGCTACATTCATGGTGGATGGTCCATATCCATGTTGATTGTTCTGGAGAATTTATCTTCAGGCTATGTCAAAAAAGGATAGTTGCAGGACAGCCGTGACAGGGAATCGCCAGCTTGTTGTTTTTTTTTGTTTGCTTCGTTTTTTGTAAGCAGACTGTTACCTTCTGGTTATTTAACATAGCCATGGGAAATTACCCATTTATAGATGGTTTGCCTATTAAAAATTGTGATTTTCCATGGCTATGTTAAATAACCAAATTGTTACATTTGTTTGTGTTGATGTGGTAAGCCACTAATAAACCATCATGGTGATGGTTTAGAGCCACATTTTTTTGTAAAAATGTTGGTGGCTTGTCATCGGGGTTACCATGGTTAATGGTTTACCACATGTTTCTTGTTACGTATCAACCACTTGCTATTTTCTGGCATACCTATGCTCAAGCCGCCTTTCGTTTATAGATGACAGAATGGTTACTGGTAGGGTTTTAAAGAAGCTGAGCAGCCTGAGCCGTGGTTCGGATATGGTTTTCGGATCTCTTTTTGTTTAATCTTGACTTAACAAAAATCCCACCATTTTTGGTATGTTCAAATGTATCCTTTTTGATGACTTACCCGGTAAATCCTGGTAGACATGGCTGGAAATTGTCCCATTTCTAGGTGAATTTGATCAAGCCACGGCGCTGAGGAACATGAAAGCGAGGAGTTGCTTTGGCAGCAACGGCCGTGTGAACCAATGGGGTTTCCATTGGTTTCCTCTGGTTTTTTCTTTGTGGGAACGCCAATGCCATAAAAGCTACCATTGGGGATGGTTGAAGCATACAGAAGCCATCAAAATGGTGACTTGGGGATTTTTTGAATGGCGATGTGCCACATGAATCCGGTGAAAGTCACCAGAGATGTCCCAAAGAGGCCCCAAAAGGCCCATGTTTTGATGTTCGATGTCAAGAGAACAGCGAAGTTGAGATGGGTCTTGCCACTCGGTTTCCAAACCCAGCGAACCAGTACGAATTACGAATTGCTAGCCATATAATATAATTATATATATATAATCATACCCATAGGATCCATGTATGCTATATATGGTAACATTTACCATCAATATACCCCAGTCATGTTAGCATATATACCAGCACCATGGATCCTATGGGATACATATCACTATAAAGCCCATACTTGTTGCAGTTATAAAGCCCAACATGTCTACCCACGGTGGACCCCCCGAGAGCTGAGTCGGTTTACAGCGGGGAAACATCATCATTTGGGGGTTTCCTAATGGCTGGGCGTACTCCAACAATTTGTCGCTGGATGGTCCACTGGATGGTTTATTTTAATGTTTATTTCATGGAGAATCCATGGATGATTTTGGGGTACCCATTTCTAAACTCGGAAACTTTTGGTTTGTGAGTACGTGGGGTCCAAGCCTTACGCGTGAAGCCACCAGCGCCCAGGTCGGCATACCAGGAAGCTGTGAAGAAGAGGACAGCTGGGAGGGTGGCCATAGTAAATCCACTCGACATGTCAGATAGCAACAACATGCCCCGAAAAAAACCATTCTCCCTAATCTTATTTGACCTTAGTATTTAATGCCTTTGGGGGAAGGGATTACCCCAAAAAACAGGTTTTAATTATGTTCTGGAATTGTCTCCCACATCTACCTTTCCCTCTGATGAAGTTCCTGAGAATTCCCAACATCACTCAAAACAATTGTTTTCACACTATCTCAATACATTTCCCCATTTTTTTAACCGAATTTTCCATTTAACATGGCTCAAAAAAAACTAATGCTTTCCAGATTGCCTATGGTTCAATACCTAAAGATACTTTCTAGGGGGATAAACACCTACAAAGTTCCGTGGGTTTTGACATGTTTTGACCAATCTACACATGTGTTTTTGCTGAATATCCCCATGATATTATTCCCATGATATCCACGTTTTGCCGCGGTTTCCCTCCTGCTTCACCCTACACGGCGACCAGGAAAAAGGTGGAGGAGGAACTCAAGGAGCAGCTGGGTCAGGTGCTACTGTGCAGTTCAGGTGCGGGATCTGACTCCAAGGGATGGCTGAGTGGGTTATAGAACTAGAATTATTATGACTATATAGAACTAATTGAACTAGGGTTATAGAACTATGGTTATAATAATAATATGGGTTATAGAACTATATAGTCATTATATGGTTATTCTAGATTATAAACTCTAGGATCGCGGTTTTTATTATGGTGTCTTTCAAGAGCCAGTAATTTGGGCAAGTCTTGACTAATTATTTGGACAGTTCCCCGTACAAGAAGGGCCACCCATATGATATTTGAGGCTGATTATGAGTAGGTTGACGGCTGGATTTACAGTTGATATATCTTTGTTGCTAGATGTGGTAACATCATGTAACATCAAGAATCAGTAGGGTTGAAACCACCAAAATAATATATGATATATTCATAGGGATTCGCTCCAAAGATGAGCCCCCAATAAGTATAATTAAGGGCGTATCTTAAGCGCTTGGCCGGCAACCACAGGATTGAACTATGGAATCCCAGGCATCGATTTCGAGGTGTAGATCAGATCTCAATCGATCTGACCCAATTTCAATTGTCCAAGATTGTCCAGGTATTTCCCATGACCATTGAACCCCGTTAGTCATCATGTCAAATCCAGGTGGTCCCAGTACATAGTATTGCTGGGTATGAACTCACTATAGATTATAGATCCCATTGCGCAGGGGTGCTCCAACCCATTATAGATAAATGATAGCCTCAATCGGGGGAAATTGGCTATTGTCGGTTAACTATGGCAACTATTAGGGGATATTTTGAATTCTATTGTTGGATTTATACACCAACAATCACCAAGAAATAGAACTGGGAGGGCCCACCTTATGGACCCCAAAAAGGTCCCCAAAAAGATGCCGGCTCAAGTGTTGTGCCACCAGGATGCTACATCCTTCTAAATTATGTCTTGCCCATAATTTCCAAGTTTCCTTAACATTGGTGTATCTTTTAAAACATTCAAGTGAACTGTACATCCATTATAAAGCCACTCTAAATCCATTCTAAATCTGGTTGGTGGTTTCAAACATTTTTTTATCCAGAATATATGGAATAATCATCTTCCCACCAAAAATGAGACGAGGGCTATGATGTAGGGCAAATCCTCTGTGACGCCCTGGCAAAAAAAAAAACAAACTAATATTTTTTGAAAATTATCAATTATAATGTAAATGTTTTATTTTCCAGAATATATGGAATAATCCTTCCCATTGACGAGCTCATATTTTTCAGAGGGGTTGATCCATTAACCATTATGAACCATTATTACCAGTTAATTAACCATTAATATTAACAATTAATATTACCATTAATTAACATTAACCATCAAACCACCAATAAATCCCATGCTGAGGTGGTGCCATTCTACGGCTGCCGGTGTCGCAGGTGGAGCTCTGTAAGCCGCCCGGCAGCGGAGCGGAGCGTCGCGTCGCGTCGTTCCCGCGTCACTGACAGGGGGGCAGCATCAAACATGGTGGATTAACGGTGGATCAACATGGTTTACACATGTTTTTACTATGATTTGCTAATGTTGACTATGATTTGCTAATGTTTTTACTATGATTTAATAATGTTTACTATGATTTACTAATGTTCACTATGATTTACACATGTTTTTACTATGATTTACTAATGTTAATGTTTACTATGATTTACTAATGTATATTATGATTTACTAATGTTCACTATGATTTACACATGTTTTTACAATGGTTTGCTAATGTTTTTACTATGATTTGCTAATGTTTACTATGGTTTACTATGGTTGACGATGATTATTTGATGATTTTGATTGTATCCAATCGGTGAGAATGAATCTCAATGGAAGATAATGGAAATATGCAAACTTTCAAACAATTAGTGATATTGGTAGATATAACGATAGAGAGAGAGAGAGGTAGATATTATATATTTACCTCGGAACTCCGCCGATGCAAAAAAAACAGTGATTTAAGGTTTATGATCAAAATTACTGTTTTTTGGATTGAACCCAAAAAAACGACTCAAATGCCTGAAAATCATGTTCTAAGAGGATGTAAGAGGTACTGCATATGAAATATGTAATTCACAGTGTTTCCCCACACCTCAGCCATTTCTGTTCACCTTCCCTTTCCTTACCGCTGCACCTATGTGCTTTCTAGGAGGACCTGTATTATTTGATATGTTTGTGTGCATAGTGCATGCATGGACCATCATTTTTGACACATTTTGACAATGCGGGATTGAGAGCATGTGTTTTGCCAAATCCTGTGACCCAAATTACCCGCAAAACGCTCGCAAAAATCCCGCAAACGCGCGCAAAAACTGTCAAACGCGCGCAAATCCTGATTTCTGGTCATTTAGGGTAATTTGAGCCGTTTTACAAAGGACGCATTTTTGACCATGTTTGAAGGACAATGAGTTCAATCACTCTCACGTCCATTCTGCCTGTTTGGGCTTACCAATTAAGCAGCAGGGCTTGCAACCCAGGACTGAACCGCTATTTTGGATTGATGGTTTCCAGATGGGGCAATCATGGTGCCCACAACCTGTTTCTCCAAAGATCGCCTTGTTTTCATTTTATGACTTCAAATCGCTGCGTTTTTCTATGAAACGCCTCATTACCTTAAACGCCTAGAATTTTCCATGCAATGGAAGCTTGAGGTACATATGTATATATATATACACATAATGGATCGCATTGGGTTCTAATGAATGTACAAAAAGGGACTTGATGGATGTTTATGTGTGCGAATCCCAGGCCCCGATGATCCCCGATGTAAAAATAAAGTGCTTAGCCATCAAATGGTTTCCATTTGGTTATGACTAACAGTTTGCCATGGAAAGATCCACCATTTTTAAGTTCGGTAAACCATCTTGTTTCAATCTATTTCTATGGACCATCTATACCATGGCAAACTGATGTTAGTCATAACCAGATGTTAATTATTTGACATGGTTTAATCATCCTGAAATGGTGACCTATAGCCAAATTGTATTGAATGCCTTCGCATACGAGCCCCTCAGATGGGTAGGGTTAGGAACAAATATGAACAAACCATTAGTTTATGGTAAGTATTTTCTATATTGGGAAGGGATTAATGTGGCAGGTCCAATTGTATCCTCTTTCTGGTGTATTTTGGAAATAAAATCAATGAGAGTGTTTGATGAGTTAATTTTTAGTGGCACACTCTATTTTCATGTATTTTCAATTTTGCTTGATGCGACATCACGACTTATGGCTGGGTTTGTTTTCTTTTCTCGACGCAGGATGACTTATTTTGTGGGAGTTTATAGCATTTGTTATTCCCCATCCTGCATGGCATGATGATCGGGTCATGAGATGGAGGCCAAACATTTTTGATGCAAAACATCGGATTTGAACCAAACTGCTGGTTAAGATCCGGCCTCATACCTGCTGGGCATCGTTCAGAGCCTAAGTGCATTGTTTTTTCCATATTTTTCCCTATGTATTCAGTGACACATGTGATGTTTCAAATGTTTCAAAATGATGCCATTGGGATATGATGGGCCAGGGGATGGGCCATTCTCGCGTTGAGGAAACGGGTCGCTGGCAGATGCCTCATGAAGGTGGCGGTCCTGGAAAACGTGGGGGATCTTCACACGACAAAATATCGAGCAATTCTTGGGGAATCCCAAGTTTTCGTTCATTTTGGGTACCAATAAACTAACAGTTTGCGAACTGGAAAATCACAATTTTTAATGGAAAATTCAAGATAGAACAAGGTGGCCCCCCCCCCCCAGTTACCAGTTGTTTTACAAGCCTTATTACCATCTGGTAATTTAGCATAGCTATCGACAATGGCCATTTATAGTTGATTTACTCATTAAAAATTGTGATTTTCCATAGCAAACTGTCAGTTTACCAGAGGGTAACCATAGTTCTATCATGTTCTGTCCTCCAATAACTCTAGTTAACCAGAGTATAAGTCAACGTAGCAGGCCAAAAAAAAGCCGTTTTCATACAAAAATATTAATGAAATCATGGTTATATCACTCATAGAATTGGATGATGGGAAAATTTACAGGAAAGCCCTATATTTGATGGTAAAAGCCATGGTTTCCTGTAGATTTTCCCTTAAACCAATCCAATGAACCACTTTTTTTTGGGTTGTTACCATGGTTACCCTCCGGCAATCGAACGTGGCTGGCTAGCAAGAAACCTCCATGGCTTGGGGAATTTCCCAGCTAGCAATGAAACCAGAGGCTATTCCCAAATTTAACCGTTGTTGTGGAAAATCCTCATGTTTAATAGCCATAGGATCCATGTATGGTATATATGCTATTATATGCTAACATGAATGGGGTATATTGATGGTAGATGTTACCATATATAGCATACATGGATCCTATGGGATAGGTAAATCATGGTAAATCATCATATTTATAATATCTTATTGAATAGGTCATGATCCATCGCTACGTGTTTTTTTTTTGGTAAATCACCGGTATCGGGTATCCCATTGTAAATCCCACCCAAGTCCCATGAAATCACCATTTTTCTCCTGGTTGGTGGTTTCAATCATGGCTTTTATTTTCCATTTCATATATGGGATGTCATCCTTCCCATTGACGAACTCATCTTTTTCAAGATGGGCACATTGCACCACCAACCAGATCTCATACAGATGTCTGATTGGTGGTTTGGAACATGGCTTTTATGACTTTCCATATGCCGGTATTGGGAATGTCATCCTCCCAACTGACGAATCTGACGAACTCCATGATTTTTCAGAGGGGTGAAGTCACCACCAACCAGTCTCGGTGAGATCCCATTCAAGAACGCCCAACGAAAAACATCGACGCTTCAGGTCGACGCAGAGATCGATTCCGTGATCTCTGCAGCACTGATCTCAGCAGTGGATGCCGAGAAGGATGACTCTCGGAACTGGAGATGTTCGATATTACCCTCTGGTTATGTCAAAATAGCTATTGAAAATGACCATTTATAGTGGAATTTCCCATTAAAAATGGTGATTTTCCATAGCTATGTTAAATTACCAGAGGGTGTATCATATATTATCATCAGTGATATTAGGTATGGGTGACTTAGGACTTAAGCCACCCTGATGACATAGGAGTTCAGTTAGTTCATGTGTGAATGTGTGAATAACTGCTGATAATAGCTTCATGATGTAATATAATATATATATATATGGCACCCCCCCCAAAAAAAAAGTCTACCATTTTAAGCTTCATAAGATTGGACTGGGGGTGCCATATATAAATACATTGTAAATAGGCCTTTAAAAACTGCCTGTAAAAGCCTTGCTTGATCTGTGAAGTTCAGACTTGAAGTTCAGACTTGATGTTCAGACTTGATGTTCAGACTTGAGTCCAGGCTTGGGAATCTTCAATCCCAGATTGAAGATTGAAGATTTTCCAGGACTCTCCCTAGAGAATCTTCAATCCCGGATTGAAGATTGAAGATTTTCCAGGACTCTCCCTGGAGAATCTTCAATCCCGGATTGAAGATTGAAGATTGAAGATTTTCCAGGACTCTCCCTGGAGAATCTTCAATCCCGGATTGAAGATTGAAGATTGAAGATTTTCCAGGACTCTCCCTGGAGAATCTTCAATCCCGGATTGAAGATTGAAGATTTTCTCCTGGATTAAAGATTCTCCAACAAGATTCCTGAGGAATCTTCAATCTTCAATCCAGGATTAAAGATTCTCCAACAAGAGTCCTGAGGAATCTTCAATCTTCAATCTTCAATCCAGGATTAAAGATTCTCCAACAAGACTCCTGGGGAATCTTTAATCTTCAATCTTCAATCCTGGATTGAAGATTCTCGAAAAAGGCTCCTGGGGAATCTTCAATCTTTAATCTTCAATCTTGGACCTCAAGTCTGAGGAGCTTTTGCACTTGAGGGATATGGTCAATCTTTGTCAAAGGCTTGCGTCTCCACCTTCACTCCACAGTTTGTAGCTCTCGGCCCCAAGCATTGCCACTCTGCCTCCAGTCAACATACAGGACAAGATGTCGATCCCAGTGCAAGGCCGTGTCACCTTGAAGGACAACCAGGCATTGGTAGTGTTGAATGTCGCCACCAACAACAACCAAGCGGAGGAGAGGCCAAGGTCCGACTTGGAAGCGCTGCTGAACAGAGCTTTGCGACAGGAGGTGCCGGTACACCCAACCCGGCTTTGTCGCTCCAAACCCGATCAGCCTTGTTACTTCTTGTGATTCTACGCGTGCCACTAGCTTCCATCCACCTCATCTTGGGTGTGAAGCACAAGGTTGTTGAAGCCATGCACAAGAACCTGCAACTGGTCCGAAAGAAGTATGTGGTGCAGAAGGAGAAGGGCATCAAATTTGGCGCTTCTGGAAAATGGTCTGATGTCGAAGGTGATGAAGCCACCTTTGACAAGAGGGATGTCTTGTCAGACGCAGCCTGGGAGCATGAAGTGAAAGCGGACCGCTCCATGCTCTGGGAACAATGGTGCGGATTGGTTCAGAGAGGGAAGCCTCAGACACTAGTGCTTGCCCGACTCAGCCCAACATTGACAGCTACCCGGTCTCCAGGCCCCGGCCCCATCACAAAACAGGATTGGTGGCCTTTGGGCAAGAAATGGTTGGCCAACCGCTCTGTGATTTTCCACACTGACTCGGCCAAGGCGTACAAGATGAAGCTCCCTGGCGTTCTTCATGATTCGGTTGTCCACCAGAAAAGCGTGTCAAAAAGAATGGGAAATGGGAATGGACCAAGCCAAATTTTGTTAAGATGAAAGTCCACAAGTTGCCTTGGGGAAAGACCGTGAAGGTGAAATGTGGCACCCAGCACATCGACCGCTGCTGGAAATTTATTAAGGAACGTTTGTCGAAAGGGACGAACGTTCGTGCTGGCATGGGCCGCTTGCAAGCCCAAATTCGTTCTGCCCAGTATGAGTATTGGTACCGGGGGGACGACATGTGGGTGCGCACAGGAGAACTCCTGTCCGCTTACATGTCTGAGATTGTGGTTCCTGCGTCTTGAACGCTTGTGCGCCAGGACATCACCGGTGAGAAAGAAATTGCTGCTATGCCGCCGGACATGTGCTTGATTCCTTCCTTCGTTGTGTGAGCTTCATTCCCAGTACTGGCTTGAAATTTATGCCTCCAGCTTGCCCATGATCATGCAAGTTTATTGAATGATGATTGAAGATTACAGCCCACCCATGACTTCAGAAGTTCTCACTTCTGGACTGATGACTGAAGTTTGCAGCCCACCCATGACTTCAGAAGTTCACTTCTGGACTGATGACTGAAGTTTGCAGCCCACCCATGACTTCAGAAGTTCTCACTTCTGGACTGATGACTGAAGTTTGCAGCCCACCCATGACTTCAGAAGTTCCCACTTCTGGACTGATGACTGAAGTTTGCAGCCCACCCATGACTTCAGAAGTTCCTACTTCTGGACTGATGACTGAAGTTTGCAGCCCACCCATGACTTCAGAAGTTCCCACTTCTGGACTGATGACTGAAGTTTGCAGCCCACCCATGCCTTCAGAAGTTCCTACTTCTGGACTGATGACTGAAGTTTGCAGCCCACCCATGCCTTCAGAAGTTCCACTTCTGGACTGATGACTGAAGTTTGCAGCCCACCCATGACTTCAGAAGTTCCTACTTCTGGACTGATGACTGAAGTTTGCAGCCCACCCATGACTTCAGAAGTTCCTACTTCTGGACTGATGACTGAAGTTTGCAGCCCACCCATGACTTCAGAAGTTCCCACTTCTGGACTGATGACTGAAGTTTGCAGCCCACCCATGACTTCAGAAGTTCCTACTTCTGGACTGATGACTGAAGTTTGCAGCCCACCCATGCCTTCAGAAGTTCCCACTTCTGGACTGATGACTGAAGTTTGCAGCCCACCCATGACTTCAGAAGTTCCTACTTCTGGACTGATGACTGAAGTTTGCAGCCCACCCATGCCTTCAGAAGTTCCTACTTCTGGACTGATGACTGAAGTTTGCAGCCCACCCATGCCTTCAGAAGTTCCTACTTCTGGACTGATGACTGAAGTTTGCAGCCCACCCATGACTTCAGAAGTTCCTACTTCAGGACTGATGACTGAAGTTTGCAGCCCACCCATGACTTCAGAAGTTCCTACTTCTGGACTGATGACTGAAGTTTGCAGCCCACCCATGCCTTCAGAAGTTCCTACTTCTGGACTGATGACTGAAGTTTGCAGCCCACCCATGACTTCAGAAGTTCCTACTTCTGGACTGATGACTGAAGTTTGCAGCCCACCCATGACTTCAGAAGTTCCTACTTCTGGACTGATGACTGAAGTTTGCAGCCCACCCATGACTTCAGAATTTTCCATGTGTGGACTGATGACAAAATATTATCACCACTCTAGTACAGCTGGAATCTTGAGACCCTTCCAAACTCAGAAAAAAGGTAGACTTTTCAGGGGGGGATGCTATATATATGGCACCCCCCCCAAAAAAAAAAGTCTACCATTTTAAGCTTCATAAGATTGGACTGGGGGTGCCATATATAAATGCATTGTAAATAGGCCTTTAAAAACTGCCTGTAAAAGCCTTGCTTGATCTGTGAAGTTCAGACTTGAAGTTCGGACTTGATGTTCAGACTTGATGTTCAGACTTGAGTCCAGGCTTGGGAATCTTCAATCCCAGATTGAAGATTGAAGATTGAAGATTTTCCAGGACTCTCCCTGGAGAATCTTCAATCCCGGATTGAAGATTGAAGATTGAAGATTTTCCAGGACTCTCCCTGGAGAATCTTCAATCCCGGATTGAAGATTGAAGATTGAAGAGATATATATATATGTTGAAATTTTGGGCAATAGCTCTAAAAGTGTTGAATAGCTATATAATTAATATAATAAAAGTGTTGAAATGTGAGGGTTAACTGGAGATTGTGGCAGATACATCTAGAGTGCCATGTTTTTTTTTTGGGGGGTGAACCCTGTGATAACTGGCGGGCACCAGCTCGTGTTGCTTGATGGTTATGGTCTGGTATAATATTGGCAAACGAAACAACCATCAATCCATCCCCCATTTACTTTTTTTTTCCCAGAAACGTTTTGTTCCTCTAAGGGGGGCAACGAGGTGGGCGGGCACAGCATTTACACTATCACATTTGCTTCACCCGAAAAAATAAGGCCCAACACATCCCAACACCCTCTGAGTTGATGCTGATGGTTGTGGGGTTGATGGTGATTGGCAGAAGGGCTAGCATATATAGATATATACGGGTTGCTAGGATTGTGTAGGTACGAACTGGCTCAATGCTTAAAAAAGTCCAATGTGCCCCTATCATCATAGGAGAAGACACACTTTTCAACCTCTGGGTTTTGATGCACCCGCCCCTCTAGGCACCCTTTTCCTTCACAAGATCCAATTACCTTCCTGTAATCAAACATGGCAATGGAGAACCCACCATTTATTTAGTTCAATGCTTTTCATGGATTCTGCCATTCAAATGCGCATTTATGATAATTTATGCAGGAATTCCATGGATTTCCCAGCCAGTCATGTTTGACACCGGAGACCTTTGATATGAACCACCCAGCAGAAGGAAACCGCAGAAGTCGCAGCTTTCGGCGCAGTCGGCGTGACGACGCACTTTCCGAGGATTTGACGACGCCACATTCCGCAGAATGTGAAGGGGAAGCGCCCGCAGTGACCTGGCACGAAGCATATTTATTGAACGCTATATAACGTCCATAAATGTAATTATAACATAATATATATATATATATTACATATATATATAAATATATATACATATAAATACTTATATATATATATTTATATACTTATACATGTATACTTATATATACTTATATATGTATACTTATATATACTTATATATGTATACTTATATATGTATACTTATATATACTTATATATAATTGTGTATATTTATACTTACATATATATATACGTTTATTATTATATATACCTATATATATATACATATATGTATACTTATATTATATACGTATATATAGATATATATATATATATGTACTTTTATATATTATATCCCTTATATATATATATCCCTACCCCCTATCAATTCTTTTAATAAACGGGGGGGGCACCCTCCCTCCCCCCTCCCCAAACAAAACAAAATCGAGAATTTGCAGACTAGGACGACTACTGCTACTACTACTACTACTACTACTAGTGGTAGTAGTAGTACTACTACTATTACTACTACTACTACTACTACTACTATTACTACTACTACTACTACTTCTACCTACTTCTACTTACTACTACTTACTACTACTTACTACTACTTACTACTACTTACTACTACTTACTACTACTTACTACTACTTACTACTACTACTACTACTACTACTAGTACTACTACTACTACTACTGCTACTACTACTACTACTTCTACCTACTTCTACTTACTACTACTTACTACTACTTACTACTACTTACTACTACTTACTACTACTTACTACTACTTACTACTACTTACTACTACTACTACTGCTACTACTGCTACTACTACTACTACTACTACTACTACTACTACTACTACTACTATATTCCTCCTTACAGTTTTAAGAGAGCAAATTTCGGAAAGATTGCGGTCCTTCCAAAACCAAGTCTGAAACAGTCTGAAACATCCATGGTCCGGGGCAGATTTGTCATATTTCATTGCCAAAAATTATCGATTTGCTGCTACGTGGATTATTCCTAGTCAGTGCTTCCTCTACAATATTTGCCCAAGTGTGATGGTTCATCTGTGCCCAGGCTGACGATGGAGACGAGGACATGGGTGAGCCCGATGCCTGACCGTGCTCGATGATCGCGTCAGAGTGGGGAAGAAACTGAGCGTTCGGGATCGTCGCAGACGCGAGTTGCTATAAACAGTGGGATAAACAGTGGGATCGTAAGTGGTTAAGTGGTTTTGATAATCATGGCTAGTATTATAAGTCCACAATTCCTGAGCTTATCCATGCTTATCCCATATCAAAAAGTGGGTTATACCCTCTAGATCCCTTTGGTAAACTAACAGTTTGCTATGGAAAATCACAATCTTCAATAGGTAAATCAACTATAAAGGTGCCATTTTCAATAGTTATGCTAAATTACCAGAAAGTATAGTATATATTTTTATAGTCATCCCCGAAAAGCTAGAACAATAGATTTCCCATTCGAATAGTGAACAGTTACTTTTCTATGTTTTAAGGGTTGGTATACAGTATACACCGTTTATTTAATGTGAAACCTGAACCAAGGGGTCGTAAATGTTTTTCGGTGTCAGCCGTGGGCTATTGAACAAAACCATCTGAACATGTTTTTTTTTTTCGTGGGGATTTGCGCCGTCATCGCAGCGTATCAAAGTGTATCATAAACATCTGGGTAAATTACAACGACCTCACTGCGACCGAGCCCTGGAATCATGGTTAGTAAGGGGAATCATCCCCAAATGGCCGCAAGATTCAGGTTAGTGAAATATTATAATTTACCCAGATTCATAAACCCCGTCACCCATTTCCTGCATGACTCAAGTCGCCACCTGGTTGCCGTCCACAGGTCGGGTTTTCAGTTCCTTGCGAAAGCCGGTGCCAATCCGGAGGAAAGGGAGGAAATCCTTAGAGACGGGTTTAGGGTTTCAGGTTGAACCAGGTTGAACACCATGGTCATTTTTGATGGGGTTTGTTCATGGGATTTTGTAGGTAAGTCTTGAAATAACCTAGCTATGGTAATATCTGGTAATTATAGATGGCCCATTTATAGATGATAAAGATGATGATTTCCCCGTACCCAAAAAAAACATGGTAATTGTCCAGTTCCCTCATTAAAGTAGAGGGCATATGTGGGATTTAACCATCCTATACTATACAATGTGAGGCCCCCCAGTTATAAGTTGGTTTATAAGCCCCAGCAACTATAGTTATAAGTACCATAAACCATAGTTTTTGGATTTATAAACCAACTTAGATATCTTGGGGGCCTCACATTGTAATAAATTTGGAGTTAACTATCAGAACTAAGAATTCAACACTTAACGGTGTTAAACATTGGGATTTGACCAATATAGTCCTATCCCAGGGACCCCAAGACGACTAGTTCCAAGGCTAAAACACATGTTCCTTGGGATGTGATTTGATATTGGGTGGACGCGATTGATGGTATCTATTTCTTTGAATGGGTTAAAAGCTTGGCGCCCGGCGCCCTCGAAACTGTTTTGGGGCTATCTTGGGACGGTTCAAAACCAGCTTTGTTACCATATTTCTCGAATAACCATCCATTAACCAGCGATTTTCTAAGGGTACCTCGGTTCCTCGGGTAGGGTTTTGGCCCATAACTTGCCCCCATAACTGGCCATATATCTCTCCCATTCCCGCCAGTTGTGGCGTGCCAACTTTGCGATGGTCGAATGGCGTGGCTCGGACGAGGCACCCCTCTGGTCCAGTTGTGGCTTTTCCAAAGCCTCTGTAAATATGGAGCTTTCAGTGATAAAGGTAGAATTTTGGTAGATTTTTTCAGACAATTATGGTGTGGCATTCTAACTTTCAATGGATTTTGTTTGGTGGAAATGGCAGCATTCTAACTTTCAGTCCTGGGGTATAATTACCCTCTGGTTTGTTGATGGCACATAGAAATAGATGGTTTACCGAACTTAAAAATGGTGGATTTTTCCATGGCTATGTTATATAAATAACCAGATGGAATTGATAATTAGTATCTATTTTCCATTAGATGCTGCGGTTCAATATGGTTCAATCCTTGTTTTAGATCACTTTGGGTTGGATCTCAGATCCAATTTGGTGGGTTGCAAGGCAGAGATGGACATGAGACCTGAAGCGATCGTATCGCGGCTCTACCTCAAGGTGCCATGGCGTGGCACATGGCGTGTCGTGGTGCTTCCTAGGAAAAATCATGGGTGTGTCTGAAATTGGGGGTACCCTCTGGTTATTTAACATAGCCATGGAAAATCACCATTTTTAATAGGTAAACCTCTATAAATGGGCCATGTCCCATGGCTATGTTAAATAACCAGATGGTACCTCAAATTCACGGCCATTTCAACAGGGAAAACAGATGATGGCTGACCAATGGATTTTGGGATAGCGCGCCTATTGTGTTTGTTACTTAAATTTGCGGGTGATATGTGGGCCTCTTAAAATGAGGGATCCCCAAGTCACCATGGTTGTGTCAATACTATAAGTAACCTATAAGTCATGGTCTAAAATGGTTTCATGACTTGGTCGATTTGGGGCGCTTCTCCATGAGTGGGAAAGCGCCAATTTTTTTGGACCTCCCATTAGAATCCCAGTAAATCACCAATTTCAATCACTGATGTATCCTTTCTATCTACCCCTGTGATTCTATGTGACTCTCCATGATTGCTACATCCAGCCAGGTGGAGTACGAAACCTTGCGTCGTTTGCCAAAGAACTCAGAGCATCTTGGCAGAGGGACCCTTTCAGAAATGATTGTGCTTTATAGAAAATCCAAAAAAGTTAGGACAACGATGGAAAACGATGGAACAAGTGTAAAATACTGCTAAAGTAGTGATAAATTAGAGCGTGTCTAGCTTCTTGATGGTTGCTATAGATGAAACATTTGCTGGTTGGTGGTTTCAATCATTTTTTATTTTCCATAATATATTGGATAATCCTTCCCATTGACTAATATTTTTCAAGATGGTTGAAACCACCAACCAGTTTGGTAATACTGTCCCTATGGATCAAAGTATGCCCAGCACATCTGGGGGATTTACCCTATAGCTATCCCTAATGGCTGTCGGAATTTCCTGTATCTTTGTCGGGGATTGGCTGATTTGCTGGAAAATCATTGAAAAATGTTGGAAAATCATTGAAAATCATTGGTACCTGGTAGATCGTGGTAGAACATTTGGTTAAAAAAGCGTGATTTTTCCAGGGCCACATCATCCAAATCCATGATCCAACTGTCCCTCTCAAAAAGGTACATTTTCTGACGGACCAACACATTATCGTTGCCTTGATATATCTCATATATATATATATATTAGCATATGTATGTGTGTGGGCAAATATGCTAATAATTCAACAAGTTCTTTCCGTGTTCACTTTGAACCCCTATAATTACTGAAGAGGCTTCCAACAATCCAAGTTATCTAAGTTTTTTTTTGGAAATGAGTGCTGAAGATTTATTCCCCAAAAAAGGATAGTTGCAAAATGTTGCAGCATAAATCCTTATTTCATGCTATATATTCTAGCATAGTGCAATTTCATTGTAGTAGTGCCAGATGTAAATTATAGTATAATGATTTACTAAAATATGGTAACTATATCTATATAGGTACTTAGTAAATAATACCATATTTACCAATACTTAGTAAATACCATATTTCCTAAAGATACCTATATATTTACCAATGTTAGTAAAATGTGAGTAATAATTATAGATATAGATGTGGTATATTATAGTAAATTATAGATGTTTTACTAAGTTACTAAATGATATACATGTGAAATGTGGTATTTCATGTACTAAATTTACGGGCAGGACTGAGGGTTGTCCCGGAATGGTCGTATGAACGTCAGTGGGAAGCTCATTTCTCCGCACAGGCGCAGTGTTTTTTGACTCTGGTACATCTGTGAGTTCGCGTGGTCTAAGACGAATTTTTGGGAAAATCAGTCAGAAAAGTGAACCCTCTGCGGACTTCACGCGTTTCGGCCATTTCCACTGTTTCAATCTTTTCCACTTTTTGGCGACTCCGGATCTTATAATTTATGTAAGCCTTCATGAAACCCCTAATAGAAGTATGCGTATATGTTCCATGGGGCCGGGGGATGTGATAACTCATGTAAACCCTAATGAAACCCCTAATAGAAGTATGCGTATATGTTCCATGGGGCCGGGTGATTATATAACTTCTGTAAACCCTAAATGAAACCCCTAATAGAAGTATTATGCGTATATGTTCCATGGGGCCGGGGGATTTTATGATTTATGTAAGCCCTCATCAAGCCCCTAATAGAAGTATGCGTATATGTTCCATGGGGCCCGGCGATTTTATAACTTATGTAAGCCCTAAATGAACCCCTAATAGAAGTATGCGTATATGTGCCATGAGGCTAGGAGATTATGACAAGGAAATGTTATGACAAGGAAACCCCCGGGCACTGGGATAATGGAACCAATGAGTTGCTAGCTCCGCCCACCCTCGTAGGACGAAGGGGTTGTCCCTTCGGGACAACCCTTCGTCCTGTGGGTAAATTTACTAGAGTGGTATTTCATATGTGGTATAAGATTTAGTACCCTGGTATGGTTTTTATGTGGTTAGCATCTTTGGTACCACAATGTGGTGCCCCTCAGTTATAAGTTGGTTTATAAACCCCATGAACTATAGTTATATCTACCATAAACCATAGTGAAATTGGAGTTATGTTCACCAACTTAGCGTTCACGAACTGGGGCACCTTGTAGGGTATGTCGTGGCATCTTGCGGAGGTATTTGGTCTTCACCATCCGTCCGTACATGGATCCGCTGCCCGCCCTCGGCTCAGATGCCACCGGGATTGCTCTGAAAAAATGAAGGGAACACCTGTGAAAATATGGTGGATAACACATTTTTTGGCCTGAAATGAACTTAAGGTTCATAAATAAGTTATATAAATTTATATAAGTTATATATATATAAGTTATATAATCATACACATATATATATATATAATCATATATGTTTCCCATTAAACTCTACAATTTTTAGGCGTATCGCCCATTAGACACACCCATTAGAGGAGCAAGGCAGAGCGGTGCTCACTGACATCCCTATTTTGCTGCGGCTCAGCTGACTTCGCAGTTGTGAATTCATTGCAGTTTGACTCACCCGGAGCTCACCGGAGCTCGCCGGATCTGAACAAGTTGGCTGGGCCCTTCCTGCAGCTGCGCGCTGCGCTCCCAAGGTCCTTGGTGGCTCACTCCCAACGGACTACTGTAAGTGGGCTATGACTGGGTACTTGTAAGTCCGATGGGCTTAGTCAGTGAACTAATTATTACTGGGTTACATATAGCTAGCTGGAGCCACCAAGTAATGGGGATTTATCATCAGAAAAGGTATTTCTATAACTAGGGGGCATTAATTATGATACAATGATGTGGGTATAGCCAACAATCTGGGATATGTGGATGTATTTATAGTTTGTCTGAAAATAAGCTAATAGCGGCTATACCCCAAAATCACAATGAAATTGCATGGGGAAAATCGTGATTCACCATCGACTTTGGGAACCCTATTCTCAGAAAAGCCATTAACCCATCAAGATCAGTTAGACAATCTGAGCTGGTAGAACACCTCCTGTTATTCCTGGAAAATCTCATTTTTAAATAAATAAGTCATCATGTCTATCAACTATAAACGAGTCCTTTCCCATAGCTATGTTGAAATATGTTAAATGACCAATTGGTCAAATTCCAATAAAATTGCATGAAATCAGCATATTTATGTAATCATGTTCAATTTAGGTAAAATCATCATGTTTAACATCTAACATCTAGAAATCAGTTATTTTCATCTCTATAATTTTATATTTAAGTTTATTGTTAGGTAAAACATCTATAAAGTTATTGTTAGATGTAACAATCTAGGTAAATCAGTCATATTTAAGTTTATTTTTAGGCAAAACATCTATAAATCAGTCATTTTCCCTAGAAACCCAGTAGGTTTCGTCCTGTCCTGTCTCGAGGCTTGGAGCAAGACGCCTCTGGCCTGTCGTAGCCTGGCACGGGAGATCCGCAGATTGCCAGAGGAGGGGCATGGCCGGCAGCCGGGCCGGGGTGATCAAAATTATGTCACCACTAAATCCCATTACCATCTGGTAAACTAACATAGCTATTGAAAATGGCCATTTATAGTGGATTTTATAGTGATTCAATGGGATATTAATGGGGATTTACCCTCTGGCAAATTAACTTGTTGACCCTGAAAATGACCAATTTATAGTGGAAACTAGTCTTCCAACCCCAATGACTGCCAGGCTCTATGTTAATTTACTGGAGGGTAAATCCCATTATCCTTTGGTAAACTAACTGGGAGAATCTGTAGTTTTGTCTGTGGGAGGGCTTCAGCAAATCCCTCATCAGAGCCATTGTTTTCGCAGGCTGTTCTGGACTACAAGGGCTTGGGCGAGCATTTTGGCCGCACGATGGGAAAGCTGGATGCGCATGATTTGGCCACACATATCTTAACACCCTCCCAAAAACCATCAAAAACCACGGTAAATTCTGACTAGCGGAGTCCCCAAAATGGGTTCAAGAGAGTACTTTGCCCAGTAACGTTTGGGAGCACTACTTAACAGTGATCAGGTTAGGAATCGGTTAAAAGTTGTCCAGACAAGGCATCCTCAGAGCATTGGATCACATCGCGCCACGCGCCACATTTACCACTGCCAGGGTGCCATGTTCTGTGTAAACCTTGGGGGCTGGCAACGCACCAAGTTACTTGTTCCGTAAAAAGGAAGGTTCAAGTGATTTGTCATTTTGGTCATGAAGTACCGATGTGTACCAGAGTATGACTGGTCATAATAGTTTAACGGGTTTTTAATTGTTCTCAATCTTAGCCGTTTTAGCCACACATAGGGGTACTACACATCAACATCATCATTATCATCATCATCATCATCACCATCATCACCATCACCATCACCATCACCACCATCACCATCACCATCACCACATGGTTTTTCCCCAAATTATATTTTGGTTTGCAGACCCAGATCACCATAAATATATTGCCAATTATTGCCATATTTGCCGTAAAGTTTACTTAACCTACTTGAATGTAAACAAACTCAGCAAACTACGGAGCTAGAACATACATACCACCCAACTATTTTGTGCGACATCCAAGCTCTGTTTGTCTTTTCGAACCATGGTTAAAGGTTTCCCACCAAACCCAAACCCTACCCGCAAACCTTCAAATTCAATATACGTCAACTTTAAACCATCCTTGCCTATGTCATAGAATTGGATGATGGGAAATTTTACAGGCAACCCCTATATTTCATGGTAACAACCATGGTTTCCGGTTAAGATTTTCCCTTAAAGCCTTAAACCAATCCATTGACAATGGGGAAAGCAGGAACACCACAAAAACTAAACATCCAACAACCGCATCTATTTCTGTGATCCAAAGGCCCAACATCCAACAACCAGATATCCAAGCGTCACAACCTACCGCTGCCCCCAGAGTTATAAGTTGGTTTATTACCCATCTCCCATCTCACTGTAGTACAGTTGTTACACTTATAATACTTATGTCAACCTAGTGATACACCATGATACACCATGATACACCATGATACACCATGATACACCATGATACACCATGATACACCATGATACACCATGATACACCATGATACACCATGATACACGATGATACACGATGATACACCATGATACACCATGATACACCATGATACACCATGATACACCATGATACACCATGATACACGATGATACACCATGATACACCATGATACACCATGATGCACCATGATACCCCAACTTAGCTAACAAACTGGGGCACCACCTTGTAACCTTGGCCTCGTTTTCGTGCCTCATTCGGCCCCATTCGGCCCTTATCTGCGAGGCCTGCTGTGCGGTCAGCGACTTTAGCCTTCCTGGATGCTGTGTGTGCAGCCAGTGGCGTGGAAAGCTGAGTCAAGGAGCAGAAAAGCTGCACTCAGCGATTGGCGCGTGTGGAGCTTGAGTAAAATTAAAATGATATTTTGTTTTCAGACCATCTAAATGTGCATGTCTAAATGTGCATGAGAGTGGACAAAAAGTCCCAAACAATTGGCTACATTGCCACGTTTTTCAAGGTTTTCGGATTTTGGAGGGTCTAGGTTCATGTATCAAATACACAAAGATGACCTTGCGGTCATTGTTTGCTTGTTTGTGCTTGCAAAATGTCATTGGCTTCTGTACCCGCATCCCGTCCCCATGGGCATTTTGGCAGCTTGTTCCACGTTTTGCGCTACCAACCTTGGTAGGGAATCATATGGAATCATGCTACTTGGTTCCTGTAGGGATTGCAACCAATCATAGGGATACCTTTGAACCAGTGACCGATGGTAAGATATGACTGTGGCGCTACCTCGGCTCACAGCGAAGAAGACGGAGGCCCCCGGGGCCGGTGCCCGGGTGGGCAGGGCCGATGTACGGGCTACGCGTCTTGCCGAAAAGATCTTTCAGATGGGCGAAGTCGTGGGTGGGGTGAGTCCTGTCCCATGGGAACATGTCAGGATTTGATTACAATTTACTTAGCGGGAACCCGACATATTTTGGTAAACACCATAAAAAATAGATGCTCACTTCAATCCATTGAGACTCGGGACTGGAAATGCCCCCCTTGAACCCAACCACTCAACCGCGGGGATTTGGTGTGTAGCGATGTTCCAAGCCGTCTTGGCGTATGCAATTAGGTGCTCTTGCGCTGTTGGTTTCCCTCTTGCGTTTGATGTTGAAATCGCAAAGAGCTTCAAACAGCAGAAGTCACGATTTGGAAGTCATCCCACCCTTTGGTAATTTCACATAGCTATTGAACATGGTCATTTATAGCATACCTGAAGTCCTAAAGGCTTTAATTTGGGATTTAAAACCAACGATCGCTGAATCCAAAACCATTTTAGCTTGGCATAGCTTAGCCATATCCCCATATCCCAGTCCCACGGCCAATTTATCAACATATGATTCACGGCTTCTGGTGGCTTTGAAATCGCCAGTGGTGAACCATTGGTGCTGTTTATAAGTCAGTTGCACATTGTAATATGGATCTGTCTGAACATAGGGAACCTTAAACCCACTATTTTTCAACGAAATTGTGTGACCTTGCACCTCTTACTCTCGCATAAAACCTTCTATAACCATCATTTTTTTGGTTGTATCACCATGCAGTCCCATCATTCACATGGCCCTATTGAAATCTATTCAAATCCCTTGTGACCACTTAGGTAAGTTGCATCCCCATCTTAATATATGGGGATTTAGACCCTCTAGACTCTAAAGCTGACCCCCTAGAATGTTTGGATGTATGAAAGGCATTTGAAAGGCTTCTTAACCAACTACAACCATGCATAAGTGCCTTGGCTTAGTAACCATTTGTTACTCTGGATGAATTTGAATGACCTCATTTGGGCTGTTTTCATCGTTGCACCTTAGGCGGGATTAGCAACTTCTACGAGGCAGGTGGTACGTTGTTGAAACAGCAGTGCTTGATCCACCCCCGCAACCAATGAACTAATGTAGACCTGCAAAATCGCTGGAAAACTATATCTGGTTGGTGGTTTGGAACATGGCTTTTATTTTCCATAATATATGGGATGTCATCCTTCCCATTGACTTTCATATTTTTCAGAGGGGTTGGAACCACCAACCGCTATATGTTCCACAAAAGATGGATGATTCTCAAGGTCGAGGTCAGTTTGCGAGGTGGTGTATGGGATAGACATGATGAACCATATAGACCCCATTCGCATATGCGGGTTATTGATCATTTACATACCTTTTACCAAGTGCCCTTCTGAGAAGTGACCGGGGGCTCAGGACTCCTAAAAGTGATGCAAATTGGAAGGCGCACAAAGAGGTACAAAGAGGTATAACTATGGATTGCGTGATTTCAGAATAAGCTAACTAACCCGCCTCTAATCTGCAAACATTTTACTTCAAAGCCTGAAAAAGGGCCATTTAAACTGGGAAAGGTTTCTTTGAAGCCGAATTGAACAATGGAACAAATTGAAGAAATGTCGTTGGAAGGTGTAAACAAATCCTTTCCCCTGATTTTAAACAGCCCCTAGAAAGCCTTGAAACCATGGTGGATCGGGATGGGATTAGTAGACGATCTTCATCAGGGCGGCACTCGCTCGGATTTCATTGTCGTGGCCCATCCGGAGTATGCCTTGGGTGTGGCACCTCAGGGATGGAAATAAAGGAGCCTAGCCACTGAGGGAAGCTTAGATTGGGGCATGATACATCAATATGTTGTATATTAGTGACATTGGGGTGTAATCTAAAAAGAAAGAATCGTAGCCCCCAACAACTCTATAGTGTATATATTAGTGTACTATAATTGTTGTATGCATTTGTATGTGCAAAATTAATTGGTATCTACACTATATATTTATAGACATCCATGGGGTTTTGTACCCATAAACGGTATAAACATCGGTAAACATGTTTTTTTTAACCCAATCATCTTTGTACTTACAAGGTGGTGCCCCCTCAGTTATAAGTTGCTTTATAATCCCCATAAACATCCATTAACTAGTTCGATATAACCCCCTAATCAACCCTAGTTATTGAATTATTAGTTCACCAACTTAGCGTTCACGAACTGGGGCACCACCTTGCTATAGCACCATTGTTTTGGGGCACTTCGAGTGTACAATCAATGACAGTTTTCAATCACTGGGATGATTTTTGCTGCGCTGGAATGGGCAGAAATATGAAATTTCCAGAAAACAACGAACCAAGGTACCCCAGTGACATGTTTTGTTGGTTCATCAACCCATTAAACTGTAGAATTGATGTGTGGTTATATACACAATTCTATAGTCATAATTTATACATATATATATATATATATATACCCACCGAATCCAGGCCCAGTGTCTTAATCTACAACCAATTTCAAGCATCATTTTGGGTAACCTATGGGACAGCACCTTGGTACGCTTTGGCTCGGTTGCCCACAGAATTTCTTGATGGGTTTTCCTTCATGTCTGATCACATATTAATATTACCCTCTGGTTATGACTAACATAGCCATGGAAAATCACCATTTTTGATAGGTAAACCATCTATAAATGGGCCATTTTCCATGGCTATGTTAAATAACCAGATGGTAATAATGTTAACTATCATGTTAATATTTCAATATTATATTCATATTTGTGACTTGGGAGTTAATAATATTAATATATAATATGATCATTTGCAGACCCATTAATATGATTAACTCCCACGTCACTTTGCGTTTGATCTGACCTCCAAGGCAAAGTGGGCAGTTGCTGGGGGCCAAGATGATCAGATGCTTCAAAAGCCTGACATTTTATTTGCCAACACAGGGGTTGGTTCGCGGAGTATTTCTTGCCAGACGCTAATTATGTGTTTTGCCATCCCAAATGTGTCAAGCTTTTCTCTTGCGATGGGTCGGACATACAGTCGTAAAGTTATCTAAAGTTGTTGTTTGTTCCAAAGATATCCAAATTTGGGATTGTGGAATCGTGGTTTCTGCTTCAAAATTTTCTGGCTACCGCTCTCCCCCCAGTGTTTTGTGCCTTGTTTCTCTCCACTTGTTGATGTGCTTTTATTGAAACCAGTTCTTGGTGCTTGTGCTTCTAATGGCCATATTTCAATTAGCTGGAGATCCAATTGTCCAATGTTTCTCCCGGGCTATAGGTTACAACTGCGCGTATTGGATACGCTTCAACGATCACAAAGGGTGCCAGCAAACATCCGCCTGCGTTGCGCAGGTCGAGGTTTTAACCAAAAATGGGATCAGAGTCAAGTTCCCACCCGGCCGCCGGCAGGCACATGGGTATATATAGTTTGGTGTTTTTCCCCACCAAAAAATGGCTTTGTTTTAAAGAACCAAATTTTTAGTACATCTACAATGTGAGGCCCCCGTTGGATAGCTAAGTTGGATTAAGTTGGTGAACATAACTCCAACAACTATGGTTTATGGTACTTATAACTATAGTTATTGGGGTGAATCTAAACCAACTAACATCACTGGGGGGCACCACATATTTGATGTTCCATCCTATCAGTGATCCAAATTATCACTGGTGAACACGGGTGTTTGGTAGTCTTCTGATGAGAATTCCCCCCATCGCTACAACATGTTACAACTTGTTTTGATCTTGTTTGGCATGGATTGTCCTCTTCAGAAAGTGGCTTGGATTCTAGCCACGCCTCCCCCATGGACAAGCAAATCATCATTCCCAAGTCGAAAAGATGATCGTTGAGATAGCTTTAAAACAATCCTTGGTCATCAGTGTTTAGTCAATCTTCCCACTTTCAAAAAGACCTTCAGACATCTTCAGACTAGTTTGTTCATATTTCCATGCCTATATATGATGATGTGTGCAGATCCGCTGCCGGACCACAGAAAAAGAATGAAAAAGAGGTCGACCTGTTATCTCTCAGATCTGATGGTTGATCTCCACTGGTTCCCCATCAATGTGTTTCTTATGGAACTAGGAATTTTGGAGGATATGACCATCAGATTGCCAGCATAGTGTTACTATATGAATCTATATGATAGATTGCCAGCATTTTCGGGGGCCTGAAAGAACCTTAGCCAAGTTAGTTGAAAGATCGTAGGTGAAACTTTGTTAACATCCGGGTAATGACAGATAACGATACAAAATGATACCCTTACGTAATCGTTGCCATAACTGTGCTTAAAATCACCATTTGAAATCGGATTTAACCCATGCTAAACCATCCCTGTATAAAAAATGGTCCGTTTTAGCGTCAAACTACAAGGGTGGTGGAAAGAGAGCAGCAGAGCAACAACAAGGTGGTGCCCCAGTTCGTGAACGCTAAGTTGGTGAACTAATCGACGGAAGTTTAGAAGTCAAACTTCCGACAATATGGAGAGATGAAAAGCAGAGCAGGGCAGAGGCAGAGAGAAGAGGAAGATTAGAAGAGAGAA